CAAAAATCACACACAGTACTAGTACCAAACAACGAAACAAGTTTCATGACTCGTAGATCTATATACATACACACTCCCGTACTAGCAATGCTGTCAGATCCCTTACTCTATACAAGGGCAATCACATAGTCATTCAACCGATAGAGTTTTATCTTCCTCTTCGTTAATGAACCTCCGCACGTCGTTCAGAGTCTACCAGCCATGACGATCCACCCGGACTGCCCGACGCACTCAAACTAACCGTCGTCTTGCGTAGATCCGGCAGGACGAGGACGGTTTCACCATGGTTCCGGTAATCAACTTCGCAGGCAATCGGCTGGCGCTGCACGGGGGCCGCAGGGACCCCGGCCGCGACATCCATTGCTGGCGGAGAGGTGGGAGGCTGTGGCTGCGCTGGGGCAAAGGTGCGGACCTCCAGACCCGGGAGGAGTAGGTGGCCGGGCTTCTGAGGAAGAAGCAACACCGTAAAACGAATAGTCTCGCCATCACGAGCTAGGAAGTTGCCGCGTCGTCGGCCACCCAGGAGCCATAGCTCTGGATTGGCGTGTAACTCGTACGAGCACTCGAGTGGCTGGTCTGCGTACACTTGGTTTGTTGGGGGGCACCATCGTCGCGTGTGGCGGATGCATAACTCCGCGGCAATCATCTGGCCCACGGCCGCGTGAGAAGATGAGGGGTCTGCGTCGGCACTTGCAGGCTGGAGCTGCAGCTCGGCCGTGTGTACCACTGGGATTTCGGGGATATCGACTGGGATGATGATACTACGGATGGGAATGGAGGCCTGCTCGGGGAGACGAATGATTGGGTTGCTCTAATCGAGGAAGACTGGGTCAGCACGTGGTCTCAAACAGAGGGGATGGTACTCGTGACTCGTGGTCAAGTAGTGATGTGATGTATGAAAGGGGAGTCGCTCACCTCGTGCCATGACGTGAGCCACTGTCGCACGTCATCCGTGCGTTCATTTACCGCGCCCAACAATTCTTCCCAGCGGACGCTCTGGTACGGTAGCATCTCCACCTCTCGTACAAGACCAATGACCTCCATGTCCGAGGTCGATAACTGAGCGCGGAAGCTATTGACAATGTGCGACGTAAGGAGAGGCGCATACTGGCTGAATGGACTAGACTGGATAGCGGAACGGAAGAGTTTCTCAACTGCGTCAAGGCACTCATCATTCACGCAAGTAAAGTCCACACGCAAGCGTAGACTGCGAGGGGCCTCTGGGTCAGCGGCGGCACTGTCCAGCCCGGACGGACGAATCTTGTAAAGTAGAGATGCTGGTTGCTTGGGGAAGACATCCATAGCCACGGGCCCCTTGATACTCGTTTGAACGTCATATGAATCGGAGCTTGGCAGGCTGCAATTCGTGATGCGCAGCGGGATCAGCATCGCGGGGCTGATCGTGAAACGTGAAAACAGCAACTCATCCTTGAAAATGTCCTGCACGTTGACTGAAATGGGCAGCGTAGCCACAATACTATGTGCGGTGGAAAATGCAAATTTGCCCCGTTCAGTCTCGTAGCTGACTTCGGCTCTTGCAGACAGAGTCGTGAAGGTTTCTTCCACCGTGTAAGGGATACGCAGTCGCACAAAATTTTGCGGTGGGAGCTGGGCGAAACCGATGGTACCAGCGTCTACATTGGGGGTAACATCGATCTCACCCTCCACAATCTCGACTTCAGAAATTCGCAGTCGGAGCCCTGCCGTTGCGGGCCGCACACGAATTGTACCAGTCTTGATATTATTCCGTCCGCTGTCGAGTTCCAGCTCCAGCGTGCGCATGGCTTCCAAGTTGATCAGATGCGGCGAGACTACCTTTGCTTGTAATCCCTCCGAAGGGGGGTAACAGTAGATGTATGGTCGACGATCAGTCTCCTCGTCCTCTTCCGATTCACGGAACCCAATTGGCAGAGTTGAATGATTGCCACTGTTGAATGAAAAGATGATGTTGCCAGACTTCATCTCCAGGCGATCAACGAAAAATTTGCCATGCAGTGTAGTCTTTGAGGGATTAAAGTTAGCAAGACAGGAGTCTAGCCGCTCATTCAAAGAATACCACTTACCGAAGAGTCGATGAGAATCGTAGTCATCGACGACTTAACAACGAAATTGGTCGAGGCCTCAATCCAATGCTCCGCATTTTGGGAGTTGGTATCGCTGACCAACCGCACCTTGATAGAGTCAATGTTGATCTTAGGTCCCAAGAGGAATCGAAGAGAGAGCTTCATTTGGAATCCATCTCTATCCTCGTAAAGCTGGATAGCAGGATCAACGCGAAGGTCCGCAAAGTATTCAACCAATGATGCCGTAACATCTTTTTGCATCGCCGATGCCCCACTGAACAGATCGGTAACATAATCCGCCAACTGCTCCAACTGCAGAATGGATGGGGGAGTAGACAATGCTCGCTCCCTCACCGATAGCTTTGCCTGCGCGTATGCAGCAAATTTCGCCAGCAGTCGAAGCATCACGCGAACGAAATCCTCGTTCCGCTTCAGTTCCTTGAGACAGCGGGCATATAGTTCCAGCATGCTTCCTTCCAGGACCACCCAGAGCTTGCTACCATAGAATGGAGCCATTTGGTGGAAATAGGAAGCAGCAGCGTCAAAGTCACCCTGTCGGTATCGTAGGATAGCTATGTCTGCGAGGGCTGTCTCTGCAGAGTTGGCTCGGTTTGCTACCATATAATGGCGAATGATATGGTCAGTGATATCTTCATAGAGAGACAAAAACGCCTCTTTTGATCGCAACCCAGCCTTCAGCGTGGCTAGCTCGATGCCAACTAGAGAGGAGTGCTCCACCTTGGATGGAATCTTCTCGTTCGAAGCATCGTTATCATTCAGGGATACATCCGTAAGACCGCCTGCTCCAGCTCGATGACTGTCATCGAACAGGAGGCCGAGTTCACTCCATTTCTCAGACCAGCCCCGTCGCCGAGCAATTTCTTCGAGCGATCGCCGAGCCAGTAGGAGTAGCTCTCCTCTGGCGGATGCCAATTGCTCGGAGCCGGTCTTTTGCATCGAGCCTGGTGCCGGTTTGGGGTGGTCCATAGTTGAACGCCGCTGGATCGTTCCAGCGGGGGTATCAGAGAGATCCTGTGTCATCGGACGAGGAGGGCGAGACGCAGTTGAAGCTATCAATGAGCTTGACCGGCGTGGTATCTCCGAACGGTTCTCAATTAGCGGCACTGTGGATTTCGCAGCATCGCCGACCTGCGCCGCAGCATGTAATGATGACTCGGGGAGGGACAAGTTTGGAGTAAAGGTTTGGTTGAGAATTTGAAGAGCTGCCGAGTATGCCCAGGAAGACACAAGGTTATTGATGACCTCTGCCTTGGCCTCATTCTCCACATCCTCCAGGCCACACTCGAGACCGAACCGAAGGTTGCGGGCGGCAAGGCTGATAAACTCCAAAGATCTTGCGCAAATTTCTGAGAGCAAGATCAAATCTTCCGGTTTCCTGTCACGTTTCGCCGCCTCATTTGCAGCGACCGATGGAGCTCTAGCCGCTCGAAGCAGGAGGGTAAGTTGTCGAGAGAAGACATAGGTGCGGAAATCGAAAATAGAGATATCGCTGGCCAGGATCATTTCTCGATATGGAAACTTGGTCGAACTGAGCGGGAAATCCTCAGGCTGGATCTCTAGACTTGGACTTTGGCCCTCCTCGCCGCTGTCTTTGATTGATGACCCGGAGTCGAGTGCCTTCCGTGCAGCTTCCACCCAAGTTTTGCTGGAGTTAAGAAGCGTTGTACCATGCTGCTCGCTGTTTCCATGTAATTGATCTCGAATTGCCGCATCAAGACCAAATGATAGCTCGTCGTAACCCAGCAGTGCATCTTCAAAAAGACCGACATTCTCAAACCCTCGCGCAAGACCCTCCTTGAGAATAAAGAACGTACAAAAATTCCACCCAGGGAGACTTCGCTGCGAGTCCTTTTCCTTGATGTCTTCCTCGTACTGAGCCACGCGCAAGTCAAATGACGCTAGAATGCTGTTCTTGACTTTATCAATCAGGTCTTCAAGCTGGTCAGCCAGCTCAGGGGATTTCGCCGTCGAGCCCTCTTTCGGGATTCGTAGTTGTGCCACACGATCGATAGCCGTCTTGGACGTCCCATTGAAGTCAGCCTTGATCTTCTCCAAGACCGTGGTGGTGCTTCGACCCCATTTAGAGGTAGACGTGGGGGTCTTCTCTGCGCCCTCACTATCCTGAACCACATGCAAAATCAGCCACTCAAAGGCATCATGCTTCTCCTGGCTGCTGCCAGTCGGTTGCGAGGTGCTTGATGATCCCTGAGCCTTGATCCATTCCCTGAGGGTCTTCCGCGCGGTTGCCTTGTATGTATCGTTGTCGTCGCAGCGGAGGAGGTAGATCTTCAAGTACGGTGTTTGGCGCAGACCGGGGATTTGGTGTCGCCGATGTGGCACAGTGCCAGTGCCATCAGTAGAGGACTTCCGCTCGGCGGAGTCGGTCTGCGCGGGCGAGAAGCCAATGCGGAGAGACTCGATCGATCGAACGGGCCGAGTAGGTGACTTCCAATGCAGGTTCTTCAGGGGCAGCTTGGACTCGATGACGGGCTGGACCAGAGGAAACAACCCAGATGGGTCCGTGTATTCAACTGTTTCGTCGCTGCTGGTCAGTACGAGTTGCGGGCAAACATTCCGGATACTTGGGGATTCGTACCGGTCACATTGCTCGAGGCCGCCTTGGAAGGGTCCATGATTTTCCCAGGCGCACGTTCGGGGGGCCAATGGCAATCAGAGCATGCCGATTCGAGCACCACGAGCTGCTGCGGACCTCTTCAGGGGAAAGTTTGGCAGCGAGTGTTTGCGGGGGAGGGAGATGTTTGGGAAACGAGGCCAGCTCGGAGGTGGGTCCGCATCAGCCTTGGCGTTGCGTCCGCCGATGCAAAGGAGAGATGACAGAGCATGAGCTCAATACCAGCTTCTATGTCCGAAAGAGAACGATTCAGATTATTTCTTACATCAATAGAGAAATAATTATACTGTGATATCTGTGGGGCTTATATTATCTTCCAGATTGCCACGAGGTCATCTCTAAAACGAATGGACAGAGTGACCCTCAAATTCTTCTACATCTCGATTTACTCTATCCGCCCCCTATCTGACTGTTCTCATCAACGGGCGTAATGCATATGCGCTTCTCTGACCAGACGGGTGTAGTTTACAAGCGCGGACAAACGCCTGTCTTGCATCCAGCTCCATCGTCAGCCAAAACACTCTTATTCTTCTCCTGCGTCGAGACTGCAACATCCAGACCCGGATTTCCCGTAAAGAAATTGACCGGTTTCAACCCCACCACCATCTTCTCCGAAGGCATTACCGGCCAGTCTTCAATGCGTGGATTATGAGTTGACCCGAACGTGTGCCAAATCACGATATCTTCATTACGTACATTCGACGCAGCAGGATCGTCCTTGCGTTGCGCAATCACCGAGCTAATACCCTCCCCACCAAGAGACTGCATCGTGTGCTGGCCTGATGGGAATAGCTCATCGTCTTGGTATCGAGTCACCCAGACTGCGTGGCTGCCGAATTCAGAGCGTCGTGCGTGGTAGGATTGTGGATGCGCTAGGAGCATCTGACTATAGCATGGGAGCAACTTGAATCCCACGGGAGTGCCAGTGATGGGGTTGATTTGTTTCTCGTTGATAATTTTGAAAGTGCGGCCGCTGGCAAAGTCGAGGTCGTGTCCGCCTTCTTTGGTGATGATCTCGGATTTTGTCGTATAGCCCACGCCGAGGGGGTTGTGCACCTTTGGATCGTTGATGGGCATAGCGTGGGATTCCTCGACTTGGAGAGAGTTGGTGTACCCGTCGATCGCCGGGTCAATGCGGAGAGAGAAGAGGTGTTGGTGGTAAGGAGCGAGTACGCCTGGCGCGACGACCGTGCCATAGCCTACCTGATCACCATTGTTGATGGGACAGGTCGACAGGATTCCGGTTGCACGCACTTCATAGTGGATGGACGCATCTTGACCAAAGTGGAAGGCGAAGATATACTCGTAGTTGCTAACTGTGATGATGGTCTGCAGCACCAGAATGCGCGAGCGAGTCACGACGGCATTTTGCGTGCGATGGTTGGTATGCTTCCAAAGGATTCCATCATCCTGCTCATGGCAGCATACCACATTGGGGAGCTTGAGGGGCTCACCCGAGGCAGTGTTATGCCAACCGTCAAAATATTTAATCGTACCGAGGCAGTCACAGCCGAGGCGTAGGTTATTAGCGTTGATGCCAGCGCCATCATTCCCAAGATCAAAGGCTCCTTTGCGCGGGTACGGCGTTCGGGGATCTCCGTAAGGAACGAACATCTCCGACAGCGATAGACGGTAGAAGAGGCTCCGACCATCGTACCTGATATCATGTAAGGTGAGGCCTTCACGATAATTGAAACCCACACGCACGGTCCACTTCTCCCAGCTAAGAAGGTTGCCATCCACTTTGAACGAAGGGCCTTCGGGCTGAACTACTTGATATGGCTTCGTGGTAGTGCGCGGTGGAGGCCGCAGTTCAGGATGATACTCGCTGAGCTCGGGCGAGTGGGCTTTGCTATGATCATACGGCCGTGCGACTTCACGGATACGCTCATCCTCAGCAGAGGGTAGATGATAAATCTTAGTGACTTTGAGGTGCTCAGAAACCTCAGCACATAGATCGAGTGGATATGCATAGTAGTTTGCATCTGGGTGGTTGAGTAAACGCAGATAGAACCAGCACTAGGGAGATCTCGGCATGAGTAACTTGGCCTGAAATCGCTGAAGATGGCAAGTCTTACCATCGTAGTACGTTCAGACACGTCAGTCATCCCATCAGTCGCGTATGCCCACGGCTCGACAACAACTTGAGCACCTTCTGGCAGTTTAAGCTTTTGAATCTCTGCTTCAATTCTTGGGTCTGCTCTGCACGCCTTCTCGGCGGCAAGCATATAAGCGGAGTCGATATAAGGGTGCCTTCCCTTGAGATGCTCTTTCTTAATGATAGATCCAGAGGTCAAATCAACAATAAGTTCGATCATCTCATCGGGCTTCGAATTGCCTCGAACGGTGACTTGAACGCGTGCAGCTCGAACTGGTCGTGCACGACTTTTTCCGCAAAGTTCACTTTCCAGAAACGAGATCATCTCCTGCTTGGGCGGCTCCTGGAGAGTGATCACACGAAAATTGGGATCTTTTCCGTGGAGCTCCTTGCGTACAATGATTGCGGCCTATAAGTTTTATTACAGAAGTCAGCTCTTTCGATCCTCGTGCTGAATAGACGCAAGTACCTTACCTTAGCAATCTCCCCCGGAGTGAGGGGATCGAATGGGTGCGGAGGTGCCATCTTGATAAGAACTCGTTCCAGAGTTACAGTAGTTCGAGTACTGAGAGCCAATTCACGTGCTCATCATCGGCTTTATTTGTATGTTGCAGTAGAGAAGAAAGGATGAGAAGTTCTAATCAACGCGGGGAGGGGAAGTCGATATATAGGTCTCCGATAAGGTGTGGTGGTTGGCTTTCAATTGGCTGAAAGTACGAGTCGACGGACAAATGTCCGACATGCAGTCGGGTTCTTAGAGAACCGCATAGGTAAGGATTAGCCGGATCATGCTGCCTCCGCCTTCCTGATTCACTGATGTATACCAACGAATGCGCGATATCCGCTCAAGTATAACAATAGCCGGTGCATGGTTGGATGTTGGCTCAACGCGTGGAGAGGGGAATCCGCTAAGGTTAGGAATAGCCGGGCATGAACGGTCTGGGTTTAGTGGGCGGTTAACTTCAACTCCAAAGGCAAGGCGGGACATTTCGTTCCCCACTTCCATCGCTGTACCCTTATATTGATGCCAGCAAACTACTGATAAGGATATATCAAGACATCGGATATTTCCAATGGATGTTATTGTGGCACTGGGGGTACTTAATTTCCTGAGACTAATGAAGCACGGTGGACAAAGAAAGCTTCAGAGTTATTATTCTGTGTGAATTCATCCGGAAGTCTCTATAGATTGCAGCTGCTATAACTATGATGTCTTCTGAGCCAGTAACTTATTTGTCTTGCTTGGCTTTCCACTCCTTCGCACAGTTCTCAAAGGTTACGAATTCCACCTCGTCTCCCTTCTGCTTCAACCATGTGATCATTCGGTCGATCATACCAATAACATGGGCCATCCCACTCGTATCGGGATGCAAGACGAGAGGGAAGACAAAGTCATCAGTTTCATTGTATAGAAACTCAAATCGAGACTTCCAATTCTCTTCGATGGCCGTCGGGCTGACAAATCCATGCGAATTGTTGGCCGCAGGAATGAATTGCATCGGTGTCATGTCCTCCATGTACCAGTTACATGGGATCTCCACGAGTGTCTTTTCCGTCCTGGGGCCCGGCGTGGCAAGAGGCTTCATCCATGTGGTGGCCGATTGCCCAGGAGAAAAGTCAATAGGTTCAATCGGTGGAAGCTCGGGAAGGAAGTACAATGCCGAATCGTGGTGGGTAAGGGAGGTATCTGCATTGGAATTAGCATACGGTACGACCCTTCAGCGGTTGAAAACCATACCGTATAAGAAACCAAACTCTTCTAGCACCTTCACAGTGTGCTCTCTCAGCAGGTAGAGCGGTGCTCTCCAGCCGCGAGGCTTCTGCCCAGTCAATTCGGAGCAAAGCTCAACGCACTTGATAATGACCTCTCTTTCCTGTGCCTCGGTCATCTGGGCAGCACCTTCGTGGGCGTATCCGTGGCATCCGACCTCGGCGCCAGAATTCACGATCATCTTGGTCTCATTGGGGAAAGACTCCATCGAATGACCTGGCACAAACCAAGTGACCGATGAAGAGATTCCATGCTTCTTGAAAAGACGCAGTAGGCGTGGTACTCCAACCTGAGCTGCGAAATATCCGCTGCTGTAATCGGACAAGCTATTATCTTTGGAAGCCCCGGTTCCGAGGAAGCCCGAGACCGCATCGAAATCGACTGAGAGAAGGATTTGAATGCGGCGCTTTTTGGCCATGATAGGTTGAGGAACATTCGCTGTCATGGTACTTGCTTGCACAACAGTGTTCTTTTCACCCAGGACTTCGTCTGCCCTCCAAATCACACGCCCTTCCATGCCTCCATCGACGGAAAGACATTGCCCGGTGATGTGACCAGCGGCTCGATGACTAGCGAGGAAAGCCATTGTACGCGCGACATCTTGGGGTTGAGCAATCTTTTTGAGAGGGACCGTAGCCTGAGCCTCGTTCCACATCTCCTTGGGGTCATCCAGTCTTCCCGCGATTAGAGGGGTATCAACCCATCCAGGAGCAACGGCATTAATACGCGCTTTCGAGTTGATCTTGACAATCTCATTCTTGACTCCGCGAACAAGACCGTACTGCAGACCAGCTTTGCCAGAGGCATACTCGGTATGTCCCGCTTGGCCAAACTTGCCAGTCTCGGATCCAGTCACGACGATAGCCAGATTCTCCAGCTCGGCGTTGCCGGCCGCAGTTTGGGCCTCCTTTGCGCTTCGCAGGAAGTGCTTTATGGTCAGGAAAGTGCCCCGGATATTGGTGTTATATGTCTTTTCCCAGATATCCAAAGGAATCTCCCAGATGTTGTAATCGGAAGATTCATCTGTGATTCCTGCATTAGCAATCAAGATATTGATTGGTCCAAAATGCTCCACGCCAGATTTGATGCAGGATGCGACTGATTCCTCAGATGAGATATCTCCGGTCACAGAGTAGAAGTTGGAGCTGTTTGCAGAATTCGGTGTAGGAACCTGGCGAAGGTCATGCCCTGTAACCTTGCACCCTTGGCCTAGAGACAGCTTATCAGCATGAGTTCGTAGCTATGCCATGAATAAGAGAGCCACTAACCAAGGAATTCATTGACTGCCTCTTGGCCAATGCCACCGGCAGCTCCGGTGATGAATACATGGTATCCTTCAATGCCGAGGAAACTCATTGTGGTTTCAATCTGCCAGGGGGGGAAGTTGTCGGGTGTTAGTTCTGGCAACTACTCTCCGAAAGGCGCGGGGCGGGGTATGTCCGCTTTATATGGTATGGTGGTCGGGTGGATCATCTCAGTCGACCAAGAAAAAAACTTCATCCACCATTGGCTCCGGGTAATTGATGAGATTGGAGTAAAATGGGGCTTAAGCTAGCTTCTTCGGTGCTTCTGGTTTGAGTTGGGGTGTAGAGATGGAAGAAAAAAATTTATCATAGACCATTCTGACTCAAGAGGTGGCCGTTGTGAAAATCAACTGCAAGATCCAATCACATCTATACATCTTAATTATCGGGAAGTATGCTCCGTATCCCTCCTTTCCATAACTCGAATTCCACCTCTGTAATCCCTTTGTCTTCGGCCTGTCCTAGGTCTTGGGTCTTGCCAGGGGCTGGCTCTTTTGTACCAGCGGTCCAAGGCGCAAAAACGAGCTTCATAGTCCGTCGTGTGCTATATTCAATTGCAGGAGGCTCCATGGCTCTTTGCGAAGGCACCTTCTTAAGGGAGCTTGGTGGCTGGTCCTTGTCTTCGGCCAACTCAGACCCAGCCTCAGATTCTGCTGCTTGGGTGTCACGGGCCGAGGAAATCACAGTGTTGTACTGACTGTTTTTTCCTTCCACGCCGTTCTCTTTAGAGCCTTCTTTCTCTGTGGGAGTAGGCACCGGATAGTACGCATCGCCACTATCCCAGGGTGCGGCCGCTGTGCGTCTCTCTTCCTTCTTCAATGCAATACGACAAGCAATTTGTGTCGACCAAAAATAGCCCAAAGCCGGGGTCTTGAGATTCTTCTCGAAGTACGAACCATCGCCCCATCCGGTAAAGAAACGCTCCTGATGTACCAGGCTCAGGATACTATTCCGAGCCGGGTTTTCAATGATATATGAGCCGTCAAATTTCTCATCGTCTGGAGCATGATATGGCGATGATGGAATAGCCTGAGATGAAGAAGGCCCTTGGCTATACTGGGACAGTTGGTCTGTATTATCCGATCTGGTCCTCTGCAGCGGCGATGCAGCCCCGGCTTCGCGGGCCACAGCGCTCTGAGACAGGATTGATGGAAAGCCTGATCGTTGAGCTGGGTCAGCGCCGATACCCTCCGTGGGCTCGAATCGATCAGAGACTTGGTTTGCTAAGACAACGGCAATGTTTTCCTTTGCAGCAAGATTTCGCAACATCTGTCCTAGTTTTGCAAGCTCGGTCGAGCGTGTGGAGATGGCGAGGATATTGTTGGAGGAGAGTTCAGCACGGTAATTCGATGTGACAGAGTCAATGATTACCAGACCAACGTTGTAGTTTGCGATGGCGACGGGAAGCTGGTAGTTGAGGATGTGGTCTTGGGCCTCTAAATCCATCGCGTTGATGGATAGAATGTTCTGGAGGGACGGCGTCTTGTCGGCGGGGAGACTGGATAGTTGTGGGTGGCATTCAAGCATCTGAGAGAGGCGACTCGTTGCGAGAGGGTGTTCGGTGGAGATGTATACAGCCTGCGACGGTAGGCCATTTCGCTCAGCGAGCTGAGCTGCGAGAAGGAGGCTGAGGAGGAATTGGGTCTTGCCGCTGCCACTGTAAACACAGATTGTCCAAGAGTCAGATTCATGCTTTTGATCTCAAGCCCTGCCTTCCCTGAACGAACCTTTCTCCTGTTATTTCCGTCACGTATCCCATTGGTATCCCACCGCCCAGTAGTGCATCCATTGCAGGGTCTAAAGTGCTGATCGTATTCCATCGCGACGCCTGGAGCTTCGTAGCAGGACCGGGGGTGATGATGACTGAGTCCGGATTGATGCTTGAGCTTGGCTCGGCATCCGATGACGTTCCTATGTCTGCTTGTCTCTCGAATCCAAGGTCGGCGTGCAGGGCCTCGATGATCTGAGCGGAGAGGCACCGCACATCTGCGGGGGGCACATGGGCGCGTTTCGCGATCTCGAGGGTCTCGAGGGTGATGAGGTCAACGGTGGTGATCTTGTTTCGCTCCAGTGGGGGTAGGATATGTGCATATGATTTCGTGACGAAGTCTGGAAGAACAGATAGAAGATCCATAAGAATGCGAGACGACGGACAGAGTTGGCGAGCTGCTGGCGCGTCGCGAGTATCGAAGCTTCTACCCGTGGGGCCAATCACAGCGATCCTCGCACCAGCAATGGACGATCAATGAACCTCGATCAACCGCCCTTTGATCTGGGCCTTTCCTTGAAGATCATTGATAGACAGTCAGAGTTATGTGGTTGAACTGAATTGAATTGCATGCGTAGGACTTATTGTTTTTTTTACCTACGCTCGGTGAATAAATGAGCGCCAGAAGTTCCCGAAATATATATCCTAACCTGAAGGCACACTATCACCCCGTGTAGATATAACACGTTGCAAGTCATACAAAATTGAGAAGATAACGAGAATGACATGTTCAGTCAACTTTAACTCAAAGTGTAGAGGATCTAGGGAGATTTTGTACAACCACAACACCCAAGGCTTCTCCGGCATCACCAGGTCGTCCGACTTTACTATCGAACAATCACACTAGGGTCCCTTCGAAAGACGCAGGAGCGCTGGCTCGAAATCATCCAAAGATCACTAAAATCCTATAGAGTCGTGGGGGAGGCTGTATAGTCACCTAATCTCAAGTCTATAGGTTTACCTGTGTGGGAACATACATAAAATCCAGAAAACGGAGACTATGCGGACATAGACCAAATGAGAGACTACTACATAACTTCACGTCCAAAATCGACCCAATTTTTCAATAATGAGGCGTATCGAATTATCCTCAAACGGTCTTCGTTTCAAATGTAGACTACTGTTCTGAAGGTATTGAGCACAATATTCAGGCCCTTCCCCCTGATAAGCTATGGAAGCGATGCGACCTCGATGTCCGCCAGATGGCCCGCTTACTGCTCGGAAGACCGTCACAGCAACGGCATCAAGTTGCAACCGCCACACGAAGGCGATACCAATCTCCTTGGCCGAAATTTTGGTTAAAATGTATTATTAAATGCATATGCTTACTCCGTAATGTATGTACGTGTCTGCCGATCTTTCTTCATGAGCGGAATAGTGAGGAATTAAATCAGAAGGTCTCAAATTTGAACCTTCCCAAATGGTCACTTTTGACAATTCGTTTGACTTGGCAGGCATGATGGCCGCTGCTAATAAAATTGACGCGGCGGGAGATGGACTATCCCAGATAGGAAGGTCAGTAGTAGGTAGCATCCTGTCTTGAAGCATTGGCGATGACAGCTAGGCTACCTTCCATATGCAACATCCGAGTGTTTTCAATACATGAGAACGTGCAAAAATATGAAGACTCTAATCGTTGTCGCAAATTGATTTGTTCATACCTCATTGCCACCTATAAACCTCTGGTTGGCAGAATGAAACCGACTGCGAAGAGTTGCCAAGGTCGGATCAGGCGATCACTTTGACGCACTTGGGACATTTTTACAGTAGAAACGGGCCGTACGAGGACCGTTTGTACGGAGTACGGGCTTAACGTTGTATAATATGTATTCAATTTGTGCCGAAATGACGACGATCAGCCGGCTAGTCGTTTAATCTATCCGATGAAGGGCCTGGATTGGGCAGGTGGGTAAAGTGAAGTGGAGGCCTTGATCTGAGCCATTCAACAAATGATCCTCGATAGAGGAGGGGCGCTAGGCATGGCATGGCGTCGGGGATTCGGGAAACTCCACTCTTGAAGACTCGATGATACAGTATGTATGTATAATCATGTCTGTAGTGTGCCGTGTTCGTCGGGGTTGCGGCTCGCATGCTGTGCTATTTCTGGAGGTGGAGAGGTCGGGAGAGGTTGACCGTTGAAAAAGTATTCTGCGCTATACTGTACATAATGCAAAGGTTATTCCGTCGCTGTACTTGTCATACTAAGCCCCGTCTAATTGTTCTGCTTTTCAGATGTTGTCAAGATCTTCTTAGGATGATGTTTGTCTAGCATGGATAACGTGAGCTCCGTCATTAAAAGATAGCCACGTGTTGGCGGATCGCCCGAGCTCACCGGTGGCGGGCAGCTAACAACACCCCGTGAACATGGACTTAGCACATAGTCTTGATCCTGATCAGTTGATTGTATTTACTCTCCTGATATATCGAATCAACCAAGGTCAAAGGAGACGTGGGTAGATGCGGCAAGCCATGGCTAAAAAAGAACTGGACATACATAGTACTTTGAAACAGCCAGGGAGAGACCACAGGCTGCATCATCACACAGAACAAGCACCAATCACTAGCCAAACACAAGCTCGAACCTCGTGCAATTATGTCAGACTCTGCATCATTGGCTCCAGTGACAGTTACCGGAATTGTTGACACGTACCCAGGCAACCGTACATTGAATGTACATTGGCAAAGGCAAGGCAAGGCAAGGCAAGCGTTTGCCTCGTAACCGAAGGGCTACCCATGACCTTCGATAACCTTCCGCAAAACACCCTACAAATCTCGACAACTTAGGTAGCATGAGCCGTAGATGGCGACCGTTGAGACTACTCTAGCCTTCTCTACACGCAATCGTCATGTGGCTGGCTGGAAATTCCAAGGTTTCCAGCGTTTTTCTTCGTGCAACATGCTCGGTGTGCCCACACCAAAGCAACCTTCAAACCGCACCTCACCCCGAGACCTTCCTCCAACTCCAAGTGCGAGCGGCCCTCATTCACATGACTGACTAGCCCTGTCGACAGATGCAAGGAAGTCAGCGAAAAGGGGCTAGTTTGGCCTAGTCGTTATTGATTCGGGGCTACGGTGACAGGGGTCTGCTCGGGGCCATCGAGGATTTAACCCTCCGGTGTCTATATGACCTGAATCCGATGGATGCTTGGGTAGCAACTGATAAGACGAGTATTCCTGAGGGTTGTAGTGGATAGTCGTCACCGTTGCTGTGTGTTCAGCCAGACGTGCCAGCACTGGGAAGCCCCGTCAATCGAGCAGCCATAGAGACTGTGCTCTACCAGCCTTGTTAATTTCAAGAACTTTTCCAATAGTAATGATGATATGGGCGGAGATCAAGCACGAGGCCGTTGTCAATCACTGAGCATCCAAAGACCCAAAGGTTTGTACGTTGTGAATTTGATATTCCAAGTCCGTCCACAAGCCCCGAAGTATGAACTGAGTAATTTGTGATCGGCTTCACAAGTCCAAAGAGTGTGAGGGTCAAAAACCGCATCTCGGGGGATAAGGTGTCAACTCCGGCAGAAGTGATCGTTGTCATTCGAAGATATCCAATAGCCATCTGGAGGAGCAGTGTTCCCAGATGCGGATGCCTGTGAGCCCGGCTCCAGTAGATCCGTAAAAGGGGCTTTGACAACGAACTCGGAAGATTTGATCAACTCTGATATCATCGATTGCTCTTTAAGGAGGAGCAGAGAAGCGTAGTAGGCAACAAACATTCAATGGAGAAAGTTGGCCCTTGTCGCAGGTGGTCTCCAGAGCCACAAACCGTCAGCCTACCATTACCATGATAGGCAAGTACACTCTATATCGGGCCATACCCTTCGGTCTGGCTTCTGCATGGAGGAGCAATTGCCATTCCGTTCCTCTAGTTAGCCCGAGACGTCGTCTGGGGGATGGTTTGGTTGTACATACAATGCCTACAAAGAGCCCGGATGTCGTTGTACGGGTATCGGTGGTACCAGGATCAAAGAAATGAGTGTCAGATTAGCGAATTCGCCCCAAATCATGCGGAGGTATCCCCACATTAATCTCCCATCTTTCTCCGACTTCTCCGGTCCTAGACAGAAGGCAAAGGAAGTCTTTCTTGGGTTTTGCTTTTGGTGCTTTCTGGAAGATATCTCCATAGCAGAACGCAACCATAGGAACTAGACAATACTTGTAACTCTTAAAGACTCCACACCGTCCGAACAGCGCTAGACCGTTAAACGTCGCCTTGCCTGGCGGAAGATGGCTGTCACGTATGGTACAGTACGACCGGGATGCGTAAAACTAAAATCTGCAGGCCCGCGGTCGCTCTTTTTGCCCGTTTTCGCTTAGCCCTTGACCTATATTAAAAACAGCCAACTGAGTGTACTGTACCACACTCCCGAACGGTCTCCGGATTATGACAATCATTCCTGGTCCGAAGTAGAGCAGGGGCTTCTCAGTTCGGTGCGGACCGTGGTGGAGGGTGGGGGGCAGAGCAGCGCGATCCCGACGTTTCCCCATATCGACCGGGCTGGACGGAGTACGGACGGACATATGTATGGATGTGTATGCGGTTTACACGGTCGGGCCAACCGCTCCCTTTATTGACATCATTTTGCGACTTGAGTGTCCGTTTTGTTTCTGCGGTTGAAAGACAAATAGCGGGTACTCGTGCTACACAGGAGTGTCTGTAGGGGTGTTAAGGCGGCGGCTACGGAGAATAGAATCTCGATAGCTCATATTTGAAGGTTCGTCTTGAGTGGCTTTGCCGGACGCAGGTGTCGTTCTGCCATCAGCAAATCACAACTGCGAGTCATACAAAAGTCGGTTGCCTGCGCCAATGGCCAGCGAGTATTTAGCGATGATCAGTGTTGAAAAGGGATATGTAGATCAGGATTTACCGTACAAAAGGACCCGCCAAAGAGGGGCTGGATTACTCCGTAGATAGTCTCCTAAAAGCAGGCAGAGTCTTTTCCTGGTTTCACGCAGTCGTTGGTGGCGTTCATCTGCGGCCAAGACGTGCCCATTGATCATCAGTGGTTCGAATGGTTCCCGTGGTGGGCTCGGGCTTGTTCTTCGAGGTGACGACGGGTCCGCATACTCTATCTCAGGCTGGGGACAGGAAACAGTGGACTTTCGGTCGGGTTCAACGGACGAGAAATACATTCTGATAGTTCTAAGAGTTGCGAGAAGCCGTGGCTAAGGCATATCCCCTGCTTGATGGTCTAGAAAATCGATCGGGCAAGTCGAGACCTGACTGATTTGATCATAGTTCCACGGTCCTATGACGAGAACGAGATCTGGCCGAGGCTGGGGCTAGCCGGGCAAGCCACGGAGTAGCCAACGAATGGTGCCCACGGAAGATACATAGCATTGGTATCTAAGCCGTAGCCTCGGAGTGCGGACAATCTGTACAATTGTATATACGGAGTGGTATGTGACAATCAGTACGTATGTAGTATAGTGTCCATACGGCGTGTTACTACTGAATTAATACCTGCACCACGTCAGCAGGGAGGAATGTGAGTCTTGCTGGCGTTGCATCGTCTCCCCGTTTCCCCCAGGGGCAAGGAAGAGAAATTGTAGCGTTTATGACTCTGAAAGCGAGATGGTTTCGGCAACGATCACGATAGCTTTATAGAGATTCGCCCCTCACAATGGTTGACGTTGAAAATAAAGAGAAAGGGGATCTCTCCGGTCCGTTGGGCTGGGATTTGTGGCAGCCACCCAGCACCCTCGACAGGCGCGGAACGTGGAGTCGGTGACTGTCCCATGGGCTGCGATCGTGAGCAACGCTCGGGTAACACAGCAAGCAATCGGAGCGATACGCACGGGCTGTGATTGCATAGTGCAGGAACGCAGACAGAGAACGGAGAGAGATTAGAATCGGATGGGCCAATGGGGGGATCCAGACCATCAAAATAGGGCCCCCAAGTCTCGTTTCAAGCAACCAGCCAGCTCGCAGGAGGGCAAAAAGCAAAGAGATCAGTACTGTACCGTGCAAAGTATGTCCGGGATCGAGATGGGGCGAGATTGGCCATGATGAAATTGACGCTCGGGATCACCCAAAGGATCTACGGGTCCGGGGGCCCAGAGACCAAGAAGGTGGGAATTGACCATACTTCTTTTTGACCATGACGGGCCTCGGGAAAGGGGGAATCGGATAGGATAGGTCCATTTGATTCATGATGGCACGACGAGTATAACATAGATTCCAAAACTCCAAATACGATTGTAGAGAGAGAACTGACTATCGGATCAGTCGACGATCAGGCCCGGGGAATATTCGATCGATGGATTTCCAGGACTCGGAATTACCGCGGGCCTGCGTATCTTCTGTCCGTCAACCGGGAGTCTTTCTCCCGTCATTCTGCCTCCAATCCCTCTCTGGGCCGCTCTATTACTTTTGGGTGGGCAGCGTACGAAGGAGCCCTAATGGACGACGCTAGTACTAACTTGGTCAAGTTCGAGGAAGCTTGCCTGAGACCGCAGATCACACCCAGTCGACTGCCCCGAAATCCGGTGAGATGCGTCAAGAGAAGCGAGAAAGAGGGAGCGAGAAGAGAGAGAGGGAAATGCGTAGGGCCGTTAGGGTAATCCTGGAATGGCCCCCATCGGACACATCCATGGATAGAGATGGTCGAATAGATCGGATGGGAATTTGGTCGATCAAATTACGAGATCCCTCGGGCAATCGAGACCATGGAATTGGTGAACTGATCGCGTCCGATCTCTCAAGGCGAAACTGGGAGTCCGAACAACCAAGAAAGGCGAGTGGAACAAACCACCATCTCCAGGATTCTGATGAGACTTGTGGGGGTTGCCCATGGCAGGCGTATCGGTACTGTCATGTTATGGAGACGGTCACACCGGAACTGGGTGAATGCTCCCTACTGGAATACTTGAATTGTACTTGGAGTGACTTTTCCATACCTCGTACCGTACCGAACCGTTCTTTGACGACTTCCCTTGGATTTCCCCCCCCCCCCAGCAAGTCACGGCTGAGTCGAAGCCTGAGCCTGCCTTAGTGTCTGTCGCTGTTCTCTCCCCCTCTCGCTTTTCCCCTTCCCATTCTCCATCTCCTATCCTTCACTCCCTTCACCCATATTCGTCGTCGGTTCTCGTTGCTCGGGACCGTGACGCTACCGAAGACCCTGTTTATCTTTATCGAAGTTCGTCCAGTCCGCAGTTCCCAAACATCCACGCCGACTGCCGCCCATTGACCGCCTGCGAATCGTGGTCTGAACAAGGGTTGATCCCCCCCCCCCCGACCGAGGCCACCGGACAACAAAGAAAACGACACATCCACAAAACCTGGGAGGATTGACAAAGGCCGACAAAATATTTCTGGCCCGACTCGACTTCGATCCGGGTACAGAAGGGAGGATAAACCCGTCGATGTACGTCGCACGCCGCAATATTCCGACTTGATCGACGGTGCCGCCCTCTCTCTGGTTCAATTTGCTGACATCGCTGCGACCGATAGAATCCTCTCCTGGAGAACGATAATTATTTCTTAAAGTGTACAAAGTGGCGGCCCGACCACCCATGATGCCGCCTCATAATGAGACGGCTCACTCCGTCAGCCGAATCACCCGCGAGGGTAAAAAGCTTACCTACAATTTGAGTGTGATGCAACAACCTGAACGTGCAAGAGCTTGTGGTGCTGGCGCCAAGTGTAAGTGGTCTGCTTTGCGCGATGATCCCAAGTCCAACCCGACTCTGGGGATGTCCTGTTAATCATCATCATCATCACAAATAGCCTCGGCCGACCGTCGCCCTGTTGACCCTCCACCCGTCGTTGAATTGCGTATTTACGAATCCGATCCTGCCAACGAGGCGCAGAAAACCGATATCACCTTTGCCTATAATGCCAATTTCTTTCTCTATGCAACCTTGGACACGGCACGCCCCGTCGCCCACGGGCGGGTGGCTGGACCGCCGTCGTGCCCCGTTTTAACCGGAGTGCCGGTCGCAGGTGTGGCATATCTCGACCGCCCGTCCCAAGCTGGCTACTTTATCTTTCCCGATCTATCAGTACGCCATGAGGGTCGATATCGGTTGAGTTTCCATCTATACGAAGAGATAAAAGATGCAAAGGATGCCGACCAAGACTCGAACGCGCCCCTACCCAACCAGATCGGCCGGTCCAATGCAGCAAAGCCAGCATCACCACAATCATACCTGCATTTCCGCCTCGAGGTCAAGTCGGTGCCGTTCACCGTTTATAGCGCCAAGAAATTCCCCGGCCTGGCCACCAGCACATCTCTAAGCCGTATCATTGCGGAGCAAGGATGCCGCGTTCGCATTCGTCGTGATGTTCGCATGAGACGCAGGGGTGATAAGCGCGAAGAAGATTACGAATATGATGAAGGGAGTACGGCAGTATACCCACGGTCCGACCGGTATTCGACGCCAGATCGTTATGTCGCACAGACAGTGGAACGCCCTCGGTCAAACAGCAACGGCAGTACGATAGAGTCACCATATGGATTCGGTCCCGATATTCAAAGGCGGCCATCAGGTCCCGACTACGGCTTCCAATGTCCACCACAGCCCTACCAGCGACCTATGCCACCCGCGCCCATGCCTCACACCCAGACCCCCTCCTACCAATCACATCTCTCCTTCGGCTCTACGCCTTCTCACTACCCTGCTCCTCACATGCCTCCAACGCCTCCACCAGTGGCACCACCGGGCAACTACTCACCTCACACCACCTACGCCAACATCCGACACCCCTCAGCTCCAACCGAATACGAAGCTTCGCCCGCAGGCTACCCCATGGCACCTCAAATGATCGAACCGACCGGTTATCCAAAGAACAATGTGACTTCATACCACGTGGAGCCGCCCAAACTACCACAATATATGGTGCCCGATCCGTCTCCATATCAATCTATGCCCCAGGGAATGATGCCCGGCGCACCGACACCGACATCTGGTCATAGCTCCTATGCTGCGCCCCCTGGCAAGAACATGGCTAGTGAATATGTGAACCTAGATTCCACTATCGAGGTTGGCTCACCGAGTCCTGGATACGATGCTGTCTCCGGGAAGCGGATGCTATACCATACCGGACCCGTTGGTGGCAAACGCTCACACGAAGATTCATTCGGTCTTGACGATCGGTCGATGCAAAATGGCATGCGTCCAGATGTGGATCCCTACCCAAGTACCTACCGCGATTTCTCCGCTGAGAGTCGCGCTGCCCTGATGGCCGAGTTGGGTGCGGATATGGCCTACAAGCGTGCGAACGGGAGAATGGTCATGAAAGTTCCTCCAAACGCGTGATAAATTGCCTCTCAGGGAAACGGAAAACAAATTTTCCCGTTTCCTCTTGACAGATGCGTCTTTCACTTCATGATCATTTCGTCTCAAAGCTCGTTTCTCAATCCCGCGGGGTCGGATCAAAAGGGGACTGCTTTTCCCTCCTCCCTTGGGGTTGTTTCTCGCTCCTGGGAATGGGCGCCCTTTTACATTTTCTATGTTTGTACATGAATTCCTTCCCCTCTCTGTGGATCATCCTTGCCTGATGCCTGGATATCTCGATGCATTGCTTCCTCTGGTCCGTTCGTCCACGAAGTCGTTTCTTTTTGTTGAATCCATCCATATTCCACTTGGTCTGCGCGGGAATCGGTTGGTCAATGCCAGGGTGTTTACGGTTGTGTCGGTATTTTCATATCTATTCCCCGATCTGTTTGTTGATCTTTTTACGTATGCCTTTGCCCTGCGCATTCATTACCACCGAGATGATTTGCATTGATATCTTTTTTTTCCGTCGACTCTCCTTTTTTGGACCAGGAGCTTTGCCATGACCTCCTGAATGGTTGTTCCACCGAGGGGAGTCACCCCTTGTGATCTCGATCACTGGATCAAATTCGGCTGTTATGCCCTTGATTAATAGGCTTGCGTTGTTTTTTTTTTTTTTGTTTTATCACGGGCGGTCAAAAGGGTCTCTGTTTCATTTCAGTCTTTATTCAGCGATTGACGTTTTTTGCTGCAATTTTGGGATTTCCTCGAAGGGGAAAAAGGGACTGGGTATATTTATGAAAGTGCATTTCGACGAGACGTCGCGATGTTGGGAATTCCTTGCTTGTCCGTGTTTTCTCCACAGCGATATCGATATGCACCGCTTCTGGAGGACTAGTTTTGGCTGGATATTATGTCCCCTTTGGATCTGTTTGGCGTTGTGGCATGACTTTGATACCTATCCTAGCATTGTTTGGCCGAAATCGGAAAATCTTGATTACTCGATTGAACCACTAACTACTCGTAAACTGCAAGGATTGTTTGTACTAGAGTGATGTCATGGCCTGAATGCCCACAACGCTTTCCTTTCCAGGACTCTCATCACGACTCTCTCCCTCTCCTATGAACTCCGGTGTGATCACATTCCCTCTCGCTCATTCCCCGGAGAGCATTTATGCACGTCCCGTCTGAGACACGCGGAATCCCAGCAAAGGACTCCGATCGATCGGCCCCGCAAGGTGGAATCCCTTTATACCTGGATGTGCCTACATTATTGTTCCTTCGAGAAGAAAGGAGCCATAGTATGTCAATAGTCGATGGGGATTGTGAAGGAACATTCTATACCTAGCTAAGTATTCGCAAATGTCCACAATACCAAGGTAAATGGTGGGTGGATGGTAGTGTTGTCTGGTAGTGAGTACTTCCAGGCGACTTCGGGTGGGTCGGTCCCCACATCAAAACAAACTTCCTCCCTGGGAAAGCGTGGAGTATGTCACAACACGCCAGACCGCTACAGCCCTGTTCTGGACCTTTAATATCTTTGACACACCTTCTGCCCTGGGACACAGTGCTCTCTCTCTGCTGTCTATGGTTTCTCTCATCGGCGGTTTTCTGAATATCTGTTTCCCATGCAGCATTATCTGGTCGGCCCCGTGCTGTACTGAATCTCTCACTCTCTCTGCCCGTAGCACGGACGCGGGGAGTAAGCAGGGATAAGAAAGGACACGCGCCGGCGCAATGGTGAGTGCCCTCCTGCCCTTGCCCTGATGAGTATACTCTATATGGCCTGGTTTAATGGGAGAACCCATATCTCCTGAATACCCGGAAACGGTGAATCTGACTCGTTCGACGCCACCTTTAGCCACCCTCACACCCTGTCGAAATGGATGTCGACTCGAACTCCGCCCAGCAGCGCACTTCACGGAAACACTTGCGCACCAGTGACGAAGAGGATGACGTGTCGGATTCGAGTTCGGATATCTCCGGTCGCTTCGACGATGCTGCCGAGGAGCCCGAGCTTGAGGATTACAAGTCACCCTCAGCCAAGTCGGTGAAACGGCGGCGTTCCAACGATTGGCCTCTACCCGAGGAGGCTGCGGATTATGGACACCACGATCGCCGACAAGGTCGCCATGGTCATGCAACCGGAGGCCCTGCATCGGGATATCGAGCCTCGCCACGGGCATCGCCTCGCACCTCGCTCACATCATTGCGTGGTCGGCATGGGGGTGCATCCACTAATAGCCCCCGTATGAGGCTGGGCCGACGGTCGCGATTCGTCGAGGCGACTATGTCTGATAGTATAAGCGAGAAGCCGCCGAGTATTTTCATGCATGATGGTAAGCCCGTTGGACCGCGGCAACGCCAATCTGGGATCTTTCGATTTGGCAAGGCAATCGCCTCGGCGTTTAATCCGTTCGGGGGCTGGGGTAAGAGCGCTGCAGAGAGTGCCAACCCTCAACCTCCTAAGGATGCTCTCAGCCAGGCGGAGGAAGCTTATGCTGAACTCAAGAAAGCGGGTTACAAGGGCACCAACAAGGGTTCTTATCTGCAGAGTCAAGAGAATGCCAATAGTCGCTGTGCGGTTGACCCGACCCATGCCGATCAGACATGGCAAGCAATCCAAGCAAAGATACATTACGACACGGGTGTGGCTGGTGCTGAATCCTCCGGGGACCGAGTCGAGATCCCTACGCCTTCAAGATCTGCATCCAAATCCTCGAAACGCTCGTCTTTCCAAGACTTGCGGTCCCTGGGACTTCCGTTTATACGGCATCATGATCAGCCGTCGACGACGTCGATCTACCAAGAGCGGACATCGGAGGAGTCGATTGAGAACACTGGTCTACGCAAGCAAAAGTCTCGGAAAGAACTCTCACGCCAGACGAAACTGCTCAAGAAAGTGAGCAATCTCGAAGACAAGCTGGAACGAGCCCGACGAGAGCTTCGTCAACTATCCGGAAACGAGGAACGGCTACCTTCAACGACCCCAGACCGAAAGTCTATGAGCATCGATATGGACCCTGGCAGCTATCCTCGCAAATTCGTGCCCGGTGCTCTTCCCACGCTCCCCTCCGAACGCCTTCTAGACCAACACGGCGCTATCACCGAATCGCCCGAGGCTGTCACTTCCGAACTAACCGCTTTGCCCTCCGTGGAGGGTCGAGGAAGTATGTCGCTCGAAGAATCTCAACCCGCCTACAGCACTGCAGCCTCTCGGTCACCGAGCAGACGACCACGAGACATGCGGTCATCGTCCATCAGTAAGGAAAGCTCTTCCCGCAAACGGAAGTCCCCCGTTCCTGAACATCTCGATAGTCGGACCCCGAAGCCCCTTGAGTCCCGTCTGGCGAACCGCATTGACCTCGACGACCGCCCGCCCGAACACGATGACGACCTAATCGACTTTGGCCTGCTCATCCCACCACGTCAAGCGAAATGGCAGAAATTCGAGGCCGGCGATAGCCCTGGTTCCGTCGAGCGCAAGCGCAATATCGGACCCTCGGCGCGAGACGTACTAGGTTCGATGCACCAACGGTCCCCATCCGCCAACCCGCGAAGATCCTCGCCAGCTATCGCCCGCTCACCAATGTCCAAGCCCGTACGAACCCCTCCTCTCCTGCGCATGAGACGCGGTAATTCCAACATGCGCTCCGTATCCCCTGCTACCGCGACTACCATTCCTGAATCACCAGGTGTGGCGGCTGACGATGTGTTTTCGTCGTCGCCCGTGCCCACCCAAACCATGCATGCGTTCTATCTACAACCAGACTCTCAATTGGATCCCGATCGCAGCCCGCGCGCTTCTTCACCAACAAAGTCTGGTTCGGGTCGGAAGAGAAGGTGGCAGGATAGTGATATTCCTCCGGTGCCGCCTCTGCCAAAGGAACTTTTAATGAATGCTACCAAAGTGAACGCGTCACCATCGAAGAAATCGGGCTCTGCAAAGGAGGGCGACGTGCCGCTCGAGGAGCAGTCAACTTCTGTGCTGAACCTACAACCCTCTGCCTTGGAAAAGTACCCGTGGCCTGATGATATGTTTTGAGATGGACTTGCAAAGAGGAGAGGAGATTTGGATGGATTGGTAAAAATTGAGCGTTGCTGGAGAAAAGTTACGTGATGCTATGATGTTACGACTTCTTATACCCTGGAGTTTGGTTCGGGCAATCGGCTTTGCGTCTGGAGGCTTTTGTAGCAATTCATGATCTGAAGTCTCTCATGCACCATTCACAAGTTATTGTAGGCCTTTAGAAGTTTTTCTAGTTTCTAAATACTAGTCCCGATGAAGTTCAAGATCCTTTGGGAGGAATAGCCAGCTGATTCCTGCAGCAGCGAACAGTCCTACCAATATCGGCTGTAGAACCTTGACGCCGACCTGGGCGGCAATGACACCGGTGATGGCGGGGAATATAGACCCGCCGATTTGGCCAAGGACGAAGACGAATGCTGGCAGAGTAAGGATATTTGCAAGGAAGATTGTTTGGGAATTGGTGTATGCTTACCGATCGCCGAGGAGGCTATTTCTGGAGGGAAGATCTTGGACCCGACAGAGATGCCCTACATGGCATAATTAATGAGAAGCAATTCCTACTTGTTATAAAGCAAATGGAAAGTACATACAGTCGCGAAGAAGGGACCGGAGAAAAAGCCTAGAAGACTCACTGCAACGGCCTCGGTGATGATATTTGGAACCCTGATATCACCAATTAGCATGCATTCAACAGGATTCGGTTATCCAGAATCAGAAGCTCACAGCCAGAACACAAGTTGCAATCCAACACACAGCACGGCGTATAAGAATATCATACGACGTTCTCCCAACCGATGAGTTGGCTCTGCAAGAAGCAGACGACCTAAAAACCCACCCCCAGCTAACCCGGCCGGGACATAACCCATATCTTTGAGATCTCCATTGCGGACCTTGACGAGGTACTCGACAATCCATCCACCGGCAGTAATAGCCGCACCAAGGAAGAAAAAGAAGAACAGACTCAACAACCACACCCCCGGCAAGGAAAGCGTGGCCTTGATCTCCTTCCATGCAGTCTTCCCCTTGGACTCTGATTCTTCGCTCTCGGCAGTATCCGATCTCGCTTTCCTCTTCGGTGACAGGACCATTCGATCATGGAACGATGCGCACACCAAACCCATATTCATGACTCCAATCCCCAATGGGAAAATGTAGAATAGATTCCATTTTGACGGTGTGGTAGCCGATGCTACGGCCGTTGCGACAAAGGGTCCAACTAGACAGCCGCCCATGTACATGGCATGTATGAAGCCGAGCCAGCGATGGGCTCCGCGCACGGAAGTTACAAAGGTATTCGCGTGCGTATCATTGTACGCTTGGCCGAGACTTACGAGGAAGAATGTTACCGCGTAGAGTGGGAAGGGAGGGAGCCAGGAACGCAAGATGTGGGCGAGAACTTGTAGGGCGGCTCCGAGGAGAAGAATCATGCCTAGATCGAGATGTTGGCAGATGAAACTGTTGGATATCGCGGCGAGGAACCAGCCGAAGAATGTCACGCCGTATCTATAGGGAGGGTTGTGAGTATGATTGATGTTTTTTTCTTCATGTAATGGATCAGTTGGCGGACCTGATCTGATCACTTACAGGATAGCGACCATATTCGTGTCAATTGAATAACTGCGTATCACGTAGGGAATGAGTGAACCGAGACTGCCATCGTTTACCCCAGCTACGAAAAATGAAAATCCTGCGCTGATGATCTTGGGATACTGCCATTTTTGCTGTCGTGGTTCTTCAGCCTCTGACTCTCGTGGGATAGTCGGTTCCTTCGAAGTCGACTTAGCTGGAGGTCTAGCTTGGAGGACAAAAGTCTCCGTATTGGTTTGAGTCTGCGTGGACATCTTGGGAGGAAGTTAAAGGGACGTGCCTGGACCAAGACGCTGATATTAAACCGAAGGAAGGGTGTTCTTTCAAAGCATGGAAGCCATTGATGAGTCTTCGGGGAAAAGACCGACGGCAGTTCGGGCCGGCCTTGCAGCTGTAAACTCCACACTAGCTTGCGTTCACTCCTTCAAAATTTCTCATATTCTCGGAGCTTTTCACAGCGTGGAAAACGTGGACTTGTGTTGTCGAGCGGAAAATGGGGAAGCTCTGGTTGCAACCAATCGGGGTTTCTTAGACTGGCGGGGTTGCTGGCTGACCTGCCGAATTAGGATAACGAGGCCATTCGGATCCACTTGGAGACTTCCCTTGCTCTGGTCCCTGTAGGTGCGAATGGAGTACTAAGATGTAGGAATTGGTCCGTGTCTAATCGAGAAGTCCAAGTCATTGTCTAAATGTTAAATTATCTGCTATGGATCAAGTTGCTATGCACGCGATCTAATTCTTCTATGCTTCACCCTCCGACCTATAATCTAACTACAAAACTAATCTATACCACCCATTCAGACGGCTCGGCCCAGCTGCTTGGGGGTAGTGATTGGGACCCCCAAACTCTTTGCCGCGCGATACACCCAGTCTGCTTCACGAAGGAACTGGCGAGCCAATAGAACAGCATCAGCTTGGGCGTCCGATCCTGCGACCATCGATTCAGCGGTATGTGCCTCGTCGATATCAGACCCTTGCACAATCTGGCTTGCGGCAGTTGCCTCCGTGATCAATCCAACTGCTCCAATCAAGGTCTTTTGTCCGGATTGCCGGATTTCTTTCCGGATGCGGCTCGCAAGATCGATCTGGTAGTTGGTGTGAGGTTCGAGTACCTGATCTTTATGATTACCCCCAGAGCTGACATCGAGGAAGTCAATGCCAATCTCTGGAAGAATCTTAGCAAGCTTGATAGACGACTCCAAGGTCCAGGATTCAGAGAATTTGTCCTCAAGCCACTCCGTCGCACTGATGCGCAGGAATAAAGGCATGTCCTCCGGAATAACAGCACGGATAGCAGCCGAAATCTCACGAAGGATCCTCGTCCGGTTCTCGAATGTGCCGCCGTATTTGTCCGTGCGCTTGTTGGTCACCGGGCTCAGGAATTGGTTGACCAGATAGCCATGTGCGCCGTGGATTTCGAGCGTATCAACACCTGCTTTCACAGCCAACTCGGCACTCTTAGCAAATGCCTTCACCACATCCTCCACTTCTGCAGTACTCAGCTCTCGAGGAGCCCAGAAACCATCACCGGGTGCCCAGATCTGTTCATCACCACCGGATGGCCCGACAACATCATGCGGCCAGCCACCGACGGTCTGATCAGCTCGAAGACTCCGTTTCCCAGCCTCCTGGGCAACCCATGGCGGCATGCTGCTCGCCTTGCGACCCGCATGAGCCAACTGAACCGCAATCTTAGCACCTTGACTATGAACAAAGTCAACGACACGCTTAAGCCCCTTGAATTGCTCCGACTCTGTGCCCTCTTGCCAAAGGCCCGAATCGTTGGGTGAGATACGACCATTCGCCTGGACAGCAGTTGCCTCGACAATGACCAGGCCTACGCCCTTTAGAGCGAGGTGACCGAGATGAGCAACGTGATAGTCCGTCAAGGCTCCGACAGAAGGCGAGGATGGGTCTGATTGGCACGAGTACATGCACATGGGAGCGACGATGATTCGGTTTTTCAGCGCTAACTGGCGAATTTGGAGTGGGCGGAATAGAGTTGGCGTTGCCGGGCTTTCTGGCTTGATTGCTGCCCCGCCATTGTTGGCTGGTGTGAAATACGGCAGGCCCTGGTAAGGGATGACCCCGTTTTGGTCATTCGCGAGAGAACCCATGGCGGGATGTATTGTCAAGGTGCTAGGAATTCGGAGGTAGAAATGAAATCAAAAGGATCGGGAGCGAAGTTACAAGAATGATTGCCTGCAATTATGGCCATGTCGACATTGATATTCTTTTGAATCTATCCTGTCCCCACTCTCCACCAGGGTCACCTTGAATGCTTGGTAATCATTGAGCGTGGTGAAAGTTAAATCCTTTCGGAATGCGCCAATAAGCGGCTGTGAATTCTTCTGAGGGCTCATTTGTCAGCGCGATGGTCATCCACGAATTGGGGCCCGGGTAAATCGGCTACAACTTTGGGTACTTCTCGGATCAAACCCGAATCCTCTACAAGCACGGAGTATAGATCTCTCCATGACGCTGCCGTGAAACATACCAACCCGCAACGATGATACAGTATGTGACGAATAGCTTAATCATGTCAAGTAATGCTTTGTAATGTAAAAGTCCAAATTAGTTCGTCATAACCCTTGGCCAACGACCGTTCAGCGTCATCTCATGTAATTCACTAAGAACATTTGTACACTAAGAAAAAATGGAAGCGATCCGACCTCGCGTTGTAGAATCCAGATGTAGCAGCTCATGTTCTCAAAATATACGCCAATTGGATCATTCGCCTGATGTGCAGCATGACCTCTCCTTTCGACTCCGTTTATCAATATATCAACATGTGGAAGCACAATGAGCAGTAATCTCGGCGGGCAAGGCATCAATGGGATGAAATGTGTTCCTTTTGATCTTTAGCGGGGTATAGAGATGGATACAAAAGTACTTTGATCACGTAATATATGACACTAACTTACTAGCTAATCGCCTAAGCTACAAAGCCAGTAGCAGGCCAGCGCCCAAGATACCCGGCAGCAGATTAGGGCTGCCGGTGGGCAACGCTGCCAGGCCCTTAGAGGAGGTGCTAGTAGCACCACCACTCTTGGCCGTTGCAGTCACCGAACCGGTGATATAAATAGTGGTTCCTTGAGACCCTGATCCCGAGGAGCCCGAGCCTGTGCCAGTTGCAGCAGCTCCGTTACCCGTCGCTGAAGTGACAGCAGAGGGCATAAGTGTCGCACCCGGGACGGCAGCCGTACCTGTGCCAATCTCTAGGATGTCATCCTTGCCGCCATCGTAGTTGGCGTTTGCGAGCGAAATCTCGTTATTGGCGAGATCGTAAACCACATAGGCGCCACGCAAGAATGGGTCGCCCATCAGATTCACTCCGGGTTCACTGTATGTCAATCCAAAGATGCAGGCGTTGTCGGGGAATCCGGTCTCGGTGTAACCTTCGAACACCAGTTCACTGAGGGGAATAGTGACGGTGGCGCCCGAGAAGCTAAAGGTCACATTGTAATCGGCGTTGGCCTGATCACAGGGAATATAGGCGGCAGCGGCGCTCGAGGAGTATCCGGCATCAACTTCCTTGAAGATGGGATCCAGAATTTCCTTTGGCAGTGCAATCATAGGACTTCCGTTATCCAAGCTGACGGCCAAGGGAAGTCCCGTTGTATAACTCTTGGAGCCCTCGGAGCCCTTCACAGAGATATCTGTCAAGGCGATGGCCAGGGAACTATACTGACCATAGACGGGCAAGACGGGCACGGTTTGTAGCTCGCCTTGATATTGTGCTTTGTTGACACCTCCAAAGAGAAGGTTTCCAGTGCCATCGTATTTGTTCAACCACAGACTATAGGCAGCCGACTTGATAGCACCGCTTTTGACGAGTGCTTCGGGGAGGTTATCGTATTTCTTGCCAAGGTTCGCGGCGGCATCAGTAGCAGCCGAATAACCTATTCCTAGAATACCATCTGCATTCGAACATCGATAAACCCGCCATTAGCTAGATGCAATTTTTTTCGGATCAAGGGAAAGAAAATATCATAAACGTACGGGGATTTTTGCTTTCCTCGGCCAATGCGAACTCCATATTTTTCACCGTCGCACCTCCAATAGTCAGCGTGTCGGTGGCGTAGGGGCCTGCAGCCAAAAAGGAATCGACATAGGTGGCGTTCATATCATAATCTAGTATTTTGAAGGTGGAGGAGTCTTTCAGGTTGAACACGCCGGTCGAGGTGCAGGGATCATCATCAGCCGCACAGTAAGTAGAGTTTGGGACGTTGACCCAGATGTCGCTGCTGCCAGTATCGAGACTCAGAGAGACATTTTGGGCCGGGGTGCCGACGGTGATGTTCACCATATAATACATGTTTTGCTATCCGGGCTTTTAGTATGAATTTTCATCATCTGCTGCGGGTGCTCTCTGCATCGAGACTTTCTCTTGCTTTCATTCTCTGCCCACAATATGACCACCGAAAGGAACCGAATTCATACCACATTGTATAGAGCCGTGCTGGCAACTTTGGAATCGCGTTTTTGTAGTGCTTGGGATCGTTCACTGCGGGCGATCGCAAGTCCGAAAACGGCAGGATCGTCCCGCTTGTGTAGGGTAATGGCATTGGCACATGGCAGAGCCACGGCAGCTAGCGACAGGAATGAGGCTCCGCGCATGATCACCGCTGCACGGCTGCCGATCGTGATGGAAATTGTTCCGGGTATAGGCGACTGATATATCGTAAAATAGGCCACAAGGACCTCTAAGGCAGAAAAAGGAGGAGGAGGAGGAGGAGGAGGTAAGTTCTATAAGCTGCGAATATGGAAATTTGAACAGAAATGGGGGCGAGGGATAAATAAAGTAGGCTGTGTACCCTTACAAGTGTAGCCTCGCTGCCTCTTCGCACTTGAGTCACTACAGCAGCGCTAAGACTTTGCTAACGATCCCGATCCTACCTTTTAGCGACCCTCCAGCGAACCGGTGGATATTATCCTTGGGTGATGTCTCTCCACCACCGAGAAGGGCCAATCACCATCTACCGGCAATTTCCCATGCAGACCTAGAGGCAGACTAATGAGGGAGAGCCAGGCATCATGCGCTCGCCAAATGGGTAAATGGAGTTTGACGGAGGTGAGGTCCAAGGTTAGTCTAGTGTCATCCGAAAGTAGCGAGAAGGAGCTCGGAATTGGACAAAGAAGATATGCAAGTATCCGTTCTTAACCCCGATTCCCTGAATCTCAGGGAAAGTGGGGGCGGAGCAAGGCTTGTAGCCCGAAAGTCCCGGTGATTATGAATTTCGGTTTGAGCCCCCATCTTCTGTCAACACTTTGTCTCTTATGGAGACAGAATTGGCCAATTCCACCTTTGCCGAGTATCCGAGTCATATTTGTCAAGCCTCGTAGGATAGAGGATGTGTTTGCAGAACAACCGATATTGTTTCTACTCTACACTCTTAGACCTCGTGGCCGACCGTGTGGATTTCTTCTGGCCTAATTAATCCGTTCTGCCCTACCGACAGGGGTACTGTCAGTTATCGTGGCCTGAACAGTAATCATCACTCTCCTTCGAACGACTTGCCAAAGTCTATACCTCGTGCGAGGTAAAGGATAGCCTCGGGTTCTCTACTAGACGGCCTCGATTCGCCCCGCGCCTTACTTCATAATGTCTATACCGACCATGCCAAACGATGTCATACTCCTAATTGGGCAGCAATCACAATCCCAAGCAGACCTGCACGCGCTGGTACGCACTAGTCGCTGCTTCTATCTCCTGTTGAAGCACCTCTTATATCAACATAATCTCAACTATCACGATGGAGACGGTATCCTTCAAGCAGCCAAGCTCGGGTCAATACCTGCGGTAGCTCAATTCATCAAAGAGGGATATCCGGTGAAAGATCGACCCTCCCATGAGGGGGAACACCCGCAAGTATCTGGATTTACAATTCCCAGCCCTTGCACATGTTATATGGAGCATCCTATCCTTTATGCTGCCGAATATGGTCATACGGAGCTTGTCCGGTATCTTCTCGTCTCATGCCCAGGACCAGAAGAATTTAAGAACAACCTAGGTGAAACACCTATACATCTAGCAGCGAGAAGCGGATCTCTCTCGGTCATCAAGGCTCTGCTCAATGAGGGCGGGGCGAAGGTCTCTATGCTTGACACCAATTTCACCCTAGCCCCAATTAAAGAGGCTGCAGTCAATGGACACACGCACGTGGTCGAATATCTACTATTAGATACTCTGAATAAGCACGACTATGCTTCATCTTTGCTTCCATTTGCCGCTGCATCTGGAAACATAGCACTTGTATCAATGCTCCTTGATCTGGGAGCACAGATCAATCATAAATACGTGGAACGACAGGCGCCTAGAAAAGCTCTTAATTCACGAGGACGAGGTTATGAATCAACTGCGTTATCGGTGGCAGTAAGTTATGGCGATGTAACCATGGTGAAACATTTACTTAGCCATGGCGCTGATGTGAACCTTCAAACGGGATTTCGTACTCCGGGGAGAACTCCTTTGTACATGGCACTTGAGAAGAACGACAACGAAGTCGGGAAGGTACTTCTGGCTCACGGCGCCGACACCGACGATGAACATGTCCGTGAAGCCATCTACCAACGCAACAAGATAGCGCTGAAAATGCTCCTCGCCAAGCATAAGATGTACGAATGCCCAATCAACCTCTTGGACGTGGCAGCAGCGACCGAAGATACAGAAATATTCCAAATCCTCTTAGATGCAGGATTCAACGAGGAAGCGGCCCTTTTAGAAGCCATCAACCGCGGCCAGGAAGAAATCGTCACCCTCCTTCTAGCCCACGGAACGGACCACGACTTGCCAAGTCTTTGTAAAAGTGCAGTCGGAGTAGTCATTGCTAATCGTGATGTTGGCCTTATGAGGGTATTACTGCGCTACGGGGCTCATGCTTACCCTGAGGACTTGGAAGCCGCTAGACTCTTTGCCCCCGAGCATATTTTGAAGCTAGCAGAGAAGTTTCCCCTTCATTCTCGTCGCAAGCGAGATATGTATCCCGGGCCGTTTGTTGCGTACAATGCCTCGCAAGAGGGGTGGCTGTTGGTGGATCAGGACTGGGGTTCAACGAGGAGGAGGCTTTGGTAGGGACAGTTACAGTAGTATGTTTAGCAGGGATTTATTACCTGGAAAGCGACGAAAATTATTTACTGATACTGTTGTTGACAATTTTACTAAATTAAGATACGAAAAGACGAAATTAATAATGTAATTAGCAAAGGATAAGTTAGAGGAAGGAGAAATCGTGAGGATATCCTTTAGATAGCACGGGGATACCTGCGGCAGCTAGCATGAATCAACCAGAAATCAGACATTACACAAGTGAATCGACATCCCGACAGATCCTCCTTGACTCTTGCAAATTCATATAAGAGTGAATATCGGATTCACCCAATTAAATTCTTTACATCCTTGTATTTCGTCCGAGCGACCCTCAGCTCGACTCTTTACCATCGGAGTCATCGGCAGTGGCAATGATCGCTGGGGGCTTGGGGATGTTCTGGCGGAAGATGTGGCGCTTGATAAAGTAAGGAAGCCAGACGGTCAGCTCATGGCTGATGAACTTGCTGGTGGGGACGGAGAAGACCTCTGTGGGATATGTTAGCGGGAGTCAGGGTGATTCGAATCGGGTTGTCACTTACGGTCCAACTCTTCCAGGGTGAGTTGTTTGGTTTCTCTGACGAAGCAGAAGATCATAAACCAAGCGACGAGGTTGAGACCGGCGTAGAAGCCGACTATAGCTGCGATCAGTACTTAATCAAGGTGATAATCTTTGGTGGATACTTACACGCTCCAGTGGGGGTCATGACGGTCTTCATGCGAGGGAAAGTCAAGCTAAGAATGCCAGCTACAAACAACGTCAGCCAAACTGAATTGCAAGATTTAGAGCTTGGCGGGCTTACCGAAGGTGTTGTTGATGCAGACGGCCCAAGCCATGCCTTGCTCACGCTGGATCGTGGGGAAGACCTCGGCAGAGTACTGGAAGGCCACAGGGCCTTCACCCAGCGAGTAGCAGATCGTGAACAGGTAGACGAACCTTTGACAAATTAGTCAGATGTTGCCGGAATAAAATTCACGCCTGGAGAACTTACAGCACAACGGGTCCAATATGCTCTCCTCGGCTTCGGTTGTCGTCCGAGTTTAGAAGAGACAGACCTGCAGCCAAGAGGAAGATACACATCAGGGGGAAAGTCTACATGGAAGGAACTGTCAGTTGCAAGCTAGCCATATCTTGGAGAACAGTAACAAACGCACAATCAGGGTCAAAGTTCGACGACCCTTTGTATCGATCAAGAACAAGGTAGGGATTGTCGACACGACCTGGATGGCACCGTATCCGAGGGAGGCGTACAACGCCTGGACTGCGGTGTAGCCAACATTTTCGAAGATAGTCGAACTGTAGAACGAGATAACTACAAATTGTCAGATATAACCATTGATCAAGAACAATGGGCATCAAGAACAATGGGCCCACTTACTGTTGATACCACACATTTGCTGGGCAATCATGACAGTCGAAGCACCGTAGTTGGCCCGTCGAATTCTGGGCACGGTGAACAAGTCCCGCATACGGGAGAAGTAACCTGCACCACGCGCCTCCTTCAATTCCTCTTCGTAGATAACCCACGAGTAATAGAAGTCTCGTGCACCGATGATGGGATGGGCGCGGAGACGGCACATCGACTTGAAACCTTGGGCATGCTTGCCATGCTTCATGAGCCAACGAGGAGATTCGGGACAGAAGAAAATGCCAATCATCAAGATAAACGATGGAATGAAAGCCGAGCCAAGTTGAAGGCGCCACGAGATATCCCCAGTGTCCTTGACGATGACGTTGGCACAGAAACCCAAGAAGATACCGGCCACAACCCAAAGCTGCCAAAACATGACCAAAGCACCACGAATCCGGTGAGGAGCCATCTCAGCTGAGTAGATAGGTACTGTGGCATTCTTCGCACCAATACCAATGCCCATGATGAACCGTGCAGCAAACAGTCCCTCCCATGTCTTTGCAAATGCCGAACCGATAGGGGTCGCAGTGAGACACGCAGCGGTCAAAAAGATCTCACCTCGTCGACCAAGGTAATGATTCAGGGGATCAACAATGAATGCACCACTAAATGCAAAATCAGTCTTCGTTTCTTGGTAATTGAATAAAGGTCTGAGTTTTACACTCACATGAGACCAGCAGTCAAAAAAATGATGGAGTTGACGAGTCCGACAATCCACTCGTCACGTCCCGTGCCATTAATACCCAGTGCCTCGGGGAATGACAAGTTGGCTCCGTTCGAGCCAGTCTGATCCCAACCTTGTGTAGCAGCGCCAACGGCACACAACGCGATCGAGTACCACAGCATGAACGGGCCGTGCCACTTGTGGTTTCGTTCGTAGATCAGGGCGGTCCGCTCGTCCTCGCTCAGCACAGTAATATCTTCAAAGTCCTTGGGGCTTCGAGCAACCAGGGCAGCGCGGCCAAACAGGTCAGCGTGCTCAGACATCCCGTGTTGCTCAGCGAATCCGCGGGCATCTTCGTAAACTTGCTCCTTGGGATAGCGCTGAGTAGAAATAAGTTGTTAGTATGGCTGTATGGCTTTCCGATGCTGCGTGACAAGATCAGTCTTGGAATCAAGCTTGGTAGAGCTTACCTTTAGGGGGTTCACGACGATGTTCAGGGCAGCAGCATGGCCGGACGGGCGTCTTTCCTCGGCCTTCGTGGGCGCAGGCTCAGTCACGAACTCATCGTGGGCAAGAGGGTCTTTGGTGGACACGACTTCCTTTTCGTTCATATTGGGCGAGGATGTATGTTGCCAAGGTGGTAGGATCGAGAAGAGCAGTTGGCAAAAGGTAGGCGAAGCAGGTGACGCTGCAGCTCTAAGAAAAAGCAAACGCAGTGAAGCCTTATCTCCCAATCTTTGTTTTCTTCACTTCAGTTGGCGCACAAAACCCCGTGGGGGAATCAAACATTTGGCGACCCCACTGCATTTAAAGCTTCGGTCTTTGACCACGCCGTCCCGTGGGGTAAAAGTGCAACCATTGCTCTACGCCCAGAGCGACGGACCAAAATCAAGCAGTCACACTGGCGCCATCCGAGTGTCCCCTCCTACTGGATGGCTTGCTTCCCTCGGTCCCCGCACGGGCTGGATTCTGGTCAGCATTAGGAAAGTATTCAAGAGGATCAGAGCACGGCCCGGTCAGCCCAAGACTCCGAGTCAGCCAAGGATAAGCCACTGGGCGCCCCATCCTTGTTTAATTGCGCCATCCTTCAATATGGGATGTTCTGGCAAACGCAATGTCTAGAGACTTTGCTAATGACCGATCTTGCTAGACTTGCACTTGATATCGAATGACTTCCATCAAAGTCTACATTCCATGACCAGTGAACGACGTTGACGTTGCGGCATCTGCCACGCTGTCCGGGACGGGGCCATGTGGTCAAGGATTGGAAGGTCTCGTCCCCCGTCGCCCCACCGACTGGGCTCATAGCGTATGCGGGGGAGAAAAAAGCCCTTCAGGTGAACTCCGAGGCCAAGAGCTTAGGCTGGGCAACTCGCTAAAAGCTTCTCATTGGTTGAATTCTCGACTGGGACGCCTTTTCCGGCTGAGCGGGTGAATCGAACTCGGATCCTACGGCAAACGCCCAGCTCTTGCTGCGCATACGACGCTCATGGGGCGTTAGAAGCAGACTCATCCATTGCTTCCGGTGGTGAACATGATCAGGACGTGCCAACTTGCCCAAATCATCGAGGCTCTCTGGCAGCATTGACCATCAGCGACCGGCACATTCAGCCCCATGACTCGGGGGGCTTCGGTTAGATCGCTGGTACCCGGCAGATAGGCGTTTCAAAGGTGGCTTGGTGGCTGAACTTAGGTTACATTTGAAAACAAGTCTATACAACAGCAAGGGGGAGCTCCCTCCTTCCACTGACGTCTTTCGCCATGCACCATTTCCTGAGCGGGGAACGATGCTATCATTCAATTGGCCCGCAACATTGGACTGGTCAGCCCATGTGGCTTACTGTTTGAGAAGCGCGTGAAAGGAGAATTTTTTTAGGAGCCTCCGGTTTTGGCCTCTGTGCATGATCAGCGGTCCTGAATTTATCCGGGAGAAACACGGGCTTTGGCTTCCTAGGTCAGCCTCTCTGCTAAGTTAAAACCAAGCGAAGAGTCATCACAAATCTTGGTAATGCCCAGGCTTGTGGGAGATAGGATCTTAGCACATCTCATCTGACCAATCTAGATCATCTAGCATAGAAAGGAAGGTTTCAAAAGGATCCCCGCAATTTTTCTTTTGGACAGCGGAGAAAGTCTAAAAAATAAAATAAAATAAAGCGGTTCAAAGAACCACCAAAATCGAAGAGAGGGCACTGATTGACATCCATGTCTGCCTCAGGCAATATGTCACGGTCCTCGTCAGAAACCTTGACTGGGACTTACCATCAGTCTCTTGTAACCGTCAGAGCAAAGTCAGTATTCTAGCACAAAACCCGTTGATAAACCTTCGCCTAGTACTTTTGCAGTATCTTGTAGTTGGACGAATCAAGTACACAGATAAGAAATCAGTACCATAATTACCAATAAGGTTTATACTACTTTACAGTACTACTATATAGAAGATCCATATAAATCACTGCTGCAACCGGCAATTGAAGATCATTCAGGTGATCACAAAGTTGATCTAGATTCTTGATAGAACCTATATGAATTACCCACACAAGCGCTATGGATAAGCAAGACAAGAATACTAGAACACACAGACACGGTCAACCCGGAGAACAACCATACTCATTTCGTCAAGAGGATCCGGATTCACGAGCCACAACTTTAAAGACGGGACTAGGGCTTTAGGCGATCAGACAAATCTTTGTTGGAAAAATAAATTGCCATTACGTTTGCCTATGATACCAGTTTGCAAAGAATCAAGGGCTCCTATTCGTTAGCACTACCGTTTATCAAAATTCATTTCTGTGAACATACATGCTGCCAAATATGAATCGCATTTTAGGGCTTGGATTCCCTTGCCCTCATCAGGCAAGCACCGTGCAGACTTCCCATCTTAAGAATGGACAGATGTGCAGTCTGACTTTTATGCTACGATTAATTTCGATGTCCCCAATGGGATTGAGACTGTGACGATGAGGCAATTACATGAGAAGAATGGCCTGCAGCGATGGGATGAGATCTGGGTGGTGGGCGATCATGTCACATGGGCTGGAGAACCATCTAGTTATACCGTTGATCGGGGCCCCGGACAATTGCCTACCGGCCATGCCATCCAGGCGACCTCCAAGGTCGAGCATGGCCAGGCGGTAGTCGTCGGACCAGACAGTGCGGCCGTTATTGTAACTCTCGACTAATGTACATGGCACGTTTGCAAGCATCTCAGAGACTTGGGGCCTTGATATGATATCGGATTGGAATCATTAATTCCAAATTGGGATTTAATTCGTATGAAATTCCGGCGCGCTATCTACAAAATAGCAGTCGCATTTGCATGCGAACCAACTCCACCTAGAACATCACTAATGTTAGCACCATACACTAACAAACTAGAGCAGGGGGTTCTTACCAGGCATATTCGCAGGGGCGCTCGTCATGAAAAACGTCCACTTGCCACGCTCCCGACACTTCTCTGCCAACTTCTCCAGATCCCACATCTCCCCAATAGGACAACCCCAGAGCGCCAAAAGGCTCTGGTGCAAGAAGTCCATCTGCGGAACGGGCCACACCTCGAATGTCGGCGAATCACCCGCCACGCCCGCAAAGTAACAATCATGTAGCCAGTCCCGCACGGCTTGTTCACGGGAGACGCCTGCAAAGGCTAGATCATCGTGAGAGCGTGTCGCTGCCGTGTAGCGTTCTTCTGAGCTGATTTGGTGGTACTTTTCGACGAAGCCGGAGCGGATCAGTAGGAAATCACCGACACGGATGTCGCCACCCTCGGATTCGGGGCGGATGTCGAGGCCTTGAGAGGCTGCACAGGCTTTCAGTTCATCCAGAGTAATGGCGTGGGATGTGTATGGGTCGTACGGCTTGTTATGGGTTAGAGCGTAATGGCGATAGTCGAGAAGGACGCCCCGGCCCGCGATGCCGTGTTCTGCCCAGTGATGGATACTGCAGCGGAGGTTTGGGGTTTCGCCGAAGAAGTCTTTGCTGGTAGCCTGTGAGTGGGTGTTAGCTTGAAAGGGTGAATGAGAAGGCACGGTAAGGGGTTACCTTATTATAGAACAGCTTGGTAGGGATGTGGGAGAACTTGAACCTAGTCAGTGATTGAGCTCGTAAGATCTGCTTCATATCTGAGACTTACATGGCGGAAGCCATCCCATTGAGTGCCGCTCTGAGTGTTCAGAGAGTAGCAGTCATCATATGAGATATCCTCGGCGATGGTCTTGTAGCTATGCTGAAAAGTCTCGCGGTCGAAAGCGGGTTTTTCGGGCACGTCTAGAGGAAGACTATGGAATTGTTAACAAGGGACCGTCAGCGTATCTTCAAACATTCTCTGAACTTACTCCAATCGCACCATCTCTCCGGTGAGTATCTCCTTCGCAGATGCCTTGACACGCTGTGGTGTCAACAGGTTTAGTCTTCCCAGCTAATGAATCTCGTTAGCGTGTTGATATAAACAGCAATCAATTCACTGTACAGCTATACCTGATCATCTTCTCCCCATACCCAAGCCGCGCCCTCGGGTGCACCAGGCAGCTGAGGCAATTCCTGCCGTGAAGGGAACTTGGTACAATTAGGGTTCCAGGGCAACTGTCCCGGGGCTTGTGTAGTCTCAGTCATTGTATCAGATGGTCTTTGCTGACCTATATGACCAGATATCGCTGAAAGTCTCTTGGGGGGGCTCTGGGATACCATTGTGGTTAAAATATATGAACGGCTCGAGGGAAAGATAAACTCAAATTGAGCTGCTCCAAGATAAGGACGTGCATAGCAAACTTTTTATATGGCAAAAGTGGATTGATCGGCTAATGAGTGCGGGGAGAAGGTTTCTTCGCTCAGTCTTCCAGCCGAGGATAGATGATGGGTGGGGTTATTCCATCAGCTACGAAGGGGATATCCCGAGGCTAGACTTGCGCATTGTGTTCTGGCCAGCTTTTTTTGAGATTGTCAAACTGTTGATACGTCCGAGTTGATGCTCTTTCCACTCGGTACTAAACACTATCGTCCTTGTCTTGCGGACAGGATCGCTGTGACAGCATTTAGCTATACATAAATCACTTGCGGACAACTCGAACTTCGCCGGAGATATTCGTGCTTCTCCGCATCCTCTCCCCACTATGACGTCCCACATTCTGCAGAGAAACAAGCGCCCGCCCAACGGGGGACAGCAGGAAGAAGAAGGAACGCTAGCTTCGTGTGACATTTGTACAGTAGCTCAAAAGCTTATATGGTTCATAGAACGACCTGCCAAGTACAGAGCAAAGGGAGATCATGTATAGACCAGAACGGTCCTCTTTTTCCTTTTCAAGTTATTGAACGGAGTCTTCCTCCGGATAATAATATCCTTTATGGTACATTTGCATGAAAACGGGCCAAACCTCAAACTAGAGCCGACCGTGACCGAAGTACCATGTGCTTCTGTCCTGTATTGACGTTGTGCACATCAAAGTCTCCCCACATCGTATCACCTGCTGGAAAGCCATCACACAAAAGATGGTAGATATCCGCCTGGAACTAGATGGATATCAGGAGCCGACGCTGAATAAGGGGGGTATGCTTTACAGAGAAAAAAGAGATCGGAAATCCAAAAAAAGGAGAAACATAAAACACCAGTTGCTGTCGCAGAAAAAAAGACATTGTCATATTGCCATCCCAGAATGCCCCATACCATGATTATTCCCATTGCGCCAAAGAGACGAGAAAGATCCAAGCATAGTCAATCATTTCGTTCATAGGTCTGGTCAACCCACGAGGTGAACAGAGGAATGGAGAAGAGGGAGAAAAAAAAGAAAAGGAAAGACATTGCAATCATTTCGAAGAGTGCAGAATGGCAGATGGCTGGAGTTAAACCTGCGAGGGCACACCGGTAGATTGCGAGGGAGGGCGACCGCCGCGGGAACCACCGCGGCCACCATAGCCACGATTGTTGTTGAACCCGCGACCACGACCTCCATAACCGCGGCCACCCCGTTGGCCACGGCCATAACCACGTCCACGTCCGCGGTAGCCATCAACGCTACCTTGTCCGAAGGTTTCAATGTTGCGCTTCTCTTCCTCACCACGCCATTCGCGGCCGCCAACGCGAGCGGAATTCTCCTCGCGGTCACGAGCCTCACTAGAGATGTTATCGAAGAATGATGTGGAGCGATTGTAGAGATTGTGAGAAGTGGCGGCCGCAGAGTCATTGGCTTCGGCCTCGGGCTGGTGGGCGAGATCGTAAGCTTCAGCATCAGCGGCGGGGGAGCCAGTGGCAATAGCCTCCTTGATCAGATCCTGCTTGTTGAATTTGGCGTTGGCGGTTGCAAAGTCATAGTCGGACTCGGGAACTTCGATCTTCTTGTGGGGGGCGCGAACACCACCGCGACCTCCACGAGGGTGCTGCTGGTACTGCTGGTGTTGCTGGTGTTGCGGGTGCTGCTGGTGCTGCGGGTGTTGGTGATGACCACCACGCGGAGCACGAGGTCCGTTGTAGGGTTGCATATCGTTCATCTTGCGTGCAAGAGCATCAACCGAGGCGTCCTGGCCGGGCTTCTTCTGAGCACCAGGCTGAGGCAGCTTGGCCATCGCGGCCGCAACGGCCTGAGTTGCCGCGGCGGTGGCATCGATCGGAGCTGCACTAGAGGCGGGAGCGACAGACCGGGGCGCAGCAATTGGGATAGCTGGCATGACGCGGCCAGACTTTTGGGCGGCAGCAGCGTGTCCAGATCCATGCACGGCCTCGGCTACAGGGGGCTTGGACTCAATGGGCGGAGTAGGCGCATTCTGGGCCGCAGGAGTCGCGTTGCGGCTAGTGGGCTTCTGGTCTCCACCAGGCAGCTCGGAGGTGGCTTGAGGGGTGGGCACACCAGGAGGGCCTGGACGCTGCTGTGGTGGCTGTCCTGGCGCACTGAGGGGCATCTGAGGAGGGAACTGACCAGGCCCACCGGGAGGAAAGCCATGGCCAGGAGGAGGGAACCAGCCGGGGGGAGGAGCGCCAAACGGCATATTGCCAGGGAAGCCACCGGGACCTCCAGGGCCGGGGGGGAAAGGAGGTGGGGGCCCATTGAAGCGTTGTTGTCCGTAGGGCGGGTAGAAACCTTGCTGCTCGAATGGTTGCTGTGGAGGGTATCCGGGAGGCGTCTGCTGAGCTCCCTGAGGAGGTTGAGAGGGTGGTTGAGAAGGAAGGCCTGGGGCGGAAGGTCCCATCGAAGGGTTCGGCATAGGACCCGATCGCGACACGTTCTATTTGTCTCCATGTCAGTAGACCGAAAGAGGCAAGATATAGCAAGAAATGGACAGTAATGAAGAGGGGACATTGATCAATCAGAAGGAAGGCAACGGAAATATCGACACGGTTTTGCGCATTCCGAACAGGTCTGTGAGTTTACATCCGAATATATTTCATCATCTGATCAAAAGAGATGACCGACCGTAATGGTACGGGCAGTGTGATGGGTGTCGTGGGTAGGTGCAGAAAAATTCGAAGAACGAAGGATTGAATTCGGAAACTTACCCCAAGAATAGCAGGGTCATCAGGAACCCGGGGAGGCTCGGGCTGTGCGTTCTCCTTGGTCTCTTCGTCGGCGATGCTGATATCGCTCACATCGCTACCACGGAAGACGATGTATTCGTAAACAGTCGAAGAAGGGGGAACCTCCTCCGCTGGGTTCTTGCGGCGCCCCTCTGTGCCAAATGACTGCACGTTTTCCAAAGCTATCGTGGAGGCTTCGGGATTGATTTCGTGAAGTGTGCCGACATAGCTGGGAGATTCATCAGCAGCAAGTTCTCAGGATCATAAGAAAAGGGGAGACCATACCGAATCTCGCTCTTAGAAATGAGGTTGAAGCGCTGACTGTAAACTGTTAACCCCAGCCCAGCCACACAAACCCTGGTTCCGCCCGGGGGCTGCTGACGACTGACCCTATCAAATGGTTCATATCCATCTTGGCGGGGTGCGCGGGATCGCGCGACGAGTATGAATTGCGAGGTGATAGAGAGGAGGGGTGATGAGAGCGGAAGAGAGAGTTAGGAGGGGTGAGTGAATCCGGTGACGTGGAGGAAAGTGGGTAAGATGGGAAGAGAAAAGAAGAGCGAGGAAGCAAAATCTGTGGTTTTGGTGGATTCGGGCTAGGGCGGACCGCAGAAGCTCGGTAAGCAGTTCTCCGCGTGGGCGTTTTGGTGGGTTGGAGACCGTTTTTGAAGAGGGTTTCAATCTTGCTTCAGTCCCTTAAAGCGTGGAGAAAGGGAGAGAAAGCTCGGATCTTGACGATGACCACCTCTTCGAACCGAGACCACTTCTTCCAGACCTCGTAAGACACAATTGCTCCTTTAACGTTCCGATATAGAACATTCCGGGCTAACCCATTCCCCTCCTTACTTACAGTGCTGCCTTAGACGAGCAGGAGCGGAAAGAAGCCAAGTCTCAGAATGAAAATGGCAACCCCATCAAGTTACAGAGCAAGATTCTAGCAGTCTTCTCTGACCCTTGGAACCAAGGATCAGTCTACGTTGCGCAGAGTAGTGGTGTGGTGAGAAGGGTCGTGCTGGCAGTAAGTAATCGCTGACAGATCTGGCTTCAAAATAAAAGGAAGCCACTGACTGATATCTCTTACAGACTGGTGAGTCTGCGGCCCTATACAAGGGGCCCGAAGCTCCATTGACGAGCCTATGTCTCAGCCCGGATGGGAAATTGCTGTTCGCCGGCTGTTGGGACAAGACCATCTGGAGCTGGGACGTGGCCTCTCGACAGCCTCGCCAGAGGTACGAAGGACACAGTGACTTTGTCAAATCTGTGATCAGTGCGAGACTTCAAGATCAGGATGTATTGATCTCCGGAGGCGCCGATGCCAAGATGCTCATCTTCAACATTGCCAGCGGCGAGCGGACCGAGACATTTAAGGGTCACCTTCGTGGTATCCTGGATCTTTCCATTGACCCCGAGACGGAGGAAAGCAAAGTAACCGTGTTCAGTGCCGGAAGTGACCGAGAGATCCGTCAATTCAAGCTCGTTGGTGGAGGTGACGAGGCCGAACCCCTTCTTCCACATGAAACTAGCGTGAACAAGCTCTTCTTCGACGCAGATGGTGATTTGTGGACGGCGTCCGCTGACAAGACAGCTAAATGTCTTATCCGAGCTGATGGCTGGAAAGCCAATCTCACCTTGGAGCACCCTGATTTTGTGCGAGATATTCTGGTCTATGAGGATGGAGGCTGGGTGGTGACTGCCTGTCGGGACGAGGAGGTTCGAGTTTGGAATCGATCTGTGAGTTATCCTATCCAAACCATGCGACCAGCCATGGATACATGCTGATCCTGTATTAGACTGGCGAACTTCATCATACATTCTCGGGCCATTTTGAGGAAGTTACTGCCCTGGCTCTAGTTGGGTCAACTATTGTTAGTGTGGCCATTGATGGTACCATTCGGCAATGGTCTCTTCGAGCCGATGAGCTGCAACGGGCGGTAGACCTGGCCAAAAATGGTCCCAAGGAAGAGGAGCAGCTGGATGCTGAGCCTATGCTCACAGAAGAGGAGGAGCGGGAGTTGGCTGAGTTGATGGGAGATGATTAGACATTGCATTGATACCCCAGACTAAAGATAAGATGATGTGTACGAAAAAAAAGGTGTCTTCAGAGTGCAGCGGCCGCATACCATAAGGTTCCAAAATACTGTCAGTATTGTTCTTGAAGGTTTTTAGTCAGCTACCGTGTAAGCATATGCTTGTGTCCGAGTAAACAGTTAATCACAAGTATATCGACGGAAGAGTATACCCACGTGACCATCCCAGCACATGATGACGTACGGAGTCGATCTCCCATGCGTTCCCCCTCCAAAAGCAACCCCGAAGCACCCCGAACTCTCCAAGCCGAGCCCCGACCTCCCTAGCTGCATCTACCCCCACTTTCGGCCCTTGTACAACCACTTGACCCTGTGAGACTCTCGCCCCAACTCTGTCCATTCATTCATCGGGCCTCGAATCGCCCCCTGAAGACTTGTACGCGGGGTAGCATTTGGTCCGATATAGCTCGGGTCCTATCTTGCCGGATTCCGTTAGCACCTGCGCCAAGTGATAACGTGTTGGAAATCTCCCCGCAGGCTTTTGAAATCTCGCTTTAAAAGGCATCGCCCAGCATGCAGTCGCACCACGATACATCGGAAGCGGGACCGAAGTTGGTCAACCGCCTCCAACAGAGCAGATCGCCTTATGTGAGATGCGCAGACTCCGTCTGCCCCGCGCTTTCAAGGAATCGCGTGACGCTAACGGTCGACTAGGTGCGGGCGCACATGAATAACCCCGTCGCATGGCAACTCTGGGATGCAGAGGCCATCGAGCTTGCTCAGAGGCATAATCGGATGATATTTCTTAGCATTGGGTACTCTGCATGCCACTGTAGGTTTCCGACCGGCTCCAGGATATCGCAGCCAGATATCTGAGCAGCTGTGCTAACGGTCAATAGGGTGCCATGTGATGGAAAAAGAATCGTTCATGTCTCCCGAAGTCGCTGCGATTCTCAACGAGTCTTTTATTCCCATCAAGGTCGATCGTGAGGAACGTCCGGATATTGATGACATCTATATGAACTACGTCCAAGCGACTACCGGCTCTGGCGGCTGGCCCTTGAACGTCTTTCTTACCCCGGAGCTCGAACCTGTCTTTGGAGGGACATACTGGCCAGGCCCGAATTCAAGCACATCACATGGTCCGGGTACGACTGGCTTTGTGGAGATTTTAGAAAAATTGAGCGACGTCTGGCAGACACAGCAACAACGCTGCTTGGAGAGCGCCAAAGACATTACGAAACAGTTGAGGGAGTTTGCCGAAGAAGGCACACATTCCCAGTCTTCTGGCCGTGAGGATGATGAAGATTTGGATATCGAACTTTTGGAAGAAGCCTACCAGCATTTCGTGTCTCGATACGATTCCATCAACGGTGGTTTTGGTCGAGCGCCCAAATTCCCCACGCCTTCCAATCTCGGCTTTTTGTTGCGACTGGGCGCATACCCGAAGCAGATCCGAGACGTTGTTGGGCAGGAAGAATGCGAGAAGGCGACCGCCATGGCCGTTACGACATTGGTGAACATGGCCCGAGGCGGTATTCGGGATCATATTGGCCATGGATTTTCCCGATATAGTGTTACAACTGACTGGAGCCTGCCACATTTTGAAAAGATGTTATATGATCAAGCGCAGCTGTTGGACGTATATGTGGATGCGTTCCGATTAACGCATGATCCTGAATTGCTCGGCGCCGTCTATGATCTGTCTGCCTACTTGACAACCACCCCGCTGCAATCGCCGACTGGAGGATTCTATTCTTCGGAGGATGCAGATAGCTATCCTAGTCCTAACGATACGGAGAAGCGGGAAGGTGCTTTCTACGTCTGGTCGCTCAAGGAGCTTACCCAGGTTCTGGGCCCTCGTGACGCTCCGGTGTGCGCTCGTCACTGGGGTGTGCTCCCAGACGGGAACGTCGCTGCCGAGTATGACCCGCATGACGAGTTCATGAATCAGAACGTCTTGTCTATCAAAGCCACGCCAAGCAAGCTCGCCAAGGAATTTGGATTAAGCGAGGAAGAGGTAGTCAGGATCATCAAGGGCGGCAAGCAAAAGCTCCGTGACCACCGTGAGAAAACAAGGGGTCGGCCTGATCTCGACGATAAGATCATTGTCGCGTGGAATGGACTGGCTATCGGTGCCTTGGCCAAGTGCAGCGTCTTGTTTGCGGAGATTGAGAGTTTCAAAGCAGTGCAGTGCCGTGAGGCTGCTTCGCGTGCTATCAGCTTTATCAAGGATCATCTATTTGACAAAGCCACCGGCAAATTATGGCGCATCTGGCGAGACGGCAGCCGCGGCGATACTCCAGGCTTTGCCGATGATTATGCCTACCTGACTAGCGGTCTGCTCGATATGTACGAGGCGACCTTTGACGACAGCTATCTCCAGTTTGCCGAGCGTCTTCAAAGTGAGGCGCCCGTTTCCTAATAATACGTTGTTTCCAAGACTAACTTGCTTGAACAGAATATCTCAATGAGTACTTCCTGTCCAAGACGGACGTGACTTCATCCGGATACTATAATACCTCGTCCGAGACGACTCCGGGCATGCCAGGTCCTCTTTTCCGATTGAAGACTGGTACTGAATCTGCCACACCATCCGTCAATGCCATTATCGCTCGTAACTTGCTGCGTCTAGCTGCTCTAGTGGAGGAGGATAGCTACCGTACCCTGGCACGACAAACGTGCAACTCATTTGCAGTCGAAATCATGCAGCATCCGTTCCTTTTCGTCGGACTGCTTGATGTTATCGTGGGACTGCAGATCGGCACTCGTACCGTGACTGGTGTATTCAGCACTGCAGAAGTTACCCAATCATCTGCCAGCCGTGGTGACAGCATCCTCAGTCGAACGGACGAGCCCATGGCAGCGCGTGACCTCATCGTGCAGCGAGTTCGGGCGGAGGCCGGTGCCGGCCTGTGCCCAACTCTTGCAGTCGCCTCCCTGGTAGATATCCGACCCTCACACCTGAAGGACTTTGTCGGTAATCAGTCGTTCTGGTTGAAGTCTCGGAACTCCCTCTTTAAGGACTTGAAAGCCGGCGAACCCGCCAAAAATTTCCTGTTGGTATGCGAGGCGGGCCGATGTAGAATCGTGGATCTTTAGAGTGGTCATATCTTTCATATTTCATGTTTGATTGTTCGGATTTTCTTGGTCTCTATCACGTTGCTCTGTTTGGAGTATTTGAGGTCATTATTTTGTGCTAATTTCGGAATGCCGAGGTCAATGCTATTGGGCGGGCCAGAATCAACACACTTGTCAGTGTTGGTAGATGGGATAGAAATGTAACTAGCCAGGGCCATCGCACTCTCCGCCAAGTTGAGCATCTGTCTAGGTTCGGATTGATAGCAAATCTTTTGGTGGTCTTTGCTAACAATTATTTTCTCCCCCAACGTGACTTCACCTGTCCTATTACACCCTTTTAATTTACTGGAGCCAGCAAAGTTACCACGGCACATTCGTGGCGCTTTTTTAGATGTTCTTGGAGACTTGGCTAGGGCCTTTTTCGGAAATTGGAAACCAAGGTTGATTGCGGAGTCGTGAGCATGAAGGATTATACGAATGAGTGGAGCAACGGTAGTACTGTATTCGACTTTTCTTCTTGCCGATTTGAAGATCAGATTTGAAGATCAGAGATGTCAGATTACGGAGTCGGTCCTGGGTTATCGTCTAGACCGTCGTGTTCTGGAATCTCGGGAAGTAGATGGGGCCATGGCCACATTTTCATCTAAGTGGCTCACGCAATCCTTGTCTACTCCGAAATTACCGATCGCATTTTCATTATGGCTAATGTGCTGTTACGCTAGGCCATGTTCAATGCGCGGGGGCCCTCAGTAGATAATCGGAGGCCTAATTCGTAAGGTTGACATGTCGTCGATGTCTGGATATGCAGGTTCTACGACTACGAGCGGAGCGAAATCGACTGAAACCTTAAGCAGACCCCTTGATTCCCTGCAGCAGATCAACCAAAAGACCCTGTTCTAGTAGTCCCAATAGCTTATACCATCCGTTGACAGCCTGTTGCTATGGGGGGAGAGTGACAAAAGGTTGGAACCATTCGAGGGTCTCGACGTCTCGACATCCCGACGGGCACGATGGCTGAAACACGAGTCCAGAGGAAGCGAGCCACAATTTAATCAATCCCAAATTGACAGGCCGGCAGAGAATGGAGACCGAGACCAGACTCGAAGCCAAGTCTCTTGGTGGCGCCGCCGTTGCAGTGGGCAATTTCCCGAGGGCCCCTGCGCAAGGGCGTTGATTGGCGCCCTGTCAGGTCTGAAACTGGCTCATGTCTGGGTATTGTGCACCGCGTTACAGATCTCGATCGAGCTTGTCTGGGAATGGAGATCGAGCGACGCCTTTGTTGATGAGGGTCGTGGAATCCACTCGGTCCAGGCCATCCCATCTGGAGGTTTTTTTTGGTGGTTTTGTCGTTGCACTCTGGCTTGAAGAGATGGCAATGCTCTTTGTGCTGTTAAGGAGACCATCCGATTCGAATCCCTGTACGTGCGGCCGCTAGTGCAGCCTCTAAATGGAGGACCGGCGCTAGTGGCCAGCAAAGTGGAATTGAGGATCCGCCCAGGGGGGTCAAGATTGTATCGATACCTCCATCGGGGAGGAAAGTTCAGACTCGCCCAACCAGAAAGGCCCGGAGAATAATTGAATCATTAGAATCAATTCACCAGATTTCCATACTGGCGTTCATGACCCAGCCTCTTTTGTGACCAGAGTAGACCAATGAGGAACCCTTGACGGACGCGTTGGAATGTAGCATGTCCCACGCCAGTCAGTGGCGGGATGCTGTCTGGAATGTGTCGCGGATGTCGAGAGGTTGGACAAAGCATCCAGTCTGTTGAGCAGCAATAAAAAGGGACGGGATGGACAATCGTACCGTTGATTAAAGACAAAAGACAAGTCCCGATCATAAAACCAGAGAGCCAGTCCTGAGTTCATCTCCGCTAATTAAAAAGCACCCTTTCATATTGGGGATCGGCCCCACTTGACGCTCATCTCCTCTTCTCCCCTTTGCTACTTGACCTTTTCTATCGCTTCCTCTCCTCTTCTCTTCTCTTCTCTCTCCTCCCCACGCTTCTTACATCTTATCTTCCGCCTCGTGGCACTTGCACAGTGTACAGGCCTGTCATTCCTTTTGCCCCCAAGCGTACATACACTCCTTTGTCAATTCATACTGCAGTCGATCTGCAGTTGTTGACCTTTCCCCCCCACGCTCTCTACTTCGAACTTCCTGGGGAAGTTCTCTCTCGTCAAATCAACTCCTCCCAATCCACCAAATTTTTCCCTCATCATCTTGGACCTGATCTGTGATCGCCCATCAATTACACAATGCGCTCAACTCTGCTCCTCGCCGCCCTCGCTGCTGGCTGCGTCAATGCCTTCGAGAAGCGTGTCTATGTGACCGACTGGACCACAGTTACCGTCACCAAGACCATCACTGCCGCCGCCGTCACCGTGACTGTCCAGCCTGCCGCGCAAGCTCAGATCCAGAACACCGTGACCACTACCACCCAGGCTCCCGTCGTCGCTGCCACCACTGAGTCCGAGTCCTCGGAGTTGGCCAAGAAGTCCACCGTTATCGTGCCCGTTTCATCCACCACCGAGGCTGCTGCCGCCGCGGTTGATACTGCCTCCGCTGCCACCTCCTACTTCTCCACTGCCTGGACTTCTACCGTCGAGGCTTCCTCCACTCTGTCCAGCTCCACCTCCAGTGCTTCCACTGCCGCCTCTACCGCCAGTGCGACCAACTCTTACCAGTCGGCCGTCCTGTACAACCACAACATCCACCGTAGCAACCACTCCGTTTCGTCCGTTGAGTGGTCTGCCGATCTCGAGGCCAGTGCCCAGACTTTGGCCGCTCGTTGCGTGTACGAGCACGATACGTAAGTACACATTCAATTGCCTTGCAATTGATACGTTGTCAAGATTACGATGAATTCTAACATGATTCGAATAGCACAATTGATGGCGGCGGTTACGGTCAGAATATCGGCTACGGTGTCAGCTCTGACGAGGTTGGCGTCATGATCACCAATCTGATGTACAATGATGAGATCGAATACTTCCCTACCCCCTACGGCGCTTCCGACCCTAGCATGACCGATTTCGACAAGTGGGGCCACTTCTCCCAGATCGTCTGGAAGGCAACCACTCACGTCGGCTGCGCCACCGTAATCTGCAACAGCCTGGGCAACGTCGACTCCGGCTCCGCCCTGCCCTTCACTGTGTGCAACTACTCCCCCGCCGGTAACGTCGGCGGAGAGTACGGCGACAACGTCCTCGCGCCGGGTACTGCAAGCACCTATACTGCCTAGGCCTGCTTCTTCTCCTGATCCGCCTGGAAGCTTCTCCCATCTTTCTTGCGGGCTATCTATGGGGATAGTTCCGATGCATGTTACATCTCGATGTCTAGTGAGGCCTGCATTTGTTTTTCTAACCCTGTGTTACTTTTGTTTATCATACTCTCTTCGCTTCTCTCAGCGGCTTTGCATGTTCCACTCCTGATCAACGTCTTCTCGCTTGACCGGGTACTTTTTCCGAGGTGGGGATTAGCATTTGGGACCTTCAACCCCACCTTGGGCCCGGACTTGATTCTCTTCAATCCTAACCAAGAGGACTTTTTGTCTTGTATGTACGCGGAGGGCTGCCTATGCTTATACCATTTCTTTATCGTTTGACCCTCGGAAGAAGGGGACGTGCAGAGTCGCGACCCCGTTACAATTGTGAATACTCCCTTTTTTTGACTCGGTGTCTCCTAGCGATTTTTCTACCCCCTTTCCTGTGAATAAACAAAACAACATGGTTCCCCCAATGTGATGTACTGCAATTCTGAATGTGAGATGAACCTTGCTTCCTACCAACCATGGCATATATACACGTAGTTCACGGTGTACTTTACAACATGCCTTCATTGCCTATCAACTCAAAATCCTGTTTGTGCTTTTGTTGCGATGGAGCTCCCCACGTCAAAGTGGATCCCTCCGATCGTCCCCCTGAAACGTCATGATCAACCAATTAAATCGCCCCGATGCCCCACCAAAACTCCGTGTTTGATTTGGTGTTTGGTCGCGCGCGAGGGTTTTTCGCTTCGACTGGACTATTGGAGCTTCGGTAGCCGCCGTAACCAAACTCTTTCTCCCAAGTTGTCAACAGACACAATTGAAACCGAAAGTGGAACTGCATGATTCTTAGACTCGCTCATGGAAAAGAGCTTCGAAACTTGAATGTACATGACGTAAGCACTGCTGGTTGCTTTGCTCTGGAGATTGTTGGCTGATGCGCACATCCTAATTTTGCGGACCTGACTAGTGAGAAACTAAATACCTAGTCGTTGCTTGGTGTGTCGATCTAAATGTCTAGACTGTTCGTACTGTATCTGGGATTTGCCACTGGGCAGGTATACAAGGGTCGTTAGTGGCCACCGCGCTCGTACCTGGATTTGAGACACCAAAGAAGTGCTAATGTAACCCGGTATAAAATCTTCCTTCAACCTAGGTGTCAAAACGAATGCTGTTTCATGATACGAGATGCTGCGATTTCTAATAGATGGTCCTCAAGCAACGCCTGCACATACCCGTCATCGAAGGCGACTTTCTTCGCTTCCCGCTCGCATGGCTGAGAACGGCCAACAATTCGCCCCCTGTAGGACTCTTGACTGCTTGAACAGGCTCTCGCACATCTGGGCTGCTGTGGTGGGTCACCTACTGGAGTCCGAGATCCCCGCTAGAATAGTAACTTGAGTTTAATTGAGGAAACCTTCGGATGATAGTGATCTATGTAGATGCAAGATTTTCCTTGAGGTCACAATTCTCAACGACAACTTTTTCTAAGCTCTACCTGTTATTATCTCCAAGAATTGATCATTAAGGTACATCTGCGACTGGCTCGAAGCCATACAAGTACGACGGTAGGAACGACGGTAGACAAAACGTAGATGAGCAAGCCGAAGAAACATGAAAATTCTACGAGCGACGAGAAACCCTTATTGGAATCCTAGAAAAAAACAGTATAGACATCCCCAAACGACTTTTCCTTCGCTTCCAGATCCTACACTCCCTAGAATGCGAGGCCGGATATTTAGATCTCCTACAGTCTACACCTATCTTCACCGACGGCTCAAACTAAAACGCTGCGCCCTACGGTAAATCCCAGGAATCCTCCTTGCCCTTAGAAAAGCGAAATGTACGTTGGAAGATGGTATGTTCTGGGAAGCCTCTGCGATGCTGGCACTTGTTAGCGGGATAACTTCATTTGGTGGGGATGGTAGGTCTTTTCGCGGATGAGATTGATGGGCGGGCAAGAGAGCTTCGTGGAAGATATGCGTGGAAGAGAGGTGGTGTTCTAGCGTTTCTTATTATAGTTTATACTCTTTATTTCTGTGTGGATGATTTGTTGATTCGGCTGGTGACAGTCGTTATTGTCGTTGGTGATCTTGATACGTAGTTTCGTTGTTCTGAGTGATTACTTCCTTGGCATGAGGATATAATTTTAGAAAATTTCTACTTCGAAATTGTTGCAAATGATTGGCACTGGTTTTCTTGCTTCTTACGCTGTGCTTAAAAGAGCTGCGCGGGTTTAGAATGTGCGAGTGTTCATCCTCAGGGAGGGGCCCTTTCACTAACCCTCCCAATAGTGGCCTCTTTTCGAGTATGACACGCGACATTTCTCGGTTTGACTCGAATAATCATAGATTGGTTTCAAGAGTTTCATTCTCTTCCTTTCTCTTATTCTCTTTGTACCTTATATTAGCATGATTCTTTATTCATTTCTGAATGCCCCGGACGAGTTACTACATGAACTGGATTGGCTAACCCGAGGGAAACTGCCTGTCGATCGCTTGGCCAAGCCGTAGAAGCCGGTAAGTGGCTTAGTTCGAGACGAGTATACTTCAAAAAGGCTTTCACTGCTGGAGTTGAAGTATTCGTTCTGGCCTTGGTCGCCTATTTTTGGTGAGTCTGAACAAAGAGCCGCTGACTGGCGAACCACAGACCGGCGGACCACTGACTGGCAAAGACTTGGTAAAGGATTTTACCCCATGAAGCTTTGGATGTCTGTACGAAGAAGATTGAGAAAACAATCAACATAAATAGAAGTAATCACCCCGTTATCCCATTATAATATCATCAACATTCGTCATCAACTCCACTGAAATGACTTTCTTCGATGCTCAGAAAATCAACATCCTCCCTCCGTCGGAAAAGCAGCTAGCGATAGACGCTGCCCGCTTCTTCGAGTCGCGCAATCGGCTTGCGCAAGACTTAAGCCAACAAAGTATCAACATCAAATTGGTTTGGTCCCAATTCAACCCCGATCAGAATGAAATCAACCAACTCAAAAAGGACTTAAACTCCCTTATCAAAAGGTTGACGGGACTGCTCCAAGCCCACCAGCTTCCACTGGGCGATCAATCGCAAAAATGTGCTGAGTGACGACAACAGGGGGCTATTGAATGTCTCCGCTATGTGGTTCGCATGACTGAGATCCCCGGCTGCTTTGGAGAGTGTGCAATGGCATTGGACTTTATTAGCAAGTGCGTGGGAGGTATCCGCGTGATCGGGTTCTGTGATGAGACTGCCGATGAAATGGATCGCCAGGCACAAGATCTATGGAATAAGCACGTTCCTGGTAGGGGGGATATCTTGATGAGAGTCATGAGATGTTTCAATATTGGGGACCTCAATACTCTCGTTCCACACATGTACTCTGCTGACCCCTACTGTGGCTGCCCGTGGTGCCGGGGATGAAATCGGTGATTTTTGGAATTTCTGCTTTTTTGATGCTTTCTGGAATGTCTCTGTTTCTGTTCTATATATTTTATGATTTTATTCAGTTCAATCTACATCCTGTTCCAAATAGTAGCCGGTAGGAGTGTATACTGCATCACGTGACCTTTAGGTTTCTCCCCGCAGCTCCCTTCGCCCGAAACGTCATCGCAGGCTGAATCCCCACGCCAAATTCCCCCACGGTGTTGTGAGTATTACGGACTCGGCAAAATCACGGATTGCAGACTTACAGTCACTCTTTTTCTTCAAGGGTCTTCATACTGCTTTATTTGTGTCTCTCCACTCAGCGGAGCGGCTGAAAATACCTGATCAGATTGCTCACCTGTTCGCACACGCGGTCCCTCAAGGTTCGTCTGGTTAAAGTCGGGTGAGTTCCCCCTTCAGGCAATCAAGCTTAAATCCTTGGTGTCACGCGTTAGAAATTCCCAAAATTTCTTCACTGTCTATCATTCTCTCTCTCACTTGACTCTTATCTCGTCATCTTAGCGCATCAGTCGAGTCAACCACTAAACCTCTTTGGATTTGCAGGCTGCACGTTTTTTAGGCCGAAATCACCTGCCGCAGTTCCCAAAAGAGGCTCATCCGTTCCTCCGGCGCGATTCACCTCAGCACGGCCAGTCTCAATAACCCCAGCCCACGTCTCCTCCTGCGTTCCTGCTTGTCATTCCCCGTAAGTCCTTTTCTCCGTTGGCCCCGTCAGCCCGACTTGACTCCACTATTCCACGGCTTCCGTGGGGTTTCGGAGCTGGAGGGGTGCCTTATAGTTCCTGCTCGTATAAAGCATGTGCGGCCTTCTACCCAGCTTCCTGTTGGTCTTCTCTTTCCCCTGATCACCTTTCATCCATTTCTATACCATCGACCTCTTAGACTCTTATGAGGTAGTCTCCATGCCACCATATTGCCTACAAGACTGTCACTACTTCTACCGCACTGCCTTGCGTCTCCTGTCTCTCCCCACTTGCCTCGCTTCTTCCTACGCTTGATTCAAAAGAACGAAAAAAAAAAGATCAGTCACTAATCATCATGTCCTACTCACCAACGGCAGTCCGTTTCTTTACAGCACCAAAACCGCTCGGGAATGCCATGGATTCCGACACAGCCAAGGTCACCGCGGCTGAATCCCAGGGACACACTGTCGTGAAGCCAAATGTGTCTCCCCAGAAGCCCTCATCAGAGGCTGTGAGGGTTCACACACCCAAGGAGAAGGGTCTGACATTTGCCAATCAAGACTCACTTCCCAAACTCCCTATCCCTGATCTTGAGGACACCTGCAGAAAGCATCTCGAAGCTCTCTCAGCCTTGCAGACCATTCGAGAACACGAGGAAACCAAGGCAGCGGTGAAGGACTTTTTAAGGACCGATGGACCTATCCTTCAAGAGAAGTTGAAGACATACGCCTCCTCCAAAACGAGTTACATCGAGCAATTCTGTAAGTGAGATGCATTGAGATAGTTTAAACAATTACGACGCTAATAGCCCCCAGGGTATGATTCTTACCTGAACTTTGACAACCGTAAGTCTAATCAACTGCTATTACTGCCCGTTCATTTATGACTGACTTTTAATCAGCTGTTGTTCTCAACCTGAACCCATTCTTCCTGTTGGAGGATGATCCTACTCCTGCTCGTAACCATCAGGTGACTCGCGCGGCCTCCTTGGTCGTGTCGGCGCTATCTTTCGTTCGTGCTGTCCGAAGAGAGGAGCTTCCACCGGATACCGTTCGTGGCACTCCTCTGTGCATGTATCAGTACTCTCGCATGTTTGGAACTGCCCGTCTCCCAACCGACAATGGCTGTGTTATCAGTCAAGATCCTTCAGCCAGGCATATGGTGGTGATGTGCCGTGGACAGTTCTATTGGTTTGATGTCCTGGACGACAACAGCGATCAGATTATGACGGAGAAAGACATTTCACTCAACTTACACGTCATCATCGAAGATGCGGCCCAGACTCCAATTCAAGAAGCCGCCAAAGGCGCACTGGGTGTCCTGAGCACTGAGAACCGTAAGGTATGGTCAGGCTTGCGAGATATCATGACCAAGGATGCCACCTCGAATAATGCCGAGTGTTTGAATATTGTCGATACTGCCCTATTCGTACTATGTCTTGATGATACCGAACCCTCGAGCACCGCTGAGCTCTGTGCCAATATGCTCTGCGGCACAAGCGAAGTAATCAAGGGCGTACAGGTCGGCACATGCACCAACCGGTGGTATGACAAACTTCAAATCATCGTTTGCAAGAATGGCAGTGCTGGTATCAATTTTGAGCACACGGGCGTGGATGGTCATACCGTACTACGATTTGCCAGCGATATTTACACCGACACTATTCTCCGATTCGCCAAGACGATCAACGGCCAGGCCCCAAGCCTGTGGGCTACGACGAGTCCCGACCCTGCCAAACGTGACCCCTGCAGCTTTGGAAATGTCAGCACCACGCCTCGCAGACTGGAATGGGACATGACTCCAGAACTCAATATTGCTTTACGATTTGCGGAATCTCACCTGTCGGACCTGTTGTACCAGCACGAATTCCAGGTCCTCGACTTTGAGGGCTACGGCAAGAACTTCATCACTTCCATGGGATTCTCGCCCGATGCATTCGTGCAGATGGCTTTCCAGGCGGCGTACTACGGTCTCTACGGTCGCGTCGAGAACACCTATGAGCCAGCGATGACGAAAATGTATTTGCATGGTCGCACCGAAGCCGTGCGCACAGTGACACCCGAAGCCGTTGAATTTGTCAAGACATTCTGGGGCGAGAACCCGGCAGAGCACAAGATTGACGCTCTGCGTACTGCAACCCAAAAACATACTGCCATGACGAAGGAATGCTCCAAGGGCCAGGGCCAAGACCGCCACCTCTACGCTCTGTATTGCCTGTGGCAACGGTCATTCGACGAGGGTCTGTTCCAGGACAGCAGCTCTGCGGGTGGTTATTCGAGCCCTAGTGAAGGAATGCTCTCCGAGACATCGGATGATTGCTTCTCCTCATCACCAGGCACCGGTAGTATCCGCGGGCTACGTTCTCCTACTCCTCCCACGCCCGCCATCTTCAGTGATCCTGGCTGGGACAAGATCAACACCACCGTCCTGTCAACCTCAAATTGTGGCAACCCTTGCCTACGACACTTTGGGTTCGGCCCGACATCTGCTGATGGCTTCGGGATTGGATACATTATCAAAGACGATTCCATCTCATTCTGCGCCTCTTCTAAGCACCGCCAAACGGCACGGTTAATGCACACTCTCGAATCATACCTTTTCGAAATTAGGAAATTGCTGCGCGCGACCAATCGCAAGGCTGCCAGCCCACGGACCAGCCGTGCTCGGGAAACCGAAATGCTGGCAGAGCGTGTGCAGGCTGATAACAATCGACGCGGTCGGGTCGTTCGTGGGGATAACCGTGGAGCGGATACACCGACTACGACGACGGATAGTGGGGAGATGGAGGATGACGGAATGGGCGGATGTGAGTATTACGTTATTCTCGAGACATTCCTTTTCGGCGCTGACGACATGTTTAGACGGATTCTTCGATGCTGGCATGCTTTTGCATGCACTGAAGGGTGTCAGCGCAGAGCGCGAGCGCGGTGACAAGCCCGCGAAGCGGAAATTTGTTGGAAAGAAGCTTCATCTTAATGAATATTGATGAAGAGATGAAATCTTGAGACTTGTACTTATTCGCATTTTCTACGACCTATCATATATCATCCATATGGAAAGGAGAACTTGCCTTTGTTTACTTTTTCTATTGGACCTTGGGCTATAGATAGTAGCATTTTCCACGACCTAGACTACACCTGATGGGCCACGTGAGAAGCAAAATGAATAATAGAAGATCTTTGAATTTCAACCGATCCCGGGCATCCCAAGTGGGTAATGATAAGTCCTGCTTCGTAAGGCCATCATCTCACAATAATGTACATCTGTGGAACCCTGAGAATGCAGGATCGCTGGTCCGATCTGCCGCGGCACCGCTCAGCTACCCATGGGGTACATGGGTGGCCTCAAAGACCAACGCCGTGACGTAGCAATTTATCAATCTTTAAAGATAATGTACCCTGAATTCTTTATGGCTTGGTGCTGCTGACAATGTAGATCAGTGTCTTGGATACAGTTCATGTTACATCTGCATGGTTTGCTTAGCTTCTGGTACTTGATTTGCCCGCTTTTCGAGACATGCGGGGTTGAAAGCGGTTGCCTTGATATGTAGCTAACGTAATGGATGCAGGGATAAAAATAGAGTAACTTATATGTCAATGATCGACGAGGATCTTTCTGTCCCCGCAATTATCTTCAAGAGGTGGGGTTGCTGTGATCGACATTTGGATAGAGAAACAGTAGTAAGAGTTGCTTTAGTTGCTATGAACAGTTCAATTTGATAGATAATTTGGTAGATAGCTAGTTTATTTCTTAGTTTATGTTGAACTGTATTGAATGCTAGATTTTATCCATCAATCAGTCGCTTATCGGTATACCGATAATTCCGACATATTGACAATCCACTGAGACAAGGCTGAGGTATCAGGCCAACACCACGCAACATCACGCCTGAATGCTAGAATGCACAATCATAGTTAGTCAACTTCTGGAACAAATTTACGTACGTTGTCTCTGCTTCGCATGTAGCAGGTTCACGAGTCGGTATAAGCCATCGAACACAAGTAAGCACGATGCTGGCTCAAGATCAAGCTCCAAAAAAACTACTTAAGAGCTGCCGATAACCCTCGAAACGAAACCATCAACAAGCAACCTTTAATAACAATTCCCATTCTACCTCCTCTATTCTACTTCTAAAACCAATCTTCCCAAAGAATCACCACACGCAAAAATGTACTTTGCCACCATCCTCGCCTCTGCCATCGCCCTTGCAGGCGCTGCCTCGGCGGCTGCCAACCCTAACCACCGCTACGCCCAACTTCGTCTCTGGGGTGAGCCAGAGTGTGCAACCCTCAATCTCGGAGAAGAAGGTATCTACGGGGACCAGCTTGCCCAGTGCAACCCCCTGGATGAGAACGATGTCGTTCGATCTGTGAGCTTTGAGGCTGCCGATGCCGGATGTACTTGTAAGTTTCTTGACCTTCGCATGAATTCGATGATAGTTCCGGGTTCTGACGGTCTATCAGTGTACATCTACAGCGATCTGCAGTGTCACCTTAACAAGCAGGAGGTTACTGTTCAGACTTGCTTGAGTGGATCGGCGTATTACCGCAGCTACGAGCTCTTCTGTGATGTTTAAGCGTGGGATTGCTTACGGGGTGTATAATGTCATGGTGATAATACAGATTCTGGCAGTGCGCTGTAACGGGCTGTGTAAAGAGATCGATGGGAATCACTGAATTTGTTAGTATATAGTCAGCCGGGGTTTGAATATACGCGTTTGACTTGAATTGAACTATGGATTATAGATTAGCATTAAGGTGAAGGTACATTAAACAGTCTATATAGCATCACTTCACGTCTGTCATTCGGATATTTTGTCCGTGCAGCTTGGCGAGCAAACCTCGTAACTCCGTCGACACCAAAGTCGCTTTATCTTAGTATAATCGATCTCCCGCTACAGCCATTCGGGAGATGCCGCTCCCTGCGGTAACTGCTCAGCAACCTCCACGCTTTGTCATCCTTATATGTGTAGCGGTAAATGCAGAAGCCCCATGGAAGGTCTAGTTTCTGAAGACAATCACCGGAGTGGTTCTGTGAAACCATTCAAAGGACTTTTTTTTTTCCTAGAAACATAGAAAGGATCAAGGGGAGGGGTCTCGAATCTTTGTCTCCTGGGCGTGTATCACATGACAGTTCCAGGGTTTGTGGGAGCCTTGAAAATTAGACCTTTGACATCTTTGTTCTTTTGACTTTGAATTATATCTCTTGAGCGGACTCCGATCATCAACTCGGCAAGGATCGTGGTTTAGTTTTCGATCAGGTCCCTGGGCAACATTGAACTAATTACTAAACAACCATTAAAGTTCGCAAAAAGTCAAGATTACTGTAATGGTTAGATCCATAGAATATTTCAGTAGTTAGTTAGGTAGCTTTGTTGTAGTCGCATTAGTCAAATATTCTCTTAAGTGGATTGTAGAAGTAACGCTGTGATCCGTGCGAAGCAATTCTCTGGCACAGGAGTTCCCATGTTCATGTTCACATAGAACAAGGAATCGGGCCTCAACAACTCAGAAACGAATCTAACCGTATATTCTGCGCTCAATGTGTATACGTACATGCGCAGCTCGCAATAATTCAGGAAACTCAATCTTCTATTTGTACATCTAAACCACCACTAAGATAGGGCAACTCAAGTCTTGGCTCTCGGAGCACCTACTTCCGATTACTCAGCGCTGCAAGACCCGCACCGTCCAACTAGCTCGCTGGGGTCGCTACGGGGCTAAGACTTCTTGCGGTAACCACCAACCCCGATGGAATATCGCCCTTATGAGTGGCACAGACGCCCCCAAGAGCGCCTGCAACCTCTGCCGGCATCGAAAGGTCGGGACCCGCCCCCGCCTCACTCAGGGAAGGATAACGGCGGACGCTGACCCGTCGTCTCTTAGATTCGTTGCGATAGGGCGAAGCCTGCCTGTGAAAACTGTCGGTTGGCTGGCGTGGCCTGCCTCTTTACTGCTTTACCTCAGCGCAAAAGCCCCCGCGAGTAAGTCTGTGCCTAATATATATACCTTATTCCCTTGTTCTGTAGATGTACAATTTTCCTGATTTCAAAAATAGACAGCTCGAAGAAGCCAAGGCTCAAATTAAACAATTAAAAGAAACTCTGCGCCTAGAAAGGGCCGGTCAGCATCGGTCTCATTCTTCCACTCCAGCAGCACCGGCTCTCACTGTCTTCGACCCATGCGGGTTCGAGACTACGCTGGCTGCCTTTCGATGGCATCTTCAATTTTGTACACCAGGGGCTGATCCTGACAGGCGACTGGATTCGTATCTTGATTTTGACGCGTTTGCTCACGGGCTGAAGCAGTCGCTCGACTCACCACGGCCCATCCCGACCAAGGTGATAACGCCGAAATGGCCTTCTCGCGTGGTGATGCAACAGTCGCTAGAATATTATGAGAGCAACAAGCTCTACGCGATATTTCCGATGGTGGATACGATGGCTTTGAAACGCCTCCTAGATGCCAACGAACTGGGTCTGCAAGGAGGGACGATTGATGCTGCCAACCAGGCATGTTTAACTGCACTGACAGCTTTTGTTACTCGAATCCGTCATCATGAGCCTACCTTTACCGAGGCGGATTCCAGTGCCTATATGCAAGCTGTGCTTTCGATGCTGCCCCAGCTGGTCATGGAACATACCAACATTCGGACATTAGAGGCCGTGTTGATTCTCGTAGGTTCAGCATACTATCAAGCGGACTACGATGGAATTTTTTTCTGACTATCGCCAGGCTGTCGATCTCGCTCCTCAAGGTCAGCCACAGACAGCCGAGCTTTTAATGTCCCTCGCAGTACGAATTCTCTATAATCTAAAAGGCAACCTCAACAAACCAGCTTCCTCAGACCCCGAGCAAGTCCGAGCTCACCACCATCTCCGTGCTCTCTTCTGGGTCTGTTACTCCATCGACAAAGAAATGTCACTCCGCCGATGCCAACCCCCTATCATCAATGACGCCGACTGCGATCTAGATCTACCAGCAACATACGTCTCCATAACCTCCGACCACCAATTCTTCCACTCGTCCTTATCCTTACAAGAGCTTCTGTACCCCACAGATCTCCGCCTCGCAGTACTCAAATCCAAAATCTACCGCCTGCTATACTCACCATTAAGTCTGAGATTACCCGAAAGTGCACGTTTACAATTAATCCGCCAACTGGACGAGGAACTCAGCGACTTGAAGGCGCAATTTCCGGCAGTCTGCCAACCAGACATGTACGCGAAGGGCGAGGTATCGGACACCTTGCTGCTCAACCTCAGTGTCCGAGGTGCAAACACCCACCTGGAATATTACCATTGTCTGTCCAAGATACATGGAGCTAGTATCAGCGGTAGCAGCAACTCAACCATGAGGAATCTGTCACCACCATCCTCCAGCATGGAACTCTGTTACCAGGCTTCCCGCTCGACACTATTATACGTCTGTCGAACTTGTCATCTCATCACGAAAGAAACATTTTGGTTTGTTCATCTACGGCCTGGAGTGCTTAGATCATCCGACTAACTAACCTTTACCATATTTGTCTTGTAGGATTTATGCGCAGTTCATTCTGACGGCAGTCTTTGCATTGTACCAGCGGATCACAACGGCTTCTATCGAGTATCATGGTCATGAGGATCTTCGCCTTTTGGAGAAAATCCTTGAGGTATTCGTCACTCTTCGGATTGCTGATGGTGAGGGTGGGTTTCCGCCGTTTGCTGTCACCGAGGCTCTTATACGAAACTTAATCTCTTCGGTTAAGTAGTTGTATTATGGTAGTCGATGGTAGACACTGGGATTATGAATAATTGTATAAACTTATAAATTTCAAGTACTAAGATAGAGATACCCAGTACCAGAGTGATCTACTTCAACCATTTGGTATAATGCAAAAAAAAAAAGAAAGAATCTATGCTGCTATTCGCCAAGACTTAGATTCCGTCCAGAAATCTCATCGAGTATCTTGGGAGGGCATCTGAGAATGTATCTAGGGAAATGCTTTGAGTATTATGTGCGACTTACCAAGTCTCTCTCCATTGTATAAGTAAATCATGGATGACATACCCGGTCTACGAACCTGCGCCTAAAGGAAGACTCCGTATTACAAGAGAACTTATTAGTTGATGATGAAAAAAATTGTGAGAGATCAATTTTTATTGGCTTATATAGATCAAAGAATAAGTCAATATTATGAGCCCAAGGTCCAGATCTAATGCCGACGCCAAATGCGTTCATTCTTTTGTTGTTGTCTTTTTTGTTGGTAGTTGCTTGTATGTTGGTTTTTTTGTTTTGTATAATTTTGTCTTGTGGTTTCGACAGGCTGGCGCTTCCTCGCCACGGAGTCACCATGTTTTGCTCGGTGCTTCTTCACCCGGAGCTCCTTGATCAGCGGCTTGTCCCTCCACACCGCAAAGTCGATCATCGTATTCGGTTCGAAGGTAAGGGGTTTTCGTGCTCGGTGCTTCTTCACACTGAGCTTCGCCAGCGGCTTGTGCCTCCCCACCGCTCGTCCTCCGCCTTCCCAAGTTACAACAGGTGGTTGAGGGGGTATGCAAGACTTCGAGGTGATCTTCCAAGTGGATTTATTGTGAAGGACACAATAGAAGAAGGATGGAGTGGTCTGATGTGTCATGTGGGGTGGCCACAATGGAAGGTGGATGTGGTGGGTCTGATATGTATGATGAAGGTTAGTGATGATAAGAAGAGGATGTATCAAGCTCATATACTTTGCCTCAAAGTCATCGTAGCCAAGATGTGAAACCAGGTGCCGGAATTTGAATCAAGTCCAAGGGTGGATGTCTTTCAGTGGTTGGATGGACTTGATGTAGATGCATGATCAAAGTGTAGAAAAGGTTTGATGTTTGAGGTCAAGTCAAGTGTTGATGGAAGTATGTTGAGGTTCCAGGTATGTGTTGGTCAAGTCATATGATGTTATGATATGGTTGAAGTAAGGAAGAGTCATGTTGATAGACACGTCACGTCAATAAAGACGTGTTATATACGTGTGAGGTAGATGAGAGTAGATGAGGGTTGATGACTTGATGTAGGAGGGGACCAAGTTGGGATGGCACAAGGTTGGGTGAGAAGAAGTTGGAGACGTCCGAAGGATAAAAAGTAATGGTTGAATGGGATGGATAACCAAGGAGGGGATGTGGAGGACGAGGACGAGGATGTGGAGGAGAGTTGGAAGGTTGAGGATTTTGAGGGGAAAAAAGCTGGAGAAGTCCGGGGGGGGAAGGAAGTATTTAAGTAAAACGGGGGAGAGCCACTAAGCCCATCTTGAGTCTCGTCTCTGCTAGTCTCTGCTAGTGTGAAATTCCAATAGTATAAAAGATTTCGGTTAGGAGGCATTGGAATTTTCTTCCTTTTGCAACTCCCGACCAGCCGCGCGAACCCCCTTCCATGATTTTTGGCGTAAACACCATCAAGGTATTCTGCATTTCCAGAGGTCCGAGGCCTGCCGTAGAGTATCCGCATCATGCTACCGTGAATTTATATCACTAGACTGTACGTAGAATGATGACAATGGAGTTCTGCGTTGGTCCAGTTTGAAGCCGTGCAAGTGTATACTTCCCGAAAATTATATTGGTGCCATATTTTGCAGGCAGCCTACTCCAACTCCCGGAGATCCGCCATGTGGGGAAGCGCCGAGACCGGATAGCCGACTTGCAACAAGTAGCCTTCTTGACTGGAGCGAGTCATCCGAGCGTCTTCCTCGAGAAGAAGCACGTACAAGTAGTAGCAGTGCATATAAGAACCTCTACAGCTAGGAATTGGTGGCTCAAGTTGCGTAGCCAGTCGCATTTCGCCCCGAATTTGTTGCCTCGGCCGGTCCTCCCCCATGGCTCTGCACAGTCTGTCAAGACGCGCCCCCCAAATGGGGATGCGCTGGACCAGACGGTTCTCAAGCTCCCCGCGAAATGCTAGTTATGCGGATACTTTGCCCAATTTGAAGATTGGGGCTCATACGCGTGTTTTGTTTCAGGGATTTACTGGTACGTCTATTGGGTGTCGTTCAGGTCGGAGCCATCGCTAAACATTCTCTGCAGGAAGACAAGCGACGGCCAACGTCAAGGAATCCCTGGAATGGGGTACTAAGATTGTGGGCGGCGTCAAGCCTGGCGTGGAGGGAGAGCATCTGGGACTCCCGGTGTTCCCCTCTGTCAAAGTGGTATGTGGAAGAGCAGCCCATTCCGTCTACGTTTTCACTTGCTAATCTACGTCTGGGAGCTGTCTAGGCTCAAGAGAAAGCAAAGCCGGATGCCTCAGCCATCTACGTGCCAGGGAACCAAACTGCCCAGGCTGTTGAAGAGGCCATCGAGGCGGAGATTCCTCTCGTGGTAGCCGTGGCCGAGCATGTTCCCATCCATGACATTCTTCGAGTGAGCAATTTTCCTGCTTGTTGTGTACGATTGATGAATTTTAATTCTTCATCTAGATCCATTCTATGTTGCAAACCCAGTCTAAAACTCGGCTCGTGGGCGCAAACTGCCCCGGTATCATCTCCGCCATCGGCAAGTGCCGTATCGGTTTTCAGCCTTTGCCATGCTTCGCACCCGGCAATGTGGGCATTGTGGCCAAGTCGGGGACGCTTAGCTACGAAACCGTCGCTTCAACTACACGAGCTGGTCTCGGTCAAAGTCTGTGCATTAGCATGGGTGGCGACGTGTTGGCGGGTACCAACTTTGTGGACGCGCTAACGATCTTTGAAAATGATGAAGATACCCAGGGTATCATCCTCGTCGGTGAGATTGGAGGCACTGCGGAGATGGATGCAGCAGATTGGATCAAGGATTACCGACGGAGAACCGCCGATCCCAAGTATGTCTGATTCTCATGTCGGTGTGGACTGAGGCCCTTGTGCTGACTCGAGACAGACCCATCATGGCCCTTGTCGGTGGTTTGGAGGCACCCCCGGGACGAATTATGGGACATGCGGGAGCTTGGGCTGCACCTGGTGAGCCCGATGCTCAGACCAAATATCAGGCTCTGGAACGGGCCGGAGCTGTCATGGTCAACCATCCTGAGAAGTTTGGCGAGGGAATGAAGACCCTGCTGGGTAACAAGGCTGCTAGACCGGGCACAAGCGTGAGTTCCAAAAGTATTTTCTTTACTCGGCTGAAGCTGACATCGCGCAGCCTCTCTTTCCAGGCTCACAAAAGCGTGGGTTCCATACAATGAGACGCGTTACTCCGACCTCACGGCCAGCTCTCCAGCAGAAGCGCAATCTCTACATCAAGCAGTTCCAGGCATTCGATATCCTCAAGCAAAAGTCGATCGCCGTCAATGGAACGGTCTCCAGGTCCGACGGATCCCTCTCCATCTCTGTGGATAGAAAGTCTCTTTCCCCGTGCATCGTGGCATCCCCAGGCACCGACTTTGAGCCAGCTCGATCTCGCAAGTTCCCTTTCAGTTACAACACGGCCAGCCTTGAAGATCAGTCAGTGATCTCTGAAGTGGCCGCGACCTTGGGTCTCCCCGTTTCAGCCCAAGGCAAGCTGGCCAGCCTGGTCCAGGCGCTGTGGGAGATCTTCAAGGAGAAGGAGGCCTTTGTTTTGGAGACTCGTATCGGATTCTCCGCTGAGGGCAAGCTGGAAGTTCACAGTGCCCACTTTGGTTTTGACGACGCAGCATACCGCAGCTCTGGGCGTCAAGAAGACATACATAGTCTGCGAAACAAGGCGGAGGAGGTTCCCGAGGAGGTCGAGGCTGAGAAGGATGGAATTGTCTACGTCAAGTACGATCATGATACCCGCAGCATCTGAAACCTTGCTAATGATCAACAGACTTCAGGGTGAAGGTAGCATCGGCACACTAGGTACGCACCACTCATAGCTCGCCTCTTAGAAAGAATGTCTGCTGACAGGTTCTACCAGTGAACGGCGCTGGACTTGCCATGAACACGGTCGATGCTCTTACCATCCACGGCGGACACTGCGCCAACTTCCTTGACACTGGCGGTAAAGCCACCTCGGAGACCGTCAAGTCGTCTTTCCGGATCATCTGCTCCGATCCACGAGTGAAGGCTGTCTTTGTCAACATCTTCGGTGGATTGACGCGCTGCGATATGATTGCGGAGGGTATCATCATGGCATTCCGGGACCTGGATATGCAGGTGCCCGTTGTCGTGCGGCTGCGGGGCACTAACGAGGAGCCCGGTCAGAAAATGGTAAGTTCGTCTATGGATTCGTTGATTCGACGGCCCACTAACGAATTGTCTGGCAGATTGCCGAAAGTGGGCTCCCTCTGCATGCATTTGATGGATTTGAAGATGCAGCCAAGAAGGTGATTTCCTTGGCTGAGAGCAAATAGACTACTCTGCTTGTCGATGCATAGATTGTACATAGATCTAAACACCTTGAAGAAACGATGATATATACTTCCGACCAGATTCCCCGGTGATGAACGTGTTCAGATGCAAGTTCTACGTCATTTTCATATCACATTGCTTTATTTCACGTAGAGCTAGCTGCTATCCAAACCCCATTAAGCCATGCGAGTGTGCAAATCCCCCAAAAGTATATATCCAGGAGAATAGAATGTATAATTGGTGCCCATGTGAACCCGCCCGACCTCGGATCTCCCTCTTCCCGGGTTGGTCTAGCCCCGTCGGCTTCTCCACGATCGACCAAGGATGCGCTAAACCCCCTCCATCTCTGACGCCATTGCCTGCGACCTTGGACTTTAAGACTCTCGCCTCCGCATTTCTATACTCGAACCTTGTGAAACCACCTCCTTTGTATATCCACCTATTTACCACCCGTCCCGTACACACCCTCTCTGGGTCTCGCCCCTTCGACGCTCAACAACCCCAACCAAACAACTCCCCCTCACGTGCCATGTCTGATCCAAGCGCCGAGCTCCAATCCACACTCCGCGACCTGGCCATTGGCAAGAAAGGACCAGTACAGGATATCGCCCGACCAGTCCCCAGCAAAACCTCAACAGCAACGGCCGCCCCGAAACCAAAAAAGCCCACCACAAAGTCCGTGGCAGACTCCTGGGAAGATGAAGCCAATCTCTCCAGCGACGACGAGCCATCCTCCACGTCAAACCAAGCATCCCCTTCCGTCCTCTCGCCCACAATCAGCACCGAGGGACCACTAGATCCCCCTCCCACGCCCATCTCGCCGCAGACGTCGTATTCGTGGGCCGGGGCAGGCTCTGCGTCCCCAGTTGCGGGGCAGAATAATCCGAGCCGGAGGCCTGAGAAGCAGACTGCCGTGGCGGGACGATTGATTGCGGGTGCGTTGGGGGTTCGGGCACCGAAGCGGACGGAGGAGCAGAGAGCTTATGATCGGTCTGTGAAGGAGCAGGAGATTCGGCGGCGGAATCGGGAGCGAGAGGAGTTGGCCAAGGCAAAGGAGGAAGAGGAGCGGGCTAAGGCTTCGGTCTGGACTGATTAGACATTTCCTCCTCGACTACTTTCTGCCCGAGTTTCCGTCCCTTGTCCCTTCGTTGGAATCTTCTTTTGTCTCTATATTCATATGTATAGGTGATTTTACATGGCGCTTGAGTTGGTTGTTTCTCGGTGGGCTGGAGGTTCGTTGCTTGGATTTTCGTTGGTTCCTTGTCCATGGCTAAGCTTTGCTGAAGCTGATTATTGGGGCCTATTGGTGCTAGCCTTTCCATTTTCATATATACTTGTAATATAGGAAATGGCTAATTCGTTTTTACCGCTGAGGAGCAATAGCAGTCTCCGGCTGGGAACATTCATCTATACCATGGTACCATTCGATTTCAAGATTTTGGTAGGGATAGGGAGTGTAGGTATGTAGAACACCATGGCCAAGTGGTGATTTCGGTGAAATTCGTGTCCTCGTAAAACAAAACAAGCGGTAAACTCCTCGCGATGACTAGTCTGCTTCGCCGCACATTTGAGTTCCATCGATCTGCCAAGTTGCGACACACTTGATGACTCAGTCCACTGCGCAAGAATATCTCGGATGTGTAAATTAATGAGATCCGGGAACGCTCAACCACCGATCTGCTCCTGGTGAACCTCGAGGGTGTCACCGTCGGCCATATCGAGCTGTAGAGTGGCCGAATGTATTAGTTATCTTCATCATCAAATAACTTTTTGTGGAAATATAGTTGTCAAGAACATACTGTGTCTGGGGTATCTTCAGGCCGCACTCGGGTGCCGTCGAACAAAAAGCGGACGGTGGACATCTGCTTTCCTTGACGGTCGCAGAAGGCGTCCATCAGCTTTTTGAGCTGCGTTGAACGCTTGATCTTGAAGAAGACCTCATTGTTATTATCCGTGACCTTGATGTTCAAGTGCTCACTGGCAGCGGCACCAGCTTCCTGCTCGGCAGACATGCTTGATGATTTTGTGGGAAAGACTGCGCTTGAGTCAGAGGGTCGTTGCGCGCTAGGAGGGTAAGGAACGCGGGGCACTAACAAGTTGGAAATTGATAGAAAGAGTTCCAAGTTGAGCTTTAAATCTTTGAGATATTAGTTAGCGAGGGCAAAACAGATCTGATCGTATGTGAAGATCGACTTACCCAGAGGAAATGACGGTAAGGAATAAAGGTCAAGAGAGGTTGGAAGGCAAAGAGGGAAAGAAGAGAGATATCAACGGCAGAATGGCGACTCGCCCCACAGAAAGCGGAGAATCTATTATTGCGAACAAGGTAAATCTGCGGGCGGAACGGGTTGCTTAGCTAAGGACAAAGCGTCACGGCTCGGATTGCTTGGAAAGGTGATGCTTCTATGAGCTTCTTCTGTCTTGCACGTTTACTTTGCCAATCATGGTATGAAAACTTCCCAAAGAAAATTCAAAGGGGAAATTGCAACTTTGATACAAGTAGGAACATCTGAAAGGACTGACTTTTGTGTCACAGGGGAATCTCAAGCAAGATCTGTCTCACGACCCTCCTTGTCATCCACGAGCCGTATGTCTCCCCCCCCAACCTTGGAATATCCAACCATGATAATGGCTTAGAAGCGTGCTCATACATCCCTAGTGCGCCATTCAAGGTACCTAGCCTGCAGCCACACTTCCAAATTCATTTTGTTCGTATGTGGGGAACTAATCAATTCCAGATTGCTTGACCAAGAATGCCTACAAAGAGGAAAAATGCCAGGCACAGATTGATGCTCTCTATGAGTGTTGCAATGCCTTCTATCAGCAGCAAGGCGACCAGGCTTCGACCGTGAGCTGTCCCAAGGCGCATCTGCTGCGATTGAAGATGAAGCAACGTGCGCAAGCGGCAGAAAGCCAAAGCTAGATAGATAGCACCAAGAGATTAAGATGAATTCTACAAGTGGCTTGCGAACTGCGCCTCACATGGCAATGGATCGCAATGGCATGTAACAGGCCCCTATAAGCTGAGCTCCCAACTGGCAGAAACTAGACTGTTTAAAGGGACTGCTAGATTGCTCTAAGACAATCTTGAGCACGCTGAGAGGCCGCGATGGACCTGAACGACCATTGAAAACTTTCGTTCCGAGACTCTAATGACTGCCTAATGACATTTGTTGAAGAAGAAAAAAAGAAGAGGAAGAGCGAAAATTGCTGGCCGATTAAATAAGAAAAAATCCCGTGCCGATACGCTAAACCGGTTTGGGCCAAGGGCCTAACGCGCCCAAAACCAAAAGAGACAAACACGAATTCCCGGGCTTTCTCTTCCCCCATCACATCCCCAAACATCTCCGGCCTTGAATGCTTGCTCGAATCATCGCAAGCCATGGCTCCCCTCACTAGGTCGGCAAGATCAGCAGCGTCGGGCGCCACCACGGTACGATCGCAGGTAAGCGCACGATGTCCCTTGGTAGGTTTCATTACAGCTAAGCAATTCCTTGTCTATAGGTTCCGCCCAAGGCACCAGAAATCATCAGCATTGACGAGGATGACGAGGGAGATCAGCTCATGGAGGGTGAAGAGTCTTACGATGACCAACCACAATTCGAAGATGATGATGAGGCCATGGATGACGAAATGGACGATGAGCTTCACCAAGTCAATGGCGATGCTACGGAGAATGGATCCGCAGTTGCTGTGCGGGAATCCAACCTGAAATCCGTCAAGGGCTATAGAAACAGGGCGCAAGGTTTGTTCTAACACCATGCTTTGCCTCCTAATGCGATCACCATAGCTTATTGATTCTCCTCCAGCCTCCCCCAAGCTGTTCACCGAGTCGAGCGCCAGTGCCCAAGAAATGTTGCAACCCCTTCGCAAGACCGCGGATCGTGTCACACGCCAGATCGAGGCCTTCGCCGAGAAGCTGGATCAATTCAAACGAAAGAATACTACCGATGAATTCCAAAACGTCCAAGCCGCGTACAAGCTTGTGGAGAGCTACCGGGACCTCACGCAGAACGCCATCAATGAGCTCAACCGACAACAAACCATCAAGAAAGCCAAGTCGGGCTTCCGATCCAGTACCGCAACCGAGGATACTCAAGCCGAAAACGAAGCGCGTCGGTTGCAGCTGCAGGTCGACACCTGGCGCCTACTTCTCAATTTGATCAGCATCGATGACCCTGCCAGTCGCGCAAGCTTCAAAGAAGGCCAGCGTGAAGCCTTCCAGAATCTGCACCGGTATTCGTCGGATCGTGAGATCTGGGAAGAATTCTTGAATGCGGACCAGTACGCGCTCGAGTGTGTGGTCTCCATGCGGTGGCTCGAGGAAACGGCAAAGGCGGGACCCCAGGATATTGACAACATGATCAAAGAATTGGAAGATCAAGCTGAGCGAGGCCAGGGTCTGTGGGCACATGGTTGGCTGTTCACCAAGGAAGCGATCAAGGGCCATAAACGACTCCGCGCTTGGCCGCAACCTCTGGAACCGAATGACCCTGCTAATGCTCGCAACCTTCTGAACAAGGAGACGCAAGCTACACTGATTACGCATTTGGACCCCGATGCTCTGACTCGCCAAAAGCTCAGCTTGCAGAAGCAGGATGTACTCTACGAGCGCGCTACGTGGATGGCCTGCTGGAAGATGCTGCGCCGGGGCGAAAACTGGACCACTATTCGCGAATGGGCTCAGAGCCGTCTTGAGAGCTGGAGAGCCGTCAGTCTCTGCGGTTCCAGTGTGGATGCGGCTACTGCCACCACACGTACGCCAGCAGATGATGGATTGACCCGTTTGAAGAACAGCCACGCCCAGGACTCGTGGCGTGCTGCTTGTCATGCTCTGACTAAAGATCCAAATACGTGTGACTATGAGAAAGCGGTTTACGCGCTTCTCTGCGGAGAATCGGAACCGGCATCCAAGATTTGCAAGACGTGGGACGACTACCTCTACGTGTACTTCAACCGCATCGTCCTATCGCGGTACCAAGGATTCTGCCGACAGTTCCAGCGCAAATTGAGCCAATCGCCTGGTACCCCTGTCGCGTTCAAGCCGGAGCCTGCTGGACATGCGGATCTGCAAAAGTTCATCGAATATCTGCGTGGTAACGAAACGCTGAGCGCCGAGACACGCGAACCATTCCGTCATATCCAAGCTGCTATTTTGAGTAAGAGCTATGATACATTCTTCAACCAGCTCTCCCAAGCAGTCTCTCAGGTCGGCATCAAAAAGCTTGGAAAATCTTCATACATTCCCGACTTGGCGGCTTCTCGCGTGGATAATGCAATGGTCATCGCTGCTGAAGACCTTGATGCGGTACAGATGGCGACCCACATTTACGTGATCGTCAATTCGATTGGATACGCGCATGGGGAAAGTCGCTTCACGGAGGCAGCGTCTGTCGTTACGACCGGTTATATTGCCTATCTACAGGAGAAGCACTTGTCTGACCTGGTCCCATCATACGCCGCTCTTCTGCCCACGGAGATGGGCCACAGCGTTCTTGCCAAGATCCTAATTGACATTACGGATCCAGACGCTAGACAGTACCAAATTCGGGCTACGCAGAAACATGGCATCGACATTAACGCTGTCCTCGACGTACAGTGGTCGTGGCTCAGGGGTGGTGTCTCCTCAATCGAGCACTCCGCCGGCCTCACTGGATATTCCCGAGTCAGACGACTACCAGACGGCACTCGTGTGTTGATGCCGCCCAAGAAGGACCTCATTGGGACGAGCATCGCGCCCGAGGATGAGAAGATGATCCGTAACCTAGAGTGGCTCCGGTCCGTAGGTGGCCAGTGGTCTAAGATTTGTACCCGCGGAAACTGGCTGTACCGCAAATTCTTTGGTATGTGAAGTCACAGTCTCTTGATTTCTCTTCACAGTCTCTAACTTATATCTAGTCGCTGGCAAACTTGCCGCTGCTCGTGAACTGGGCCATCGCATGCGCATGGCGGATGTTTCTTACGAAACCTTCAACGTGGACGTGTTTGAGTACCCGGATCTGGCTCCATCGCTGGAGGATGCACCCTTGAGTCCGATCAAAGTCAAGCGGAGTCATGCTCACCGACGCAGTCTGTCAAGCAGCAATGGCGCCATCACCACTGCTCACCGAAACGCATATCAACAAGCTGTTCATATGTGGAATCTTGAGATCATGGCTCTTGGCTTTGATGCCTTGGAGCAGTTCGCTATCGTATACGATCAGTCCTCGAAGTGAGTATTACCTTCTGTGAACCTTCCAAGGCTTGAAACTGACTTTGTGTAGGACCAAACGCCGGCGGGATTCCGGTACTGTCAGGGACTTCCTAGCAGAACTCGGGGCTCTGGTGCAGGAAATCGAATACAGCATAGGACTGATCGTTGAGGAGTGGCTTGGGGAATCCGAAAATGGTAAGTCATTATTCTTCTTGCTTATTCATACAACAAGGAAAAACTCATACTGATTCTTGCTACAGCGGACGAAGAACGAGACTACAAACATATTCGCCGAACTTATCTCCCCGAAATCATTCTCGACTACCACAATGCCTTGTATTACGCCAGTCACTCTCTCGACAAGCCCAATCTGCTCACACAATGCATGACCGTGTCCATCTGGGTTGCCAACAATGCTCACTTGACGACCAGCTTCACGGAGGCGCAGCGCATGTCCGAGCTCATGGACTGTCTAGCTTTGGCGGCCAAAGCAATGGTTCTAGCCGACCCGAAAAATGATCAAAGCTTCCAAAATGGGCAGACATTGAGCATCTGGCGGGTCAACGTCCCGGAGGACGATGAGGCTGCCCTGCTTCAGAACAGGGAGTAGATTGGGGCGATGAGACGGTGAGACGGTGAGACGTCGAGGCTGTGTCACGTTGCGGGAATGTATATTAGCATTGATGGGTGGATTAGGGTGGAGAGAAGTGGATACAACTATTGAACCTCGCAGAAGCCATGCTGAACATGGCTGGAGCGAGGTTTTATTCGGGCCAATGGGAATGGACAGGTTAGGTAGAGCTATAATCTCTACTAGGATATGGAAATGCAAATGGGGGGATGTGGCACCATTCTCGTCTTTTCTGACCCCATTTTTTCTCAACAACAAAACTGCCAGTGACCATTCGTCGCGTAATCAATTCCTCTCGTGCGATATCTCAGTCTAGTCATAACAATTTCCCAAAACCAACCCACACGCCACGAGCTAAATCATAGATCTCCTTTTATTCATACGGCTGCATCAACGTGTTCCCCAAAACCTTGGCAGGGAACTCCTCCTCTCCCAAAGCCGTAGTATGAGCCCAAGGTTTCAGCCCGTTCTCCCGATGAATTGTCGCCGCAAAGCAATCGCTCCAATGGAGCCGTGGGAAATGCGCTGAAACGTCCTTGATAGTGTCCGGGTGGACCAAATCGGCATATGCACCGGTGTTGTCTATCACATATGTCAGTTAGACCCAGCATTGAAGCGTCGGATGGTCAGGATAGACCATAGATCAAGGCGTCAATTCGGTCCGACAGAGAAAGAGAAAGAGAAGGAAAATAAAGTTCAATGTGTTGGGCACATAACCCGGGGCTGGGGCGGCGGTGATGCAGCCATCGGCGTCATCGGTGTAGATCCCAAGGGGTCAAGAAAGTGAAGCGGTCTAGGTACCGGATTCCGGTCCCTGGGAAGAAACGAGACGAATCAGGAAGGAGAGAGGCGAGGCAGTGCAAATGTGTATAAGGTAGGAGTAAACCCGGATACCCAAGACAAGACCTTGAGCTCTCAGTGCTTATTCGGATGCCCAATGGCATATACTTTGCACCAGTATGAAATGAAAAATGAAAAAAAAACCTACCAAAGATCGTCGCCAGCTGCAACAGCTGTCCTACCGCGGTAATTTTGCCAACGGTACACAGATCCTGATGCCGGATGATCGCCTCCGCAACGCTCTCCGCTTGATCGCGCGGTGCAACGGCCGTTGCCCCGTCGGTGGATGTCTGATTCTGGCCGGACTTGTTCTGCAATACATCCAGCGCCAGATACCCGCCCGAAAACTCAAAGCTCAAGCGCGTAGACTGGATGTTCTCATCCGTAGTCCCGATATCATGCAACGCACAAGCCAAGAAGTAGGTCTCGTCCGAAAAGTCCCAATCCGGGAAAGGGAAGCGGTGCCGTTTAATCGCCAGTCCGAAGTGGTACACGCGCAGGGAGTGATTGTACGTTGGCGTTGGCAGGTGGGCCTTGGCGTAGGCGTTGATGCGAGTTCCGAGTGGGGGTATTGGGGATTGGAGTGTCGGAGACGAGGATGGGAATTGGTGCGGCGGATGGGGGTAAATAGGCTGGGGTGGAGGTTAGGAGGGCGTGGGCGGAGGCGGGGACGGCTGTGAAGCCGTAGGTGTTGATAGGGTTGGCCATTATTGGTTTTGGTTTTGGGGTCTTTGGATGTTAGTAGAACTGTAGGGATCTTCAGGGTTGAAGGTTGGCTTATGGAGGTTTGTGTTGAAATATGATGCAAGTTTACGGGAAGGGAAGATGGTCGGGATGATTCATTGTTAGAAATCTGTTGGTTTTATACCGTTGACTCGAGATGGTTGAGAGTAGGACGAGCATGCATTGGTCATCACGAAGGTTACTTCGACAACACTGTTAAGTTAGTGCTTGCCCCCGCTTGGTAATGCCTGAATGGTATCACATCAAGGTTGATGAATCTCAATGGCGATATAAAGTACTTCTGTGCATAACTTCCAAATCGGGCCTAGCAAAGTATCGATTTTGGATGGATCCAGGGAACCGTAGCCTCAGATGCTGATGACTGATGACTGATGACTGATGACTGGCCAGAGTTCTGACTCAAGTGTTGGCAAATAGTGTGTTTGGTCTTGCATCATTCAATCATGGTGAGCTGTCTTATAATTATCGCTTTGGTTGATCCGGGTCAGGTTGAACCTGGTTGAACCTAGTTGAACCCCTGTCCGGTTGAACCCGGTTAAACTATCTCAGGGTGAGAGCCCAATACGAAGTGTACCGGTCGAATACGAACTGTCCGACAGCCTCCGCCATGCCTCATTTCCGTACTACCGGGGGATCTAAGACACCTAGCAACTATTCAAATAGTTAAAGGGCACTAGGATTAGACAAAAAGATCCGTTGTTATTTACTCCGTACATATTTGGGGTACATCTCCACAGGCTAGATATGTACATACGCGTTATACTCCCGACTTGGGGATGCTCCGTCGGGCTCCACTACCGTATGACTTCTAAAACATTCCAGAACAAAATTTATCCTGCAAAGGGCTCGGCTTTACTGCACATGGACACCATAGATCACGGAGGCTGACTGAAATAGCAATATCAACGTCGCTTCAGATCTCGGGTGTATTTAATGTTGTATGCATTGGGCCGCGGGCCTTCATTCCGTCGATAACATTGGGCGTGAGATTCCGCGAACAAGGATGCTTTAGCCTCTAATATACGGAGTACGTCGCCCGTATTTGTTTCCTAGGGGTCTTGTTTGGACCATTAAATTGAAGTAGGGAGTGCAGTATTCGGGAGTACTATTGAATTATTTGATCGTGGTTGTCGGTGCCGTGCATCGATATGCAAGTCGACCGAGGCCGGAATAAATCGACGAAAGAAGGGTGCAAAATGAAGGTGGCGTACATAGGAGACGTCATCTCCGACCAGACTGGGAACCGATCGCTTGATTTATACTCCGTATAGTGCTCATTGAGTGGACGGGATAGTACAAGGTACATGTACTCCGGAAAAAAGACGGAAATCAAGAATAGAGTATTGTAGATGCAGCACTAGGTATAGAAACATTGAGTCAAATCCCCCTTGTTTTCGCTTGTATGACACGCTCATGATGAGTTGGCTCTCTCTATTCGCTATTACCGCCCGCCCCTAATTGCCCAGACTCCCATTCGCCTATCCGCCCAGAGTTTCGCCTCCCTTGCCCCCGAATGGGTGCGGTCTTGGCAAAGTGAGGCAGTGCAAAAAGGGGACTGTGTTCTCTCCGTGGGACGATAACAATGCCACACCAAAATTGGGATGGATAGAAGGCCACAAATCGAGAGCAGTAGGATCACGCCATTGGGTCTGTAAAGTATCGAACTCCCTGTACATTCCTAGTCGTTAGTCGGTGTACAGTAGTAGCATTCAAACGAGTCCAATGCCTGGTTGGCAGGTAACCCGACAGCGCAGCGGAAACGAAATTGATCTCTCGGTCCACCACTGGGGCTGTGCTGGCAGCGCGTTTGGCCGAGTTTGGAGCCAGTTGAGCCCAAGTGGAGAAGCTGCCGGTGCGGGTATGTGATGGACTGGGCCGTTTGGGAAAACAATCGCCGGCACTATTGGCTGTCATTGGGTGGGGGGGGGGAACCCCCAGTCGAGACCGTAGTGGATCTGCAAAGGGGTCAACGCCGACGGTGAATGGAACGATGGAAAGATGGAAAAGATGGAAAGAAGTAAACCTTGCTGGTTGGAGTAGGAAAGTAAAGCAATAATCAAGTGGGAAGGACAATGCCAGGAGATCGCTAAACTCGTGACTTGACAAACTGCTTGCGGCGGAGCTCCTTGATAGTTGATCTACTCCGTACTCTTTGGCCACTACACACCACCACAAACGCTAATCTTCCTTCCTCCTTCGTCCTTCCTACGACTACGTATGCTGCACGGCGTTCCTACTCCAACTCCGTACACATACTCCTCCTGCGCCTCTTTCCATCCCGCAGCCTCCCCGTTTTTGCTGCCCATGGAAGCGCTCTTTGCCCAATAGCCTGATTGTCCACAGGCCTCGAATCTAGGAGTTAGGCCCTACCCTCGCACTTGGATTTCCTGCTCTCAGCTGCTCTCTTTCACCCGCCCCCGGACAACCCTCCTGGCTCACTCATGCAAATCACGACGGGCTCGTGAATTTGCTGCTCGCGTGAATCGCGCTCGGTTCGACCCAACCCTTCATCATGTCCGACCCGCGTCAAGGGGCCGACGAGCCGGCTCAGTCGCCCACAACACCTCTACGGAGGGAGCGCGCGCCCACCATCACCATCGATACCTCGGCGGTGAGCTCTCCCAATACGAACGAGCCCCCGGTGCAGATACTCTCGGACCCCCAGCAACCATCGCTCCGGCTGAACACCGACACGATTGAGTCCTCCGACGCTGGCGCGCATCACAATGGCTCCGGTTCCCCCACGGACATGCGTTCCCCGGCCTCCCTGCGCTCCAATGCCTCCTCCGAAGCTCGGGACCGCGAACGAGACCGTGAAAGCCGGCCAACCTCGCCTCATAACATTTCATCTCCGAAGACCAAGGTCCCCGAGGCGCATTCCCATTTCCTATCGGTGCCCGGCACGCGATCCCGCGGAAATTCGTTGGAGTCCGAAGACACCAGTCAAACCTCTAGCACCTATGGTGGCGAGACATACGTGCCAACTGCCTCGCACGGATCCCAATCTGACACGGCGAAGATCACCAACGTCGACGAAGAGGATGCCCTTACTCCGGACCCGGGCCGTGAAGATGAATTCGAGGTGGAAAATAACGTGTTCGCCTTTTCCCCGGGTCAGCTCAACAAGCTCTTCAATCCCAAAAGCTTTGGCGCATTCCGACAACTCGGCGGACTACGAGGACTGGAAAAGGGCCTGCGGACCGATATTCGGAGTGGACTGAGCGTGGACGAGACCACACTAGATGGTGTGGTCGAGTTTAGCGATGTCACCTCCTCAGACTCGATGCCCAAATCAGTTTCGCCAAAGGCACCAAATCCCCCAACTCCCCAAGGAGGTGCGGCTGCTGCATCTGAAGCCGACGGGTCATTCGTGGACCGAAAGCGGATCTATGGCAAGAACCAGCTGCCAGAAAGGAAGCTCAAAACCATCTGGGAACTGGCTTGGATTGCGTACAACGACAAAGTGCTGATTCTGCTGACGATTGCCGCGGTCATCTCCCTGGCAGTCGGTATCCCGCAGTCACTCCATCCAGCGAAACCTGGTGAGCCGGGTGTGGAATGGGTGGAAGGTCTTGCCATTCTTGTCGCTATTATCATTGTGGTTGCGGTTGGTGCTGCGAACGATTGGCAGAAGGAACGTCAATTTGCAAAATTGAATAAGAAAAAGGAAAACAGATTGGTCCAGGTTATTCGATCCGGCAAGACCATTGAGATTTCGATTCACGATGTGCTCGTCGGTGATGTGATGCACCTCGAACCTGGTGACCTTGTGCCTGTCGATGGTATACTGATCGCAGGCCACGATGTGAAATGCGACGAATCCTCGGCCACCGGCGAATCTGATCTTTTACGAAAGACTGCCGGTGACGAAGTCTACCGAGCAATTGAAAGACACGAAGATCTCCGCAAAATGGACCCGTTTATCGTCTCTGGCGCCAAGGTCTCCGAGGGTGTGGGAACGTTCCTCGTTACTGCTGTCGGTGTCCATGCAACTCACGGTCGCACCATGATGTCTCTTCAGGAGGAAGGTGAAACGACTCCTCTTCAAACCAAGTTGAATAAGCTGGCCGAGTACATTGCCAAGCTTGGTCTGGCCTCGGGTCTTCTACTTTTCGTCGTTCTTTTTATCAAGTTCCTCGTTCGACTCAAGAACATCGAAGGCGGTGCCGATGCCAAGGGACAGGCGTTCCTTCAGATCTTCATTGTCGCCGTGACCATTGTCGTCGTCGCTGTACCCGAGGGTCTACCGCTGGCAGTAACCCTTGCACTCGCCTTTGCAACTACACGAATGATTAAAGATAATAACCTGGTGCGTTTCCTCAAAGCGTGTGAGACCATGGGTAATGCGACAACCATCTGCTCCGACAAGACTGGTACCCTCACTGTGAACAAAATGAGCGTCGTATCAGCGACCCTGGGAACGACTTCACGCTTCGGAGACAAGTCTGGCGCCGCCCAATCCAACCAACCCGGTGATATTTCTGCTGCCGAGTTTGTGAAGACTCTGTCACCCTCTGTGAAGGACTTGTTAATGCAATCGATTGTCCTCAACTCTACTGCATTCGAGGGAGAGCAGGAAGGCGTGAAAACCTTCATTGGCTCCAAGACCGAGACTGCCCTGCTTACCTTCGCACGCGATTTCATGGGCATGGGACCCCCAGCAGAAGCTCGGGAAAGTGCAACGATCTCGCAGATGTTCCCGTTCGACTCGGCTCGCAAGTGCATGGCAGTGGTCGTTCAACTGGAGAACGGAAAACACCGTATGTTGGTCAAGGGTGCTGCTGAAATCCTGATGGCCAAGTCTACTCGAATCATTCGTGACCCCACCGACACCCTTACCGAGACACCTCTAACGGACGAGAACCGGTCTACGCTAGACAACATCATGACAACCTACGCCAACCGATCGCTACGATGCATTGCTCTTGTTTACCGTGATTTCGACCAGTGGCCCCCACGTGGAGCGCCCACTTCCGAAGATGATCGCACCCAGGCAACCTTTGAGCCCATTTTCAAGGATATGACTATCATTGGCCTCGTCGGTATTCAAGATCCTCTTCGACCTGGTGTTGCAGAGGCGGTGCACACGTGTCAGCGTGCTGGTGTCTTTGTTCGCATGGTCACCGGTGACAACATCATGACGGCCAAGGCTATTGCCCAAGAGTGTGGTATCTACACACCTGGTGGTATTGCTATCGAAGGCCCGAAGTTCCGCAAGCTGAGCACGCGTCAAATGAACCAGATCCTTCCTAGGTTGCAGGTGATTGGCCGATCTAGCCCTGAAGACAAGAAGATCCTCGTGAACGCTCTGAAGAAGCTTGGCGAGACTGTTGCCGTCACTGGTGACGGTACCAACGACGCCCAGGCCTTGAAGAACGCGGATGTCGGTTTTGCCATGGGTGTCACCGGTACCGAGGTGGCCAAGGAAGCATCGGATATCATTCTGATGGACGATAACTTTGCCTCCATCGTCAAGGCCATGGCGTGGGGTCGTACTGTCAGCGATGCGGTGAAGAAGTTCCTCCAATTCCAGATCACGGTCAACATCACCGCTGTAATCCTTACTTTTGTCTCGGCAGTTGCTAGCAGCTCGGAGGATTCTGTCCTCAGTGCAGTGCAACTGCTTTGGGTTAACCTGATCATGGATACCTTTGCGGCCCTTGCACTTGCAACAGACCCGCCGTCGCCCTACGTTCTCGACCGTCGACCGGAATCCAAAGCTTCTCCGCTCATCACTCTGACGATGTGGAAGATGATCATTGGACAGTCGATCTACCAGCTGGTTGTGACACTCGTGCTCAACTTTGCCGGCAACTCTATCTTCCCTTGGGACGCTGACCACATGCAAACCGTGGTCTTCAACACTTTCGTTTTTATGCAAATCTTCAACCAGTACAACTCCCGTCGCATTGACAATAAGCTCAACATCCTGGAGGGAATTTGGCGCAATAGATGGTTTATTGGTATTCAGATTATTATCATCGGAGGCCAAGTTCTGATCATCTTCATCGGTGGTGCCGCCTTCTCGGTGAAGCGTCTCAATCAGGGCTCCCAGTGGGCCGTCAGCCTCGTCCTGGGTGCTCTCTCTTTACCCATCGCCGTGGTTATCCGTCTCATTCCCGACGAATTCGTTAGCAAGCTTATTCCACACAGTTGGCATGGTCGTCACCAAAAGAAGGGACCCGAGCTTGTGGTCTCGGACGAGGACCGCCGTTACGATTGGAATCCAGCCTTGGAGGAGATTCGCGACCAGTTGCAGTTCATCAAGACCGTCCGCGGTGGTCGCCTGCGACACATCCGCCACAAGCTGCAGCACCCGCAAGAACTTTTGCCACGATCTCGCAGCGGCTCTCGCTCTCGTGAATCTTCCATCCCACCCACACCCAATGGTGACAGTGGAAGCCCACCTCCGGGTCCCTCCAGTCCCGAGACTCGCTCCCGTCGCAATACCCGTTCGCGCTCGAACTCGACATTCGGACCCGCTGCTGCTATGGCCGGTGTCGTGGCTGGTAGTATTGCCGGCTGGTCTCCCATTGAGCGGAACCACGGTGAGGCCGACTCGATCACCTTCCCTACCAATGCCGTGCATGGCGGTTTGGATGGACAGCAGGGTATCGAGATTCACCCGGACACAGCGGCAGACGACCGTATCGTCAGCGAGTACTCTACCAACACCAGGGACCCTCCTAGTCAAAATCCGGACCTGATCCCCTTCTTTGAACATGCACCCCCAGCGACTGCTGAGCGAGCGCCATCGAGCCGAGGTCGCCGGTCTTTTTCCCAGCGGTCTCATACCAGTCAAAGTCAATCACAGGTGTGATACACAAATCACCATCAACTTGCAATACCGCTCATGATAGTTTGAACTCCTCCACTTGAAAGAAAAGCATTTCGAGGAACGGCGTTGTCGGATTTCCTTCCTTGTTCCTGATATCCCGGGCTCTCCACACATCATTCTGGTTGCCCTCATCTCTTTGTTTTTGGTCACAATTGCCCTATTTCCCATCTCGGGTATCCTTGTTTTTAATTCCTTTTGTCAAAGCTCTCCTCGATTTCGTGTGTCCCTTCTGTCGCTGTGTTTTCTGGGTTGTTTGGCGGAACCGGACTCGGCGGACTGTACTACTGTTGGGGACCTTGAAATACCCTCCTCCATAGACTATCGCCCGTCTTTCTTTTGCATGTGTGACCTGCTTTACATTTTTATGCGGGTGGGTGGTTGAGACCCTTTGTTATTCTTTTGGGAATAATTTGGCGTTTTGGGGCTGGCCATGGTCGATGTCTCTATTGTCTTGATCTTAGCTCGCCTCGTGGCGTACTTTCTCGCTGGATGGCGTGTACTTCCTAAATGTCATTCGTAATCCTTTTAATCCTTTCATTTTGATTCAAAAATCATGTCTTATCTATAGATCTACTGTAATCGTTCTACTCCTCCATCGAGTACGTGGTCCAGTTTAGGGACAACGTTCAGCCTCAACTCTAGTCTGTCTGTGCCTGTGCCCCACATTTCCACTCCCCGCCATGACACTCCATCCAACTCACGCTCTCCCGATTCTCATCTTACCCCAACATCTAACTTACCCACTTATAATCAGGTCAACAAAATTCCGACTCTTATACTCGCCATGGATTCACTCATGCTCCCCTCGCAGGGAGAATTGTTCCGGCGTTGGATCGGAAAGGACGTCGCCGATGTCCCCAAACCGGCCGCCGTGCTCGACCGAGCCATCATTCGCCGGCATTGCGAGCGGATGAAGAAGACAGTAAAAGCTCTAGGTGTTGGGTTCAGAGCACATGTCAAGACACACAAAGTGAGTTGATCTCGTACACATACATGCCCAACCCTCCTAGTCAGGCCATGACTAAAATCATAGACAGACCTTCCAAATCGCCAGGATGCAAATGGACAACGGCGATCCAGAAACCAAATTCATCGCCTCGACACTCCTTGAAATCGAAATGCTCCACCAAATACTAAAAGGGCTCAAGACCCTTACCCGTCCCGCCAACGTCCTCTACGGCATCCCCCTCGTGCCCTCGCACGTCCCACGCCTCGCAGACCTAGCTGCCGACATCGGCGAAGACAGTATCTCAGTCATGATCGACCATCCAGATCAAATCCCCTATCTACGCCAATTCTTCGAAGTAACCAAATTCCCCGCCTGCGTCTTCGTCAAAGTCGACACTGGCTACCACCGTGCGGGACTGCCACCCGTCTCCCTGAACAAGAACGGGCTACTAGAGAAACTTGCTGACGCCGAGGCCGAAGGATGGGTGCGTCTACTGGGTCTCTACTCGCACAGTAGTCTGAGCTACAATGCAAAGACAGCAGCGGAAGCGATGACTCACCTCATTGCCGAGATCCATGGCTGCAAAGTCGCGCTGAACATGTGGTTACCACTTCTCCCCCAAGATCGTGAACTGATCATCAGCGTCGGCGCAACGCCACAGATATCATCCTCGCACAATCTCGTCGGGGGAGAAAACAGTTCACCCGAGGCCGAAGAATTAAAAGCCCTCCTCCGCAACCCGTGTCCCGAAAACGCAGATGCAAAGGTCAAAATCGAGCTTCATGCTGGCAACTACCCCCTTCTAGATATGCAGCAAGTATCTACAAATGCCCGGGCCGGCGCTGGCAAGTTCGAAGAAGAAATCGCCATGTCCATCGTTGCCGAGGTGTGTAGCGTGTACAACGACGGCGAGCGCGAGAAACCCGAAGCCCTGATTGCTGCCGGTACACTCGCGTTAGGCCGTGAGCCCTGCGCGAATTACCCCGGTTGGGGTGTTCTTTCTTCGTGGAGACGGAATGAAGATCCCGGTGCACCGAGGCTGATCGTTGATCGGATTAGCCAGGAACATGGGATTGTGGCGTGGGAGGTTGGCGTGCAGAGGAGTATTCCGCTTAGTGTGGGAGAGGTAGTGAGGGTATTTCCTAACCATTCATGTGTGGCAGGAGCGTTTTATGGGTGGTATTTTGTTGTTGATTCGGAGAGGGATCGGGATGGTTCGCAGATTGTTGATATTTGGGTGAGAGGGAGAGGGTCGGATGTTTCTGATCCGTTTTTGATGACGAGGTTTCAGTAAGGAGTCTCCTAAGTAAGTCATTTAGGGTCGAGGGTTATATTCACTGTAGATGTGAGGTGCAATACATTGCATTGTATCAATATAGATGTACTTTCTGTACAGATCATTTATACGTCTCTGCATTAGCAAGGTCCACCGACTGCTTCAACACAATATATTGATCTTGAATTTGCACTAGACTCAAGCGACAACAATATAAAACCTTTCTCGAGGATATCATCATTGTATATCTATTTTACTAAAAATTACGAAGCCGGTATCAGTTTGATATGAATGAGAATCGCATTTGCTGCTCTATCAAGTCACAGGCCTCCTTTTGCTGACTTGACTTATCGGATGCGAAATATATACAGATACAATGCCGATCACGTCGAGCAGACATCACTATTTAGGTAGATATTGTAGCGAAAAGCAAAACGGTAGTCGCTCTTCTAGCATAGCAGTTGATTAATCGGCAGATCAGTCCGGCATCTTATAGGCCTTGTCATCGAACATCTATCGCGTGCAGTCGAGTATGCAGGAGACGGGCGATGTTGTTTCTGAGCAGGTTATGCACAAAATGGATCAGCTCGTGGGGCAGAAAGGAGAGCACAAAGCTTACTTATTCTATTTTGAGGCAGAGTATTATCATAATGAGCTAGTTTGTACATAATTGGGGGATATTATCTTCAGGTAGCAGAGGACTTGATGGTTTATGCTGGTCAAGTGACCACCCACCAAGCAAAGAAGCTGGCAATTGGACGCCTATCGTCCGTATTAGCCACCAAGAACCAAAACCCCTTGATGAAAGCTTAAACTTTCAAATCGATCGTGCATGACCTGTTCAGCGAACAATACAATCGGATCTATGTTTCCGGGCAAACTTCCGAAGCCGAGGGGAAGTTGGGAATCATCATGTAAAACCTTGTGGCTCACGCAGAACAAGCTATGAACAGCACTACGCACGGAAAATCAAAAGAGCCGCGTCAAAGCCCTCCCTTCATTGGTATCTTTGCTGAAACAGCTCACGTGAGCCAATCATCAACTCAAAAACCCCCCAAAGGATCCACAGAAGGGCTACACATTCTAGCGGAGGCCTTACTGACCGTGCAAACACGAAACTTCGAAGCAAAGTGATTTCCAATTCTCCGGAAAGCCCCATCATTATGATCGCCGTATAGGAGTAACAGAATAGATCAGCTCTCCTTGCAGGGCCAACATTCCAGTGAAAGTATTTCCGGAGCTTTAGGGTATGCTGACTTTCCTAATTGGGAAATACATCGACGATCCTACGCAAAAATTCGTCGCGGTGCTGCTCGCTCGCGCGGTACTTGGCCCGGAGAAAAGAAGTCAGCTCATACCTGGCTCGATGGCATCATCGAACGGATGTAAGAAGCAATGGTAACTTGCATTAGTTTAGCACGACTTGCGGTTCGATGTTTCCCCACATGCATCAAGCTTGATAACGGCGATATCTCCACATCCCAGCATCATCCCGAGCCAGTGTGAGCTTGATACCCTTGTTTTTCATTTCTTCAGAGGAACATGACTTCTGGCGAGGTCATTGGTTCGGTGCCCGGACCAGCTGTCCTGCGTCCTTGATTGCTGTGGAATGCCTGGATCATAGTCGTGCGGGTGTTACACCAGTAGTGTCTATGTAGCTTTCCTCCAAGACAGGGTGATGTCAGGACCGGGTTCCACGGTGGACGGGGTAAAATAGGAGTACGTGGAGAGGACCATTCTTCTTTTTCCGGGATCTGATTATTGGAATTTTGGATTTTCCTTCCTATATTACCATGCCCGAGCTCACCTTCTGACCGTCATCCGCGAATTCGACTAACCCGATTTCTTTCCAATACTCCTTTCTTGAGGGGTCGGACTGTATTAGAGGGTATATATATCACGGCATATACGCGCGTTAGCCTCGTCGATAGTCTTTTGGCCTAAACTGCACATACTTCGACAAGCCGGACGGACTTTGCGAGGTAGTCTCAGGGCAGAATTCCAATCTCCCATCGAGCACAAAACAACGATCACGAACAATGAGGCCCGATGACATTGAGAAAATCCATGGATCACCTTCCCTACACAGCATAAGCCAACATGAGCTCACCAGCAGCTCCTCAAATGACCCAATCAAGGAAACCATTCACGACCCCAAACCACAAACGAGATTGAGGCGATGGATCTCCAACATGAATGGCGTGGAAACCAGAGGTATCGAGCCGGTACCACTGGAAGAAAGGGAGCCGGTGACCTCGTCAACATCCCTGCATATGATGATTCTCTGGTTCAGCATGAGCTTGGCGACGAATAACATCACCGTCGGATCGATAGGAACGTTGGTCTTAGGGCTGAGCTTCAAGGATGCGGCGATTTGCGCGATTCTGGGGAATCTGGTCGGGACTATGACGGTAGGATATATGAGTACTTGGGGACCTCGGAGCGGGAATAGGACTTTGGTAATTCCCCAGAGACGAGTATTCTGTTATCGGTGATGACGGATGCTAATTGCTTCTAGATTGTCGCACGTTACTTCATGGGGTACTATCCCAGTAAAATCTGCAGCGCGCTGAACATCCTCACCAATCTCGGCTATTGCATGGTCAATTGTGTGACCGGCGGCCAGATTCTCTCCCGGGTTTCCGGTGGGCATATTTCCGTGCTGGTGGGCATCGTGGTCGTGGCCCTCTCGAGCTGGGCAATGGCCATTTTTGGAATGCGCATTTTCCAGATCTATGAACGGTACGTCAACCAGGAGAACGACTGGCGCAACATAATCCTAACTACTCGACCAGATTTGCATGGCTCCCTCAATTAATGGTTCTCTGTGTGATGCTCGGCTCCGCAGGCCCTCATTTCGACTTTGAAGTCCACACGCCCGTCTCGCGCGGCCGACTCAATGCCAAACGAGTCACCTTCTTCTCTCTCGCTCTATCCATTGCTCTCGCATGGGCACCGCTGGCCGCAGACTACTACGTCTACTACCCACCGCACATCAAGCGCTGGCGGGTCTTCGCCGTGACGGTGCTCGGCAGTGCCCACGCAATGATCCTCACTCTTCTGCTCGGCATCGGACTCGGCACGATGATGGCGAGCTCGCCCGCCTACCTCACCAAGTACGGCTCCACGCCAGGCGGCCTGCTGATGGCGGCATATGATTCCCTCGGAGGGTTCGGCAAATTCTGCGCCGTGGTCAACGTGCTGGCGCTGGTCACGAATAATACGCCCGGGGCGTATTCGATGGGAATGAATTTCCAGATGCTGGGTGGCTTCTTCTGGCGCGTTCCCCGGTCCGTCTTTACCACGCTGGCGACCGTGATTTATACCGCTTGTGCGATGGGGGGTCGCAATTCGTTGTACGAGGTGTTTAAGGGCTTCTTACCGCTGATTGGGTATTGGGTGATGATTTGGTTGATAATCGTGATGGAGGAGGACGTGTTCTTCCGTCGGTTGAAGGGCTATGACTGGTCGGCGTGGAATTCGCCGCAGCGGCTGCCCGTGGGGATTGCGGCGGGTGTGTCGTTTATAGTTGGCTGGGTGGGGGCCATCATCGGCATGGTAAGTTACACATCCTACATCTCTTGTGTACGGGGGAGGATTGGGAGCATGAGCTGATTCCTTGATTCGTTGTCCAGAACCAAGTCTATTATCGCGGCCTTCTGGCCCAGGTTGCCTCGGGGGCAGACTTGGGCCTTTGGACTGGGGCTGCATTTACAGCCGTGGTCTTCCCACCACTCAGAGCGATGGAACTCTTTTATTTCAGGCGCTAAGCAACGTCAAGTCTCGTCAAGATTTTAGGATTTTTAAGCTTTGAACGGGAGGGGGTTCAAGCGAACAAGGCCAATGAATGATCGTGCGGGCGCGTTGCATATGATACCGACAGCCCCCGGCCCGCGGCCCATGGAGACGAAGACGGATGCCCTCGGTCTGAGCCGATGGATGAGTACATGGCATGCTTCTATTAGTTGTGCTAGTTGCATAGGATCTGTAAAGATGATAGTTTGTCATGTTGTGTCCACAGGGAGCTGCACAGGGGCTTATGGTTTAAGAACTGAATTTCGAGCCATTAATTGTGAAGTATAAATAACAAAAACAACGGACGAATGAAACAGCGAATCATAGAAAATGCACATTCTCTTCAAATCTTCAAAATGTATATGGTATATAGTTCATTAATACATTGGACCATGAGTTGAACTCTGGAGCGAGGTCTAATAGTGTCTCGTTCATTATTCCTTACTGCCCAACCGGACCCTCCATTCGCAGAGCTTCGACCAATCAAATTCGATCGTGGGCGGGACCCCGCACTCCCCGAACCAAATCACAAGCCGCCGATTTCACGAGGCGGCACGATCAACATCTGCTAATAAGAGCTGACGCTGCTTGTCGTCCGCTGGGCAGATTCTTAGCCAGAAGAAAAAAAAAAAGAAAAAGGGCCGCACCTCCCCTGGAACCTCTGGCATAGGTCCCCTCCGCACCTTGTATCTTCGGAGACCCCTTCTGCAACACCATGGACAACGCGACTTCTTTGCTGGCGTCGCAGTCACTGACGGACGCGGCAAGGGCCCTCCTTGACGCTGCCCCTCGACAATGGCTCCCCTACGTTTTGGGCTTGCTGGTAGGCTATCCTCTTCTCACGGGTAGCTTGCGATACCAGCGAATGCGAAACATGTACAAAAAATACCCGTATGTCACTCGGCACGACATGGCGAATATGACCGACGATCACGCATTCGAGATCCAGAAAGCCGTGGCACAGCTCGAATTCCCATTTATGTTTATCAAGTCACTGCAATTTGCCTTGTTTAGGGTACGTACAAGATTGACACTGTCGGATGATACGTACCATCCTGGGAAACTTCTCTAAACAATTAAACACCCCCCCCCCCCATATCATATATCCACATCTCTAACAATCACCCCCCAGACCTACGGCATCCCAACAATCTCCCACCTCCTCACCAAAACCAGCCAATTCTCCAGCCCAGAAACATCGCTCAAGCGGTACACGGACACGAGCGCCCTCGTCCAAGAAATGGTGGGCAACAGCCCAACCTCCGCACGAGCCTACGCCTCCTTCGCCCGCACCCGCTTCCTGCACTCTGGCTACCGGGCCTCGGGCAAGATCCTCGACGACGACATGCTCTATACACTCGCCCTCTTCGCCCTGGAGCCCATCCGCTTCATCAGCCGCTACGAGTGGCGTGAACTAAGTGATCTAGAGCGCTGCGCTATCGGCACGTTCTGGAAGAGCGCGGGCGATGCCTTGGGTATCGGATACGAGAAGTTGCCGTCCGGCGCAACGGGGTTCAAGGATGGAATCCAGTGGTTAGAGGAACTCGAGGCTTGGAGTGAGGCGTACGAGGCAAAGTGTATGGTGCCCGACGTGAAGAATCGGGAGACGGCCGACCAGACTACGGCCGTGTTGCTGTACATGTTGCCCAAGGTGTTGCATCCGGTTGGACTGCAGTTTGTATCGTTTATGATGGATGAGCGGTTGCGGAAGGCGATGCTGTACGTTTTTTAAAACCCCCTTCCCTATTATAACTTTTGGCAAGTTTGATGATTGCGACACTAACGACTGTTTATAGATACGACGCGCCTTCTTCTGTCGCGGTCATTGCTTTTTCAAGCCTGTTGACCGTTCGCAAGCTCTTCTTGCGGTATCTATCTCTGCCTCGGCCGTATTTCTTGCGCTCGGTCTCGTTCACTGATGAACCCGATGAGCATAACCGCTTCTTCCTGACTCAGTGGGAAGCGGCGCCTTACTATGTCAAGCCGACATTTTGGAATCGCTGGGGTCCCACTGCGTTGCTAACCCGGATTCTTGGACGGCCGGTGCCTGGTGACGAGCGTGATAAGTATTATCCTCAAGGGTATAGTATTCAAGACGTTGGACCGAAGTACTTTGAGGGTAAAGGGCGTAAAGCAATCGAGGAAGCGATGGAAGAGTTCAAGGAATATCGGACTGGAAAGTGCCCATTCCATTGAAATGGGGGGGGGGGGGAGGGGACGAGAGAAAGAGGATCTGAGAATACCCAAGAGTAGTTCTAGTTCAGCAATGCTGGGTGAGATAGATGGAGACGTCGTGGTCGTTGGTAGCACATGGCGGGACTATAGTGCAATCTAAAGAATATAAACAGAGATCGAGACGCGCATGGCCGCTTTACTGTGAAGATGAAATCCCAGACAATGAAAGTCATTTCGTCAATTGCTTTTCCAGTATGTAATCTGGCCCGGCGGTTGGGAAAAACCACCGTAAACCGATAGGAAAAAATAGAGACAGAATAAAAAGGGGGTACATTAGGCGCTCAAACAAGATACTTGGGGTCGGAGCCGGACCCGTATGGAGCCTAGCCCCGTACACATAAGAGAATGTAGTCTTTATCGAAGGGTATTACTACGAGCAAGTCTCAAAAATGCTGGGTAATCAGCACATTTAGACCTCCTCCTCGAGACCGCCCTCCTCAGCGAGGCTAAAGAGAAGCACGGTTAGTATGATTATCCATGAGGGAAAAACTTTTTGGAAAAAAAAGGTATGGCTTACTACTCCTCCTCGCCCTCGGAGATGGAGGCTTCCTGGTACTGCTGGTACTCGGAGACAAGATCGTTCATGTTGCTCTCAGCCTCAGTGAACTCCATCTCGTCCATACCCTCACCAGTGTACCAATGCAAGAAAGCCTTGCGACGGAACATGGCAGTGAACTGATCGCCAATACGCTTGAACAGCTCCTGGATGGAGGTCGAGTTACCGACGAAGGTGGAGGACATGCGGAGACCACGGGGAGGAACGGAGCACAGAGCGGTCTGAACGTTGTTGGGAATCCACTCAACGAAGTAGCTGGTGTTCTTGTTCTGGATGTTGCGCATCTGGTCCTCAACCTCCTTCATGGAGACCTTACCGCGGAACAGGGCGGAGCAAGTGAGGTAACGGCCGTTGCGGAAGTCAGAAGCAGCCATCATGTTCTTGGGGTCGAACATCTGCTGGGTCAGCTCGGGAACGCTGACCTGGCGGTACTGGTGAGCACCGCGGCTGGTCAGGGGAGCGAAGCCGACCATGAAGAAGTGCAGACGAGGGAAGGGAACCATGTTGACAGCCAGCTTGCGGAGGTCGGAGTTGAGCTGACCGGGGAAACGGAGGGAGGTGGTAACACCGGACATGACGGCGGAAACCAGGTGGTTCAGGTCACCGTAGGAGGGGGAGTTGAGCTTGAGGGTGCGCATGCAGATGTCGTACAAAGCCTAGACAAAAAAGAGATTCAGTTGGGTTGATCCCCCCCCGAGAGCAGGATGTTCCGCGACAATGGATTCGTCATACCTCGTTGTCAATACAGAAGGTCTCGTCGGAGTGCTCAACGAGCTGGTGGACGGACAGAGTGGCGTTGTAAGGCTCGACAACGGTGTCGGAGACCTTGGGGGAGGGGACGACGGAGAAGGTAGCCATCATACGGTCGGGGAACTCCTCACGGATCTTGGAGATCAGGAGTGTACCCATACCGGCACCGGTACCACCACCCAGGGAGTGGGTGATCTGGAAACCCTGGAGGCAGTCGCAAGCCTCGGCCTCACGACGGACGACATCGATGACCTGGTCGACGAGCTCGGCACCCTCGGTGTAGTGACCCTTGGCCCAGTTGTTACCGGCACCGGACTGACCGAAGACGAAGTTGTCGGGACGGAAGAGCTTGCCAAAGGGACCGGCACGGACAGCGTCCATGGTACCGGGCTCGAGATCGACCAGAACGGCACGGGGAACGTACTTGTCACCGCTGGCCTAAAAATAATACCAAGATCCATTGATCAGATATGACTCCAGTAATTCAGTATTCGATAAACACGCAACTTACGTGGGTGAAGTAGACGTTCAGGCGCTCCAGCTGGAGGTCGGAGGTGCCTTGGTACCTAGCCAAAAATATCAGACCGCCATTCCGCGTCGAGTGGTTTTGACGAGCAAGGTTATCGAAGATACTTACTGGCCATCGCCGTCAAGGCCGTGCTCACCAGCAATGGTCTGCCTGTAGTTCGAGTCAGTACAAATTGTCCATTTAAAATCGCAATTGCGGTGTTGCTTTGTTGTGCTGGGGGAGATTTTTGGCGGGCGTGGCACGTACCAGAAAGCGGCACCGATTTGGTTACCCTACAGGTCCCCCCAAATTCCGTTTAGTCAAACCGTCACATTCCTCACTTCACACATCCCCCACTTGTCTCTGGACGTCACTTACACACTGGCCGGTCTGGAGGTGGACCTAAATACTCGTCGAAAAAGAAGAGGTTAGCACGGGCTGAACAGGTGGGGTTTGTCGACTTCAGGGGTAAAGGGAAAACACAGGACGCGTCGGATCGGGGTTGGACATACGATCTCACGCATTGTGGATGGAAATTGGCGATATGAAGTGGGAGAAGGGTCTTGGAAAGGAGAACGAGGAGGGTTGATGACCAGAAGTCCAGGAGATGGAGAGGAGGAGAGGAGGAAAAGGTCGGTGTGTGGGCGTGGGGATCAACAACAAACCAGGCCAAAAGGAACGTTCAGGGGGGGGGGATGTCCCCATCGGGGTTAGTGCCATTGGGCCAGTTAGGTGGAGATCAGGTGATCTCAGTTGGTGGGAACTGCGCGAACCACACTTTGGACTTTGGGTGTTTGTTCTGTTTGCCTTTGGGTATCGTTGGGCTAAACCACAGTAAACCACACGGCGTTCTGACTGTCATGTGTATGGATTAGTCATGAGCTATGAGCTCTGGCATTTAACTAACTAGTTAGTTAACTTATGAGATGACAACACTATCATTACACTTGAGGCATACAACATCCTCTCCGTCTATTGCGATCATATTCCAGCCCCTTTTATGAGCTTCTTACTTTTACTTCTCACTCTCCAGCCAGTCTCCGAAACCTTGCAATCGCTCGTTCTCTTCTTCGTTCTCGGCGTCAAGGCCCCGCTCCGCCATGTCCTCCAGAGCTGCCCGTCGCTCATTGGTCTTCTTAAACTTCTCACGTCCAACCTGGAGGTAGGCCTTGATCTGGGTGCCGCCGAAGAATCGGCCATCCAGGCGCTAGAAGTAGTATTAGCATCGGACATCAGACAAGTGAAAGATTCCCGAGAGATCCATTGGAAGCCTCGAAAGATAGGGGACTGAAAGAGACATCAATGGGAAATGAGGTCAATCATAACATACCTCAATGCATTTTTGTGCATCCTCATGTTCGGCAAATCGTACGGTCACCACTCCGGCTGGCTCCAGGTCGTAAAGCACAACATTGGTGACCTCTCCGAACTTAGAGCATTCGTTTCGGACATCCTCTTTGATGTCCAGAATTGCCTCGACGTCGGTCTACATAGAGAAATTCAGTCTCGCTAGAATCGCATACCATAGGAATCTTATTGACGGGCTTACCTGAAGCTCCTCCAAAGTGAACAAGCCTTTCAGGACCACCGTCCGTTCCTGGCGAACGCCAACATTATTCCGAGCAAGCGGGTCGTCGTCATCCCAATCCGTCAACAAACTGTATGGAGAATGAATGTTAGCGCCTAGACAAAGAACGCATCATGAAAGCGCCAGACAAACCGATTTAATTCCTCGGTCCGCTCTATGATCTTGCGCCTGTCACGAGGCGCAGACTTGGCCGGGGCTTCCGTTTGATTTTTGAAAGACAGTTCAGCTGCCTGCACTCTCATCGGCTCCTTTCCGGCCAGTGGAACGTTGCCCTCGCGGAAATCGGTCTCGTCGACCATCTGAATCGCTAAAGAAACGGATTCAGGGCGGAAGTAGACCACCAGGGCCTCACCCTTGAATTTACCACTCTCATCATAGTACATCTTGATACGTGGACCGCCGCTGTCAATTTCTCGGGCGATCACACCCCAACGAGCGAACTTTTGTTCGATTTCATCCCGATTAGTGTCTGGAGGCAGGCCAGTGACCCAAACCGCGTGGTTTACGCGCGGCTTTTTGGCCTTGTTTCCCTTTGCCTAGGAGACGATTAGAAACAGAGTTGAAAATTTTGCTTTAGCAAGCCTGAATATCGCAGCACTTACATCGCCAGCTGGCAGCTTCCGCTTCTTCATTTCACGGGGGTTGACCTGCTCATCTTCATCGACGCCTGCAACTTTGTAGGCCTCTTGCTGTTGCTTCAGGAGCTCCTCATCAACCTAGATCGATAGGATAATTTAGCACCCGGCATCAATGCCGATTACTCAGTCCCGGCGGAATTGCCGGGCTCGCAGAATTGAGGAATGCGCATAGCTCGAAATGATACAAAACATACCTTCTGAACCCAGCGCTTGATGCCGGTATCATATTCAAACTCCTGCCCATCCTCAGTTTCCAGGATGAACTTTTCATCGACCATGGACCACGAGATGCGTGGGTCGCTATCAAACTCCGCCGGGTCCTGCGGGAACGCAGGCGTATCTGCGGAGGCCCCGCGAGAAGCCATCGCGAGTCTGTACAATCGTTGATGAGTGACAGAGAATAGAAACAGAAGGAGTGTCCGCTTTGTCAGCGATCGCGGGGGTGTAAGAGTGGGGATGGGAAAACAGAGCGAGAGGTCGAGGGGACTCGCGGGATGCGAGTCGTGGGGGTCCGCACAGGCGGGAAGCTCTTGGAAGGAGCTCAGAGCTCTCCAGGTGACTGAAACAGCCGTTCCCGCGGATCGCTCATTGCTTACTGTAAGTGAATCACTCTACGTTCATTTCAACAACAGACACAACTACTCAGTGAGGAAATAGAGATAGCGATATCTTGAGTTTTATTTATTGTATTTGAAAGGGTATCTGGAACATGCTAGGAAAGAAATAAAGGGGGGTAAAAGCTCAGAGCCAAGAAAAATACAAGCGATACAGATACAGAGTATCCGAAGCCCACACTTCGTTTTGCTTGATGATGAAAATGGACAGAGAATTGGCAAGTTCAGGACCGTACCGAGAGTGGAAAAATGGAAGAAAAAGAAATTAAAAGTATTAAAGGAGTGACTTACAAGGCGAGATCAATCAAGCCTTGGTGTCAATGGTACCTTGCTCTCCAGTGGGAGTCATGGTACGCTTGGAGCCAGCGTCGCTGCTTTCAACGCCATTAACAATGTCGCGAGTAACCTCAACGTAGTCGTACTGGAGAATGATTATTAGCAAATGACGTTTATGCAAAAGGTCTGAGGTATGACTTACGGCAAACTCGCCAATCTCAGCATCATCAATACCCAGGATCTCATCCTCCTCGGGAGCACGCAGGCTAAGACCCGGAATGAGGTTCATGATGAACAGGATAATGCAGGTACCGACAAAGGAGTACGCAAATCCAGTGACAGAGTCAGCCAGCTGGTAACCGAGCTGAATGTAGTTGTGGTTGATCCAGCCACCGGCGATCTCGGTGACTCCATCGAGGTGCGCAATATAGTCACTAAAAGTAATTAGTATATAATCTTGCGATAAGCCCATGAGAGGCCATGACTTACGCAGCAAAGAGACCAGTGAGCAGGTTGCCGACCAGACCACCAACGGCGTGGACAGCGAAGATATCCAGAGCATCATCCACGCGAAGCAGGAACTTCAGCTTGGTGGCATAGTTGCAGGCAACGGCACCGACAACACCGAAGATGAAGGCAGCCCAGGGAGTAACGAAACCGGAGCCAGGAGTGATTGCGACCAGACCGGCAATGACACCGGAGCAGAACCCGACAGTGGACCACTTGCGCTCAAGACGGTAGTCAAGCAAGCACCAAGTAACACCACCGACCGAGGCAGCGAGGTTAGTCACAACGGCAGCCATGACAGCACGCAGGTTAGCGGACAGGGCCGAACCAGCGTTGAAGCCGAACCATCCAACCCAGAGGAAGACGGTTCCAATAACAACGTGAGTGACATTGTGGGGACGGTAGTTAAGCTCGTGGGTGCCGTGGCCACGACGCTTGCCGAGCATCAGGGAGTAAGCCAGAGCAGCGGAACCGGAAGCAATGTGGACGGGAGTACCACCAGCGAAGTCGAGGCCACCCAGCTTGAAGACCCAACCGGAAGCATTCCAGGTCCAGCAAGCGATGGGATCGTAGATGACGGTAGTCCAGATGAACATGAAGATGATGCAGGGCAGCATGCGACCACGTTCAGCAACAGCACCGACAGCGAGAGCAACACTATATCAAGTTAATGAGCCATTACCCAGCGAAATTCCGTCTCAATTGTGGTACTCACGTAATAGCAGCGAACATGCCCTGGAAGATGGCAAACAGAATATCCGGAACCTTGGTGCTGCCGACAGATGGCGCCGCCAGGACATCCTTCATACCAAAGTTCGCCAGGTCACCGATGAAACTGCCAGCCGTGTGGGAGAAGGCCAAAGAGTAACCCCAGAAGAACCATTGGAAGGAGACCACGCCGACCGACATGATGGACAGCCATATCAAAGAGAGGGCCGACTTGCGACGAGCGAGACCGGAGTAGAAGAAACTATGGAGCGACGTGTTAGCAAAACTTGATCCTTCGCCAGGTTGTATTCTCAAGTACAACTTACCCAACACCGGGAATCATCAGCAAGACGAGGGCGGATGAAGTTACTACCCAAGCAATATCACCGGCCTAGATAGTCGTTGTCAGTAATTGTCCTTGAATGAGATGTATTCAATTGTCATCGATGCTTACATTGTAATAGATGTTGAGGTCCTCCGTCAACGAGTCACCACCAGTGCCCGTGGCGGAGCCGTTGTAGGCCACCGGGTATGCAGACATGGTGATACCAGATGTACTTAGACGTGTGCGTGTGTTTCACAACGGGAGATGAAGGTAAGCGGCACAGCCAACTAGGTCACCCAAGTGCAGGGAGGCTATGATACGCTCAGGATTCCAAAGGTCTATCGAGCAGATAGGACGACCAAAGGGGGAAACAAGTTCGAGGAATAGGATAGATCCAAAGGTGATGCTTCTTAAACCAACCGACCTGCGGAGCTAGAAAGGGGAAATTGGATTGGAAAAAAGGAAAGCTGATCTATCCAGCACCTGCAGGGACTGGGTCTGATAATTAAATAGCGACAGGCAATATTTCGCATGTCTAGGACAGACACGCAGGGCTCCACCATCGGCCACGCTAGAAAGCGCAGCATCGGATTCGATCTTGGGCTCCGCGATAGTGGGAACCAGCTTGTGGTCATGATGATTACTGGTATGATTCATCGGATCGAACTGATAGCCGGGGCCAAGCCCGCCCCATTTCAGCCATGTCCGGGATGAGGAGGACTGTGGTCATGGTTTGTATGGATCCGGAACGGAGATTTACGGGACGGGGTAGAGAGTTTAATTACGAGGTATACAATCTACTCTAGTAAAGATGCTGCGATGAAGAAAAGAAGAAGAAGATATCATTATTGCTCGTTGACAGAGACTGCGATTAGATCTTGATGCATAGCATGATGTTATACTGCTAATGTTTACAGGAATTCTCCGATCCCAACCAGGTACCGTAAGGATCATTCTCGTCTTCTGCCATGTCAGACCAGGGCAATGGAGGTGTGATACCGAAAAGGGCTCGTCAGCATTGTACTTTAGAGTGCAGAGCGATAAGCAGGGGTTCGGAATCGCTAGGGTGATAGCATGATTGGGTCTTTGGGGTGACAGATGGAGGCGAATAATGGGAATTGACAGGGAAACCGCTCTAATCGCCAGTAATCATCCAGCCTAACAGGCGCTATCAACAAAATCCTAAAAAAACAAATGGGTGAGAATTAGGAATACCTGCGGTCAAGGTTACGACTGGCTGTAGATATGCAAGTCCACAGGGGGCCAATCAACGGCCGTAGTGCTTATCTGCGCCTTCATCCTTAATAGTACATCTTGCGACTGGTCCGCAAAGGTACTGAAGACGACGACGGCGCCGTCTGCCGCGGAGATTTGAAGTTGAAATTGTTTCAACTACAGACTTGAATTGGATTTGCTGACTCTATAAACCCATAAGAAATTGAACTCTTCAAACCGAGCATGTCATACTCAAAACGGTAATCCCTAAATTTTGTAAGGTACATTTAGCTCGGAAAGGTCTTATCTCACACCTAATGACCAGCCAATCAGCGCCCGATTATTCGGCCTGTCAGGGCTGCTTATCGCTGCCTCGTCTAAACCTTCGCCTTCGCACCTCACATCCCAAAGCATCATCCTTTCATATCATCAGACCCTTCGTAGTTTATTCGTTCCCTACCAAAACAGAGTCTGGCTCTTGGCAATTAACTCTCTATACTTCGCGCCTCTGACGATACCAAAGATTTGGAAATCGTGTATTTCCCACCAGTAGCAAACCTACGACTATTGCACCAGTACATGGGAGGTTGAGCATCGTTTTTTGAAGCTTCAGCCGTTCAATGATTGCCATCACCCCTCGCATTGAATGCATATTATGCGAGTCTAGAGGACTTCCAAATTTGGAGTAGTCACTTTCCATTTTCCGGGATAATGGAGACCTACTCCACCTGCCAGGGACATGATCCCCCGAGAACGCATGGGGCGTAGTGCGACGTTTGTGCTCCCTGCCACGCGGTCCGCGGAGTGCCAAGCCATGATAAGCCTTGAACTGCTCATTGGTTGTGGAGGCGTAAGCTGGTGTTGGGCTTGAAGTCGGCATCACGACCTTCTTCTTGGTATCGCTTCCAGACGGCTTCGACTGGTCATTCTCCCCAGAGACTTCGTTCGACTGACGTCGAGATGCAGGATCTATTTGTGACGCTATTGACTTCTCCTCGCCTCTTGGATCTTGATTGATGAATGTCGCCCAAAGTCGATTCTTTCTTTCTTTCTAAGAGCCGCAGAGGTGGCCATGTCGCCTCCGGGACTGTCTCATTCACTGGTGCATGTCATGCTCGTCACATCAATGATTATGTTAGTGGCGGGGAATCCGAGATCTCTTATAATTCACTGACTGCAAATGACCGTCTGGCTATATAGGCTTGTCCAGTTTTATTATGATAGAAAGTTACCAGCTCTGGTCAGGGTCCACTGATCGACAAGCATGGTGATGATCTACCGACCTAACGAGCAGCGAGGTGGAGATGGAGGGTTCGACTATATTTTGCACAGGCCATGCCACTACATACGAAGTAAACATTGTTCTTGATGCCGAGCCGAACTTCCTGACCCCAGGGGTTCGCTGATCACGGCCTGCTGCGGCTGCAATTCCTGCAGGAACCTTACCATGAGCGGAAGTAACAGTCCCACTATGCGGCAAAGGCTGAAGATTATGTACACAAGTCGGCTAGAAATGTACCAAGTAGGTACTATCGGTGATTGTTGGTATCAAGAGAGATACGCTGTTTGGCTGGAAGTAGCCCGAACTCTGTGTACCCTGGAAGACCACTGATACTGTATACAATAAATGCCGGTCGGGCTAACTTCATTTGGGGGATGTCGATGACAAAGTCAAGTTACGAGAGGGTCAAATCTTGAAAAGAAAGAGCTATGGTAGATAACCATAATATCAGTGCATGATCCAGTCTTGGAGCAACCATGAAATGCGGCTCTGGCTGGGATATTGGCCGAAGGAGTGAAAACGAGTTATTTTTCTTTTGCTCGCGGGCCTTTACAGAACGTTCATGAGGAACCAGGTACCAGATACACATTGATTGACATGAATTACTACTGTCTATCGCTTATTCTATGGCATGGGTATTGTGACTAGAGTACAAAATAGCTTGGGCACTTTCAGGCTCAGCTTGTTGGCAGTTTTTTCCGATTCACCTCTCGCGTTAAACAGCTTCAGGTTGTGTTTCCACTCTCTGAAGTCGAATTCCCTTACGATAACAAGAAATATCAATTTTTGGAGTGAGAAGCTGCTTTAATAAGGAGTATCCTCCTTTACGGAAGGTCGTTTAGCTGCGTCCTCTGTAAGACACGGAACCGTTTTCTTAATCTGGCCTTTACTGTAAGTACTAATACACCTTAGCCCCAGTACTCCGTATCTTATATGCAGAACATTGATGAACATTTGAGACATCCAAAAGTGGCTTTTCTTGTTGATGAATCGTACAGATGCAGACTTAGATAGCTGTATTGGTTGCGAGGACTCCGCGGGTTGGGTAAGGGCCGCTTTATAGGTATGTATCTGACTTTTGCTATGTATGTAGCTTGAGGCGACCGGTATATACATATTTTGTAAGATAATGTTCTCAATTATCAGAATTTCATATTATCTTTGTTTTGAATAGTAGATCTGATCTGTCAACGGCTGGATCAAGCGGTCACAGATCCCCTCTCTCGAAGGTGGACGGAGTACATATACTTAGGTACTCGCCATTCCGAGCCGCAATTATGCAATTTATCTAGCGGTAGAAATTTATGAAAACCAGGGAAGAAACGCCAAGAGCTTGAATCCTCTCTAGATTCTTGAATTCTCGTGTCCTTATTGTCCCCATACCGTACGGCCAAGGGAATAGAAGTTCTAGAAAGAATCCATAATTTCTAGGTATACAGGTGATCCGTCATCAGATGATCAAAAGGATCCTGTCGGGGACAGAGGTTGTCTTTACCAAGATTAACTCATGCATTACAACAAGCTGTCTCGATGTCGTCTTTACTCCTCCGATTTATTGTCCTATCTCGCACTAGACCGGTGTCAAGGTCAACCAAGTCTTGATCCGGCCAGCTGACTTGGGACAGGGTACAGGGATGTCATTTCATATCAGACAAGACATTAACACACTGCCACGTACGTGTACGTAACTCATGCACCAACTAAATAAGGTAGGACAGTCAGTCGATCAATGTCATTGCGAAGACTGGCCAAGACGGAGTGAGCAAAAAGCAGGGATCCCCATGGGCGGAGAGGCCTGTGATTGGGCCTGCCTGCCACCCGCACCGCCACACGTCCCCTATCACTTCCTATCATTCCTATCGTCTCTCTGAGCTTCGTCCTCCCCGTTCGCCAGAGCTTTCTTGCATCACACGGTCCACCATGGAGCATCCCGACATTGTCAGCCATGACTCGGATGGCTCAGGGTCCTCGGATGATTACCCTCCTCAATACCCTCTGAGGGCCAACTCATCCTTCAGTGAGCCCTTCATTGACGGTGCTCAAATCCAGACTCCGGCCACGACCACCCCCTCCTCCCCTCCATCACACACCTCGAGCCTGGCCTCCTCATGGTCCAGTACTCCAACTGCCCGGCCACGAGGGGCTAGTGTTGGAGCCTCTGCCGTCCTTGACAAAGTTGACCCCCATGCCATGGCCGCTGATCCGCGCCTTCAACGTCCGTCGGCTCCCGCGAGAACTCCCTCCAATACGTATGCCCCCCAACGCCGTCCACCGCAGTACATCAGTCTCCAGAGTGACCGGCAGCGATCCTCCTCCACGAAAAGGGGTACCCGACGCGATCCAAACGCACAGTATCGCGCCCAGGAAAAGGCTTACGTCCAGCGCATTCGGGCCAATCCGCAGGCCTGGTACCACCACTTTGACGACGACGCGCAATCCGCCAACATGATGATGGGAGATGCAGATCTCGAGGATCCCTCGCCCTCCTCAGAGGTGCCCTTTGAGGACGATTCTTACGACCCCGATACCCAATTATTTCTCCCCGATGACAACATGCCGACAATAGAAGAGCTGAAACACCCAAAGAATCAGGAACGGTTGGAATGGCATTCAATGCTGGCTTCCGTGCTAAAGGGAGACGTCGTTAGACAAGAGAAACAGCGATTGATCGACTCGACGGAATCAAAGCGTTCGGCTGCTTTGGGTCATGCGCTCTGGATGGGTGTACGAGCAAGAACTTGTGGACGAAGCATTGCCCTGCAACGGAAGCTCATTGAAGATGCCAGGGCACAGCTTGGCCCTTTAATTGAGGAGATCATCAATTTTCAGATCAAGGGTGAGACTGAAATCGGCAAGCCGCCTAGACAACAGGTGGAGGATGTGGTGGCAAAGGTTGAGAAATGTGAGGTTCTCTATTCTACTTCCAAGGAAATGGAAGCTGCGAACCCTCGTACCGCTTCAGAGGAATTCTATTCTAGCCGTGCCGCCATCTTTGCTTGGCATAATATCACAGCTCTCATTAACACTGAGCTGGCTGTCCTGCAAAGCTGGGTGGGTAACGATGCTCTGGATTTCAGCCAGCCCAGAATGAAACATGAAAATAGCGAGCTCTCCGAGGACTCTTCTTTTCTGGATCGCATCATGAAGGAAGACGGTCTGAAGACGCTTCAAGGTGACCACAGCATGCTAAATGGGCTTGGTAGAGTTATTCAGAAGGCAAAGGGCACGCTGATTGAGAATGCGCAGGCCTTTGCTGCCCGCCATTTACCGCCATACATCGAAGAACTCTTGACTCTGATCAACTTCCCGTCACGGCTGATTCAAGAGATTATTCGTGTCCGACTGTCTTACGCGAAGAATATGAAGGACCCTGCCCAGCAATCTCCCATCTTGGTAGATCAGATGATTTCACAGTTCCAGATCTTGATGAGGGTGGCTACGCAGATCAAACAACGTTATTTGGAAATTTCACGGCCAGAGCCTGGCTGGGATCTTCCGCCCTGCGTTGACGAGAACTTTGATTCTGTGGTTCTTGACGCGATGAAGTACTATTTCCGGATCTTGAACTGGAAGCTGAATGCAAACAAGAACACGTTCAAGGAGGCTGAAATTCTCGAACAAGAGTGGGAGTTTTCCTATGTTATTGGTCGACAGATTGAAAACGGTGATATTGAGGTGGCCGAACAATTCAGGTATGTCAAGCGCCCAACCCCTCGAGATATTTACCTGTAACTAACGCTTTGATTTCTACAGCGCTTTGACTGCCAAGTCACTTCAGCGGCTCATGATCCATTTCGAGCGCGAGCTTGTGCCGAGACATAATGAGAGCGTCGCGGATATGGACAAGCGTTACAAGAGTATTCTGGATTCAACACGTATTCGCCAGCGCAAATTGTACCGATTCTCAAAGTTCCTCTGTCAACTCTTCGAAAATGCTACCGAATATAACCTGACGACTGATATCGCCTATGAATTCTTCGAGGCGTTACTCGTCTCCGATCACTTCCTTGTCACGTCGCCCACCTCTGTTGGTCAGAAGGGAGTCTACCTGATTGCCCACCATTCGTTGTGGAACCGACCCGCAGATATCCAAGCGATTCTTGCCACCTCATTCCGAGAAGACGAGTCCACAAAGGATGGACCACATATTCCGTACGTGCTGGTCATTCGCCCAGAAAAACCCCTGGCATGGGCTGGCAAAGAGATGAAGATTGATTTCTTGGAGCAACCGACCGATGTGCGTGTTGGAAAGCTGCGGCTCGTCGTCGAGGGTATGCAGGAGCGACTGCAGAATGCCCGGATGGAATTAGCCCAACTCACGGGCATGCAGCTCGATATGGCGATCGAACAGCGCGCCAATTTGGGCCGTGTCAACGTGGAGTTGAACAAGATTAAGAAAATATCCTTCAAACTGTCCATGGCTATCATGGATAGTGTGGCTGTGATCAAGAACCAACTTCGAGAGAAAACATGGGAGAACAACGACTTGATTCAGGCTTGCTATGCATTTGCAACCGAATTTGGTAAGCGTTCATCTAACTATGTCGACGCCAACCGGCGTGCTATGAACAGTGCCCGCCTGGTCGAGTTGTCCCTCGACTGGGTTTCCTTCATTTGTGATGAGTGCGATGCTGCAGATCGGAAGACCTTCAAGTGGGCAGTGGCGGCTCTGGAGTTCGCCATGGCCATCACCTCTAGCCGACACCTGCTGTCTATGGACGAGGAAGAATTCGGCCGTCTGCGGTTGAAGGTGGCGGGCTGCATGTCCCTGCTGATCTCTCACTTTGATATCATGGGCGCTCGCTCTTCTCTTGCCGCCCAGGCTGAGAAACAGCGCATGGAGGAGCGTGCCGGCTACCGCAAGGTCGGTGCCGGCCGCATACTGAGCGATGACGAAGCATCAAATTCGATTCGCGAACAGTGGCTCGCTCGCGTGGGGGAGATCGAAGACCGCAGAGCCGACACCAAACGGCAAGCACTCGGCAAGGTCCTCGAGGGCTCCAACGAGGCCGATCGCTCTTTGACGGTACTCTCATCCTCTGCCACGAACGTCACTTTGCGTTGGCAGCAGGGCCAGTTCATTGGTGGAGGTACTTTCGGCTCTGTCTACGTGGCTATCAATCTGGACAGCAATTACCTGATGGCTGTCAAGGAAATCCGTCTGCAGGATCCGCAGCTCATCCCCAAAATCGCACAGCAAATTCGCGATGAAATGGGTGTTCTGGAAGTGTTGGATCATCCCAATATCGTGTCCTACCACGGCATTGAAGTGCATCGCGACAAGGTGTACATCTTCATGGAGTACTGCTCAGGCGGCTCACTTGCTAGCTTGTTGGAGCATGGCCGTATCGAAGATGAAACGGTCATCATGGTTTATGCCCTTCAACTTCTCGAAGGTTTGGCCTATCTCCACCAAGCAGGTATTGTTCACCGCGACATTAAACCGGAGAATATCCTACTGGATCACAACGGAATTATCAAGTACGTTGATTTCGGTGCTGCAAAGATCATCGCCCGTACGGGCCGTACAGTAGCCCCCATGGACGGCCCCAACGGTCCCAACGGCGGCATACTCGGAAAGGATGCTCAGATAGCCAACGCGCGGGGCAAGAACCAGAAAACTACCACGGGTACTCCGATGTACATGTCTCCTGAGGTCATCCGTGGTGACTCCCCCGACCTGATCAACCGCCAGGGCGCCGTTGATATCTGGTCATTGGGATGTGTTATCCTGGAAATGGCGACCGGTCGCCGTCCCTGGTCTACCCTTGACAATGAATGGGCAATCATGTACAACATCGCTCAGGGTAACCAGCCAGCTCTACCAACGCAAGACCAACTCAGTGACACGGGAATCGACTTTGTGCGCCGCTGTTTCGAGTGCGACCCATTGCGGCGACCCACTGCCGCCGAACTACTCCAACACGAATGGATCGTCTCAATTCGTCAGCAAGTTGTCATCGAACCTCCAACGCCCGGTAGCGAGAACGGCAGCTACACTAGTTCGAGCTCTGTCAGTCGCCAGGGCTCGACCTACGCCTGATCCTATCTCCACCGAATCTTTTTCATATCTCATTTCTGCCTTTCATCATGGTATTTGAACATTTGCTAGCTTTCCATGGCAATTGCGCTCCATATATATGATGAAACAAGATCTTCTAATCGTCCGTTTCACACCACATTCGCTTGATCTCGATATTGAATCGTACCCATCCTCAAACGGCATCGCATGTGATACCCCCTTCTGTGTCGATTTTTTTTCTTTTTTTCGGTTTTCTCTGGTTATCTGCTTTGCGGTCTCCAATTTTCTCTTCATTTCTCGCATATACGAAGCTGAGTCTGCTGGTCATTCTAGGGTTTCTGGTTTCTGTTTGGCGCTGGTTCTGTGTGCTAGTTAGTTGTATGATGTTCTGTGTGTACGAAAACGATTTGGTGTTGGCATTTGACTTTACTGCATGCATATTATTGAGCAATTTTCGGAACATGCATTGTTCCCTTCCCTTCTGTAATCTCAATCAGTGACATCAAGGAATCCATGAAGAAGTTAGATTGATACCTAGGAGGAGCCCTTGAGCGTGTGTTTAGTACACGTGCTCTGGCCCGAAGCTAATCAATATTGTCCAAAGAAACGTCTACAAGATCAGATGAAGCATTAGTGAAATAGGCACAGTCCAGAAAAACCTGCGTATTGATTTTCTCTAGTGGGCTGCACGGCCCATCCAAGCGTAGTGATTAAATACATCACAACAAACAATAAGAAAGGAATAGATGTAGATGGCGAATAAGGTTAATAGAAAATGTCGTAAGGTGAAAAAAACTCGGAACAAAGAGAGGAACCCATCTCGCCCAAAGGAACAAGAGTAAAGAGAAAAACGCCATTTCCGAGATCGAGGGTTTCATGAGGCATGAGATGAGATACAGTTTGACCAAAGCTAGCGCCAGGAGGTGACCAATGTGAGAGTGGGTATATGTGGCATGTGGAAAGTATCGTGTTCAACGAAGCCGTGAAATCACGGGTGTCCAACAAGTAGAGAGAGCGGATAAGAGTCGAATAAGGAGGTATTGCAAGGACGAGGGAAGAATGAGGGCTTGGCGGTAGTATCAATCTGGGGAAGAGGAACTGCCAAAGCTTCTTGGTAGCTCGAATGTAGTGATGAAGGTACGGGGAGGAATGCGCTGAGCCATCCTGTGCCTTAAAGAGGATAAGGGATGAATCAATATAAGCGTTGAGTGGGCGAACCAATGATTTGCAATAGCGGGTCTGAATCATTCAAACGCCAGCAGACAAACTTCGTGAGGTTTAGCGGAATTCAACTGCTGGCGCACATCCACGATCTTCGACGTGCTTTAGCTCGAGCTGTTGGAATCTGGTGGGAAAGTCAGCAAAACCCAGTCTAGTCTTTGGGAGTATTAGTGACCTACCGCTCGCTCTTCGCATGAAAGTAAACACCGCTGACAGATCCCTCAATCTGATTGAAGCAGATATAGTAAAACCCCTCGAAGCTAGCGCCAGAGATAGTTCGCACCCGATGGTCTGGGACGAGGAAATACTCCTTCCACCTCATGAACACGTGCTCACGCTGGGCAAAGTTGCGATACGTAAAATCCGTTCGCTTCGCCTGTTTGGCAAGTGGTTTCCAAGCGGGGAAACGGGACCAGTGGTGGATATCCGTCTTCTCGTTGGCGCCCCATTCCTCATTACGAGTCTGGAACGTGTGTTTAGTACCGATGATCTCTCCTTCGAAGAATGTAGTTAAGGTAGGGTGATCTTCTGTGAGGCCTAGTTCGAATTGAATCAAAGGGACACAACGGTTAGACATATATCCGAGTTCTGGTTGAGATGGGGTTGAGTCACTGACCTTGGATGCGAAGATAGCCGCAAAGATAGGATTCGGCCATGTCCACGTGCTTGATTTCCACGTCAACATTGTACACCTGTTTGTCGGACATTTGGGTTCCGACGAATCTGCTCCCGGAGCGGAGATAGGACGAAGAATGGTTTGGCAGGAGCTGTGGCAATTAGTCAATCACTGGGTATAAACTAGTGTGGCGTTGAGATTGCTGTTAGGCCGTAAGACTTACGCGAACATTTGAGAATTCATAACGCAATAGTGAAGAGTTAGGTGGCATGACAGATGACCGACTGCGAGCACATAATTCTGTGGGTGAACTCGATCGCTCGCGTGTAGTAGTCTCGTCGTCCGTCGCGCCGGCTATCTTGCTCTCCACTTTCAGCGGGTCAGACGCCAAGAGCGCGCTGCCATCGTCGGAACGACTCAGTACGGAGGGCGCCGTCACGCTGGACGGAGTGAGAGCATCTTCAAGTGCCTCGCTGGCGGAGACGGTTGAATCCGGTGAATCTCTCCAGGCCGAGGCGCGGTTCAGTTCCGGTGGGCAAGTACGGGTGGAGATCACCTCGGCGATCGAAGTTGGGCGGTTGTTACTCGGGGTCGGCATTGGGGGCGGGATCAAGGAAGGAGGAGAGCAGACATCGGATCGAGCCAGGCGCCAGGAACGAAAAGAGAGAAATCACCAAGCAAGATAAGGGAAAGAAAGAAACGGGGGGTTGAAGGGGAGAAAATTGTAAGGTTTGGGTTTTGGGGGGAGGGATATTGAAGGGAAGAAGGATTGTCTTTAGGTCCAGGTCCTGACTGGGGGCCCATCATGGGGTCATGCGAGCGCGGGGGAGGCGTTGGTGGCCTCAGGCTGCAATATATACGTCAGGTACAGCGTGAGCGCGCGGCAATCGCGGAGCAGCATGCGACGATGATATATGCGATTGGGACACGGTGGGGGGGTTATAGTAACCCGTGCGTCTTACAATGACTACGTTATAAATATTCATCGACAATGGGGAGTTCCTAGAAAAGCACGTATTTTGAATTATCTGCCTGTGGGTCCGCTTCGTGATGAACCCATGCAAGAAAGCCTCGATCAAACGCCCGGTATCATAAAAGTAATCAATCTCAAACTCTAAATGCCTCGAATTTAGATCGGCTTGATCTGTAGGTGGAGAAACCGCCGTTAGTATTGACCTAGAGTGTCCCCAAAGACAGCAAGCCAAGAAGGGTTTACCTTGAAATGCAGAGAAATGAGCGAGAAAACCAGCGCCTTCAGATCCTGCACCAGGTAATAGAAGACTCGGAGACCTTCGGGATCTGCGGACTCTGTCACATCCACCAGCGAGCCGATTTTCGCGGTCTGTAAAGGAGTTAGAACAGTTCAGGTATCGGTGGTAGTCGCGCCACATCTTGTCCGCTTAGGCCATACCTCGAACGAAATGTGCTCATTGCCCAGACGAATCTCCAGCTCCTGACGTCCATCCTTGTTCTTCTGGGGCCACTTGGAGTCGTCCTCCCTAGGTTTGAGTGTCAGCGTCCGGTCCCGTATCTCCTCTCCTCGGATGATTGACTTCGTACTTCAAAATCTCACTCTGCTTAATGATGCGCTTGATCTCCTCGATCATCGCTGAGCTCACACACACTATTTCCGAGTCAGATCGCTTGCATTGGTGCCGGCGCGGGGATCCTCCGACTCACTCTCTTTGCGGATCAGGGAGTCATTTCGGTAATTCGAGTTGTTCGCATATCGTACAGCAGCACTGCTGCCATCGGCAATGGTTCGGAAGTCAAATTCTAGACCGGATGTAAGCGTAATGGCCTTGGGCACTCTGCTCTCGTGCAGAGTCATCGTGAGGTTGTCACTCACCTAGGAACTCGTGCCCGAACCGCCCAGAGTGACCTGAGCTGTGAAAGAGCTGTCAGCAGCCGAGGATACTTGGGCTTGTCATCGCATCATAATTCTTACTAGTAACGGAGGTAAAATGTCTCGTTCGTCGACATTTTTGGCGGTGGGGTAGGTGTTTGGTTCCTCGAGCTTGGCCGCGATGAACAGTTCAAAAGGCGGACTTCCAGAAAAGCGGCCGGCTTAGTCATCCACACAGAGGGACCGGACGGGGCAAAGGGACAGGTTGATGCTCCCACTCCCCCCATTTGCGCATCTCAAAACCAACACGCCCATGATTTTCTGGCCGGCGAGGGGTGTTGGACTACTTTAATTGCGCGTTTCTGACATTGGTCTGAAACTCCTAATCCTGGGAGACCCGTTCCTCTGGTACGTTCTACAACTGGGCGAGTGGTCCGCTGAGGTGTCCAAAACATTCCCCCGACCTGACAACTTGCAGCTCCCTTCGACCCCGGCCGTCGCCTCAATCCCACAACCATGGCGTCCTTCCTCGAAAATGCGTACAGTCTGGTCCATTTGGACAACACGGCGGACCAGCCGAGCCTGCAGGAGCTGAAACTCCAGCTGGAGAAGGGCAATGACGAGACTAAGATGGAGACAATGCGGACAATTATCACGATCATGCTCAACGGCGACCCCATGCCCCAGCTGCTGATGCACATCATTCGTTTCGTTATGCCTGCGAAGAGCAAGTCTTTGAAGAAGTTGTTGTATTTCTACTATGAGATTTGCCCGAAGCTCGATTCGAATGGTAAGCTGAAGCAGGAGATGATATTGGTCTGGTAAGCCAAACCCAACTGTTTCGGCGTCGCTGTATGAATTCGGTCAATTAACTTCCTTCTTTTTCCCTTGCTTAGCAACGGCATCCGCAACGACTTGCAGCACCCCAATGAATACGTCCGAGGAAACACTCTCCGCTTCCTGTGCAAGCTGCGCGAACCCGAACTCATCGAACCCCTCCTTTCCTCGGCCCGCTCGTGCCTGGAACACCGCCACGCCTACGTGCGCAAGAACGCCGCCTGGGCAGTTGCTTCCATCTTCCAGCACTCCGAAGCTCTCATCCCAGATGCGCCCGAGCTGCTTCTGACCTTCCTCGAATCGGAGACGGATGGCACTTGCAAGCGCAATGCCTTCGCCGCCCTCATGTCTATTAGCCACGAGAAGGCCCTCGAGTACCTTGGTACAACTTTCGATACTATTCCTAACACCGATGAGCTTCTTCAGCTGGCTGAGCTTGAGTTCTTGCGCAAGGATGCTGTTCAGAACACCCAGAACAAGGTAGGTCGGATACTTATCTATCGCGGCGGTTGTTAATTTGCTGCGTTTTGCTAACAAGTGCTATCAGTCACGATACTTGAAACTCATGCTTGAGCTCCTCGATGCTCCCACCAGTACCGTCGTTTACGAAGCCGCCACCTCTCTTACAGCCCTGACCAGCAACCCCGTCGCCGTGAAGGCCGCCGCCGGCAAGTTGATTGAGCTTGCGATCCGTGAGGCGGACAACAATGTCAAGCTCATTGTGTTGGATCGTGTTGATCAGCTCCGGATGCGCAATGAAGGTGTTTTGGATGACCTGACCATGGAAATTCTGCGAGTCCTCACAAGCCCCGATATCGATGTCCGCCGGAAGGCTCTCGGCATCGCCCTGGAGATGGTTTCAAGCAAGAACGTTGAAGAGATTGTCATGTTACTGAAGAAGGAACTCGCCAAGACCGTTAACGAGCAGTATGAGCAGAATAGCGAATACCGTCAACTCCTCGTGCAGTCAATACACAACTGTGCCATCAAGTTCTCAGAAATCGCCGCTAGTGTCGTCGATCTCCTGATGGACTTCATTGCTGACTTCAACAACAACTCGGCTGTGGATGTTATCTCGTTCGTCAAGGAGGTCGTTGAGAAGTTCCCCGACCTGCGTGGATCTATTGTCGACCGTTTGGTGTCCACTCTGAGCGAGGTCCGCGCTGGGAAGGTGTACCGTGGTGTTCTTTGGGTTGTTGGAGAATACTCTCTGGAGGAGAGTGATATTCGGGAAGCTTGGAAGAAGATCCGCGCCAGTCTCGGTGAAATCCCCATCCTGGCCTCCGAGCAGCGACTACTTGATGAGGTCCCCGATGACAGTGCGGTTTTGCAAGAACAGGCCAATGGCCACACCAAGGCCGCTCCTACCGGATCTCGTAAGGTTTTAGCTGATGGCACATATGCTACCGAGAGCGCTCTCACCAGCCAGTCTGCCGCTGCCGCTCGCCTTGAGGCTGTCAAGGCCGCTCAGAAGCCCCCTCTTCGTCAACTCATCCTGGACGGTGACTACTACCTGGCCACCGTTCTGTCTTCCACTCTGACCAAGCTGGTTATGCGCCACTCCGAGGTCTCCCAAGATGCTGCCCGCACCAATGCTCTCCGTGCCGAGGCCATGCTTATCATGATTTCCATCTTGCGAGTGGGCCAGTCACACTTTGTCAAGGCTCCGATCGACGAGGACTCTGTCGACCGTATCATGACCTGCGTCCGCTCTCTTGCTGAGTTCTCTGAAAAGAAGGAGCTCGAGACTACTTTCCTTGAGGACACCCGCAAAGCATTCCGTGCCATGGTCCAGGTTGAGGACAAGAAGCGGGCCGCAAAGGAAGCTGTGGAGAAGGCCAAGAGTGCAGTGCAGATCGACGACGCCATTCCCATCCGTCAGTTCACCAAGAAGAACAGTGTGGAGGGTGCTGAAGAGATCGAGATGGATCTAGCCAAGGCCACTGGCGGTGATGCTGTCACAGAGAACGTTTCTTCGAAGCTGAGCCGTGTTGTGCAGTTGACTGGTTTCTCCGACTCTGTCTACGCCGAGGCCTACGTTACCGTTCACCAGTTCGATATCGTCCTGGATGTGCTCTTGGTCAACCAGACCGCCGAAACTCTGCAGAACCTGTCCGTCGAGTTTGCCACTCTCGGTGATCTCAAGGTCGTTGAGCGGCCATCTACGCATAACTTGGGCCCCCGCGACTTCCTGAACGTCCAAGCGACCGTCAAGGTTTCCTCCACCGACACCGGTGTTATCTTTGGTAACATTGTCTACGACGGTGCCAGCTCCACCGAAACCCACGTGGTCATTCTTAACGATATCCATGCCGACATTATGGACTACATCCAACCCGCCCACTGTACCGAGACTCAGTTCCGAACCATGTGGACCGAGTTTGAGTGGGAGAACAAGGTCAACATCAACTCCAAGGCCAAGACTCTGCGTGAGTTCCTGAAGCAGCTGATGGAGAGCACCAATATGGCCTGCTTGACGCCGGAAGCATCGCTTAAGGGTGATTGTCGCTTCCTGAGCGCCAACCTCTATGCACGAAGTGTATTCGGTATGTCCCCTTGTCTCAAAGTCAAAATGATTCATCAAACACTAACCTATTTTCTCTTTAGGCGAGGATGCTTTGGCCAACCTGAGCATTGAAAAGGAGGGCGACGACGGGCCTATCACTGGTTTCGTTCGTATCCGCAGTCGCTCGCAGGGTCTAGCGTTGAGCCTCGGCTCCCTGAAGGGCCTCAAGGCGGCGGCGGCATGAGTAGATTTTGTTTCTTTTTTCCAGCGGGCTACAGTCTATATGATGTCTCCTTTTTTACCTTATTTCTTTTCTCTCCCCAGACAAAGTTTGTGTTTTATTTTTTATGTTATCATTTCTATCATGTATTGAGACCGGGGAGTAGTGAAATAGATAATGGTCTTGGCTACACAAGTCACTGTACAGTATGAAGGGGCTAAATTGTTTCACGTAGGGAACGAGAGATGTACAAAGAAGTATTCCTGTACTACTCCGTATCTTAATTAGCCCCAAACACTTCGGAGAATTAGCCAAAGCGAGTTGCACCGCAGGGACTCCAAAGATCCGAGGCGCGCATGGGCCACCTGCAGCGCCCCAGGAACCGGAACCCGCGGGTGTTGATCTTCGATTGGATCAGTCCCATTGTCTTTATCCTCTTCTCTCCCTAGAGGTCTCCGTTGCGCATAGTCACTTCTGTCATGCGCTGAATTACTTCTTTTTATCTATTACCCCACAAAATGTCCTCTTCCGATCTAGCCACAGAACATCCGGAAGCACAGCTGGAGCATGACTCGACCCTAGTCCTTGACAAGGCCGTCTCACTCACCCTGAGCAGCGACTCACTACTGATCCTTGGTAAGATACATCATTGCGTCTTGGGACTTTGCGACAGGACTGTTATAGCTGACCAATACCCAAGACGATCGCCCCCATCGCAAATCGACCCGTGGCTGCTGCGGTTTATGCAAGTCGAGTAAGCCGGGACCCTCTTGCTTTTGCCCCTCCGGCTATCCGCATTGAAACTTTACGAGTGCTAATCATCACGTTACACTCGCTGCAGAAGCGAACACCAAGACTACGCATGCGATCTCCTTGTATAATGTCCTTGACGCCGAAATCAACCCGTCGAGCTTAGTGATCACCTATGCTCAACATTCGTCAAAGGATGATGTCTCCGTAACCGCCCTACACTATCCGGTGGGCGAGAAAGAGAAGCCCGCTGTCGAGGCCTGGATGAACAAATTGTTGGATCTAGCTTACGGTACGGCCCAGCGCAGAAAGCGACTCAAGGTCTTGATCAATCCCTTTGGTGGCAAAGGCAACGCCGCGAGCCTTTACCAGAAATACTCGGCGCCGATCTTTGCCGCCGCGCGGTGTCAAGTGGATGTACAGAGCACAGAATACCGTGGACATGCCATCGAGATTGCGGAACATCTCGACATCGACGCGTACGATGCGATTATCTGCTGTTCTGGTGACGGTCTCCCATATGAGGTCTTTAATGGACTAGGCAAGCGGCCTAATGGCCGGGAAGCATTGGCTAAAGTGGCCGTGGCACTGCTGCCCTGTGGTTCTGGGAATGGTCTGACGTGGAACTGTCAGGGTACAGGTAGTAATTCGATTGCGGCGCTGTGCATCGTCAAGGGCCTGAGAACTCCTCTTGACCTGGTCTCGGTCACGCAGCAGAACACACGCACACTATCGTTCCTTTCCCAGTCCTTTGGTATCGTTGCCGAGTGTGACCTCGGTACCGATCATATCCGCTGGATGGGCGCTCAGAGATTCACCTACGGCTTCCTGGTCCGTCTGTTGCAGCGCACGATCTGGCCTTGTGACCTGGCCATCAAGGTTGAAATGGATGACAAACAGGCGATCAAAGAGCACTACGCCGCTTGGAGAGCCAAGGAGGAAGAGGACGACCCTCTTGCCGACCAGAACCGCCTTGCTGCCGCTAAGCAATCACCGGCGCTGCCAGAACTTCAGTTCGGCACCGTTAAGGACGAGCTTCCCAAGGAATGGGAAGTCATCCCAGGCGAGACCATGGGCAACTTCTATGCTGGAAACATGGCAATCATGTCTAAAGACACCAATTTCTTCCCTGCCTCGCTTCCTAACGATGGTCTCATGGACATAGTCACAATTGACGGAACTGTTAGTCGTGGCACGTCGCTCAAGATGATGACGGAGATTGAGACTGGTGGCTTCTTCAATATGCCAGACGTCAAGATCCGCAAGGCCATTGCATATCGCCTTGTGCCCCACCAAAAGGAGGGATACATCAGCATCGACGGTGAACGGGTTCCCTTTGAGGCATTCCAGTGCGAGATCCACCAAGGTCTGGGCACGGTGCTCGCGAAATCGACGCGTGTGTATGAAGCTGACGGGCCGAGGTGATGTGTGTCGGTCACTCTTCTATCTTTGCTTTTTGTGGTTTTTTCTATATACCAATACCCTACAGTGTGCCTTGGGCCTCTCTTGCTACCCACACTCATGATACCCTTGCGCAAGAGGTCTGGCAGTTGAACATATTGTTTCCTTCTCCTTTATTTTTGCTTTGACAATGGGTTAGCATGTGTTTCTTTGCTGTCTGCTGGCTGCTCTCCAGACTACCTAACATCTTGGCCCAAGCTGTGCACATAGCCATTTAATCTTGATTAGATGTCATCATTATTGTTCTTCTATGCGGACACGTTTCGTAGGTAAAATATGTCTTTGGAAATCATTATCTAGACTACTTTTGAACCAGGTTCATGTTTCGCTATAAAGATGCTGTACAGAGACTCGAGACCAAAGGGCTGCTTTTTTGCACCCACTAATCATCGAATCCACCCCACTCGCCTTCACTATCTTCCTGCTCCTCCTCCACTTCCCTCGTACGGATTCCCCACTCTACCAACCGGTCGTCGTCAAGAGCATCAATGGCTCTTGTCCGAACAGGCTTGTATGGGCTCTCCGTACGCAAATTCTCCAAGGGCCGCAAAAGCAGCCCCATGGGCACATCACCCTTGATCTTCCTATTCGTCGCTTCACCCTCCGAGTCGCTCTCGCCTCCCTCAAACTCCAAGACCTTCTCCAACTCATCAACCCAAAGGTCAATTAGATGATAGCGCAGCCCATCCGGTCCGTGAGGCATGGGAATAAAGTTTGGATCCTTCTCGTCTACAACGGGCTTGGAGGAGTGATCAGGATCAAAGTTGACAGGACATAGAGGACCTTCCTCGATGATGGAGATATAAGCCTCGAGATCGGCCCACTTGCCATCTCCCTCTGCGGTCTCGGTCTCTGCAGGAGCAGGCTCGCTCTCAGCCTGCTTCTTTTGCTTCTTGCCCCGGCCCTGCTTGCCATTGTCTTGGCGCTTGCGCTTTTTGGCATCTCCGTTGTCGGTTTTGTTAGAGCCCTTGACGAAGATCTCGAATGCAACTCCGACGTAGCAACGGATCAGGAACAGGTATTTGTCCAGTCGCAAGCGATCCAGGGAGTGGAAGTCACGGCCGATGGTGATCCAGAAGGCGCGCAGGAAGCGGTGGAGGGTAGCATGGGGGAGCGAGGGGACGAGGGAGTAGGAGAGTGCGCGGGCGAGGGCTTGTTGCGTAAGAGGTCGGTCAGAGTGGTAGAAGCCTGTGAGGCAGAATTGTTAGTTAAGGCCTCGAACATGACCAATTGGTAAAGCAGTAGTTCAAACGTACAGAAGAAAAGACCCTTCCATAGCTTGACGAGGTCGACGAGAGTAAGATCGTTGCGCGCGCGCAAGAACTGAGTGAGGGACTCGAGGGCCTTGTCGCGGACCTTGCGGTCTAGAAAAGTAACATGTCAGTACAGATCTTTTTTTTCGGTTTCAGGTTGAGTTTAGAATGAGCATACCACTTGAGGCAAGCTCCTTCACAAATGGGGTCTTTTGAATATCCGCCATTATGCCAATATGAATGGTGGTTGTCTTGCTGAGCTCCGTCGATCTCGGCGATAAATCATTTTTTTTTCTGTTCTGATAGTGAGTTTGCACTGTTTGCACACGCCAAGGAAGGTGACGGAACAACAGGAGCCCGTACTGACTAAGAATGTGGCCCATGGAGCATTTTTGGTCTTGCGGTAAAACAGATGGTTTGTTGCCTGAGGTGTCGATCTTTTTTTAAACGCGCCCGGGCCTTCAACACTTTGTCATTTCCTGAAAGCGAGATGGGAATCGAACCTGAGGGGCCAGTGGTACCATTGGTATCAATTCCAGCTCCTTGGTGCCTGACACAAAAAAATGCTGGAGCTCACAGCTAATCAGACCATTCTAATGGCCGCATTTGGCTTCTCCATACTCTAGCCGCTGGCTGCCATCCAATACCCGTGGAGTATGAGGCTCCGCTAGGTCTTGACATCATGACTTTGCAGCATATCGAATTGGAACATTGCATCTATGGAGCCAGGTTATAGATTATGGCTCAGGGCAACCAATGGAATGGGCGTCGAGACCGGCGATGTTCACAGTTGCGATCATGAAACCTGTGAGGCATACCACGTATAAGGGGCAGTGATGCACTCGAACTTTGTCCATTTCTGATAAAATTTATTACAATCATATAACCTCTCAGTTGTGCCTATTTTGAGTAACTACCAATCTCATCCCTCTCAAAAGTAAATCTTGCCATTCTTTGCAAGATGGGCGACAAAGATGAAGAACCCGAGATCACCCCTGCCAGCTCCCCAGCCAGCTCCCCAGCCAGCTCCCCAGCCAGCTCCCCTCCTCACGGCCGATCAAGCTCCGAGGCAGTCCCTGACAATGAAAGGGCTGTATTTGAATACCTCCGCCCAGAAGACCGGGAAGAATTGACCCGTATCGCCTCCAACTTTCCGCGGCACCGCGCTGCAGACTCTGGAGTTGCTGGCATGGGCGGCATCGAAAGGAGAGATACCCTGGAAGATGTCGAGCTCGGCGACCCGGTCCTCGATCCTACGAGCGACCAATTCGACCATTACAAGTGGGCGAAGATGACGCTGAAGCTGATGGACAAGCAAGGCGTGCCTCTGCGCAAATCAACGGGAGTTGTCTGGGAGAATCTGAATATCGCTGGCTCAGGCTCTGCCCTGCAGTATCAGAACAATGTTGGATCGGTACCCTTAGCCCTATTTCGACTGCAAGAGTACATCTCCTTCGGGAAGAGCCGTTCGCAGAAACAAATTCTTCGCAACTTCGACGGCGTGTTGAAGAGCGGCGAGCTGCTGATCGTCCTGGGACGGCCCGGTAGCGGCTGCTCTACCTTTCTGAAGACCTTGTCTGGAGAACTGCACGGGCTCAAAGTGGGCAAGGGCTCCGATATTCAGTACAATGGTATCCCCATGGAGCGAATGCATCGCGAATTCAAAGGCGAGGTTCTCTACAATCAAGAGGTCGATAAGCACTTTCCGCACCTCACAGTCGGTGAGACGCTGGAGTTTGCGGCTGCAGCACGTACCCCCGAGAATCGCCTTAATGGAGTCAGTCGAGTCAAGTTTGCCAAGCATATCACGCAGGTTGCAATGGCTGTCTTTGGCCTCAGCCACACGTACAATACCAAAGGTTAGTATGCTTGTCAGACATGCTCCGCTCCGAGGTGCTTCGGATGGATAGTAGGGCTAACCGGGATCCCAGTTGGCGATGATTATATCAGAGGTGTTTCGGGAGGTGAACGAAAACGAGTTAGGTATGCTAAAGATTCTAAAGATTCCTCATTTTCTGAGAACTCAAGACTAACGAACGTCCAGTATCGCCGAGATGGGATGTAAGTTGCCAAGCCTAGTTGTGAAGTCCACCCTGATACCTGATACAATCTGACCCCGTTAGTGTCCGGAGCCCCAGTTGGAGCTTGGGATAATAGCACGCGTGGTTTAGATTCTGCGAGCGCCCTAGAATTTGCCAAGTCACTGCGAGTTTCAGCCAACCTCACTGGCTCTTGCCATGCGGTTGCAATCTATCAAGCCTCTCAAGCAATTTACGACGTCTTCGACAAGGCCATTGTGTTGTACGAAGGAAGAGAAATCTTCTTCGGTCCTTGCGGTGCGGCCAGGGACTATTTCATCGATATGGGCTGGGAATGTCCTCCTCGCCAAACGACCGGTGACTTCCTCACTTCAGTGACGAATCCGCAGGAACGAACACCTCGGGCGGGTATGGAAAACAAGGTCCCTCGTACTCCGGACGAATTTGAGGCGTACTGGAAGAAGAGCCCCCAGTGCGGCTCCCTTCAAAAGGAAATTGCACAGTATCGCGAGGATTACCCACTCGGTGGCACTGCAGGGCGAGACTTTGACGAGACCAAGCGAATGCGACAGGCAAAGCATGTTCGGCCGAAGAGTCCATATGTCATCTCTGTTCCCATGCAGGTCCGCCTTTGCGTGAAAAGAGCTTATCAACGGTACATCCCCCCATTGTTAACAAAGCGTGCCCTCGAGAACATCAAATTAACTGACTGTGGTAGCATCTGGAACGATAAGCCTTCTACTTTGACGACCGTCATTGGACGAATTTTCATGTCCTTGGTCATCGGTTCGATTTATTTTGGGTGAATCCTCTCTTCCGGTCTTCTTCCATGCCTCTCTACTGGATGCTAAATTCATTGATTTCAGAACTCCAAACGCGTCCGCGGGTTTCCAGAGTAAAGGCGCCGCTCTGTTCTTCTCAGTTTTGTAAGACCCCAAGGACCAAAATGCGACGTACCAATTCTCACTTTGCCTCCAGGATGAATGCTCTTATCAGTATTACCGAGATCAACTCGCTCTACGATCAACGACCGGTAATCGAGAAGCAAGCCTCTTATGCTTTCGTGCATCCCTTTGCGGAAGCCTTGGGAGGGATTGTCGCAGACATACCAGTTAAGTTTGTGTCAGCGGTGGTATTCAACATCATCTTCTACTTCTTAGCAAGCCTGGTATGTGTTCCTCACTTTGGCGTCTCACAACTGGTTCTAACTTTGTACAGCGATATGAACCTTCTCAATTCTTCATCTTCTTCCTCTTCACCTTTCTCAGTACGCTGACAATGTCGGGGGTCTTCCGAACTTTAGCAGCATCAACCAAGACCCTGGCACAAGCTATGTCCATGGCTGGAGTCATTGTGTTGGCCATTGTCATCTACACGGGCTTCGTCATTACCGCGCCTGAGATGAGCAAAATTCCTTGGTTCAGCTGGATCCGTTGGATCAACCCGATTTTCTACACCTTCGAGGCCCTGGTCGCAAACGAGTTCCACGGACGTGAATTCGAGTGTTCTCAGTTCATTCCTGGATACCCTAATTTGACCGGCAACTCTTTCATCTGTGCCGTTCGTGGCGCTGTTGCAGGAGAAAGAACCGTGTCTGGAGATGCCTACATCCAAACCCAGTACAAGTACAGCTACGCGCATATTTGGAGAAATCTGGGTATCCTTATCGGCTTTTGGATCTTCTTCATGGCATTATACCTGATTGCCTCTGAGCTCAACTCTGCTACATCTTCTACCGCCGAATTCCTCGTCTTCCGAAGAGGTCATGTGCCTGCACATTTGCGACATCTCGAGAAAGGTGGAAAGGCAGGGAGTGCAGCTGAGGTTGCCCCTGCCACAAACAACTCTTCCGAGAAAGGGGGCACGTCCGCTATTCCATCCCAACATGACATCTTCACTTGGCGAAACGTGTGCTACGATATCCCTGTCAAAGGTGGCCAGCGACGACTCTTAGACAACGTCTCTGGATGGGTTAAACCTGGAAGCCTTACAGCTTTGATGGGTGTCTCGGGTGCTGGAAAGACTACTCTTCTTGACGTTCTAGCCAAGCGTGTCTCAATTGGAGTCGTGACTGGTGATATGCTCGTCAACGGCAAGCCTCTGGACACTAGCTTCCAGAGGAAGACTGGTTATGTCCAACAGCAGGATCTTCACCTCCCGACCACGACTGTTCGCGAGGCGTTGCGGTTCAGTGCTACGCTTCGTCAACCAAAGTCTGTGTCAATGAAGGAAAAGTACGAGTATGTGGAAGACGTCATTGACATGCTCGGAATGCAAGACTTTGCAGATGCAATCGTGGGTATTCCAGGAGAGGGATTGAACGTGGAGCAGGTAACATCCCCAACTAATCAGGAATTAATTGACCACTTGCTAACAACTCACTTTGCCATATTCTAGCGCAAACTTTTGACTATTGGGGTTGAACTCGCCGCGAAGCCTGCGCTTCTCATTTTCCTCGATGAACCGACTAGTGGACTGGATTCTCAAAGCTCGTGGGCCATCTGTGCGTTCCTGCGAAAGCTGGCAGAGCATGGTCAGGCCGTTCTTTCAACGATCCATCAACCTTCTGCCTTACTTTTCCAGCAATTTGATCGTCTACTCTTCTTGGCGAAGGGAGGAAAGACAGTCTACTTTGGCGAACTCGGTGACCAGTCTCGAACTCTCTTGGATTACTTTGAAAGCAATGGAGCAAGGGTCTGTGGCTCCTCTGAGAATGTAAGATGTCTTTTTCTCCGAAATTATGCTACTCCGTGACTGACAGAGAAAGCCGGCCGAATATATGCTTGAAATCATCGGCGCTGGTGCTTCAGGTAAATCCTCAAAGGATTGGTCTGTTGTGTGGAAAGAGAGTCAACAGGCAAAGGGAGTGCAAGCAGAGATTGATCGAATCCACAATGAAAGAGCGTCGGCAACCCCGAGTGAGGATGGATCTCCGCATGGTGAATATGCCATGCCATTCTTCTCACAGTTGTGGTGTGTCACACACCGTTCATTCCAGGGCTTTTGGCGCGAGCCGAGCTATGTGTGGGCCAAGATACTGCTTGCCACCTTGTCGTCTCTTTTCATTGGTTTTACGTTCTTCAAGCCAGATAGTTCACTTCAGGGATTCCAGGATGTTCTTTTCAGCGCCTTCATGCTGACTTCAATTTTCTCGACGCTGGTTCAGCAGTAAGTGATACACATTATGGATTGTTTCTGGGTTCATTCTGACGCATTTTCTGCACAGGATAATGCCCAAGTTTGTAGTTCAGAGATCCCTTTATGAGGTCCGCGAGCGTCCGTCCAAGGCCTACTCATGGGCCGCATTCCTCATCTCCAACGTCATCGTCGAGATCCCCTATCAAGTCTTTGCCGCTATAATTGCATGGGCTTGCTACTACTACCCAGTCTATGGAGCGGCGCAATCCTCGCAGAGACAGGGTTTGATGCTTCTGTTTGTCGTTCAGTTTTACATCTTCACATCTACCTTTGCGGCTCTCGTCATTGCAGCTCTTCCTGATGCAGAAACTGGTGGCACCATTGCGACGCTGATGTTCATCATGACTCTCACTTTCAACGGAGTCCTGCAGCCACCAAGCGCTTTGCCAGGTAGGGACAAGAAACTTTCTGATGACATTAGAAAAACCTTACTAATTCGGGTTCAATATAGGATTTTGGATCTTCATGTACAGGGTTTCCCCACTGACTTACTTGATCTCGGGTATCACAGCGACTGGTTTGCATGCTAGGCAGATTGTGTGCTCTGATGCCGAGCTGAGCGTATTCAATCCCCCATCTGGCCTCACATGCGGTGCATATTTAAATCCGTATGTCACTGCCTCAGGGGGACAGCTTTACAATCCCACGGCTACAAGTAACTGCCAGTACTGTCAACTCAGTAACGCGGATCAATACCTTGCTTTGAGCAATATTTGTAAGTGAAATCCCCCAGTGTCTCCCAGGATCTATCTCTCCATTGCTTGGGGTCTAGTGACTGATAAATCAAATAGACTACAGTGAACGCTGGCGCAATTTTGGAATTGGATGGGCATATATCGGCTTCAATATCTTTGGCACTGTGCTCATGTACTACATGTTCCGTGTCAAGCACTACAATCCCACATCGTTCGTGAGAGGGATTCGTAATGGTGCCTCGCTCTTCTGTCGTGTGCTCAAGCGTCGCTCTGGCACGACGCCCCAGGGTAAAGAAGCGGACAACGGTAGGTTGGTTTAAGCGGCTTGTGATAAGATGGTGGTCATATAACCACTGCGGAGATTTCCGCCACCGGCGTCCTGTTGTCTCTTCTTCTTCCTTTCTTGTTAGGCGGGTCTCTTTCTGGGAGGTCTTCTCTGGCTGTGTGGGATTTTTTTCCCTCCATTTTCTTCCTGTCTGATGATGGGTTTCTTGATAATTACTCAATTCACCACATGTCTCTCAAATTGATGTAATATTACTCCTTGGCGACTCTCGAGGGTCTGAAAATTTCCACTAATAATCACGGCTATATTATCCTATTATGAGCCATGACCTGCATAATTTTAGTGTCAATATATTTGTACGCACGCGATGGCCTCTTCAGGGCTGCTCTTTATGCAAATGACTGCCTCCTCGCAGGGAGGGATTAGGGCCTAATTATGGACGTCGTCACGAGACAATTCAGATGCACTGGCCTTCCACATCATATAGCTGGTGGTTAATTACGACTCGGTATCTTGAGCAGGGTACCCCATAAGGATAGGTGAAACGTCTTTGATGGAGAACGCCACAAGCGACATCACAATATATATGCGTGAATACCAGACCAGATGAAACCCCATTCCCTATAACGCAGCTTATCATACTAGAGCAATGAAGAGAAATCATTAGGTATCGTTTACGGCCATTTAGGTCATGAATTGCCGGCGTCTGTGTACGTTCCAGTGTTGCCTTATGCTTCCATAACACGAGACGAGAAAGCTTAGTTAGATCCATGACGCTGATATAAACTTGATCCATGATGCCAAAAAGTGGGCCCCTTTACATGAACCAGCATCATTGGTCTAGTGGTAGAATTCGTCGTTGCCATCGACGAGGCCCGTGTTCGATTCACGGATGATGCACACCTCTTCTTTTTGACTTTTTAGATTTTGTTACTCTACAGATGATAGGTAGCTATTTCATTGGCAGTCGCTCGGAAATTTATTAGTTTTTAAATCGGCAAAGTAAATCAACTCTCCATAGAACTGTTTGTTCACATTATCGCGAACTCAGCCATATACTATACCAGGACTAGATTGACTCGCTCGACCTCCAGACACAAGACCACACACAACTAGGACGCCCAATTTATGTAGATAAATTGCCAGACATGAAGTAGAAGGGACACATCATATCATCGGATTGGAAAAGCAAGCTAGGTTGCAGATAGCAAAAAGGCCGATAGGCATGAACCAAAAATGGGAAGAGAAGAGAGAGATCAAACAGAATAAATCACAAGACGATGGGGTATTATGCAAAGAAAAAAATCAGACAGAAGCGACGCTACACGCTGGATGGGCAAGCAGGAAGGAAGCCAAGGACGGACAAAGATGAGAAAGGTAAGAAGGGGGGTCAATCTCCCCAGTTAGAGCAGGGCCCGAGAAGCAATTAGCGCGTTGATAACATGGCCATGCTGCCAGCCTTGATCGAGTAAAGAGTCATGCTCCTTTAGCATACGGCCCAGATAGGCGATGCGCACCCGCTGATGATTCGGGATCTGGATATCGGTCAGAAAGAAACACCCTTCCCATATGAACACGGAAGACGTACCCCTGCCTCCTGCTGAATCTTGCGAGCCAGAAATCCCACACTCTGGCCCTTGCCTATTGAAAGCACCAAATCGGGACCCCCACGATCACTCAGTCGGGCCTGAACGCGAATCAAGTCTCGCTCACTAGTCTTACCCTTCTCATCCCTCCTCCGCTCAAGATCCTCCCTGATCAGTTCATCACCCGAGGCATCGTCCGTCGCAAGTTTCCCATCCGACAATGCCTCCGTATCCTCTTCCTCCTGCGTGACCTGGCTATTTCGAGCAGTATTGTTCGCAGCAGACATGTCCGTCTGCGCCATATTCTCCGGATCACTAACGATACACTGCGGCAGGCGATACAAAACGCCCTGCTCATCGTAGCAGCCCTCGCAAAGATCGCCAGTGGGAATCGTCACGCCCGCCGCATCAACTATACTCTGCGCCGTGGTGAGGTCACCCCCACGCATCAGGGTGATCGCGGTCGATAGCGCGGCCCATACCTCGGGTCGGCCGGTGACTCGAGTTTCGAAGAACTCGCGCCGCTCGCGGTCGAGGTCGGCGCGATTCCAGGTGCGGCGCTTGCTATACCAGACGTGTAAGCGCACCGGTTCGTTGTAGTGCACGCTCAGCGGGAGGCTGGGGGCGCGTCGCACGCGGCGGCGACGACTGGTTTGTGTGGTTGTGGATGTGTCGGTGCTGGCACTACGAGCTGCTTGTGCAGCGCGATCGTCTGGTATGACCCTGTCTTCATGAGGATGATCGTCGTCATGCGACGGCACGGACGAGCAGCAACCCTGTTAGATGATAACGGGGGTTAGTTAGCTTGACAGCGCCAAGGTAAGGATAGATCCCTTGATGGTGATCTAGTATCGAGTGTGGCCTGGTAGATGCGGAGAATACGAGGAGCTACCGAGTCGTATGACAGGCCGGACAGACGAGATCCGTCATCAAGCTTCAGACATCTACCAGGCGCGTTCTCTTTTCAAAATGCAGAGGAGAACCTGGATGCAACTGCAATACGGGGCGGTGTGACTTACCATCTTGCATGCGACTTGAACACTCCATAAGCCAAGGTGAGAGGGTTGTGAGGGGAGGGGGGGGGGGGCCAACTAGAAGTGGAAGGTGGGAGTGGGAAGGGATCCAAGCTCCCGGACTCGTTTCTGGGGATGAGGGGGAGGCGAAATTTGGGGTCCAACGAAATAATGAAGGCCACAAAACTCAAGACCGAGTCTGTGAACGAGGGGGGAAAGGTAAAAGGAATGATTAAACGACGAAAGACAATAGAGCCGGATACATTCCCCGGATCTTCTAGTGGCTTCAGACAAGCATTTATGATGATGTCAGGCAATTGGCGCGCCAGATGCGGCCGCGTTGGTGATCGTACGATCGTTGTACGGCGCAACCTTCGCCTCGCCATCTTGTCCTTTCGCTTATTGGCGCTTACGATCAACCGACAGTTGAAGATATTCTATGCTTGAATGGTTTCATTTTACGATATGTGATACATTGAGAGGTCATATCTCCAAGTCGGGGCGACTAATCTTCCTCGTCATCGCTGCCAAAGATGGCCTTGAACACCGCATCGCCCGGTCGCTCGGCCTCGAGAGCTTCATTGCGTTCAGGTTCAACGACTCGGACGGGCGGTGGCTCCACTGCAGGCTGTCCGCTGGATCCAGCGGTGTCGGGACTAGCGACGGGAGGCTGTGGCTGACGGCCGGATTCCATCAAGATCATGTTCATCACTTCCTGGGAGACGAGCTCCTTGGGTGCGGCAGCGTCAGTCTGGTAACCACCAGACTGAAAGCGTGTTCCAGGTCCACTCACCGAGCCGCCAGGGTGTTCTCCCGGATCAAGCTGTACATGATCTGGCGGTTTGACGTTGAAGCGCTTGCATAACAGACGAGATGGATAGAACGATATCGAGCTGCGGGTCATTTGCCCGAACATGCCAATCTTGGCAGCCGCCACGGCCGGAGAATCTGGTTTCTCGATGGGCCGACTAAGAGGAGATTCGCCTGGACGGTCGGGCGCATCGGAGGCAACCTTGGGACCCGAGGAAGCCGATGTAAATCGTGAAGCCATGACTCCAGTCATGGGCTTGAAGACCTCGGCGGCTCGCGCAAACTCTTGCATCTCGTTCACCCAGTCGTCGGTACTGGAGCCGGGAACGCGGTCGGGAAGAGAGTCGCGCACTTCCGCTCGCACTTCGAGGAACTTTCGGTAGCGTGCTCGTTTATTCTCGTCTTCCGAATAGGGCATCCATCCACTGACAGCACGAGTCAAGGCCTGGACGGCGGTCTGCTTGTCCAATTTGGGCACAAGATCCCAAAGATCTTTTCGTTTTTGAGCATCCGAGATCTCGAAGCCCTTGGGAGCCTTTTCACCCAAAGCCGGAGGTAGGTTGGTGTTTCCAGTGAGCTTCGCAATGCGCTCACGAGCTTCGGGCGTCATCCAATCAAAAATGGATTTCCCTGGGAGCTGGGCTTCTCCCAGAGCTGCCGCTCGCTTCGTAGGATCCAGTAACGAGGCCTTAGCAGCATCCGCAGTAGACACGTAGCTGGATACCTCTCGCTCGGATTTCGTAGCTTGTTTGGTAGATTTCCATCCCTCTGGAATTTGAGGAGGCTCGTACTTTTTGTCCGATATTGACAGCCCTGACAAGCTATCGGCCAAAACAAACCCGTCCAGAGGCAATCGCCCATCACGACATTTCCTGAAGCTTCCCGTCGTGCGGGCCGCTGCAGCCTTTTTCGATATGAAGACAGGTTTAGTATCGAGAAGAGGATTGGCAGACGCGATCGTTGGCTTGCCTCCTTCAGCTTTGGCCTTCTTCTTCTTCTTATCGCCGCCGATAGTCTTGCTGTACGCTATTTGTGGCCCTAAGGAGTATGGGTCTTCATCGTCTGATCCGGTATCATTGAGAATGCCGACGCCGAATCCGCCACGGCGTGAGTCTTTCGCCTTTGTCTTTGACTTGGATTTCTTATCCATAGACAGTCGATCTCCGAAGAAGGAATCCGAGTCCTCGTGCTGTCCATCACGGGTCGTGTCCGGCGCCTCCAGCCGAGTCTCTCCCTCGAATCCCAGGCCTTTGAAGTCGTTTTTGCGAATGAATGAGACCATTGGGGGATTCTCGGGCGCGAACAGATAGGTCTGCTCTGCGCCTTCACTTCTGCTAGCGGTGCTCTCGTCCAGATTGGCTCTACGCCGGACCTTGGGACCAATGCCCTGGCCCTCGCGCCAGCCCATCCGCTTCAGCAGTTTCACTCCCATGGTCTCTCCGCCAGTCTTGAGCAGGTCCATGAGACCCGCTCTTCGTGTCGCATCGGCATCCGTCAACCCAAACCCCGCAAATCCTTCCACCGTTTGTAGTTGTCGCGATTCCTCCTGTTCCCGCAGATCCTCCTCGTCCATAAAATCCTCCGGCCGTTGCTGTGTAGTCTGTTTCGCATCGCGCGCGCGATTCTGGCGGGACGAGACAAAGGTCGCGGGAGTCCATCCTTCCTTGGAGCCGACGGTATTGAAGTAGCTATAGTCAATACCAGGGGTTAGCCGACTAGGCGTAAATATTCCCATCTGTACAGGGTGAATTAGCTTACCCAGCACTGAAGCCGCCAGTGAAGGCGCCATGGAGCCGCTTCCGTCCCCGCTCATCCGTCACCTCTTGCTTCCACACTGGCATGTACGAGCCATCATCTCGTCCGCCGGCCTCTAACGGGGGCAAGGGCGTCCCGTAGAAGGCATAAGGAGCCTGTCCAACTTGTCCGGCCTGGTCGGCCTCAAAAGTAGCGCGCGGACGCTTCGCGGCCATGATCTGGGGGGGTCAACCTCTCAGCCGCGCGAGAAGGGAAAGTCCTCGGCCATCATCAGCGAGGGTGTGATTCGTGGATTGCTCGGCGATAGCGGAGTCCCACCGACAGGTTTCTTGGCAGCGCGAGTCCAATCACGGCACGCACCAAGCTCAAGCAAAAGGCCGCTAGGATTCTTTCGGGGAAGGGGGAGTTGAACAGGACCGTTTTGGGGGGGAGACTCCAGTTTAAGCCGCAAGGGAGTGAACCCGTCGAACGCTCCGATTTCAGAACAAAAGTTAAGGTGGAGAGTCGAGCACGAGGGGATTTGACAGGGTGACTAAGACGATGGTTGTGAGGACGGGAGTGCGGAGTATACCAAAGTGGGAGATTTGAAGAAATATAGACTAAATATTTACGGAGTACATTTACTCGACTCGTAGTTTTCCAGTGGCGGCGGCTGGCCCTTCATGGACCCCCAATGGCCTAATTTGACCCCCTGATAGTTGGAGTTGGTTGGTTAATGCTCCGGACGCAAGTACATACTATACTAGATCCCACGGAGGACGAACACGCTTACGACCGTAGGAACAGTCCCACCCCCGAAAATGGCTTTTGATGGTCCCAAAACGAACTTGGGCCTCTCCACTTCTAATCTCTCGACTCCGTGGTTTGCTTAGGGGCTCGTGTTCTTTCCTCCTCTCCTCTCCTCTCCTCTTCTCTTCTCCATGTCTCTCTCTGCCATGTCTCCCCCATAGCCGACGGTCTCCTTTCGGTCCGCCCTTTGAATGTGCGATTCTGTACCTCTCAACTTTCGCATACCAGGAGTCTCGTCAATTCCCCGTCCTGGCGCCCGGATCCCGCCTCCGGTGTAGCCCTAGGAATTCCCCTCCCCCTCCCCTCCCCCCTTCGCCTTCAGAATGCTTGGCGCAAACAGTTTCGTGGGGCGGCGCAAGTCGCTCTACTTGAGTCTGGCTGTCGCCGCATCGCTGATCTGTCTCGTCAACCTCATATTCCTGACCCGCGCCGTCGACCACAGCATCATTCGTCTCCCGGGCCTATCGCTGTTCCGCCCAAAACCTAAGCAACCGGAAGGTAGCCTTGCGCACGATCAGCACCCGATCGGCGAGTTGATGAACGAGGCGAATCGTCGCTGGCAGGTATATGAAGATAGTCGCTCGACCAACTTCCGCCAGACCGTCGCCAAGTATCGCCAGACCTACGGCCGCCATCCTCCTCCCGGCTTCAAGGAGTGGTACCAATACGCGCGCGAAAACGGTGTCTATAATGTCGACGACTTTCAGCAAATCACCGGGGACTTGCGCCCGTTTTGGGCGCTCCCTCCCAAGGAAATTCGCCAAATGGCGGCGCGCCTGCAGCAGAGCCCGGGAATCGCAGGTGTACGGATTCGCGATCACAAGGTTGTATCTCACTCCGAGGGATGGCGTGTAGAAACTTTGGCCTTGGCCGTGGAGAAGCTCGCCAAACACCTGCCGGACATGGATATTGCGATGAACACCATGGACCAGCCTCGCGTTATGGTAACCTATGAGGATATCCAGAAATACTTGAAAGTCGAGGAGAGCACGAGGGCGACTCCTCCCGATGCAGCGGATGAATTCACGCAGGGTCTGGATGAGTTGTACAACGAAGAGGCTGGCATCAACGAGGAATTGGATCCTGGTTGGTTCTCCGTCGCTGGAAAGCCCTATATGGATTTCGCCAAGGAGTCCTGCCCACCGGAATCCCCTGCCCGAGACGGCAACTTGACGGTGGCAGATGCAGACAAGCTGTTTAAATCCTCATATGGCGACCTCATCTCCAACTTCACCGGCTCCACGGATCTCTGCACGGTGGGACCGGATATTGGAGACAAGCATGGATTCCTCTTCTCCGCTTCGAGCAACATGATCACGAGAAAATTGCTTCCCGTATTTGGCGAATGCAAGGTCAGCGTGAACAACGACATCCTCTTCCCTGCAAACATGTATTTCTTGAAGGATGAGCGCTATGTATACAACTCAAAGCACGACTATGAATGGGACGACAAGTCCGACTCCATGCTCTGGCGCGGCGTAACTTCCGGCGGTATCCAGGTGGAAGACAACTGGTCCCGCCTCCATCGCCAACGCTTTGTGCGTATAGCCAACGCCACCGAGATGGACTTGGAGAAGGTTTCCATCCTCGCCGAGGACAGCCATAACCACTACCAGCAGATCGATAATTTCCGCCCCTCCGACTTTGCCGCATCCTACTTCGACGTTGGTTTCACCGAGGCCTGGGGCTGCATCCCTGACTGCTCCTTCTACGAGGGCGTCTGGACATACAAGGAGCCCAAGGCATTCTCTGAACAGTTCAAGGCCAAGTATCTGGTTGATATTGACGGCCACAGCTTCTCCGGTCGCTGGCGCGCATTCCATCAGAGCAAGTCGCTCGGCCTCAAGGCTACGATCTTCCGCGAATGGCACGACTCCCGCCTTTTTGCTTGGCGCCACTTCGTCCCCATGGACAACCGCTATGGGGACCTCTACTCCCTGATGACCTACTTCATCGGGCTTGAATCTCCCACCTTGGAGGCCTCCAACCCGAGCCACGGACCATCTGTTCCCCGTCATGACTTCGAAGCCGAGGTGATTGCCTCCCAGAGTCGTGAATGGGCCCATCTTGTCCTGCGTGACCAGGATTTGGAGATCTACCTCTACCTCCTCCTTCTGGAGTATGGACGCATCGTCGATGATAACCGCGAGAACATCGGCTATAGCGGTGACGGAAGTGAACTGGACCAGTTCGACGCCCAGCACCCGTTTCCCCCAGCAGTGCAGCCCATTGTCGGTGCGTGATTGATGACCACTGCCGGCTGTACAGAAAATGCATAATGGTGTCTGCATTTTTTTTCCTCTTTATTTTGGTTCCTACTTCTTATCCTTTGATTCCCCTTCATGGATGTATCTATCCCATGTCCTAATGACCGACGCTACATACTGTCACGATCTATCACCCGTTTTTGTACCTGTCCGTTTCATCTGCATAGAGTTCTGGTTCAGGTCATGCCAATGTATACTTAGCACATTATCAATTTACTTCTACAACACACTCTAAGGATTAATTTCAATTATTTGCTTCCACTTTGCTTCTGATAGAAACTTTAGGAAGTCCCTCATTTTTCATGATATGGCTACCCGAAGCTCCAGTGATTTCTATAGGACGTGCGGCGAGGAAGAAGAATGAACGCGCCCTTTGTTGACAGCCGTCTTTACACTCATTCTATCCCCTTCTGCTGCTGCCCCAGAGCGTCTGGTGATATTCTCAAAGCAATAGCATTCCTTCCATCTTCATTAACCATTTCACCATGAAGTTCGAGTCAAGGTTACAAACCTACGGGACTGCAAGAGAGGCCACAAAGTGTTATAGTCCTTGTTGATATATACATTCACGCTCGCTATCTTCTATCATCATCATCATAAAAAGCCGTCCGGTATACATGTACCCCAGCTTTTAAGCGTCCTCCTTCTGCTCAACTATCCCCTTTTCCTCTGCCCGCATCCACACGTCCACCTCAGCAGCCTCACCTTGAGGCAAATGGCGAGCCATATTGACAATCTGCCAAGGTGTGGAGGCATCACGGAACACGTGGTTCAATGCCTCGAGGTTGCGGTTCATGGTCTCGGGGTAGAAGAAGTAGACCGAGACAGGAATGCATGCTGAGATAACGGCATACACAATATAATATCTGTACCCGATAGTGTCAAGGGCAACCGGTGTGATCATGACAACCACAAAGTTCCACAGCCAGTGATTGGCAGTGGATATGGCGGACATGGCGACACGGAGACGCATTGGAGCGACCTCGGTACAGTAAAGGAAGTTTCCACCGAGGAACCCAACGGGATAGAAGCTGTTGAACAAGAACATGAAAAAGGCAGACGTGATCGCTGCAGCACGGTTGTCTTTGAAGCTGTTCGTGATGGCCAGGGCCATCATGCAGACGGACATGCCGGTACCGCTAATCATGAAGATCTTTCGGCGGCCGAGTCGGTCAATGGCGAAGAAAGCGATGAAAGAGCACAGGAACTTCCAGGTCATGGCACAAGAGCTCAGAATACGGGCAAGATCACTGGTCATGCCCAGATCCTCTTCGAAGATAGTGGAAATATAAGTCGAGATCAAGTTTCCACCACACATCTGCTGGAAGAACTGCAGCGCAACACAGAGGCAGAAGCGGTACAACAGGCGCTCCTCATCGGGCTTGTTGAAGTTGAAGATATCCTTGAGGGAAGCGCTATCGGCTGAAGTTTCCAACGAAGTCTCGATACCGGCGATTTCCACGCGGACCGACTCGTCGTCATCCGGGACTCCCTTGTAGGCAGCAAGACTCTCCGTGGCCTCTTCGATACGGCCAACGCTGACGAGCCATCGAGGGGACTCGGGGAGCAGGAAAACCGCAGCCAAGACAACCAGCGAGAAGAAGAAGGAGACCACAAGCGGAACCCGCCATTGCAGAGAGCCACTGACTTTGCTGAGACCAAAGTCAATCCAATTGCACAGGGTGTAACCCAAACAGATACAGATACCGTCAACGATAACGTGTTGCCCACGGTGTTTGGCCGAAGTACATTCGGACTGCCAGACGGGGACCGCAACGCTGAATTGACCAATACCAAGACCGAGGATAACACGGCCAACAATAAACTGGGGTAGACCGTAGGCGGCGGTCTGGAGTAATTGACCGATGATTGTAAGGATAGCGCCGAGGAAGATGGTCTTTCGTCGACCAAGTCGATCACCAAATGCTGTACATGATAGAGCTCCCACGAGGGCACCAAGTTGCATGGACGCAATCACAACACCTTTGCTTGTAGAGTTCTTTGCGCGCTGGGCACCATGCGTGTTGATAGTGTCGATTTCAGGAAAGACCTTCACCCAACTCTGCAAAGTTGCGAGGGGCCCTAGTCCGGATTGGTTATAACCGAAGACAATGAAAGCTGCAAAGAAGGATTCACGTTAGTATTGCGTTACATCGAGCATGAAAAAAGCAAAATACATACCAGGAGCCACAATGAGAAGCGCCTGAGCCACCCGAAGGGCCTTGCCTCTAAAAAGGGAGACCATCTTGACCGGGTGAGATGGACAGATTGTAGAAAGGTACTCTGGGGAAAGAAAGAAAAAAAAAAGAAGACTCACTCGGTTTATATCCATTCGCCCTCGGCATGTAACGCTCTCGTATGAGGGCCGTGGAGACCCCGGAGAATAATTTCGATTGAATTATGTTTGTGGGCTTGATAATCACATACTGGTGGGTACGGGCTCTTCATCTGGGTCACAGGATTTCAAACTCTTTCTGTGACTTGATGATCTCGCCGCTGGCCCCATCGGAGAGGACTAGCTTTTGGGGGGAGACTGGTCCCCCATGGGCAGGTACCCCGACCTTCCTGCAGCACCCGAGTCCGTGGGAGTTGTACTTCGGTGCTCGGATCGGGGGTTTAGCACATCTGGGACGGGCCAAGTAGGAAGTTGTCCTAGTCTCCGAGAGACATACATACTGTACGGATTACACGCTCATGACCAAACGCATTCAGGGCAAGGCTGGAATAATGCCCTATCTTTCTGTTGGTAGTTCAAAATTCTAATGCCGAAATATCTCCGGATTGTGATTTCACTATAACTAGCCTTCCACCGGCACTTCGAATTCGGGCGTGCTGGCGTTCACCGAGCACAGATCAAGCAATTCTGGATTTTTCTTTGACCGAGCCCCTCGAATCGTGGGGTTAGTCCCAGAGAAAGGCTATTCTCTCCGATGTTGCCACGGGGTAGAACTCGAAAGGGGTTTTAGCTGGAGCCACCTGTTGGAGATCACTTACTCTCGGGCCGATTTCATTGGCTCTTCGGGCCGGAGATGGTCAAGAGTCGGGATCGGGTCGAAGAGAGTTATGAGCCAGACGGGGATGTACCGTACTGCAGAACTCCAGCAGGATTTGATTTCCGTTTACCTAACAGACCTGATGGTCGCATCGGCATTTATGAGAAATGAACGGATGCCGCGAGAAATGCTTTCTCTTATTAACAGCCTCATTCCCCCCGGGTCCAAGAACCTATCAGAGATCTTTGGAACGACTTGGCATGAAGTAATGATCAAAGGCTTATTCGGCCTTGTCTCGCATTTCAATTACCAGGAGAGGCTGCCAAGAGATGGGCCGCGTTCCCTGGCCCAATACACGATATGAACCAAGACATGGAAGTGGGGAAGCGTGGGATGGAAGCATTGCGGCACTCCACAGCGTCGGTCAGGTTCCGGCAGCATACGACTTCAATGCCAATCGACTGACATACACCCCGTGAAGCCGGCATCGCTGGGATCGGCATGATTGAGAACAGATCTCCCTCGGGTTCGAGAATGGTCGCTTAGTAGCCTGAACTGGTGAACAGCCGGGTATCTCGGAACGAGTGAAAACGGAGGACTGGAATTCGCTGAGCTCTCGTCACCGACATCATACCATAGCGGTCGGATAATTTAAGCCTTAGTACCTTAGTACCTAGGAGCCCTTGGAGTCGGCTCACGGCTATTAGCCGGGCCTTTTCGCTCTTTAGAGATTCTTGTAACGCCGTGGCTCTTTAGAGCAGCCCCGCCGCTACACAACGGGAGTTGAGCGAGAACCTAAATCTTAACTCTATTTCAAGCCACGAGTGCCTCTTCCCAAAGGAAAACCCTCTCCTTTGGGATAGCTTGAATACTCAAAAGATCGAAGAGATTATTCACTCAAGGTGTCTTCACATAATACCCTTCGCCATTCCTTCCCAGATAACCAACATCCTTCTTCATTGGCTAACTCCGTTCGGGCCACCAGGGAAGACTTCTCTCGCACCCGATTATGTTACAGTCCATTACCTTTTTGTTTGTCATTGCAAAAAGGAGCACCTGCCGTACACTCCGAAGCGTTCCGGAAAGATTATGTACATTATAACATAAGAGTAGCATTAAATATATTCTCAATAATAGTATCTATAATAGTTCATCGAGCCCTTCCTCTAGTCTACAATCATGATGGTAGTCAGTGCCCGGATCATCATCTGCAAGCTCTCATACATGAACACATACTAACTTACTGGTTTTCTCAAATCCCTTCTCTCTATTGCCCGTCTCTTCCAGCCTTTCATTCCCATAGTAATGAAGATGATGCCATTCCAGAATCCCCGCAAAGACCCCAGCGCACTCACAGCCAAGTAGAGTGAATATGAGTGATGGTCTGGCCGAATAAACAAAGACACGCGATTGATGGTTGGCGCAACCCATGTCGCTAAAAGGGCAAGGAAAAACAGGGATGGCATAAGAATATATTGTCTGAACGACATGCGCCTCTGGGTTGGCGGGCTAAATTTTGTGGAGTCGAAAGGCCTCGACGGTTGTCGCAGGGTGGAAGTTCGCTCCAACGACGATTCGCTTATGATGTGCGACTCAGATACGAGTCCAGGTTTATTGTTCGCGTCCGATTCGACAATCGTCGTGACGGTGCTGTCATTATTATCGAACGGCCGGCTGCTCGTCGAGTGAGAGGTCAGAGCAATGTGATCGTCCTCGGTCAATTTGAATTCGTCCCGCAGTCTTGATATTTCGATACCGATCAAAAAGTAAATTATCACCACGAGACCGATAACGACCCTATAAGATTGGAATGATTAGTTTGGGAAGTTATGAAAAAAAGCGCATTGTACGATGTACATACCACACGGGAACGTAGTATAGTACAAGCCGAATTATCATCCAGCGAGGAGATATAGAACACCAAATCTTTCAGATCAACTAGTCAATAATGTAGAGCGCAGGATTGGGAGAGAAAGTTTAACTCACGGTTTCACCACCATATATTGGGCCTCTAGCAGGTGTTCTGATGCAAAGAAAGACGATTGCGGGTATGCCACTCAGAGCGGAGATCGCTCCGATGTATTTATATTCAAGCTTTTGTAAGGAATGGGCGTCAAAGTGATGGAAAACGACGAGGTATGTGTCAAGACTCATTGCGAATGTCCATAGAACATCTGCAAGGGGGAACCTGTTGTGCGACAATCAGCCCTGCTTCCATGTGTCAACGGAGTGTCATTGAGTCGGTACATTTGAAGAGTAAATCCCTGAAATTGGCATAGAGATGAAGTGTCTCCTGCAGCAGGTCCCGATACTGATATCATCGTCCCAGCCGAGTCTATCAGATTGTAGAATGAGTTAAAGAAAATGATTCGATGGATAGGACTTCGAAAGTATCGTGATAAACAAAATGCTCCGATGATAATGAATGACCCTAGAATAGATAGGACCGAGGTGACACGCCCCGTAATACCTATCATTTCTAGCTGCTTATCGGTGAGCGTCATCTTGAGGATTGTCTCCTCTAGGAGAAATAGTGATGCAGCAGGCAGTTAATCACCGATCCACAGAAAGATCCATTAGCAGATATAGGAAACTCAGATCGAGGACTAATCGATATAAAACTTGGCTGGATGAAGACTGCGCACGCGACGAATTTTTCCTTCCATCTTGAATGACACCTTAAATTCGTCCGTGCAGGATGACAACTGTTTGGCTCCAATGACGTGATAATGTGAGATTCGCGATGCGAACTGGACAAAGCACTGTGATCGCGCAATATGTGGGTCCGATTAGCCGCGAACAAAGCTCGTGTTTGACGGCGTTCGTCACTGAGAAACACGATCTAATGCAGGTAACTATCAATAAGATGACAGCCTTCTTTATTAGACTGCTTAGAGTGGATCGATATCCTACAGAAAGAGTATAGCTGGGATCACCCCTTCTCTCCTTAGAGTGATCGATCACATCCCTAGCCCTTTCAGTGGCTGTGTAATCCGTAGACCTGGAGACTCCGGGTCTTTGGGGTATCCAACCTGTCGGAAAGGGGGCTTCTGTTGATGAATAATTTGGGATCAACCGCGATTGGAGCGCTTGATTAGGCTCTTGTAAATCCTAATGTGGGCCTACGTGTGTTTTTGTAATTGATTTCAAGCCGCAGTTACCGAGTCCCGGGGATCACAACATCTAAACCAAGATATCTATCGGCATTCATCACCAGATATTACCCCGACAAGCTGAGATTTAAGAAGCACGCGATACCAGGCTTGGTTTCTCCATTCGAACTTGGTCACCAGCCCGCGGTCATGGCTTCTATGAGTGATGAGGAGCTGGGTAGATGGGAGACAATGGAAAGGTGCTTCTTCCTCAGATTATGTTGATGATAGTGAGGCCTCTTGTGAGTCCAGAAGGAAAAGAACCTGTCTCTCTTGTCTTTAAGTGGCGGTGCTTAGTGGCTGATCATCGCTGTTCTAATAGTTAAACCATTCCAAGGGACTGCCACAGCTAAACAGTCTGTCGAACATTATGTGTACCTACCCCGTGATTGGTTAAAAATCTGTAGGGGACCTTCTGCAATAGTTGCACCGAGGACACACCCCATCTGACGCCAGAAGAGACCTCGATTTCGATAGTCGGTGCCTGATATCGTCTCTGCATGCAGGAACGGGGGTATTCTTTCCCACAAAGCAAAGCTTCTTGGCTTTAGACCACAACCAGTGAGCGAAACGCATTAATACTGACAAATTTTCGAATATGATTAAGTTCGAGGCCACTCAGCCAAGCAAAAGGACGGCATTGCCGCTCTAGTGAATGTCGAAACCAGAGGCGCAATTTCGGGCTACTATAACACATTCTAGAGCACGATCTACATATTCGCAGCGGAACCGTATCCAATTAAAGAGTTGATGTATGGCGAATATTACCGTCACAATAGCATCGAATATTGTCGATCAATTGAAGTCACTGGCTGGCATTCCTTTTACAGTAATGGGCTCATTTTTGTTTGCTTGGATTCTTTTGTCTCGCGACGCCATTGAACGAGAGATTAGCTGGCCCGACTACCACCCTCGCATCAAAAGGTCTTTCTCCGAAAGGCCGGCTTCATGCTATACCACCGTTGATTTTTCGGCTTCTTGCCCATGATATCGGTCGAGATATCAAGATCCCCAATCCGAGATCCCTTGCGGGCCAGGCCGTGAGGTAGTTGGTCAAGTGGAAGAGCGGACATGACGATGCTTCTCTCCGGGGTCACTCTATACCGGGATCCATTGGGTGTTGGAACTGCTGGGAAACCCTGGTACTTGGAATTGGACGCCCTGGCCTCAGATGATTCAAACCTGCTTCTCAGACATCCTTTGGGTTGAGCTCATTCAGACTGGTAGTGCGTGTGATTCCAGTCCCCAAGGTCGTCATTTCACATCTGGTAACCCTCACCATCTTTTCTCCAAGTTTTTGATTTCGTTTCAAGTGTCTCATCCTCTGCTACGTTTTCCTGATCTGATTTTCCAGGTCAATCATTACATTGCATCGCCTGTTCTTGGATTTAAAATTCAGTTCTATCGAGATAATCTTCAGCTGTTGTCCATGAGTAGTACGCGTTGTAGAAAATGCTAGGCGGCTATCTAGGTCTACTCATCTGGTAGTAGTTGAGAGCAGTCAAACAATTCCATTCATGATAAAAAGATATATAAAAGAGATCTAGAAAAGGGGTCCAGGTCTCTTATCTCTCCGAGGAGAGAAAAGAAAAGCAAAATGGTAACGGCATAGTTTACACAGCCCTCCGGAAAACCCAAAATCCTCACCAAGAGACGGGATACCTGATCCAGGTCATCAAGAAGACGACCAAGCAAGAAAGAAGAAAAAAATTGAAACATCAGCTATGAACTAAGACAAAGCAAGAGCTGACAATTCCCACGAAAGGATTGAGAGACTTGATTATCCCAGTTCATGCCTAGCTGAGCGAGGCGCTTTTTAAACGGTCAGATCACGCGCGTGCACCTTCTTGTCGCTGACGAGCCACTTGAGGGTCTGACGGAGCAAGTTGAGGAACTGCTCAGCGCTCAGGGAGCTCAGGTAGGAGGACCAGTCGCTGGAGTTGTAGGAGCTAGATCCGGAAGAGGAGCTAGAGCCAGAGCTGGTGGAGCCAGAGGAGGACGAAGACGAAGTAGAGGAAGAGTCCGAGCTGCTGGCAGAAGCAGTCGAGCTAGCGGCGACCTGGCCTCCAGCGCTAGCGGTGACTGTGACGGTGTCATCGGCGCTAGGAGTCTGGACATTGGGCGAGTCAGTAAACTGAGCTGAAACAGTGGCAGTGGCATATTCGGTAGCAGTTGCATAATCCGTGACGGTGGAAGCCTGGTTCTCAGTGCCGGAGGGTGCAGAGAACTGGGGACGGCCCGAGGGAGCGGCACCGTGGCCTGGACGACGACCGTGCGAGGGACGGGGCAGGCGGGTGGAGTTGGAGAAGGACGGGATGGATGAAGGGCTCCCAATGGGGGTGGCACTGGGACTGGGGGTGACACTAACGGGGGAAGCGCTGGAGATCACTCCGACGGAGGCCACGGTAGACGAGGAAGCAGCAGTGGTAGCAGCCTCTGCGGTAGTGGTAGCAGCCACGGAGGCAGCGGTAGTGGTTGAGTCCGAGGAAGAGGCAGCACCGGTGTACAGAGCCGGGCCAGGGATGGTGTAGGAGCTCAAGGACTGGTAGATGTTGACCAGGATACCAGGGTCTGTGTTGGTGTACAGAGCGGTACCGAGGGTGCCGGTGGGAGAGTCGCTGCCGCCGCCAGTGACCTTCAGATTGAGACACTGGGGGTAGTTCTGAGCACCATTGGAGTTCTCGGCCGAGTGGAGAGCGATAATCTCGTGGCGGAGGACGTAGTTACCGGCCTCAATGCTGCTGGGGATGGTGACGGTGCGGCTGTTGTTGTTGCTGATCAGGTTGTCCGAGGCCCAGGTGCCGGGAAGGGTGGTGTCATCAATGAGGCCACTCTCGTCGATCTTGAAGAACTTCAGGGTGGTCTTGTCGACAGAGGAGCAGTCGCCATTGCAGTTGGCCAGGTAGGTAATGACGGGGCCGTGGTGAGACGAGGGCCATTCGGTCCACTGGAGCTCAACGCTGCCACCGGCCGCGACGGGGGCGGAGATGGCACCGGGCTCAGCACTCTTGTGGCAGATGATGTCCGAAGAAGCATACGAAGAGCCGTCGACGTAACCCAAGTCAGTGGCAGTATCGGACCAGCCAATGGTGTCGGGAGGGCTGGACTCGTAGGGGTACTGAGTAACCAGATATCCACCGTAGTAGGTACCGTCGACAACGGCACCGGAGACGTAACCGTGACCAGCGACCAGAGCGGCCGAGCCGAGAACAACACCGGCAATCTTGGAGAAAGACATTGTTTTGAGTCGGTTGGTGGGAAATGAACGCACAGCGTTTTTGGATCCGCGAGGGAATGAGGAAAAGAAAAAGAGTCGAAAAGAATGGAAAAATGGGGACTTCAGTCAATGAAGTCAACCCAAGAAAAGAGAATGGAAAGGTACTAGACCTTGGGAAAAGAAAGAATGGAGTGTATAGAGACTGTTGATAGAAAGAAAGCGGGAGGGTTGATCGCGTTGCTTTATATGCTGCTCGTCCGTCGAGGCTCGTCCGGCATCAAAGCTCCTTTGGCATGCGAGAGCAAGCCACAGCAGTAGCATCAACTCCACCGGGACCTGACAGTTCCTGCATGGTTGGAGACCCCTTAATTCTAAAGCAAGTCTCTGTCGCTGATGATAGAACGTTCCCACCGCCAGGCATGGTCGGTCATAGGTGGAGAATCTTCTGGCGACCAAAAGGGTAGCCCTCCGAGGTCCCAAATAGATGAAATTTCCAGCCCGTTGGCTGTTAGACAGCCGTACTCCCCACCGGGTTTAATTAGGCTATACCCGGTATATTCAATGCATCCATTCCGAGCGGATGGCTGGGGCTCGTTCAAACCGCTCGTTGGTGCCCCTCAATCATGGGCGGCAGTCTGCGACGATCTAGGTTTCATCCTGACGGCCACTCCCCCTCAGATGGGCAGTTGGTCCTAGCGTCGGTGGATGAGATATATCATCATCACTTGCATCATGATACCGAGTCCTTCATTTGGACTCCTGCGCGAGGTTGTTTTTGGGTGTTTGATGTTGAATGTTGGAGGAGGTTAATATCGGTTCAGGGAGAAGAAGCTTGGTTTGGGGTCGGGGAAAGGGAGCCCCATCGCATCACCACCGGGTGAAGGTGAGACCGATTCGGTTAATTCATAGATATCCAGCATGAGCAATAATTGACGAGCAGACTTAGTTTTTTTTTTTTTTTTTTTTTTTTCCCCTCATTCAGATATTTCTGGGGTCAAAGTGTGAAACGGCACGCGGAGTAATCGGTGATTTTGAGTTGAGCTTGACCATGACCATAACGAGGACATTGAAATGTTCAAGTCGTGCAGGGTTAGTCATCATAGCTTCCAAGTTAGTTAGGCCGTCGTAAGCTAGTTAACTAAAGAGCTGTCAAGGTGAATCAAGCTGTCAAGGTGAATCAAAGCCATTGCGACCGGCGCATAGTTAGTGACTCTTAGTGCTAGTTAGGTCCCATCTACCGGCCCACCGCGAAGATCTCGCCACGTCGAGAGGGGCTGGAGTCGGGTGCCGTGGGAATTCCCACCGAGCGACATTGCTATCAAGCTCGTGTCATTTCACCATATACTGGCGGCAAAGTGAGCCACCTAGATCCACATTAAAATCATATTGTAGTTGCCAACATGGGTTCGAACCGCTGGGACTCATGGCCGTCGGTGAAGATGGAACTTCCCTTGCAGCGATGAAGGAGGGGTGGCAGCTCCGGCGCGTATTCGGAGAATCTTTCTGAAACCCGCGGCGGGCTCGGCACCCCGAGCAGGGCTGGGAGACTGTTCAAGGAAGCCATCTTAGAAACGGAGGAAGGCCAGACCGTGAACGAGTTTTCCAGCGTTGGCGCCTGGTCTTGGCTGCGGGCCTCCTTCATTTAATGTGCAATACGCGCTCCGTGGTCTCCATCTGGCTGTCAGTAATCTTCGGTGATCAGACCCGAGACATTCTTCGGCGCATCCGTAGATATCTTACTGTTCATCATCTATACCTACTCACCGGAGTGGAATTGCTTGCAAGTTCTTCATCGGTCTCGACGCAATCCAAAACCAATCATCGCCACTAGAGAAATGCACTGTGCACTAGGCCATGCCGGCTTGTAGCATTGACCTTCTCGGGCGGCGAGGTCGGCGAGCGGTACAGCGGGCTGGCAACGCTCTGGTCTTATTGAGCCACGGTTAGATGCATTGTCTGGAAGGTTATTTTCTTGGAATCTGAATGCCTACAATGGGCGATATCGGATGTGTAACTCAAACTTTGATATAGATAGCACGGACCAGTGATGCGTACATGTCTTTTGTTCGATATCCATTGGTTTCAAAAAGGCACTCTGCAAGCCCCTCGCATTCTTGGCGTAGATATTAGCGGTCACGGCAGATCAACCAATTGAAGGATCCAAAGACATTGGAATTTAGGGCTGAAGTAGAGAGTGTTTGATTTCAATGCTTATCAAGGAGTCGAATTCTTGTGTTGTATGCATTTATGGCCAGGCCAAATGGGCGGAAGGTGACCTTAAGAGGTATGCATGTCTAGCCAGCGGGTTACTTAGGATTGAAGGTATCCACCCACCTTCGAAAGGTATGGAGACTAGCTGTGACCCGACCAGAATAGATGAACAAAGGTACCGGTTGAGAAGCCGTTAGACGTGAACGGGGTCCTTCGAACCGGCCGTGCCAGTCCATTTACTCTTGTCTAGCCGACGCATCAACGGTCTCCCTTGCGCAGTGGAAAGGCTAGCTGCAGGAAAGTTCGGACCAATTGCCGGTGTCGACCCTCGCACACTGACTGATTCAAGACCTTGTTCTTGAGTGACATGCATTGCGTAGTTTACCACAATCCTGACCATCAATGCGGAGCACTGTCTACCGGCATTCGGGAGATATGAAAGTAGAAATATTACATGTCTGGTACGGTGGTGGGGATTATATGGCACGGTGGCGGGGATTGACAGCAACCAGAACCAGACAAGGCGATCCGCAACTATGTATTATGCGTTTATCCCTTTATCAGTTATCGCGCTGGTGTCGCCGCCTGGGGGCAGATAGTGGCACAAGCCCGCGATAGTGTGACACGAATCGTATGTAAGAAGAGATACCCTGACACAATTATTTTCATGATGACCAGGCTCGTGGTCGTCATCACCGAGCGGCCGATCTATGCAGGTCGGGGCCAAACCTTACTATACCTACGGGATCAGTGCGGCGCAGTAGTGTATGTTGTACCCGATAGGTAAGCCACAATGCCGTTACCGAACAGTTAGCGTGGGGGAAGCGTAAGAGTCGAAGAGCGAGTAGTACCATCGGCCATTGCTTTGCTGATCATTCCTATGGGAGTTGATGCATCGCGAATCCACGATCTGTGGCTGATCGAAGCCACGAGGACCAAGGCCAAGGTCGCACCATGAATATCTCAATCTGCTAGGAGAGCCGAAATAGGTAGGACTGCCATGTGTGTGGTCCAAAAGAGATGTGACTCTATGATAAGAATGTAAGGTTACGTAGAGGGTGCTTGCTCTTCGTCGAACGGGGGTCGTCCTGTAAAGAATGTCCAGAGATGAGGTGGTGGAAATGCGCCATTTGCTCCGTACAAGTATCCGATGTAATAGAATACGGGCACAGGCCATTGCATAGACGGTAAATCGCCTGCCAAGCCCTGAATCACGGATATTGGGTCAGGCCAGATTGGTAACGAGCGTATTGGCCAGTCACCGCTGGAGTGGCAGCCTGAGGTGTCGATGGCTGATCGTGGTGGGAAAAAGGTTGATTCGAACAGGAAGGAGGGAAAAAGAGAACAGCACACAATAAAAGCCATGGGTCTGTGATGGTCAGGGGTAGATACGGCAAAAATCTGTCTTCCTATACATTACGATAGCATAGGTTTTTCAAATCCAAAAAAAGACCGCGACACAAAACTCTGAACTTTGGCTATCCAAGAGGAATCCAGAGTACTGAACTCGAGTCCACGTTCTGTTGAGAGGGTTTCTTTCTGCCGGTCTGGATCGCCGCTCACACTTTTCCCGCTCTCCTTTCCCGACTCCACAAGGCAGGCACTTTCCTTTTACCCCAGCAACTACGACCACGACACTCTTCGTATATATACACTCCTTATATACGCCTGTTCCACGGGCCATGGTCTCGGCAGACCGGTCCTGGTGCATCGTGTGAATTCCATCGACTCCAACGGTCTGATCAGCTCTCATTTCCACCCCTAATCCTCCCACCGCCGTCGCTCCTCCGAACTCCGCCGCCCGCCCCCCCAACGGTCTACACACGCGACAACCAACACCGTCCCAGGTCGAGGACAGTGTGAGAGTGGTCGGTCGCTCCCATCTCCCCGTCGCGATAATACGAGCCCATTCGAACCAGAAGGGTCTACGAACTATGGGACCAGCAGAGACACCCTCCTCACCCGCCTTCCCTGCCCTGGACCCCATCATCATGGACGACGAGATGGAGTCCACCTTCCGCAATGCCAACATGGACTTTCTCGACCCATCCAAACTGGATATGCCCTCCGAGTCTGCCGGAGGAGACTTTGACGATTTGTTCTCCCATGTCACCCATTCTCGTCCTCACGGGGCTCCAGAGTCGTCAAAGCGCTACCGCGACGAGCACCCCCTGAGGCAACAACCTATCATGACGGCCGATTCCCCTGCGGAGTCACCTGAAAACTCGAGTCGCAGTTCCTCGTCGGAATCTCCACGAAATCACTTGCGCCATGCCTCGATCGCATCTACCAACTCCGCCGCTCACAGTGAAAACCCGCTGGTATCGACAGGATTTGCGGCAGAAGACTGGATGCGCCCCGATCTCTCGTCAGTCAAAGAGGAATCGCCCTTCACGATAGATCCGTCATATCCTATGGATGGCGGTGTTTCCATGAATCACCCCGACTTGGAATTTAGCAACAAGGCCATGGATGCCGCGTTTGACTTTGAGAGTGCAGCCAGCAGCCCTAGTCCCTTGAAGACGGAGAACCCGCCTCAACTTAACAGCCATAAGAAACCGAAACCGCAGATTTGGAGTCCGTCCAATGCTTCGGCTGTACCGCCATCTCATGATGTACAAACCGCATCTTCGGTGAGTCATCCTCCCTATGAATGCCATGCTCAAAATTGATCGTACCGAGTGAATGCTAACATGACAACCCAATAGGTTTCCCAGGGCGCATCCCAATTCTACCCGTTTGGATACAAGGAGCAGTCTCCCTTTGGAGGCCAATTCACCAATGGCACTGACCGATTGTCTGCACCCCAGTGGTCTGGTCAATCTCCCTCATCATTGTTGGAGGAAAGCTTTGGCGGTATCAATATGAACGGACAGTCCCCGATGAATGCTTCCATGTCACCAAATATGAACTTTGGCTCCCCTAGCGCCTTTTCATTCCCGACCAACTTTGCATCTCCACCGGCTCAACCTCAAATGGATGCCGCCAACCCCGCACAGCCCGTGTTGACCGTTCACCCAACCTCCCTCAAATCGCGTGTCGAAACACAAATTCCAATTCGATTGACTCTTTCTCCGCTGCCGGCCGGCGTAAAGAAGTTGCGCCTCCCCTCTCACACCATCTCCAAACTCAAATTCCTCGCCCCTCCCTCCACCGAATCTACCCCCGACACCCTCCAATTATACACGAGTTTGGTGTGTACGAGTGCAATGCAGGACCGAGACAAGCTGAAACGGGCATTTGCACGTACACGTGGCGAAAGAAATCCCGCGGGCGCAAACGGAACGGAGGAAGAACGACCATTGGATGGCGGAGATGTCAAGATCTGCACGGGCTGTATCCAACGAGAGCGGAAGCGTGCTTCTCGGAAGAAGCAGCGGAAGCCCGAAGAGGATGAGCTCTTCCAGAAAGACGAGGAGAAGCGTGTCATTGTATTCAACACCAGCGAAATCAAGGAGTGGACTGAGCCACCCAAGAGCGCTGCTGCTGGTTACGGTGAAATGCCTCCGGCCGCTCCGGGATCGATGCAGGTTGAACTACCAATGCGAATTGCTTGCTACTGTCGACACCAGAACGAGAAGCTCGGATTCCAGGTCATCTTCACCATTAAAGATCATTTGGACAACGTTGTGGCGCAGGCGATCACTAACTCCATTATGATTACGGATGACCACAAGACACAAGCACCTTCCGCTCCCCCAGCAGCTGGTCCTTCACCTTCCCTACCAGATGGAAGTCAGTTGCCGGGTGTCGGGGTCTTTTCATCGGGCGATAATGGCAAGGCTGCAAATGGTGCCTTCGGATCCCCACAGTCTCCCACCGACCTCCAGGGTCTCCAGCAAAGGTTCAATTCTCAGTATCAGCTTACCCCTAGCTCTTTTGCTGTGGCTCAAACAGTCCCCAATGGTGTATCCTCCAATTCTCAAACTCCTCGAAATCTGTCTCGACAGGCGTCGCCTACCGACTTTCAGGGCCCACAAACTAAGCGACGAAAACACAGCAGCTCTGGCCGACTTCCGTCAGAGTTGACCATGACTCGTATGGAAACGCCTCAGTCATCCAGCTCGGCCATGAATAATGCTGCTCAGCTTGCGGCAGCTCGTGGATTCGCCTCCCCGACTGAGCGGCCATTTGTAGCCCCCTCGTCGATGTCTGGACAATACGGCAATGGACCCCCCACGCCGAACCAGAGCAACGACAACAACCCCTTCTTCAACCCGACTCCTGCTCAACGACAAAGTTTGGATAACCTGGCCCAGCAAAACTTGGTTTCTGCGCCAACCTCCGCTCAGCCTAGTCGTCCGGGAACTCCGGGTGCATCTGGCCGTAACGCGTTCCAAGATCAGAATCTTGCGCTTGCACTCGGTGCTACGTCTGCAAATCAGATATGGCCTTCTCTCGCAACTACTCCAAACCGGTTGCCTTCCGTCATTCACAAATTGGTCCCTGCCGAGGGCTCGATCACTGGAGGTACAGAAGTTACATTGTTGGGAAGTGGCTTCTATCCCGGCATGGAGGTGGTGTTTGGCGATACATTGGCAACCACTACTACCTTCTGGGGTGACAAGTGCCTTAACTGTCTCACTCCTCCTGCCCTCCAGCCAGGATTGGTATCAGTGGTCTTCAAGCACGAGCATCCTACTTTTGGACAAGTGCAGCAGCCTCAACCGCTCATGCCTAAACAGCAACTTTTCTTCCGATATGTTGATGATCGGGAGCTCCAGATGTATCGTCTGGCCCTCAACATTCTTGGACAGAAGTTGGGTAGCCAAGCGGATGCATTCCAAACTGCTCAGCAGATTATGGGCAGCGACCCGAACGCTATCTTCAACATGCAGAAGGACATGCAAGGTGGTGGGTCCTCTGGGGGTCACCAACGCCAGGTGCCTGGACACGAGTCTCAAGGCAAGCTCAGCGATCTTGACTCCAAGATGCTGACCTACCTCGAGTACATTGACCTCGACGACAATCCTCGGCCGCCGCGCTACAACTCTCGTAGCGCCACTGGCCAGTCTCTTCTTCACTTCGCAGCTTCTTTGGGATTGACTCGATTTGTCGCGGGCCTGCTGGCGCGTGGTGCAAACCCTGATGTACAGGACAACACTGGCAATGCGCCCATGCACTTGGCTGCCCTTCACGGCCATGCTCATATTGTTAACCGACTTCGCCTGGCTGGTGCCAATGCCAATGCTCGTAGCGTGCGTGGCTTCACTGCTGCAGACTTGGCGACAACCCTCCCTGCCCACCAGGCTGCTCTTCTTCCATCTCGCCACTACCGCTCACGTAGCGTTGGATCTCTCACATTGCGTCGGAGACGTAGCAGCTCTGCTTCTCTCAATTCACTTTGGGAGGCGTCGTCGGCATCGGGCTCCCTGGGTCACGCTCTCGATAATTCAGAGGAGTTTGATGATAGTGAAGAGATGGACAGCGATGATTCTGACGCTCCCCTGTTCTTCAATGCTTCCCGGCGGTCAAGCATGCACCAAGATGCTATCCCACCCATTGTGGACGCTGGCGCGCAGCCTACTGCACCCGACACGCGCGGGTTCACCACGGCGGCAATCGTTGCCTGGCGTAACCACCTTGCGGGGCAGATCAATCAATTCCAGCAGAGCGTGGCTAGTGCCTTCCCCAACATTCCTGCGTTGCCTCCCATGCCCGCTATGCCTACTATGCCCACTATGCCTGCCATGCCCGCTATGCCGGACTACCAGGCCAATCACATGATGCGTCGCATTACGAACCTCGTACCTCATCGACCCACGGCTCGAGACGGATGGTGGGATCTGCTGAAGGGCAACACTGCCGCTCAAACTCAAAACCAGCCGCCTTCGTACGATGAGTTGTATCCTCACCAGCAGGACGATGCAGAGGCGACAGAGCTGAAGAAATCATCTCTCTTGCGTGCTGCAACAGAGGCTGCCATGGACCAACACTTTGAGGCACAAATCACCCTCCCGTCTGCGTCTACATCAACCGCAGCTACTGCCATTGAGCCCAGCACCCATGCAGTCAATAATGATCTCAAAGATATTACCATCGGAAGCAAGCTCATCTCAAGGGAACAACAGAAGCATCTCCGAGAGCACCAGGCCCGCCGCATGAAGGGTCTAGGCAGCGACCGGAACCTCTACTTCATTTGGGTAAGTCAACTCACATACTCGCTTTTTAGAGCCTAAGATCTCATTACTAATTTTTATTCTAGATTCCTCTTCTGCTTCTAGTTGTTTGCGCTTGGATTCGGAATTACGTGCCAGGGATCTGGCAAGGCGTCACGGACGGCTATGACTTTGTGAGGGCTCGCTACACACAGCGGGCTGTGGGATTGGGCATTTAGGGACCGTTCTTTTTTTTCCCCCTTTGTCGATTCAGTTTCATTACTTTACCTTTTTGAACCTTTCTGGGGCCCTTGGTATATTTGGATACGGTTTTTTTTTTTTTTTTTTTCATTTTGCTTGAGCGAATCGTCGCGACCTGGCACTTTTATATTTTTGGTTGTCGGCTCCTCTGCTTTAACATTCTTTTTGGTTTCGCGCATAATGAGAGGATACGACTATTACATATATTTGCGCCTTGCAAAGGCGATGCATTGTTCTGTTAAGATAGGGGTTTGCATAGGTAGATATTTTAAGTGTTTTTAGTTTTCTGTTCTGCGGTATACTGGTATACTGGACACCTTAAGTACGGCAGACGATGGCGGACTTGGGGAGACGCATGCTTAGTAGCATTTAGCCCTCTTACGTGTTGAACACCTCTTGATACATATAGTATAGACGAGTAATAAAATCTAGATATGAAAGTCTTTGGGACATCGGCCTTTAGGTGAAACGACGTAAAATTTTCTTGCGGAAGTTCTAGTTTAGTTTAGATAGTTTATGTACTATGATTGGAAAACACTATCCTAGCATGCTGCATTTGTCCCTTTGTATAGGTTCGGAATGAACTGTAAGATTTTCCGCGGTCGTACTATAATGTCGAGGGGCTATAACCTAGAGAAAGGCTTGGGTACGACTGTACGGTCCGGAAGACTGTAGCTGGCCAAAAGGATGAACCCTGAGGCTTAGATCCCAGGGTAGGCAGGAAGCCTTTCCCCATCTCCGCCGACAGTCTATCTCCAAATCCGCGGCTCCCCAGTGCACCCGAGCTACCTACCCCACAACACACCACTCAAGAGAAAATCTTCTATCTCGACCACCTATTCTGCCATCGCGGCTAGAGCTCTGCTGCTCCAAGGATAAGTGCTTAGCGGCGGCGCCCCGTAACAGATGGCCAAGAATGGTTTCCACTTCCAGCCTTTTTCAAGGAGCTTGCTGCTTTGCTCCCCGCTTCCGTAATGAGCACTTCGGGTAGCAAAACCTTGGAGTAACACGCTTGTGGAGGAAGCATTTGGAGTAGTATCCACTTGGGGAATCAGAACCTGGGGTAGAATATAGTAGAATTCTCGGAGTATGTCTAACTGTCGTCGCTTTAACATACCTTTACTAGTTAGTACCAAAGGTTCCATATATTAGTATAAATAGTCAGACTTCCCCCAGGTTTCTAAACTTGTACACCTTTCTTTAGAACACTTGTTCCGTTGACCACTAGGATAAACAACATGCCTATTATTCCTGCTCGTCGGTTCGCGATACAGCGACTGCGCCTCGGCCAGTTGATTAAGATCATAGACTCCTCCGGAGGCCAGGTGATTGACACCTGGGCCTTTTCCATTCCACAAACACCCGCTTTTCCAAGATATATGTCAATGACTCACACTCGGTCGACCTTGCATAAACTTCTTCCGTCTATTCACGAGTCTTTCCTTGACAACAAACGAAATCCTATTCTGACGATCGTCGAAGACACATCTCCTGGCATACACGATGTTCTCTTCGCCGCGTGTTCTCCGGAACGCTATCTTCAACTAGGTGCTGACAAAGAGCATGATAACTGCGCCAAAAATCTCCACGACGCCATAGAGCAATGCACAGAACCATCTTTCAACCACATTATGAAGTTTCTGGAGAGTGGCTGGATGCCTGATCCACTGAATTTATTCATGAAGGTGGATATTCATGGCAATATCTTGCAATGTTTAAACCCAGAAAGCAAGGCGGGGGATTACATTGTGTTAAAGGCGGAGCAAGAATGTGTCATAATAATGAGTGCTTGCCCGATGGATTTGAGCGCTTGCAATGGGGGCGAGCCTAGCAGCGCGAAATTCGAAGTTATTTGAGCTGGGAAAGTAGAAACATGATGTGCCTACACTCTTGCAATGCAGAATCTGATTCTTTGGTTCCGACTCTGTCGTTTTTGATCTACACAAGACTATAACCGACGCAACGGCCATGCTTCACGTTTAGTAAATAATATCGTAGACCGCACATTAGTTAGATGCTCCTGGACGCCCTATCCTAATGAAGGACATGCTGCGAAACGGCCCCGAATAGGGACACCGATATCTTCATTTGGCTCGTCTTTACTAGCCTTGAGTGTACCGTTGAGCGAGGAATTGGTGAACGACGTGAATAGGCATTTATTTGACCTCGAGGTCAACTAAAATGGGGCGAATGCCAGGGTTCACCGCACCGCGGTGAGCAGGTTCAGCCAATGTTCTGGAATGCTTTCTTGGCTACTCAACAGTCTTCTTCGACTAGCCTTTAGACTTAAGGGCGCGACTAATACTCTATTCCGTTACTTAAAGAGTAAATTCGTCCTATAGAAAAATAGCTATTTTATCTAAATATAGAGTAGACATTTTAATTAGATAATCGTATAAGGCCTCGAGTATAACTAAAGTAATACTATAGGGTCGTCCGCCTCTAATTAGAGGTACTTTAACGCTACTAAATATTCTTATATTATAAGAGATTCTAGAGATAGTACTCTTATTATAACTAGCGGCCTATACTATCTCCGTTATAGATAGTTCGCTACTATAGATTATATCATAAATAAGCTCGAGCTTAGAAGGAGCTAGGTTTAGGGCTATAGTCAGTTAAACCGCTCGTGATTAATTATAAAAGGGTGCCTCTTAATAAAGGCTATATCAGAAGAGGGGCATCGAGGTAACCGATACATTAAATTTATAAGTAAATATAGTTGTATCTATATTTATTATATAATCTACGTATAAATTAATACATACATATATCCCGGAAGAACTCTAGATATAGACTTGTATATCTTAGCGTAAGAAGCAGGAAAGTTAATCAGAGAGTGGAGTTATTACACCGGTTTCGCAACGTACTGTATCTAACCTAATCGCTTTATATTTATTCTATTTAAGCCTCTACCTTAAAATTTACCTATCATTTCCAAAATTTGAGTGTTCACTATTAGCCGCAATTATAAGATAGTCCAGTTTCATTGGTATATCAAAGACCCATTTTTTAAATTCATCGTGGAATTGATCAATTGCTAGAGACGTTTGGTAGGCTCATTAATCGTGTGAGACATAAAGAAGAATCCCAGCAGAATCAGGACTAGACCTAAACAGGGATTACATATGACTCTAACTTATATCACTCTGACCGAATGACTGTTTTCTCTTTCTCCTCCCTAGATCCTGTTCTTTACGCTCTGAGTATACAGATATCTTTTATATATGTCCTCTTCTCTTTCCACGAATGGTACTGCATTGATCAAAGTATCTCGAGCGAACAATGTGACATCTATTCCCAGAGAGTTCTATGCCAAGGCTAGTCCAGCTAGGGACGCCTCCTTTCAATACAAAATGCTACATTCGAGGTTTATATAGTACCTGCTAAGTCTTTATGTATGTAAATTCACATTAAGGCTTCTCGCTAATATCGATAGCGACCATCTACGCGACCTCTAATCAATTATCCTTATAATAGTTTAAGTCATTATTCTACCCCCCTTCCTACCACCACCCTTCCCTAAGGTCTTTTGTAAGGTCTTTAATAGCTCTCTATATTGCCTAAATATATCGAGATCTTAATGAGGTAAGAGAGATGAAGGTCATATGGTGCTGACGTAAATTATCGCTGATAGTTAGTTAATAAATTAGTCAAGCCCGTAAGTTAATTGCTAGCCAGAAGCGTTAGTTTATAGGATCTTATATACGTAAGGACTCAGTAGGTACTATATAAATCTCGAATGTAGTATTGTATGTGAAAGGGGGTAGCGTTCTGTATTAATGACCTTATTGTGCCATTAACTTTTCTGTCATGTTATTAACGTCACCTAGAAACTGCCGGTCGTCGTTATCGCCCACTGCACCCATTAGTATTCTCGGGATTTTTTCCTTTTACATCTGTCTCATACGAACACGAAATCCCTATCCCTTAAGCTCTTCTACCCATCAAAACTCTTCCACACTCTTCTGCACATCAAAATCTTCTACACTCTCCTGCACACAAAATCTTCTACCCCATAAAAACTCTACCCATCGAGACTCTTCTGCCCATCAAGACTCTTCTGCCCATCAAGACTCTTCTGCCCATCATTCCAAGTCTCCCCAGTATCGTAGCGCACAACACACTCACTACGCCATAACCTCTACTCTTGTTGCTTCCACTTATTAACTACTCCAGTCTACTTCACTAGCTACTTCAGTTTGCTTCCGCTTTTTTAAGCTTTAAATTCTTTTGTGGATGAAAAGACCAAGTCTCTAAAGTTGTAATTCTACTTTACTATTCGTAAGTATTTCTCTAGTAATCAATAGAAACACTTAGAACTGAGACAACTTATAGAAGTTCCCACGCCCGCTAGATTTACTCGGTAAAGTCTCTTAGCACTTGCTCTGGTATCAATAAGTCTCTCTTCTAAGGGCTGCTGAGGATTGCGGCCAACGATCTTGACAATGGGTAGATCAAGCTGTCGAGTAGCTGTAGCTGTGCAATTCACGTGCCACGAACTTTTTTTCTCGTATCGTTGGTGTCACTATCTTAAGCCTTGACCTTATACACTGATAGACTTAAGATCACTTGTACCAGGAGTATTTAAGATGCAAAAATAGTATGCATTTCTAAACAGAAAATGCCACATACTATTAGCCCAGACTTCATCCCACTTGTCTATCTCTCCGTCACTATGCAACTATTTCTTCTTCTTGGTCTTATCTACAACCTCCACCCACTGACTCTTCAAACCCCGCCTCGTAAGAGCAACATCAACAATCTTCCTCTGATCCCCTTGCACGAGAACCTCCATAACCCCCTTCGGCGCACCAACGGCCTGCGTCACACTAGTACTACTAGCGCATTTTTTCTGCAACTCCTCCGCCAACAGACTAGGCACAATCCCAAAGATCTCCAAATTAGTCACCTTAGTGACAGTCTTGGAACCCGTGCGTTTCTCCAGTGTCACGAGGGCTTTCGGCACAGCACCGGCCTTGGGCTTGACATCTGCGAGGGTTTGGCCCGGCTTGAGGATGGCGTAGTGCGGTTGTAAGAAGGTGTGGTCTTCGAGGAGGCGCTTGAGGAGGCCGTCGCGGGTTACTTTGCCGCGTTTGAGGGTTCCTTGGTCTTCTGGGGACGAGGAGGTGAAGATTGTATTTGCGAGGTAAGGGTTTAGATTGATGATGCGGCGGTTTTCGGGGGAGATGAGGTTTTGGGATTGGAGGTATTGGTCTAGATGGGCGGAGACGTCACTGTATTTGTAGTAGTTTTTGGGGTTGCTTGATGATGAGGCCGGGAAGATGTCTGGGGTCAGTTTTGCCGTTGGTCGGTATAGGGTTTGGACGTTTAGCGTTTGTCCCACGGTGTGATCGGCGTCCTCCGTTGCGGTGGGTTTTTTGGCTGCGACCGAGGCTGAGGATCTGTGGGAGGACTCGAGTGCATTCTTGGATGGGAGCTTATAAGGGACGAATTGCTCGACGCGGCGGTCGCCGAAATCGATGTCCATGATGAATGTCTCCTGGCCGCTGCGGTCCTTGGACTTGACTAGTTGCATCTTGTCAAGATGCTTGATGAACTTTTTCACATTCTTCCAGCTGGTCTTTTTGATGTTGTAGTATTGAGCCTGTTGTGCGGATGAGATGGGGAGGTAAGGTGTGACGAGGTTGGCGATCAAGATTGAAGGCGAGACAGGTAATGTGAGGCCGTGGTTGGGAGCTGATGGGTTGTCCTGCTTGAGCTTGTAGATAGCATAGATGAAAGCCTTGACAAAGGCGTCATCAATCTCTGCATGATGTGAGTAATAGCCGGTATAAATAGTGGAGGAGATCCGTACCTTTGGTTGTCGGTTCTTTTTCCTGCAACGTAGGCTCTTCTTCAGTCACGGGGGCCTCATCTAAGGTCTCTTTGACTTGATCACTCTTCTCCTCGAGGGTAAGCCCACCAACGGCTTCCTCCACCTCTTCGGTATCATCTTCCTCTTCGTCCCAGCCCTTCAGGTACTCCGGAGCTGGACGACCAGGCCGGGATGATGAGCTCCAAGCCCACAGCTCATCTCCTTCCCAATGAAGACCTCGAACAGCATGACCCTTGGTGCCTTGAACCTCTCCCAATGCAGAGACGTCAATTTCGCAAACACCCACAAAAAGAGGCACCGTATGCTTATCCAGCCCAGCTACGGCAACCACCGCTCCCTTAACAGCTCGCTCGGGGAAGGGCGGCTCATTTGCCAAACCGGGCGTCATGAGGTCTGCGCCGCCATGAAGCTTCCGCATTACCATTTCCGGAGTATAAAGCAAAGCCACCAAGTTCGGATTATGCCATAGCGTATACACCGTTGGGTAGAGGCGCTTGTCTGACCCAGGCCCATGTTCGACCTTGAACCAGAGCACCCGTTCGTCTTCATCTGGATGTGTACCAACATACACGATGCCCTGAACCTCACGTAGATCAGGGCCCGCCGTCGTTGTAAAGCGTGCAGTCAAGGCATTCTCGGGAAGAAGGGCATTTCGAATTGAAGCGAGCGTTGGCGTAGTCGCTCCGTCAGCGAGGGTTTCGGTCGTAGCTGCGGGAACGGTAATCTGGTAGTCTTTGATGATTTGGTCGGCGATCTTCCTCCGGTCTGATGACCGCAGAGGGGAGAGGTTTTTGATCTAATGGCTGGTTAGTCTAAAGCTTTCCTCATCGATATTTTCAATAGCGCGTAGGCTTCGATAGCTCCGAATGGAGGGGCAATGCGGGGAGAGAGGGGTTGCCGTACGGTAGGCTTTTTCTTGAACATTTTCAAAGATAGGGAAGCTGGAAAGTCAGGGCAAAGTACTAGATAGCGCTCTTACACCTGTCAACTGTGACCGAGGGGGAAAGAAGAGAGTGTCGAGGTACTTGGAGCTATGATCGTAGCGGAGTCATGGTGATGAGCGGGCATAAAATTCCCCGCCGCCTGGCTCCACACTTTCCGAAATGGGAAAAGACCGCATTTCTATTAGCACCAGGTACATCGAGATGAAATGGAAACAAAGGAGAAATGGATTCCGCCTAGGTTTCCACCGTTATTCAGGCGCAGTTACCCCTCAAATGATGGAATGATTGATGAATACTTGGGGTTGTGATCGCTACAGACTTTAGTTCTGTCTAGATCTTAACGGATTGTTACTACGACTGATACTTAGATCAGATCCTCTTATCTTTCTGTGGTCGGTAGGTTTATAAGACGCAAAGTCAGGAATATGACACCACCTACTATGTGATCTAAGACATATGAGGGGTTTCTGGTACGGTACGGTAGCAGATATATTTCTCAGGAAGACGTGTGCGTTGCGCAACTCCTAGCATACAAGAAATTAGATAATAACATCACGCCGGCTAGCTCTCCAAATGATAAACAGGAAAACATTCTAGCCTCTTTGTTCTGCCGGACTTGACATGTCCGAGGTATACCAGGTAGTTGGATCGGAGCCTTCCCGATGCCCCGTGCCCTCGGACATTGCCACTAATAAACAGCCCTTCCACTCTAACATATCAAGCATCATCTTATAACCCAACTTTCTTTCTTTAGTTATATAACAGCTACTACCTGCATTGAATCCCCCATAATGCCCGTCTACCACATCGGTGATCTCCCACCCAACCCATCCACGTCCTTCCTACGGACCCCTCCAATCTGAAGAATGCGGGGCGATGCACATCTACGTCAGACCCCAATAACTAACTTCAATTCGAACAAACAGTTCTCTTCCGCCTCAAGCCAGGCGTGACACCAGCTCAGCTGAGCGTCTGGACTCAAATGGCCAAGGATATGGTTGGCAAGATTCCAGGTCGGCCACCCTCATCAAGGGTCAAGGGTCAAGGACTTCACGTTTTCTCTAACACTACCGATGCAGGACTGGTCTCGATGGAATGCGGGCAGCCTCTTCCTATTTGTCTCCCTCGTGCACAGGGATATGATATGGGTCTCGTGGCGGTTCTGGAGAAGCCAGACCATGTTGCTACGTACGCCGTGCATCCGGCTCACTTGGAGTACGTTTATGATATTTGAAGTTTCCAGGCTGATCGGAAAAGGCTGAATTGTCACTGACGTTACCTGCAGAGTTCACAAGATGAGGGAGGAGCTATGCGATGATACTTTGGCCTATGATTTGGAGTTCTAGCCCTGTATGGTGAATTCTTGAGACTCGTGATATGATGTAATTTGACTGATAGTCGAAGATATATCTCTACAATAAGGATACAAACGCAAGACTTGAACTTGAATCATGATGAAATCAGAATAATTGAAGAAACATAAACGCCTATGTAACTGTGTTCATATCATCACACTTTTTGATCCCGGCCGACCCATAAGAAAAATGCAAATTGAGGTGACGAGCGATCCATCTACTCCTTGGCATCCACCTTCTTAGCGGGGTGGTCCCCGTGGGACTCATCCTCGCGAGAGCGCTTCTCACCGGTAGCCTGCACAACGGGAACGCCCCGGGTGTCCTTCTTGAAGCCGCTCTTCTGGTCCTCATCGCGGCGCTCGCGCCAGTCGCGCTTGTCATCACGGCCATCGCGGCCCCCACGGCCACCACGACCACCGCGTCCACCCTGACCACGGCCAGGACCACGGCTACGACCGCCACGACCACCGCGGCCAGTGTTGGCGAAGACCTTGCCGGCCTTGATGTCAGCCACCTTCTCATCGCAGTACTCCTTCTTGCTCTTCACGACCAGCTCTTCGCCTTTCCACTTGGGCTTCTCGGCAAGCTCCAGGAAGGCCTTCTGCTTCTCCTCGTCGGCGAACTCGACGAAGACACTGGCCTTGAACGTCTTGTCCTGAGTCCGGCGCAGGCGGACGGCCTTGATGGGACCGTAGGGCTCGAAGAAGGCCTCGATGTCGAGCTGGGTGGTCGGCTCCTCATCGCCGAAGTTGCCGAAGCCCTTGGCGTAGATGCTGCGGGCCATGGCCTTGTCCTCGAAGACCTTGACGGCCTCTGCGTTGTTGTCGTTGTTCACGGACTCGGGCAGAGGGACCTTGCGCTTGATGGCGGTGTCGTCATCGGTCAGCTCCAGGACCTCCGAGTCCTTGAGAGCCTTGACGATAGCCTCGAAGGGCTGGAAGCGACGCATGCGCTTGAAGGAGTGAAGGAGGCTAAGGGGCACGGCGTTGTTGGCGCTGCCGCCAACCTTGGACAGGAGGAACTTGTCCATGGGCAGGTTCGAATCGGAGAAATAGAATTCAACCTATTCCAATGACATTAGAAAGCCCTTTCTTTCACAACTCCCTCAAGATCAGTTTAGATTCTTACCTGCTTGCGGATCTCCACCGGGTCGTCAGTCTCCTTCTGCGAGGAAGGGTCGAACTTGGCGTTGTTGGTGCGGGTGAAGCGACCACCACGCTGAGGGCGCGAATCGCGCTGCTGCTGCGACTGTTCCTCCGACTGCTCTGACTTTTCACCGAGCTTGGCGGCTTCGGCGACAATGCGCGCCTCGTCGGCGTCGACCTTGTCGGCGTTGTCAGTCTCGGTGGAGGCACCGTTCTCCTTCAGCTCAGCAAGGACATTCTGGACGTCCTGCTCGGCGGCCGCGTTAGCGACGGGCTTCTGCTCATCAGCCATTGTGGTGTTTAAAGGTGCGCGATTGAGAGACGTGACTCAAATCGGAGTGATTGCGGCCCGGGAAGCAAGAGGATGGTTCAGTCGCAACGAAGAATTCAACAACAGGAAAAGTAATTATGTTGAGAATTTCAGTTCAAAAGGGGAGATGAAGAAAGGTCGGAGGAGAAGTTGAAGAACCAATTCGGCGAGGGGCGCAGTGAACCGTCTTAATAAAAGAGCTCGGCGGGGATGGGATTTTTTTTCGGAGCGCGGAAGCTGGGTCGTTGCCTAAGGCTGCAGCACTAGGCTGAAGGCGGCCTAGTAGGAGGAACCCGCGTTGTATAAGAATCGGCCACAATTGTCTAGATGGATTGTTGTAGACTGGAGACTCGGGGACGAGTAGATGATTTGTAACCTAGTTTAGACGACTAAGACTCAATCTTCATGCGTATGTGGAGTTTGCGAGCGGCAGAGGGATGGCTGCAGGAAAAAGAAGAAACCAGGCAGGTACCCTGGGATGAACCTGGTCGTGCCTGCCTTTAGCTCCCATCAGCCGCTGCCTCGGACTCTCATCCCAGTGCCAGAGCTTGCTTGTCGAATCCATCTGCCTTTGATTTGCCATATTTCTATCTCGGATCACAGCCTGTCTCACAGACGTCGCATCTCGACTGAACTGTCGTTCTGTCGTGAATTGACTTTCCTCGGCATTCTCCAGCGAGTGCCAATTCATCATTTCATCGCATTCTGGATTATAGCATCCTCGAGAACGGACAGCCTTCACTGCTTTATACCAGTCTTTGTGGAAAAATACCAATCTCCATTTGAACATCCCTCGCGCAAGACCGCAGTGAAATCTCTGGCAATTATCTACAACACAAACATGGCAGAAACCGGGGAAATCAAACCAGGAAATGGCTGGCCGGCCAAGGATGTAAGTTGAGATTGGAGACATTGTGACTTGACTCTGACCAGGTCCCTCAGATTGTTTATTTGGCCATCGTTGGCCCATTGATGCTGGCTGCCGCTTTTGAATGGATACTCTGGCTTGCCGCCTTTCTTTATTGTCTGATCAAAGTGTATCTCAAAGCAGATCACTGGACTGTAAAGACTCTTGCAGCAGTGATGATTGTGCTTTTCACGTTGTTTCGGTACGCCTAACTCGACCATGACGAACTGGATTCGTTAAAGGAGATGAGATAGCTGACAAGACAAACACTCGGCAGGCTGGCATTTCTTCCTGTCATGGTGGTTACGCTGCCACTGCCACCGCATATCACCAAATATTTTCCTCCTCGAATGGCAACTGTATTCCAGTGGTTCGCTTTCTGGTCCTTCTCCCTTCTTCTTGTCGGCCCGTGGCTGTTCTGCATTTACGGACTCGTCACCAACCACGTTGGAAGGAAAAGGAGAATCAAGGAGGCCTTAGATGAACGGAATGCTCCGAAAACCGTGGTGGTGATGCCCGTCTACAAAGAAGACCCCGAGGTCCTGATTAAGGCCGTTGATTCCGTGGTTGAAAGTGACTACCCCTCATCTTGCATCCATGTGTTCCTTTCTTGGGACGGTGGTGCGGTGGACGAGACCTACCTCCGAGTCCTTCGTCATCTTGGGATTCCAATATCCCTGAAAAGCTATCCTCAGAGTATCGACGTTGTCTACAAAGGTGCACGAATCACGATCTCCTGCTTCAAACATGGAGGAAAGCGAAATTGCCAAAAACAGACCTTCAAGCTCATCGACAAGGTATATGCCGAATATTTGAAGCGGCATGACGATATATTTGTCTTGTTCATTGACTCGGACTGCATTCTTGATCAATACTGTCTGCAGAATTTCATGTACGATATGGAACTGAAACCTGGAAGCAAGCATAACATGTTGGCCATGACAGGGATCATTACCTCCACAACGGAAAAGAATTCTCTCCTCACAATTCTTCAGGACATTGAATATATCCACGGGCAACTCTTCGAGCGATCGGTCGAGTCTGGGTGTGGTGCGGTGACATGTCTCCCGGGAGCACTGACAATGCTACGATTCTCGGCGTTCCGAAAGATGGCCAAATACTATTTTGCGGACAAGGCAGAGCAGTGCGACGATCTATTTGATTATGGGAAGTGCCATCTAGGAGAGGATCGGTGGCTTACCCATCTCTTCATGATTGGGGCGAAGAAGCCATATCAGATCCAGATGTGCACCGGAGCCTTTTGCAAAACCGAGGCGGTACGGACCTTCAAGTGTCTCTTGAAGCAACGCCGCCGATGGTTCCTGGGCTTCATCACCAATGAAGTCTGCATGCTTACAGATGTGCGACTCTGGGCGCGATATCCAATGCTCTGTACGGTGCGGTTTCTGCAGAATACCATTCGTTCAACTGCCCTTCTGTTCTTCATCATGGCCATCGCTCTCATCACAACATCCGTCAAAGTGGAAGATCTCCCAGTCGGGTTCATTGGGGTCTCGCTGGGGCTGAACTATTTGCTGATGTTCTACTTTGGGTTGCAGCTGAAACGCTTCAAGGCTTGGCTGTACCCGCTGATGTTTGTCGTGAACCCTTTCTTCAACTGGCTCTACATGGTGTATGGCATTTTCACAGCCGGGCAACGCACTTGGGGCGGACCGCGGGCTGATGCAGCTGCGGCGGATATAAATACTACGCCATCAGAGGCAGCGGCATTGGCACGAGCCAAGGGGGACGAGTTGAACGTCGATGTCGACACCTTCCGTGCCGGGCCTGTACGCCGGAGATCAGTTCCAGTTCGACCCTCTGAGAAAGTCGAAGGACGATTTGCTCCCGCCGAGCAGGTGCTCGACGGCTGTTATATTAGCACTCGCGAGCCAAGGTCAGGGCCGGTTCTGCCTCAGCTGGAGATCCCTCTGCCTCAAGTTCCTCGCATCCATATCCCGGGCCAGTTCCGCTATTCATCGGACTCTCTGTTCAGCGGGTCTTCAGACCGCGATTCTAACAATATTTCTCTGCCACACGATGTGGAGAGCTTGATGAACGAAGAAGACCAGCGAAAGCTCTACCATGCCCGCCGGGCTGGGGATTCCACTGGGATGTCGATCCTCGAAGACAGGTCCAGCTCTGATGAAATGTGGTCTGTTGTACACGAGCCCCCTGGGGCAGTCATTGAGGCCCCTGAAATCAAAGCTGCAATGGCACAACCTGGTCTCCAAGAGTCCGTCTCCACCAATCGTGTCTCCTTGCAATCTATGGACATGCATGAGCCACGAGGGAAGGCTGCAAGGGCATCTCGGCGAGGGGCTCGGATTTCCGATTTCTCCGGTGAGATTGTGTGAAAGATATGACTCTCTGTCTGACGTCAAGTTGTTTCGTCCCACTTTTACAGTTCCTTGCCTCTGTTCTTTTGCCACGTTATTCCGGCCATTCGTACTTATTCTTATGACCCGACCCATACCCCCTCTTCCTTGGCAATGTTCGTCTTTGCTTGCCTCATGCGAGGTTTTTTGTTGTCCTCTTTTTCTCACTACGATGTGACTTGATGCATAGGATGTTCGGGACCGAGATAGTATCTTCTATACGAACAACAAAGCGGTGCCTGATCAGCAAAGCTTCCCGTCCAATGTACATCTCTCCGTTCTACCAACGGCCCGGAAATTGCCCATGACCCTGACCGCATTATGTAATACCCCACTAGAGGCGGTGAAAAATCAAATTTTTTGCCTCGCCCCCCCCCCAAGGCGGTGAAGGCTAAGAAAGATCTAGCAGCCGCCAGAAGGTTCGATGGGCGCACATTTCAGAGTAAAGACAACACATATTTAGGTACTCATCGTAGAAGCCGCCGCGCATAGGCATTAGAAGTCCTCGATTTAGCATTTGATTTCCGCATCTTTTCATACTCCTAAACCCTGTCTGATTATCATTAATTTGTTTCCGGACCAAAAGAGGCACCAGACCGCTGGAGTATCGCTGGTTATCAATCCCCTCCAATCACAATAGTGGAGTGGCGTGCAAATTCTCCCCTCCAAACTTCTCTCCGTCTTTGACTTCCTCTCCTCATCCTCCCACCCCTCCATTCTTTCCCCTCGATATACCCCCTCACATAATCTCCGCCTACAATGTCTGTTGTCGGTATTGATTTTGGTGCGCAGAGCACTAAGATCGGTGTTGCCCGGAACAAGGGTATTGACATTGTAAGTGCTTGCCCCGCGAAGCCCAGCCTCACCGGAGAACTCCTCCCCATCCCGTGTCTTTTGATATCGACATCCTCTCGAGGAGAGAATTACAATGGACTCATACTGACCGATGCTCTTGCAAATTTCCAGATTGCCAATGAAGTTTCCAACCGTCAGACTCCGTAAGTGGTCATCCAATTTGCCCCTCCTGGCTGCCCAACCTCGTTCACATCAGACCTCGGATTTGAGAGCATCCGCTAACATTGATTTTTTTACCGCTGCCGTATAGTTCCCTGGTCGGATTTAATTCCCGCAGCCGAGCCATCGGCGAGGCCGCCAAGACACAAGAGACTTCCAACCTCAAGAATACCATCGGCTCCCTCAAGCGCCTGATCGGTCGTTCTTTCAACGACCCTGATGTCCAGGTCGAGCAGCAGTTCAACTCCTCTCACATCTGCGATGTCAATGGATTGGCTGGTGTTGAGGTCAACTACCTCGGCAAGAAGGAGAAGTTCACTGCAACCCAGCTGGTTGCCATGTACCTGACCAAGATCAAGGACATCACCTCCAAGGAACTCAAACTCCCCGTCTCCGATGTCACCATCAGTGTTCCCGCCTGGTTCACCGATGTTCAGCGCCGTGCCATGATTGACGCCGGTGAGATCGCTGGTCTCAACGTCCTCCGTCTGATCAACGACACCACCGCTACCGCTCTGGGTTACGGTATCACCAAGCTTGACCTGCCCGGTCCCGAGGAGAAGCCCCGCCGTGTTGTCTTCGTCGACATTGGTTACAGCGACTACACTGCCTCCGTTGTCGAGTTCCGCAAGGGTGAGCTGAACGTCAAGTCTACTGTCTGCGACCGTCACTTTGGTGGCCGTAACTTCGACCAGGCTCTGACCGAGCGCTTCGCCGACGAGTTCAAGGAGAAGTTCAAGATTGACATCCGCACCAACCCCAAGGCTTGGTCCCGTACCCTGGCTGCCGCCGAGAAGCTCAAGAAGGTTCTGTCTGCCAACCCCCAGGCTCCCCTGAGCATCGAGTCTCTCATGGAGGACACCGATGTCCGCGCCATGGTCAAGCGTGAGGAGCTCGAGGAGATGGTCAGCCCTCTCCTTAACCGCATCACCGTCCCTCTCGAGCAGGCTCTCGCCGAGGCTAAGCTCACCATTGAGGATATCGATCACGTTGAGATGGTCGGTGGCTGCACTCGTGTCCCCTCCATCAAGGAGACCATCAGCAAGTTCTTCGGCAAGACCCTGTCCTTCACCCTTAACCAGGATGAGGCCATTGCCCGTGGTGCCGCCTTCTGCTGTGCTACCCTCTCCCCCGTCTTCCGTGTCCGTGACTTTGCCATTCACGACATTGTGAACTACCCCATCGACTTCACTTGGGAGCAGTCCCCCGAAATCCCCGACGAGGACACCAGCCTGACCGTCTTCAGCCGTGGTAACGTTATGCCTTCGACTAAGATTCTCACTTTCTACCGCAAGCAGCCCTTCGACCTCGAGGCTCGTTATGCTAAGCCCGAGCAGCTGCCCGGCAAGATCAACCCCTGGATTGGCCGCTTCTCCGTGAAGGGTGTCCAGGCTGATGCCAACGACGACTTCATGATCTGCAAGCTCAAGGCTCGTCTGAACCTGCACGGTATTCTCAACGTCGAGTCTGGCTACTACGTTGAGGACATGGAGGTCGAGGAGCCAATCCCCGAGGAGGGTGAGCAGAAGGATGGTGATGTAAGTACTTGGACTCCCATTTTTGTAGTTGGCGGCGATTTTGCAGGCACTAACAATTCCATCTACAGGCTATGGACACCAATGGCGGAGAGCAGCCCAAAAAGACCCGCAAGGTCAAGAAGCAGGTTCGCAAGGGCGACCTGCCCATCGTCGCTGGCACTGCCGGCGTCGACCAGACCACCAAGGAGGCCTGGACCGAGCGCGAGAACTCCATGTACATGGAGGACAAGCTCGTTGCCGAGACTGACGAGAAGAAGAACGAGCTCGAGGCTTCCATCTACGAGCTCCGTGACAAGATCGACGGCGTCTACTCTGAGTTCGCCAGTGACGAGGAGAAGGACAAGCTGCGGGCCAAGCTGACCGACACCGAGGTGAGTAACTTGGGAATGAGTCAGTCCAGTAATCATAAACTAACCGTGTTCTTTCTTATTTAGGACTGGCTGTACGAGGAGGGTGAGGACACCACCAAGTCCGTCTACGTTGCCAAGATGGATGAGATCCGCTTCATCGCCGGTCCCATCATCCAGCGCTACAAGGAGAAGGTCGAGGAGGAGCGCGCTGCCGTCCTGAAGGCCGAAGAGGAGGCCGCTGCCAAGAAGCGCGCCGACCTCGAGGCCATGAAGAAGGCTGCCGAGGACCTCAAGAAGGCCGAGGAGGAGCACAAGAAGAAGCTCGCCGCCGAGTCTGGCGATGCCGAGATGCAGGACGCTCCCGCCGAGGGTGAGGCTGCCCCTGCCGAGGGCGAGGAGAAGCAGTAGATATCGTCGATCTACGGGTGCTTAACTTTATTTATGTGATTGACGGGAGGAAAGCATACTGCATTTTGGAAACAGAAAAATCGATGGGCTGTGTTATTCCTCCCCGCATGATGACGAAAAGGTCTTTTTTGAGATGTTTTTTTATGGACTTCCTAGACCCAACTGGTGAACGTTGCTGGTTGGAACATTTTCTTTTTATTTCTTTGTTTTTAATGGCCCCCCCAGTTATGATGTAGATCGTGTCTTTCTGGACGAATAGATGAATTCAATCATACCTGAGGGTTTGTTAGCAGTAAATTGTAAAGGATAGGGAAGGAAGCCAGTGTATCGTCCTTAGGCCCATGGAAACGTTCAGCCCTATGATATGCGCTCTGCGGGATCACCGCCGAGCCGGCGTTCCTGCGATCTGTGGCGTAAGGCTGGGAGTGAATAACTCTATCTGAATTAGTTTGAGCATGATCGGACTACGTATTGAGCAAATCGTTGAGCTGAATGGGACGACTCATGGATTTCAGCCATATACAGTCTCGGGGGCTTACACATAGATATTCTGTTGTATATTGTTATTGGCGTTACTGGTTAGTCTGTGTGATCACCCAAAACCCAACTTTTCAATACATTTTATGTCCCGTACCTGTGCAGTACTAGGCAGCCAGGTTTGGGGTTGTCACCAAGTCATGACTACTCGTCCATTTGGCAATGCTAATTTTGGATTTTACTGCAACGTACCGAAGGGGCTGGCTTGGCACCTGCCAAGCCAATGCGCTCGCTCTCGCTGCAGGTTTCGTTCCTCGTTTCGTGTCGCCTTGGATCCGAGGGATAGATCGGAATTCATGATACTACCTGACTACCTGAGAATTGGTAGTTGAGAAGATGTTCGGTAGTGCTCTATTACCGTGGATTACTGGTTCAAAAGTTTCCGAGGCCTCACTATGTATTATTATTTATTTTTTTTTCGATATTTTCCCCTATTGCCCATGCAGTCAGTACTAGTACTGTAGACTACTATGCTCGGCGGCTTCTGAAGTGGGGCCCGCTCTTGTCTCAACCCAGTAAGCCGGCACGCGAGTGCCAAGTCAGTGAAAGTGGTACCTCTGGAGTCATGACTTTTCCAAAGGGGTACGTTCCAACACACCCGCATCCTACCCTACCTGTTGCAACCTACGCCTTTTCACGGTCAAGACTTCCCCAGAGAAAATCTCATAGCCCATGTCTTTCCCCTCACATCGTAAGGTTTCATCCTTTTCCTACTCTGGCGTGGAGTACGAAGGGATGCCTTCCCTCCCCGGATCGTCGTATTCGCATTCCTTATGCGAGCTATTCCTCGTGTGGGCTGGAGCTCATTAGGTGACACTGAATAGACCGTTGGAAAGGTGCAATGCACTCAATTCGGCCATCAGACCTCTTCCTGGTCAATCATCCCTGCGACTACGGCCTTGGAATAGACTAGATACAAGGAGACTACCACCCCTCTCATGATCTCTACCCTTCCTCCCCTTATTTCCCTTCTGCCCTTTTTCCTTCCACCCTGCCATTTGTACAGTACAGTATAATAGTTATCCACTATTGGATCCATCGGTGGGGTTTCCTATCCGGCTCAATCCGCCCCGCTCGCACCTGTACGGCCATAGGAGACTCCCTGGACAAGGCCAAGGCCCTGATTGTCCGGATTGGTCGGATCCAAGGCGAACGGGTTCTTGGTTCTGTGCTTGGTTCTTGCGGAGTCTTCTTATCACCGACCCTGCTCCCTGATTTTCCCCTCTCTCTCTCCCTCCGACCTGACTTTTTTTAAAAAATTTCTATGATCGGTGCGGTCTGTATCCGCTTCCTCGATTTCGCTCATTCTTCAACTATTGCTCCATTACCCTAGGGTCCCATCAGTGTCTCTACCCTTTGCTATTATTGCTCTCGCTATCCGCTATTGTATATACCGGTCTCTCCCCAGGGTCCCGAAACAAAATCAGAACTTGCTTCTCGATACGTGCGAAACGAATCAGCTACGACCTTGCCTCGGATTTGATATTCCTACTCCGATCTCATCTGAACTACCGACAGCTCCACGATGAGCATTGGGCTCTACATGCGCGCCAGTTCTCAGATTCAATAGACTAATAGCAACTCGCACGACCCCCACACTTGGCCGGAGATGCAGTGGCGAACGTGGGCAACGCTCGCCTCTGTACTCTGGTCCACAGCGGCGACGGCACTACCCAGCCCCGAGGCTCGAGATGATACCAGCAGTAGTGGCGGCAGCAGCAGCACCAAACCATACACCGATCCTACCCTCAAAGACCCGTTATGGCTCAAATACGGGCTCAATGCCTCCGCCGAGTATAAATACTTCCATGAACCCGGTCGCGACGACATCCTCGGCCACTATGACATCCGCTTTTTCACTACACCCGTGAGCGACACGGAGCGCGCAGAGACTTTGACACACATGATTCGCGCGTACTTGAACTTTTTTGACGAGAATGACCTTGAAACTTGGATTGCGCATGGAACGCTGTTAGGCTGGTGGTGGAACGGGAAGGTGAGCACGCGCCGCGAATCCTGTTTCGGAAAGGGACCGTGTCAGCTGACATCAGAGACGTGAATGCAGATTCTCCCCTGGGATTGGGATATGGATACTCAAGTCCCCGATACGACCCTCGCTTATCTGGCCGACCACTATAATCAAACGATTGTCGAGTACCTGACGCCCGGAGGCAAGGAGAAGCGCGATTATCTGCTGGATATCAACCCGTGGTCGCGGCAGCGTGAGCGTGGCCAGGGCCATAATATTATCGATGCGCGATTCATTGACATCACGACGGGACTGTATATCGATATCACGGGGCTGAGTAGACTCGAGCTCAATGATCATCCGGATATCTGGCAGTGCAAGAACTTTCACAAGTACCGCCTGAAGGATATTTATCCGCTGCGTCGGACAACCTTCGAGGGGGCTCCAGCGAAGGTGCCTTTCCAGTATGATGCGCTACTGATGGAGGAGTATACCGAGTCGGCCTTGACTACGACCAGTTTCCATAAGTAAGTCATGATTTATTTGCTTGTAAATTCTGTGTCAATGCTGATTATGCCTGTGACAGTCACACTTGGTTCCCTTCTTTAGCCGAGTGGATCTCCGACGAGACCATTGCGAATCTGACTCTCCATTTGCCTGAAGATAGGCACTATGAATAATTTTTCGACAACACTTTTTCTGCTTGTTTGCGCAGAAGAATTCTTCCTTTGGAATTACAGGCCTACTTTCGCCTTGATCTTTCTCTTTTTGGTTTCTCGATCGAGCAGGACTCTTCCCTCGACGTGAACTTGGACAATTGTTTTTCCAACATATTGCATATCCCCTCATTTTGGTATTGCATTTTGGCACCCGATGACTGGTTTACTCGGCCTGTTCGGTCTGTTTTTTTCGTTGCATATATTGCATTTCACAATACTCTGGGAGAAGGGAGTTTGGTGGGGGCTATGGTACAAACATGTCTAAGGTACATGTTCTGCGGCGTTATGACCTTAATGGATTGCTACTGAATAATCATTACTATTGAGTTCTTGGCCATGGAACAGCCACCTTGGCTATAGTTATATAGTCTTGTACCACGTCATGGTCGCCTTCCAAGGTTCTCCAACTTTGTACTCTGCCTCAGGCACCCAGAGACCTTATCTCCGCGCTGACAAAGCTATCGCCGTGGAACCCCGTCGAAATTCGCCTCGGCGCCTGCCGTATTGGAGCTGCTCTTCCATCTATTTAGACACATCGTTGAACTTCTCTTCATTATCACTCTTTCTTCTCCAAACATACTCGTCATCTAACAGTACTGGTTCTGCCATCAGAACATACTGCTCATGGACTCGACCATGGACCTCACCGTGCACCATCATGGCACCCCGCATAGCTTCCAGCTCTCCGCCTCCGCAACCTTACAAGACCTCTCCGCAGAGATAGAGACCGTTCTCAACATCCCCATGGAGAATCAGAAGCTCCTTATTGCCCCCAAACCTGGCATGCAAAAGGCACCTTTCCCATCTACACCCCTAACAACCCTCCTCCCCATCGACTCGCCCAAATTCAAAATCACCCTCCTCGGCACCCCAGCCAAAGCCATCGCCGACCTGCACGAGCAATCCGAATCCATACGCAAACGCCAGGAAGCACGCGCCTCTGCCCTCGCCGCTGCCCGGCGCACAAATCACAAAGCCACCACCTCCAACCGTGGTGGTATCCACACACTCTCTTCCTCGAGCTCCAACTACACCTTCCACCGCCTCCTCCCACTCTCCTACCTCCCCCGCCCAGAACGCTCCCTCGAGTTCCTCAAACGCCTCCGCGATGACCCGGGCATCCGCGCCGCAATGGCAAAACATAAATTCTCCGTCCCGCTCTTAACAGAAATGAACCCCGCCGAGCACACGACTAGTGAATCGCGCACGCTCGGACTCAACCGCAACAAGGGCGAGGTTATCGAGTTACGGCTTCGCACGGATGCGTATGACGGGTATCGTGATTACCGGACTATTCGCAAGACGCTATGTCACGAACTGGCGCATTGCGTGTTCGGTCCGCACGACCGGGACTTTTGGGATTTGACGGCGCAGATCGAGAAGGAGGTTGAGAGGGCGGATTGGAAATCTGGCGGGAATCGGTTGACTGGGCAAGACTTTTATGATCCGGGTGATTGGGAGAGGGTTCAGAGTGGGGAGGAGGTCATTGATGAACAGGGGTGGACCGGTGGGGAGTTTGTGTTGGGTGGATTGGGGGTGGATGAGGCTGGGAGAGGTGCTGGAAGTGGAACTGGAATTGGGTCTGGATCCGGGTCTGGGACACCGACGGGGTCGTTGTCAAGAAGGGAGATTCTGGCAAGAGCTGCGGAGGAGAGGATGCGCAGGGAGAGTCCGAAGGAGAAGCAGGATGATGCTTAATGAGGATATGCATGGGCTTTGGTTTTGATGTTTATGACTTGTATATCTGCCTTTATATTGGCATTTTCCCTTTGATACCCTAATAATGTTTTCAATGCATCTACTGTTCTCTTTTAATCTACATGAGAATCCAGATTTAACCAAACGAGTGGACTATGGGAGTTCTGCCCTGCATATGGACAGAGCATGTCTGGGCATCTGAGCGAGGATAAATTCGGTCTCTGATGGTAGGAATCTGGCTAGACTAAAACCTATCCGGAGGTCTCTGAAAGTATTGCACCTGAAGACTATTCGCAGTTCAATACTAAGATCCGTACTCGAACTTGACGCACAGGTCTGTGTAATGATTCGACCAAGGTATCAATTAATACGCAATCTTATTGGCTATAGATGTTGCTTCCTTCCATTTAACCTTGACCAATCAAGTCTTTGAATGCAATGTCTGGTGAATTTTGGCCCAGACTCTGAAGAAACACTCATGCTTATGGCAGGGCCAGCCCTAATTGTAGGCTCCTCGCTAGTGTCTACGAAGGGCTGAGATTCAGATCTCCGCCTTTCCTAGAAGGAGCTATGATACTTAGTGCAATCCGGTACAGTCATAAGTCTTTGATAAAGTATTCTGGATTCAAGTTCATTATAGATGGTGCAAGTCTCGCGGTATGTAATCAAGAAATTGTCACCCCATGTAAAACCTCATGGTACAGTGACCCGTGTAGTGTGGACATGGCAAGAAAGCAAATTGACAACGGACGATTAGAAAAGAAAAGTTATATAACATAAAAAGATTGTCCTTTTGACTTCTTCACATAAAAACTCCAAGGGTATATCATTTGTGGCTGATCACGTAGTGCTCTGACAAGAGCGCTGAAAAGAATGAGGTTCGGACGAGACGTCACCGTCGCAAATATCCATCCAACTCCATGGATCCCAACCTCCCCACTTTACTTCATTTCCAAATACCGGTGTATACACAACAGACCAAAGGCAGTAAGCCCTTAGTTGCCCGTACCACACTGAGGGCAGAAACGGCTTGAAACAGCAGTGCCGCACTGACCACAGTATCTGAAGGCAGTAGCAGTGGCCTCCTTAGGAGGGGGAGTGCCAACGCTAACCGGGTAGGGCGCCGGGCTGGCAGGCGAGTGAGGGAACTGAGCAGCCATAGGTTGAGTGGGAGGATAGGTCGGCTGGGGGGCGACGTAGCCCTGCTGGGGCACGGGCTCCATGGGAGTCGGGTTATTCACGTAGGTGATATTGGTCGTCTGGATGAAGCGACGGCGTTGCACGCAGAAGACGATGAGAAGAACCCAGCCGATGAACTTGCAGACACCGCCGAGAGCGATCATGGCGATACCGCCGTACCATTCGCCCATGTTGCCGTCGAGGCAGGAGTAGTCGTAGCTGTAGGAATAGTAGGAAGACGTGTAGCAGCTGGAGTAGCTGGAGTTGAGATAGGTGCCCATCAGAGCACCGCCAATGATGAAAAAGATGACGGCGGCGATGAAGAAGCTGATGCACCACCATTTGGACATCCCCGGGCGGGGGGTTGTGCCGTATTGCTGCATATTGAAGATAGATGTGAAGGATTGGACTGGTGATATAAGGGAAAGAAAGTCGATGAAAGGAAAAAAGAGATAGTTTGTTAATAGGATGAGAAAGAAGAATCGAGGGAAGAATCAAAATTCAGCCTCAACGCCAGATGGAGGGAGGAACGAACGATTCTTAAAGGGGAATCAAACTCTTTGGCTTCTTCCTAGAGAAGCAAAAGCGCCAGAGAAACCAATCTCGCTAAAAATAATTACGATGTGACTAGTCCGCCGTTTACCAACTCATCGATCGACGAGAGGGCGAGTCCGCTCGAACACGAGATTTAGCTCATCGTTCTCTGGGTCAGACGCTTGATATCTTCCAATTGAAACCCTGGAGAGGAACATCTTTGGTCTTGGCTTAGAGGCTAAGTGACCCTAATTGAGCATGCGAATGGGTGGCAGCGTTCGCGATCTTCGCCCCCACTAGGGTGAAAATCGAAGTCAAGCATTAAAATGAAGGGGACCAGGTTGATGGGTTCTTTATTGCTTCGTGTTCCTATTTACTCCGAACTGTCATGAGAAACGCTTTCTTTCTGGCTGAAACTACAAGTAAATATTGTCTTGACTTGTCGATAATATCCGTCCTCATTCATAGTTCCTCTCATCAGTGCCCAAACCCTCAGGCCCGGTTCAGACTATCGCAGAAATGATATTGATCGGCATAGTGTTTGCACTCTAAGCACGAGGCTGAGTCTGCCTTGAAGTAAGGATCAAAGATCGGCCTCTTTTTTCCCCAATAATAAACTATTAACCTCCAGTCCCTTATAACCCCTCTCGTATTCACGAAGGTCCTAGCGTGAAGTCTGCCCAAGTCTGCCCACAATGGCCCTTTTTTTTCTCATATTCCCCGTGACACAGAGAGCCGCATCCCCTTGGCAGAAATACCCTTGCTAACTTGCTAATTCACTTCTCACCTAGCCTGAACTGTAAAGACCACTACCCGAACAACGAACAATCAAAAATAGCCCCACTCTTACGAGCTGTGGAGAGGACATCGTCGAATCTTGGAGTCACCACGGAAGGGCACCGCCGACCATGGCTTGACTCTTCTCCACTGGACCCTGATTTGCTTGTTCTTGGCTTGTTTCTCTTTTTTTCATGTTTCTAGTCCACCGATGTTGGTGACTGTGTATACCAGGGGCAAGTTCCTCAGGGACAGAGACAGAGTCTGTCAACAACATTAGCAGCAAACTAGGCCCCCTATTTCCAAATCGTGGTGAATCAGTTTCCTGACAATTTCGCGCATTATGCTTATGCTCGCCCTCGCCGGTTGATTCCTCGGCGTGGCACTGGATGTGTACTGAGGCTGTTCAACGGACACGGTCAGCATGCGTCTGACCTCGTATGAGTTATTCGGTGCCTCGCTGGTATTCCAGACTATCTTCGGAGTCTTCTGGATGATTTGGTAACGACGCTACACAAATAAATCCAGAACCATACAATCTTCCATCGTGTTGCCGCGGGTCGGCCCTACGCGATTACCACAAGCCCATTGGAGTGTTCCTCCATTTACCAACAGTCCTCTTCTGGCGCAGTACCAACCGACCCCGCTGTTTAGCAGAAGCAGCATCGTCACAAGCGTAGGTGCAGACTGGAAAATATGCCTTGATACAGCTAGGGTCGGATACACCACAGCCCTTGGAACTTGCATTGCAGCAATCATCACACATCACGACTACTGAGTAGGCAGCCCAACAGCAACGGGGAGATAGCTACCAGTCCGGTTCTAGTGTCCCACTCTGGCCAAGAAATGAACACGAGGGGAAGAGCGTTTATTTGGGATCATGATCGTGCTTATATGGCTTGTGGAAATTCTGTTGTGATACTGGTCATGAATACTAATGTTTGGTCTAATACCCGGCTATCTAAAGAGGAAAGTATAGGTTAGTTTACCTATCTCCTTCGATCTCAGAATAGCGAAGTAATCCGAGTTTCTCTGGCGGAAATTGGATCGAGAATCACTAAAGTAGGAGAGCAAACGAAAACAAATCGAGACAAAATTAACTCTCAAATAAGCTTATCCTCTTTCGGCCCTGACTAGCCTCCAGAGTGCCCCATTATGGATTCTACCGCGTCCGCAATAGCCCAAGCCATACCTGAAATTGACCCATGCCGCGAATACGGGTTGAATCTCATTCCCAGCGCTCGGGTGTAAATTACAGGGGAAACGCACGAGTTTCGCATGATATTTTAATTCGGTACGATTGGTTTTGAGTACATACTATCTGACCTGTAGTGTGGGAGACACACATATTTACACCTGCTCATTGACAAACAATCCAGCCATACCTTGGCCAGTACCAATGCACATACTAGTGACCAGAATCTTCTTCTTCGTCCGGCGCGCCTCGCTGAGGATCGTGGCGATCTGGCGCGCGCCAGTGGCTCCGAGCGGGTGGCCCAGGGCGATGGCGCCACCACGAGGGTTCACCTTGGCGTGATCAAGACCCAGATTTTGGATACAGTATACGGCCATTGAGGCGAAGGCCTCGTTGATCTCGTAGATGTCAATGTCGTTCTTGTCCAGGTTGAACTTGCTCAGCAGCTTGGGGATGGCGGCGGTAGGGCCGATACCCATCACGCGAGGGGGAACACCGGCGACGGTCGCGCCACAGAACTTGGCCAGGATGGGCTGGTTCAGCTCGATGGCCTTAGAGCGGCGCATCAGGAGGACAGAGGCGGCTGTGATCGGTGGTCAGTATATTGTCCTCTGAAATTCGATCTCGATATTGTATCACGAGGTGACGGAATACATACCACCATCGGTGACCTGGCTGGAGTTTCCACCAGTCGACTTATCACCGAACTGAGGGAATGCGGGGCGAATCTTCGACAGAGACTCAAAGGTGGTTCCGGGGCGAATTCCATCATCGCGAGTGACAGTGACCTGGTGGATCTCGCCAGTCTTGGGATCCTTGACCTTCACGGAGATAGGCGCAATCTCGTCATCGAACCAGCCGGCCTTCTGGGCAGCCTCGGCACGACGGAACGACTCGGCAGCATAGCGATCTTGCTGCTCACGCGAAATGCCAAAGTCCTTTCCAACGTTCTCGGAGGTCTGACCCATGGGCTGCATGCAGTCGGCAGCCTCCCGGTTGCGAAGGACCTCCTCGTTGAATGGTCGGTCGAGACGGTCGCCAGGAGCAGACATCAGCTCTGCACCCATGGCGATACCGACGTCGATGGCACCCATGGAGATCTGGTTGGCGATATCCTGCACGGCCTTAAGGCCGGACGAACAGAAGCGGTTCACTGATGAGGCACCCGCGGTGTGAGGGATCCCGGCGGCCAGTGAGGCGGCGCGGACCATGTAGGCGGCCTTGGCCTCGTTGACCTATATCGAGGTTAGATAATTGAAATGGGACTGATAAGCTCCGCGGCTGTCGGGAGATGCATACATTACCGAGGCAGACATCCTCAACCAGGGCAGGGTCAATCTTGGACTGAGCCAAAGTCTCTTTCAACAGAGCGTACACAATATAGTCCAACTCGGTATCCTTGAAGCCACCCTTACGAGCCTTGGTCAAGGGAGTGCGCAGTGATAGTGTGATGACGACGTCGTCAGGGTTCTTCTGAGTACTAGTTTGCATTGTCAGCATTGCTGAAACTTGGCTTTGCCAAGTTGCCGCGGATCTTACATAGCGCTGAGTCCATTGCTGGTGCCCTTGAGGTGGCTCAAGATGGAGCTTAAACGGTCTGCAGCCATGATGAATTATGAAAAAAAGAGACTAGTTGCAAAAAGATTGTCAGTAAGTTCTCGTTGCGTTATGTTTGTCGTCGCCCTGGAATGCGGAGAGCAGACTTCGGTTATTGCGGGGAAGTTTGTGGCGAGGTGATACGGGGGAGATCTCAAAGTGCAAGGCGGGCATTAACCCAGTCAGAATGAATATCCACTTACAAATTAACACACAGGTCTCTGAGAAGGAAAATATGGGGGAGAGATGGAGGAGGAAGGAGAAGACAAGAAGTAGTGGAAGGGCGGAGACTCTTTAAGCTTCCCCCGAAACTGCCGAGGCACTTTGGCTGCCCGCAGAGTACCCGGGCGGGTATATAGTACTTGTTAAATGTAGTAGCCACGTAATAATCTTAGGTACCGAATACTTGACCGTTTCTGGGCTTCTCTCCGCAGTTCGAGCAAGTAGACGTGCCTAGGCTTATACTCGGGAGACAACAACCTCTTTTGTAACGTGAATAGACTTTCGGATGAATAATACGAATCATGGTGGTTGGTAGCTAATACGTCCGACGACATCGGCCAAAGCACCGATTCTCTACCAGGGCACAACACCATTCTCATCCGAGTATACTCCAGACTCCCCGTCAGTTGATAAAGTCGCCAGTCTCACAATATTCGCCGCAGACTCCGTGGCTGGTCTACCTTTCACCCATCCTCGCGTAAAATTGGTATCAGTCAAATTCGGGCATGAACCATTCACCTTCCACCCCTTTCCATGAAACTTGGCCGCATAATGCAAAGTCAACATGTTCAAAGCCGCCTTACTACTGCGGTAAGCCGGGAAAGAAGGATGAGACCACTTTGCATATTCCGCACTCGAAGGATCAGCTCGCAAGCCCAATGAGCCCGTGTGTGAGGACACGAAGACGATACGAGCTGGAAAATCCGTTGATTTCTCCAAGAGAGGTGTAAATGCCTCTGTGACCATTGCGGCGCCGAAGAGATTGACCTCATACACGTCGCGAAAGAGCTTGCGCTGCTGAGCCAGATCAACTGGCTCGGGACAAGGCACGCCTCCTTCCTGCTGCTTCTTGTGTTGTTCGATCATAACGTCGATCTCGTTGTTGATGCCCGCATTATTGATCAGAACGTCTAGTCGGCCGTACTTAGATTCAACCAGGTCGGCCGCTCGCTGGATGGATGCATCGTCTGCCACGTCGATGGTAATGGACTCAACGAATTCACCAGTAGGATCGAGGTTGGCTGCAGCTTTGGCACCACGGGAAGTGTCTCGAGAGCCAAGTAGAATAAAGCAATTCTTGTGAGCAAGAAGACCTTGAGCCACTGCATAGCCAATCCCTTGATTGGCCCCGGTGACGAGCACAATGGTACGAGGTTTGGTAATCATGCTGAGAGGTAGGACAGATATGAAGAATATAAGCAATTGGCTCTTCTACTTTATTTATTTAACTATAATCTATCATGGAGTTTTTATATACATTCCTGATGCCTCTCATACCATGCGATGTCGTCCGGAGATTGGCTTTTAAGTCCGATCCTCCTGTCTGAAAGAGGACTGAGGATCCATTTTGTAAAACTTTGAGATTCCCACCGGAAATAAGGTCGGAGCAAAGTCTAGCAAGGAAGCTTGACATACGAATACAAGGCTGTCAATTACCACCTTCATCAGTAGAGGGGGCTAGCCTTAGGTAACAAGGAATGAAGACTATCTTTCTTTTCCTATCTTAGCTTACTCCACTACATATTGATAGCAACCCTGAACTATCCAGGGGAAAGTCAGCCCGAGGAACTCTTTTTTGGGTTCTTTCTCGTCTTTGCTAGCTTTCTTAAGCTCGACTCCAATTTTAAGAGGCTAGTATCCGCTAGTCATAACGATGACAGCCCATACACGAAAGCTCCACTCGGCGGACAATATCCTGTGCGTGTAGGCCTATACAAACGGATGCGCTCTCAGAAACGGATTCATAATAATCAAGCACACGCAAATCAGTCGAATCATGATTTTAGTTAATATTGCCTTATGAATAGGTGTTGCGTGTACTAGAAACACTGTAAAGCCAACACCGTGCGCCACTTTCCCCAAACGAACAAAAGAAAGCAAATTCTTGATCCCATCACCCTATACCCTGCCAGCGCCGTCCTATCCATCCATCTTGTTCCAATACCCCCAAGTGTAGTGACCAAAACGTGTAGTGACCAAAGAAATTACAGGAGCGGATGATGACCAGCATCATCGTTGCTAACTACACTCCCCACCTCAGACCAGCTAGCGGGAGTTGCGACACCTCCTACCGAGTGCCCACCCAAGTCACTTAGGGTTCCATCAGACGACGAATCATTAAAACCATCAATGTGACCATAGCTTCCAGCAATCGATGGTGCCGACGAAACAGGATGCTGAAACTGATTGTCCTGTCTGATCTCCTCCAGCTCAGTGAGCAAATCTTGCGGTTGGTTAAAGTTGGATTGCAAATCGGGGTGAGCATAGTAAACCTGGTCGTTGCCCTCAGTGTGGCTGGATGCTGAGACGGACACGGGTGTCAGTGCTCGTATGGGGGAGTCAGCGAACGGATCAAAAAGTAGTTCAGATGGCACTTCGGAGGTTGGTGTAAATTGTAAGATAGACTCCGAGGGATGGTTGGACGTCGTCTCAGACAAAATATCGAGATGGAGCTGACGTTGTTCGATACGTGGGCTATCGGTCTCGTCGGACTTCACTCCTCGGTGGACAGGCTGCGAACAACCGGTGTCCACACCGGTAGAGCGGCCGGCGCGGTTAGCATCCAACTGTTCGAGATCACTACTTGAGCCGCGAAGTTTTCCATCCACGTCTACAAGAGTGTCGAAGCTGCCAAGGTGTTCCTGAGAGTCTTTGCTCTTCCGGCGGGATTCTAGGAAGGAGGCCCGCCGCATAATCTCCGCTTTGGCAATGCGTCTGCGTTCTTCTGCTGCCTCTCCAACTTCTTCCGTCATGGATATATCTTCTCGAGTGGGTGAGGACGAGTCACGCGGTTGAATCTCATCGCCCAGATTGTGCAAGGCCAAGGCGATTTTACGTCGAGAGGTAGTCACCCATTGTTGAAACTGTGGAGACTGGTAGACAGCAACTCCGGCTGCCACCAGCACGGATACCGTCACAATGATCCCTATTAAACTTGTCAGACAAGCCAGACCGGAGTGGGTGGGCTGATAAGGTCGAGTACACCGCCCGAATGAAGTGGGTGGGCGAGGAGAAGAAAGATGCAGACATACCCTTTGCAATAGGAGCAGGCATATTGAATGCAAACCCGCTTCAGCTGTAATGTTCCTTTCTTCTTTCCCTTTGAGATGGCTGCTCCTCACAAGAGCGTCAGGAAACTTGGAAGTGCTACGATGATGCCTGGATCTTTCTTACATAACCCCGCAGCACATGACGCCTTTCTGCCCTTATCTCCGGCCCTAGAAACACACCGCTTTGGGACGTGTTCCCCGCGCGTCTCCCGATTCTTGAAGCATGATAGCTTCTTTTTATCAGCAACTTAGCGTCAACCTTTGCCAGTAAGGGTATTTGGGAGGATGTCTCACCAATCGGCGCAGTCCCAGAGACCGCTCACTCTCACTGAGGAGCTTGAAAAGCTGGAACAGTCTATCACCTTGACACTCCAAGGTAGGTTGGGCACTGTAAACAAACGGGGTGTTAATTGCTAATAATGGGTCTATTCACCGGCAGAGATCGATCACAACTTCAGTCAAGCTCACCGAATCGTGACAACGAGTATCCTTCCTCTAGTGGAGCAGTATACGGAGCATTCTCGCGATGTTTGGGAAGGCGCCAAGGTACGCTCGATCTATAGCCGATACCCAAGACGATCGTCTGCGCGGAGATTGACTAGCTTCACAGTTCTGGAAACAATTCTTCGAAGCTAGCGCCAATGTTTCTCTATCTGGATATGAGGAGCGACCCGATGGCGATGAAACTGCCCTGGAGCCTACGGCAACTGAAGAAGAGCTTTCTGCCGACGTTACTCAAAGTACAAGTGTGGACGAGACCGACCAGTCCTACGAAACACCCTCTTCGCGGCGACATGACCCCCGAGCTGGTCAGGGGCATGACATTGACCTTACTGAGCTCACGATCTCCTCGCACAGTACTCCCCGCGCAACAGGTCAACCTACCGACGAAGACATGACGATCGCTTCGATTGATCGTTCCTCCTCATACGAGAATTTGAGAAAGCAGATCAATGAGGCAGATGCGCCCTTCGATATGCCCGACTCTTCGACACTGCCATCCACTCCAGGTCGTCGACCTTTCTTCCCGCCGGACGCCTCCGTCACCCCAATGTCGTCACCGTTCATTCCACCTGTATCGTCCACAAAGTATGCACCGGCTTCGCGTGGTGGAGATTCTCAATACCAGAAACCGTCCGATCCGGTCCTGCATCGGGTGCTCGATAAAACCTATCGGGTTCAGGCAACTCCCCTTGGTAAAGGATACCGCAATGTCGGCCACGGAGCCAGCACGCAATCCAAGTTCACGGTCACACCCCAGGCCGCTACGTCCACCTCTCGTTATGCCTTTGACGACTCTCCGCTGTCCAGTCCTGAGCTTGAAGCTCCGCGGCTGCATTCGGAGATTTTCTCGCCCATCAAGGGTGTCACCGACACCCCAGGAACGAACCGCAAACGACGTACTAGCAGCAACCGCCTTCGGGAGACACCAAAGCCAGGAACCAGTGTATTGACGCCTGCGAAGAAGTATAGCGGCCGTCAACCTGTATGGGATAGCGATGATGATTTGGAAGACGAGGACTTTGGCCCGAGTCCTCCAAAGACCATGCACTTCCACATCCCGCAGAGCCGCCTGATGAAGACACCTGGTAAGTGACCATCTATCAAGCTCTTACCATATTGGTTCGTGTATCGTTCCGTATTAATCATTTCCAATAGCCAAGGAAGCTTCCAAACGGATTGTCACTGACTTGCTAGCCACTGCCGGGGCGGGCGATCTCACCGAGGAGCTTGACGATGACCAAAGCCCCAGCGTTATCAGGCGGACCGAGAGACTCGAAGATGATACATTCTAGACTGCTCAGTACTTTCTATGTATAACTCTTCCCAAGGAGGATATAGTCAAAATCAAATACCCATTCCACAGAGTCTCGATGCCTTAACTATTCCGAATAATGATATAAAGATAGCGGCCCGATAGGGATGTCAAATCCATCCAGGCAGATGCATCGGGTTGTCCCAACTTCCGAGCGGGATGATCTCGGCCCCGTCCACGTTGACCTTCAACGAAACAAATCCCCGTCGGATTTTAGCCCCATGACTTCAACGCGATGAGTCAATTTAAGCTGGGACCTATAAATTCCAGCTCGCATTCCGCTCTCTCCAGGGCTATTTCATCATGGATTCTCAGGTCATCGATACTCTGTCTCAAATTCTCCACCAAAGAAACGTCGCAATATCATGTCATTACCCGTCTTGGTCATAGGGGCTGGCCTTGGAGGTATTTGTTTAGCCCAAGCACTACGAAAGAACAATATCCCATTCAAGCTATATGAGAAAGATGAGAGAAGCACGTTCCGTGCCCAGGGGTACAGAATAAGAATCACCAAACATGGCGTCGAGGCGTTGAAAGAGGCCCTGACACCCGAGCTTTTCACTCTGTTCGAGAAAACCTGCGCCGATACACCTGCCATGGGAGTCCGAATCAGACCTGATGGAGCAACTCTCTCCTCCCTCCTGCCTGGCTTCCAGTCGAAGTCTTATACGGTGGACCGTTCAACCTTTCGCGAGGTCCTTCTGACAGGGCTCGATGGACATGTCTTCTTCGGAAAAGGCTTCGAAAGATACACCATCCACCCTGACAAAGTGACAGTATCCTTCGCAGATGGAACTACTGAGGATGGATCCCTCTTAGTTGGCGCTGATGGCGTTCGCTCTGAAGTGCGCAGGCAATACCTTCCCGCGTTCCAGGGCCTGGATACGGGCACGCGAACCATCTTTGGGAAGACCCCTTTAACCCCGAATCCCTCGCTAAACTTGCGGAAGAATATCGACATGGGATGAGCCTTGTCCACGATCCGGAGAATCCAACTCAGCCGTGCGCTTTGTTCGAGTCCATCAGCTTTCCGTACGCAAATGAAATCAATGAACCGCAACTACCCGATCCATACATGTACTGGGTGCTCTGTACACAAAGCTCACAACTCCCCATCTCCCGAGAGAAATCCTGGCATATAGGCCCACGAGAATCAGCAGATCTCTCACGCAAGCTTACCAGCTCTTGGAACTCATCACTCCGAGCTATCTTCGACATGCAGGACCCGACTCAAGCGGCGATTCGCTCGATCCTGTCTGTCATGCCGGAAATTGCACCCTGGAAACCTTCTAGCCGAGTTACTCTGCTCGGTGATGCCATTCATGTTATGGCTCCCACGGGGGCAATGGGGGCTAATACCGCATCGCGGGATGCGGCCGATCTCGCCCGCCGGATTGCAGAGGCTGGGGGTGTTGAAGAGGTAGACGAGGCGGTGATTGGGCATTATGAGGCTAGTTTGCGTGACTTTGCCCAAGTAGCGATTGAGCAGAGTTGGCAAGGGGGTGTGAAGAGCTTTGGGTTGAAGCCGGTCGAACAGTGTGAGAGGGTCATACTGTAATTGTTGTAGTCTATCTCCATGTCTTATATCTCTAAATAATGAATCTCCCCTTCGTGATTATTCAAGGTCATCAGCGAGTATCGTATTCTAGTATGGGCACTCGACATTTAGTATAGTGATTAACTAACCCACAGATACCAGCGACTAGGATTCCTGTGGTCTAGATACCAATTTTGGGAATCTAATAGCCTAGTGCCCCGTCAAACAGACAAGAGCATCTTGTACTCGCGCTTTCTGACCTTGCTCTCTAGTTCTTGATCCTTCGCTCCACACACCATGATTTATGAAGTATGATCAGCACTAAGCCACTACATGCTCTGTGTTTCATTGAATATGGAAGCTTCAAAATCTCATGCAAGCTTGCTGCCCCGTCGCAACCTACGCCTCCATTATCCTCACTGCAGATGTTCTGTTGGCCATGGTCATCGTTGACAATATAATCCTCACTGACAGTATCTCCTTCGGGAACCACACTATATTAGCCCCGAACGTAATCTAAACAGTCAACTCTTCAAGCCAACTGTTCCGAGGCATTACCCAGCTCGTTCTTGGTTAAGATGGCCGAAGTACTGGCTATAGTTGATGCTGTCGCATTAACTGCCCAGGTAGTGGATTACACTCCTCCATGCTCCAGATGGTCGTCGACGAAGGTGTGACACACATGGTCCTACTTTAATCGTGACAACATTAACCACAGTATATAGTGACTCAAATTGATATGGCGCCCCAAAGCGCCGGACAGTCTGCAACCAGGGAAGAATTTGGTGAAAGTAATCTCTGGGCTATTGGGCTATGTTGAGAAGTTGCTACCGTTCCAAAGCGTTGTTACTTCAGGCAATGCGATGGCAGACACGAAACAAGTCCCTGGTCGATAGCAACACTCCACTTATATGGAGACGATTGCTACTACCATCAATACTGTCTTCCGGAAATGGAGTTGCGGTTGACTCCAGAGACATGACGACTAGAACTGCGCCCCGTATGGCTTTCCCAATCCAGTCGACCAAGCATGATACGAGAAGTGCAAATGTTGGGCAGCTCGGGGGCTCTTTCAGTCTCTAGCCATTAGGTTTGACGAGGTTTTATTTCAATCATTATTCAAGTCAAGTTTTCTTGCCCCGTTTTCTTCTTTAAGGATTATATATTTTGGTAGACATGTTGGATAGATTGATATAACAGACGAGAAAATACCCATGCAACCTACCAAAAACAACGATAGCTGCCGGGCGAGGTGCTGGTGCCGGTCTATCAGAATAAGGAATCAGTATATAAAAGTGATTAAACTTCGAAGACCCGCTCAGCTATTGCCTTTCCAGATCTCCAAAAAAAGCCCGAGCGTGGATCATCTTCCGCATATAAAAGTGGAGCTATGGTACATCAGTTATCACTGATCGGGATATTGTGAGCAAAAAAGGAAATGGGACAAGCCGGGATCGAACCGGCGACTTTACGATAGCAGAAACTGAAGTTGTTCTTCAGTCGTACACTCTCCCAGCTGAGTTATTATCCCATTCTACGAGAGGCGTCCGAAAAATAGTGTACTCAGTAGATTGACTTTAACTAGCCATGAATGATCTTGATCATGCACGATCGTGCATATTTTCCTGCGAGATATATGCCAAGCTTTTCTGGACCAAGCACGGCCCACGGATCTGAGATTGTGAGCCGCATTCTTAGAAGAAAATGACGCAGAAAAAGCAAAATTGGGCTAGAGGCTGTCTTAACTACATACGAAGTAGAAGCACCAAGCTAAATTCTGGAGAATTGGAAGACAGTCATGAAATATGAATCGTTCATTAGAGTAGAGACACAGATTCCAAATCCGCCATGTAATGATCATACAAGATTATACTGGAAAGACTTTTGGCTCACATGAGCCGTGCTGAGACATGATGGAGAAAGAGAAAAGAACGCCCCGTGAGAACAAATGCAGAAGATATGTACGAAAGACAGACAAAAAGGGAAGCCAAATGGTCCAGCCTCTTGGAAAATACCCCAGTCCTATCTCTCGGTCTATTGGGGGTTCCAGAAAGCCTTGGTAGACTCTGGAGTGGGAGAATGAAGTGTGGGCATTTAATGCCAACGTTAGGCTAGAACCTAGCCAAGTTGATAAGATATGGGGTGGCGTGACAGCGCCACATGAGACGGAAGGAAGATAGACGGGTTGTTGTCGTGCAAGGCAATTTAAGCCTGCTTCTTACCCTCGGCCTTCTCGGCCTTGGGCTCCTCCTTAGATTCAGACTCGGACTCGGAGTTATCTTCAGACTTGGAGTCCTCGGAAGCAGACTCGGAAGCTCCCTCCTTCGCCTTGGCAGCCTCGAGAAGCTCCTCGTGCTTCACGTGCAGGGACTGGTGCTTGGACTTGAGACGCTGCTCCTCCGCAGCAACCATCTCCTTCCAAAGATCACTCTGGTCCTTGTCACCCGCATGCACAGGCGCAGGCTCAGCCGCATCCTCGAGCTGCTGCTTCTTATTCTTCTTCGCAGCATCAAGAAGACCGCGACCCCGACGCTGATCCGAGATCTCGAACGCAGCAGAAGCGCACAGCACGGCCAAGGTCAGACCCTGAGCATACACACGAGCTTGGACGATCTTCTGCTGACCCGACAAATACGGGCTCCGACTGACTAGGACAAAAGAACCGATCATGGAGGCGATCCAGGTAGCGCCGACGATCTTGTACTTCTCGCGGCGAGCGAAGGCGAGAGCGCGGTCGGTGAAGCTCAGACCGCGTAGCTGTTCGGCGTGCAGACGCTCCTCACGATTTTCGTACCACATCCTCGCCGCGTTTTGCTGCTTCTCGAAATCCCGGGAGGCGTGGTCGGCAGCGATGATACCGACGAAGGTACCGGATGAGGTCACCAAGAAGGCTTTCATGGGGAGGGTCAGGTTGCGAATTGTGTGGTATCGTCGCGAAGCGAGCATGACGCCCGCCACACCACCGGCAAGACCGAGGATGCCGCCAAAGGAGCCGCCCTTGACGACGGAGCTGTTGGAAAAGAGCGCTTGTCAGTATGGCACGATGTGGAAAAGATTGAAGGCGGCCCGGGATCCGACGGATGCGAGGGAATCAACATACCGGTAGTGCGCATCTTCTTCTTCCTTAGTGAGCAACTTCATCGTGGATGTATGGATGTGTGTTGTGCTTGAAACTGGGATGAGGGGAAGATTGGAGTGGAATTGGAGTCTCTTAAAGGTGTTGGACGAGCCCGGGAGCAAAGGCCGAGAAACCGAAAAGCATGACGTGACCACACGGGATCTGCTTAAAGTGGCGTTCTGTCAGCCGGCTGAATCCCGGACTAAGCTCGGACTAAGCTCGCTCTACACAATTTTAATGGCAGAAAATGTGCCGATGACGTCGATCGAAGGATAAGCCAGTGATCTACCCTCTAACTGGTCCTTACTATATCTACATCCAATGAGTCTAGTTGGGTCAATCAGATAAAGTTGAAGCACTTGTTGCGGCGCAAATAACATACCGGGCGCGAAGTTACATGCCCCTAAGCGCAGAGAGTAAAAGTTCCCGATCCATCCCGAACGCCAGACGCACCATGTCAGAAAAAATTGGGAATCGTCAGATGACGGTAGCAGACCCCGAGGAGAAACAGAGAAAGAAAAAAAAAACTATGACATGACACACCATCCGAGTTTACCGACGAGAGCCCTTCTGCGCAGCATTGTTGCGGGCTTGCATCTTGCGGAATCGATCCTCGCCGCTGCTGCCCAGTGGGCGTGCAAACTTACTCTCTTGCACTGCAGTCTGTCGGGGCACGATGGTATAGGTCACATTGGTACGGTCAACACGGGCACGGTTGGCAAGGCGAGGAGGAAGCTTCTCGCGCGCACGAGCTTCGGCGGCCACGACCTCAGCGGGAGTCTGGGTGCGCTTGATGATTTTGCTAGAAGAGTCATCAGTAATCGGGATTCAATGCCGGACAGAGGCCAGTATAATCGAAACTTACGTAGGATCAAAGTCAGCCTGTTGGAAGACACGCTTCGAATAATCATCGCTGCGCTGGAGAATTGGTCGTGTCCACTCAGCCAGCAGTTTCTCCGCCATGTCCTTGATGCGTCGCTCGGTGCGCTTGCTTTTGGTATAGAAGACAACAACCTTGCCAATTCCGCTGGCAATGAGGGCATCTTTCTGGATCGGGAGTTTGGCGAGGGCGGTCAACAAGTCACGCTGGATATTGTATGCAGGCATTGAGCCGTCGTCCAAAGGCTCCAGGAAGAACCGAACGGCCTCGAGCAAGTTGATCTCGGGGTCAACCAAGCTGTTGATGTATTGGTTGCGGTTGAGGAGCATAATAACCTCGGGGAGGAGCTTGAGCTTATGCATGGCAGGCTTGCCCTCTTGACGATTAATGGCGTCCATCTGCGCGGCGTGGGTCATGCGCTTTCGCATATCTTCGATTTCAGCATCGGCCATAGCTTCAAGATCCTATTGAAAACGATTAGCAAGTGCATAAGACATGAGTCCACCGGTATTTGTACAATTCCATCCTGCTTGCGAGATCTCCTCTTGCCAGGCTTTCGGATAGCTTCATCCATAGCACGATCGAGAGCACGGCGACGACCTTAAATAACCCAATCTGTCAGCCTGGCCAAACAACTTTGAACTCTTCAATGTCGACAATGATACTCACGAGTCTCGGGGTCTAGAGTCTCCTCATCCGTATCAGGCGAGGCCTCCTTCTTCTTGCGCTCCCTGCGACGAGACGATCCGTCCTCGGCCTCATCCTCTTGCGCGCGACGGCTCTTCTTCTCACGACGGCCCTCCTTGCGGCGCGAGCGGCCCTCTCCATCATCAGTACGCTTGCGCTTGTGGCGACCGATAAGCTTCAGGTTCTCCTCATCAATCGCCAGCTGGGGACGATCCTCGACATCAACATTCTCAGGGTTGAAGTCCTCAAACTGCGCCTCATCGACCTCGGATAGAATTGATTCGTCGTCGGAAATGTCGCCTTCATTATCATCAACGTTTGCCTGCTCTTCGAGCGCATTGTCATTATTCTCAGCCTCAGCAGACGGCTCGGTCTCGTCGATTGGGGCCGCGACTTGTTCGGGCTCGGGGGAGGCGGCAGCCGAGCCGGCCTGGTGTTCGGGCGAAGCAGACATATTGCGATGGGAGATGGTGGATTAAGAGGAAAAGAGGGTCAGAGAAGTATGGACAGAGAGTGTTCTCTAGCGACACTCGGAGGGGGTGGCCAAACGGCGTTGAGACCAGACGCGATAGTTATTCAGCGTAGGCTCCGAGACCTGTCCGAAAGATGAATCGCACGTGGCAAGTGACAATGAAAATCCGGTATGGATATGAACAAGGGGTTTCAAAGGGCTCTCAGATAGAGCTTTAGAATTTTGGTAGAGGAATAAGGAAAGTCAAGGAGAGAGAGAAAGAGACAGAGGCAAAAGGTCGAGGCAGGCATCAGAGAAGGAGACGATGGTTGGTCTGTGCTCCCGTGATTTCTTTCCCTCCCCAAGTCCGCCCGACTTCCGCGGGTTCTTCACATCACTTCATTCCCTACCTGTTCTCTCACTCGACAACTACTCGTCAAATATTCTTCTAATATCTTAACATGTTTGCCCCAGGTATGTATTTCGACCTTTCAATTCTCTCCGACACGCATCATTCATCGTCATGCCTCCTGATAAGACTTTGAATCGCCGTCATCTAATCATGCATCCTTCACATCTAGGCCAAGAACAGCTTTCCCAGGAGGAGATCCGCGTATGAATTACCTCGCAACCTTATATATCACTTGAATCAAAATTGACTTCTGTTTAGGCCGGTGAGATCGAGGCCAGCCAGACCGTCCAGATGGCTGTCGTCGGCGGTATCCTTCTCTACCTTTGTAAGTCAAGCCTCACAATCGTGCCACTTCCAACCAGGGCGTCATTTTGCGACTTCTTCTTCGTGTCTTTGATCACCAATCCTGACGCATGTTAGCCCCCTTCGCCATCGACTTCGCCCGCAAGTTCCTTTAAACGCATCACTGCACCCTTCCACTCTATCTCCGGTCTCCATTGCGCCACTCATCATACCAAACCGCCTTTACCATGTTTCAGTGCGTTTCAGGAGATTGGGATATATGGGATCTTTTTTTGAATTTGGGCTTGAGAGATCTATCAGCCGATCTGGGAATAACCTCGAACGATTTCGAGGGATTCCTGCTTGATGGCAGTTCCATGCACGCCGTCGACAGTCTGCTGCATATCACGAGATCTAGCCTAAATGATGTATTATTATGGATTGTACATGCCGGGTTTCATCTCGGTTTTATTTTTGAGGATAGAGTAACGGGAATTCGGACTATGGCATGATGCTACTTGAAAGCACCCAACGGACCTTTAACCAGGTAGACTCGGCTTCACTTTAACCTCAATACAGGCCCTTCGTTGCCAGGGACGTAGACAGAAACAGACCACAGAGAAGCAGTGTCCATCAAGTTTGGTAAATTGTATTTGACTATGCATTACAGGTGATCGTCCCAAGAACGCCGGTGCTCCCATGCCCAATGATCATTCAAATCCCCCGGAATGTAAAGAGATACAGATGGCAAGGATCCAAGAGAATCCAGGCTCACAAGCTAAAGCTGACTTATTTTCCAACCAGCTTCTGTGTCTCCTCGAAGTCCTTCTTTACCACCTCCATCTCCTTCTGCAAGTGCTGAATTTGAGCGTGATAGTCATCCAGAATCTACAAATATAGCAAATTAGTGTCCGAATTGCAGATGAAATGACTGGGATGGGAACGTACCTTCTTGGCAGTCTTCATAGTTTGCTCGTCAATCTCATCCTCCGCATTATTCGTCATGTTCGCACCAGCACGGTCCATCTCAGCCTGCAACCGCTTCGAGTGTTCTTGAATGGCTAGCATACGAGCCCAAATCTCCTCGCCGCGACCAACCAGAGACGGATCGAAGACAGACCGCTCCAGCTGGGCCAATTTCTTCTTAAGCTCTTCCTCAGCGTCGTCCATAGCGTAACCGCGGTTACGCAGCATTTGCGTCTTAGCCGCCAGGGCTAGGCACCGCTTGCTCAGAACGATGTGCTTTCGACGAGCATCTGCAACCTTGACCGAAATCTTCAGATCGTGTCGTGAGAGCAGGTCGGTCAGGCAATTGTTGATTTCATGAAGGCGTGTCTGCAACATGGCGAGGAAGTCTTTCTGACGCTGGGCACGCTTGCCCAGATCAATGAAGCCCTTGATGAGTACGGGCACATAACCCGACCCGGGGCGCTGCCGCAAGGCCTCCTCCCATTTCGTCTCGTCGTCTTCGAAGCCGGGCTGGAAGAATGGAGCATTTTCGTCGCCAACGTGGTTATAGAGATAGGCTCGGAATGGAGAGGATCGAATTTGCGCATCCCATTTATCCTTGACGATGGCGATTTGCATCGGGACGGTTCGGTGTACTTCGGCCATGGCAAATCGAGTTAGTAAGTGGAATCAATTGAAGTGTGACCAAAAGTGTATTTACCTCCAGTAATGGCACGACCAGGAGACCAGAGGCTTGTTGACAGGGATTGTTCCTGCGGCTGACCTTGTGGCTGAACCATAGTCGTTTGTCCGAACTGCGACTGCTGGAGCTGCTGCTGCTGTTGTTGCTGCTGCTGCGGGGCCTGCTGGGCAGTGGAACCGAAAGTCGATCCAAAGAGTCCAGTCCCACCCGCAGGCTGTTGCGTTTGTTGCTGCAGCGCATTGGTACCAAACATACTCGTTGCGGGCTTCTGTGCGGTAGTCGAGGAAAACAGGCTGGGTTGTTGCTGTTGCTGTTGCGCAGGGGCACCGAAGGTTGTGCTAGCGGGTTTCTGTGCAGTACTCGAGCCAAACAAGCTGTTTGTCTGGGATGGCGCCGGCGTGCCGAAGAGACTGGGAGCCGTAGAGGTCTGTTGTTGATTCTGAGGTGCACCGCCGAACAATCCTGAGGTGGTTCCTGTCGTCGTACTGGAGCCGAGACCACCGAAAGCGCTGGGCTTACTGGCGGCAGCGCCAAAAGGGCTAGCGGTCGCGGTGTTGCCGAAGAGAGACATGGTGAAATATCCTTGACGAGGCGCGAGGAAGGCCGCAAAAAAAGCACGTCCAATTTCTCCAAAAAGAGAGTCCCGAGATTGGCGAAGCCTGTCGCGTTATATGGGAAAAATCAGATGCAGATCAGGAAAAGCTCAAGACTGCATTTCCTAGGAATTGGAGAGGAAGGTGGTACGGCAGGCGAGCTGGTGAGCGCTGGAGAGCTTCGCGAAGAAGAGAACCTGAACCGTCGGAGCTGTGGTTTGTTTAGGTCACGTGATTTTGACAATCGCTGGAAAGGTTGTGAGGGACGACAATTCGGGGGAGTTTGGAGAAAAGGTCGGCAAACAAGTGGGCTTAAGTAATGTTTTAGACTTGAGGCTACACTGAAGACCCTGTTCTGCCTAAGCCTTGTTTGCTAATATCTTTGCCATTTGCTAGTCGACAGGCAACGCCCATACACTTCCTCCGAGCAATGTGATTACCTCAGCACCCTCGCTCCACCAATCAGCGTGTCCCCAAAGAAACCGACCTTTCAATTCCACGGCAACCCGCAGCTTCACGAAGTCCACTGCCCTCGTCAATTAACCTCCCATCCACCCTCTTTCAGACCAGTAACAGACACAATGGCTCAGCGAGACCCCCAGTATGCTCATATCCTCCTCCAATGACTTGTTCCACCCTGCTCCGCCGCGCCGGAACCAAGACTAACCGCGCTATCCCTCGGCCAACAGGTTCAACCAGCATGTCCTCGTGGACACCACCCCCATGCCGGACCACATCCCCAAGGTGGAGGAGATTGGCGCTACCTCGGCATTCCTGACGAGTGCGGCGTACTTCATTGGCGACCGCTGCAAGGCATTCAACGACGATTACATGAAGTGCAAGGACGAGGCGAATGGCCGCGGGGAGTTCGATTGCTTGAAGGAGGGGCGCAAGGTGACGCGCTGCGCTGCTAGCGTGTATGTACTTCTTCCCAGAGTGGGTTGGGAAAGGAATTGGAATGGCCGATCCTGTGACTTGGGGCGAATGAGCAGGGCAGCTGACTGATCTCCGAACAGCATCAAGGACATTAACACCCACTGCCTCGACCAGTTCAAGGCTCACGCTGACTGCCTCGAGAACAACAACCACTACCTCTTCGAGTGCCGCAAGGCTGAGATGTCCTTGAACAACTGCATCTTTGACAAGCTGGTATGAATTCGATCCCCAGTCTATACAACGTGCAACCGATGCGAGCTTGCAACACATGCAATGCGCATCTACGAGTATCCGAAACTAACAATTCTCTCTTCATCTTCTACAGGGCCTGAAGAAGACCATCCCCGGCGCTCCCGAGAACCAGGTCCCCGTTCATCTGCGTCCCAAACAGAAGTACGCCCAGTACCCTGGACCGCAGTACTAAAAAGAGCCGAGATGATATGATCTTCTCCCGGTTCAATCCTCCTTCACAAACCCCCCCAATTTTACTCGAAACGCCTTACTATACCGCCAACCAGGGTCCCGGCGTCTCCTTCTCCTTTTTCCCTTATCTGTTTGTTCTAAACTAGATGCGCAAGCGGTCCTTGTGTTTCATCTACTCTGTCTGTCTCGTCCGGTGTATGTTTTGTGTAAATATCAATTGGCATCAGGAATGGTTATGATTTCCGCTTGAAATGTGGTCTCTCTCGCAAACTGCAAAGTACTTGGTATCTTGCTTTGCGGGGTTAATTCTAGCATTGGGTCCTCGGGACAGCTGACGTTGTTTGGATTAGTGCCTTCTGAAGAGATGTGCCTGCTAATACATGTCCGAGGCTTAACCCAACAGGTATAGTCCGTCCAGCTCAATCGGGATTTCTGGGTATGAGATATCCTTTTCCTGCCTTCATCGGCCCAGCTCACCAGTTTCAGGCCATCTTTCCTGGCTACAATGTCCAGCTGGATGAATGGCCACGGCATGGCGGCACAAGTTTGAAAATTTTCCTGGATGGACGTACTAGAGCGTCATCATATAGAAAACATTATGGATCTGAGCAACACTAAATTGTCTCTATAAGGCGTGCTTCTAACTCGACCCCTCTACCCAGTCTATAGATATCACAGACCATTACATACAACCCCCATATCAAGACAAGACCAAAAAGACCAAAGAAATCAAATCGACAGAGAAAAAGGAAACACCAGAACCTCGGATTGAAACCCATATGTACAGAACAAAAGAAAAACACAAGAAGTAACGTATGTAAAACAAGAACTCCTCAAATGGTAAACGAAGGGGGGTAATAAAATCTCATGAAAGGATGCAAAAACAGCAAGCCACCAAACCAGTTCCAGCATGATAACCCAATATCAACATGTCTGGGGAAACAACGAAAGAGTCGGGATGAGGGTATCAGGAACACATGCCATAAACCTAGGGCATGACAGGCACACGTTGAAGAAGCTTGACCCTCCCCAACCGTGCCTTAACACCGGACCAACCCTCCTTCAACTTCATCTCCAACCTCCGATCCCCACGCATCCGCATCCAAATCAACAACACACCCAGCAATGCCACATCCCAGATGATCTGGCGCACGACAGCCCAAAGCATCCACTTTAACCAAGCCCATACTCCGGAGCGACGACGATGCGCTGACGTCCGCGCCTCCATCTGCTCGCGGACAGCGGCTATTTCGGCCGTCATTTTGGTCAGGGCTTGTTCGACGCGCCGGCGCCAGCGGCTGTCTCGTGGGTTAGACGGGTCTTGCGAGTCTGGACCGTTTAGGCTTGTGCCATCGCTGACGCCGGAGGTAGACTTGTGTCTTGTGTGAGCTTGGTTGTGTGAGCGGGAGCGAGCGCGGCGGTCCTCGCTTTGTGAGCCGGTGCGGTCCGTGCCGGTGTGTGTATGTGTATCTGTATTTGAGGAAGCGTTGTCTGGGGGTTCGTATAGACTGTCGCGGGCTTCTTCGTATTCTTCGTCTTCATCTTCGTCGTCGTCTCCCATCTCGTCCTCAGCAATGCCATTTGCGGATCGTCGTCGCCGGCGATAGTATTCTTCTTCTTCGGGTTGGCTGACGGGGCTGAGGACGCGGAGGCGTGAGTCGCGGGCGTCGTCTGTCCGCATGTCTGGTCTTTCATATTGGTCGGTGGGAGATTGGGCGAGACGTCCGCCTATACTGCCGTATGCACTGCTTTGGTGATGTGATAAAGGCGGGACGCCGACAGCGTTGAGTGGACCGGAGGACGATGAGGAGGAGGCGTTATATTTAATCTGGTCCCAGACAAACTCGAGCTCTGATACGAGCTCGCGGGCTTCCGGGGTTTGTGAGGCATAGTGGTGCATGGTGTCGATAAGGGTTCCGATGTAGCGGCGTTTGGCTTCGGTGCGCGTGAGCCCGCGCTGAGCATACCAGGCATCCCTATCGGTTCGAAGCGCGGGGATTCGTTAACTTGAATATCCAGATGTAGAGTCGACGATCTGGCTGAGGGGGTTTTCCCCATTTGCCATGAGATGACATACCACTTCTCGCACTCCGCGTGTACCTCCGGGGTATTCCCTATCGGGCGATCCATCACGCCCTCGACATCACCCTCTATCGGAGATTATAAGCCAATCCACCCTCGATACGTGCATCCGAAGCAGGCCCGCCAGATTCACTCACCCATACTCTGTTTATACAAGCCATATAGCTTCAACCGCTCCGCGGCCGGCGGGCGCGCGGTTCCCGTCCGGGGAATCCTCTTCACGGTATTCAAGGCATGGACGAAGACGCGATCTACCTCCGGAGAGAACGTCAATACCAGCGCAACCACGGAAACAAAGGGAGTCTGAAATCCAAGCCATCACGCACCTACTGAATCCGACATGCTGATGCGAGAAGAAGCGGTCCGGTAGTCTGCCCTGTCTTCATAGGCGCGGGGTCGGGCATCGGCTGGCGTGGACGAGCCTCATGGAGAGCGCGCGGCGGCGAAGCAGTCGGAGATAGGAAAATCGGCGGGTGTCGAGGATCGGAATGGAATGGGACAAAAGGGGGGCGGACGAAGCTAGTTCTTTGAGTGGCCGGGACGTTCTCGACTGGGGGAAATTGGATGTGCCTTTTTCAGCTTTTAGTTCCTGTTTCCCCTTCTTCTGGTAGTCCTTCCTTTTTAGTCTCGGAAAAGGGCAATGCTTTCCCGATCACGTTCACGACTCTTACCGGGCTTGAAATGGGGAGTATATTTACTAGATGAACCGCGGTGCTCATCTAGAGATCGAAACGAAGCGTGTAAGAGGCGTCTCGTGCCTCGAGAACAGGCCGAGCAGGTGGCGTGTTTGAACTTTGGGGGAGGGCGTTGGACCGCGGCTGTCGGAAAGATCGTCAGGGCACTTGTGATTCGCACCCCAACGGTCAGAAAAAGCCAAATAACCAGGACAGATACGAGAGCAATGGGGATGCCGAGAACTAGATTATTTTTAAAAATGAATGATCGAGTAAATTATAATATGAATTGGCATATTTCCAAGGCATCAGCTAATGTACACAAGAGCAAAGAAAAGCAAATCCCCCAGACTCCACATTCCGGTGGATTCCTTAATCGCTCGGCATCTTCTTGACCTCAAGTATCGCATTCTCCGTATCCACCGCGGAGCCCGTCATAACACCCGTCGCCGCGATCACTTCTTCCTTGGAGACCGGCGGACCGGTGAAGTGCTTGCGCGCATACACAAAGTACCAGACGATACTGATAGCAGCGAATCCGGCAAACACGACGCTCGCGTAGTTCATCCCGGACGCATCGACGGGCAACGTGTACGGCATACAGAAGAGCACGACGGCCAACACGATCCACACGACGGTGATGGCATTGATGATCCATCCAAATGGACCGAGGGAGAAGGTGGAGCGCTTGACATCCTCACGGCCGCGGATCATCGAGATCAGAATGGGCAATCCGTACGAGGTCGACAGACAAATCGTGGCCACACCTGTGAAAGAGTTGAAGGCGGCCGTGGAGCCAAAGTAGATCAATCCCAGCAGGCAATCGACCACCGCGGAGAGGATGATCGCCCACACGGGCACGTCCAGCTTCTTGTTAACCCGGCGCCACAAACGGAACCCCGGAATGGCTCCATCGCGCGCAAAGGCATACGTGCAGCGACTGGCAGCGGTCAACGAGCCAATACCCGCGAACATCATAATCCCCAGAATCAGGAAGAGGAGACCGAAGCCACCACCAGCGGAGCCGGTCACTTCCTTGAACAGCGTACCAATTGGCTGTCCACTCGCCACCTGGCGCAGCATTTCGACATTAGGCATCGCAAATAGCACGGGAATCAGATACAAGAGACCCGTGATTCCGGCTGCGACCACGGATAGCACGATAGCCTTGGGAACCTCGCGATGCGGGTTCTGGACCTCCTCACACATAGACGCGACCATACCATAGCCCGTCAGCGTATACGCCGCCTGCAGCAAGCCCACGAAAAAGGCCCAGCCAGCGGGCCATCCACTCTGCGAGGAATCATACTCGGCGAACACGAACTCGCCCGAGTTCAAGTGATCCGCCATCGTAAGCAGCACGATCAAAATAATGATGACGCTAGCAGCGGTCCAGAAGATACAAATCTTATTAATCAGGTCCAAATACCGCGCTCCGAAGATATTGACGAGCGTGCAGACGAGCATCACGGCCCAAAACATGAGTACCGTCTGCCACGCATTCGCGACAAAGTCTTCCTTCCACAGCTGGATCGCGCTGAGAATAAGCTGTCCTCCACCGAAGATAATACTCAGGGTGACAGTCCAGTTCCCCACGAGTGTCAACCAGCCGTCGATAAAGGACATGAGCGGGGCCCAGCGGCGGGTGGAGAGCATTGCGCTCCAGTAGTATACTCCACCGGCGGTGGGATAGACGGCGCAAATCTCGGCGAGAGAGGCGGCGATGGCGATCGAGATGAGAGTCACAAAGACCCAGCCCCAGATGATGGTGACGGAGAGGCCATCGTCTAGTGTGATGTACAGGGTGGTGCTGAGACCGTATGGCGCGGCCATAATGGCGAAGGATAGACCCAGGATACTGAGCATGGACAAGTTACGAGGAAGCTCGCTCTTGTAGCCCATGCGGGCCAACGCCTCGTCGGCGGAGGCGTCGACGGAGTGTTGCCGCATGGTGGGTGACGGCAATCGCGATGGAAGGTTAAGTATTAGGAGGAAATAGAAAGTAGGAAATGCGAAACAGAAAACAAAAAGGCAAAAGTAGGCACTAAGGGCACTAGGGCAGGAGGAAGATGGAGTAGGGTTTCAGTCCCAAAGGTGACCGGATTGGGGAGTGGGGTTCTCAGGAAATTGAAGAGTCTGGGGAAAGATCAGAACGAAGAAGCTTGAATTTATTTAAGAGAAACCAGAATGGAGAGAACCACGCTTGATAGGAACAAGGTTAAGTACGGAGCAACTAGATGATGAAACGACCCATCTTGACGGAGCCACGAGGCGGCAACCCCGCATGATAGACATGATAGATATGATGATAAGTGTGGTAAACGGGGAAGTATCGCGGTCCGAGACCGCGAGAGCGCGCTGGGCGTCGAAGGGGGAATCTGGGTTTGTTGGCTTGGGGGGATTTTGGCTTTCGGGGGGTGAAAGGTTCTCCCAATAGGCATACGGGACCATGGAAAGACCAGGCCACACACCGAGACACGGCTTATCAGGGTCCAACGTTCGGACGGAATTCTGGGTCCTTTAGGCCGATAGGAGCGGGCTGGACGACTCAGAGCGGTTAGACCGAATATACACCGTCACAATCAGCTCGGAGTAGTACTATAGTACTATATACTTCGTACTCCATAGGAAATCCATAATGATGGTTATGGTTGCATACCCAGCTAGCTAGTCCAGTAGTGAGTTTAGTCAAGTTAGAGACGGACTGATTCTTAGTCAAGGCCCAGATAAGCAGGAATGCTATCTTTCCGTGTTGGTCGCGTGTGCCCCAGGCTGCTTTCGAGACTTGGGCCCACCCAAAGTGGATTGTTCAATCTTGCTTATCGTCTTCCAGTGCGGAAAACACAGCACTTAAATTTTCCTCGAGCTCCTACGCTTTCTGGATAATACCTACAAACTTGAACGTGTACTTGAATATCATTTTTTTGATTTCCACTATCATTGAGAAAAAAAAAAAAGGTCACCCAGAGGGTGACGGCTGCCACATCGGAATAAGATGGCCGCCCCGAAGAGCGCACGGGGCCATCGATGAGCGCCAAGATAATCATCACTCAGAACAGGAAAAAAAGGGGGAGCAAAGGGAAGAGACCGGGCAAGAAGAAAAAAGCGTGAACCAGAAAATCCACGATGCCACACGGTCAGCAACCCGAGTGCGAAGGGTGCAAGGAAAGGGGGGGTATCAAACATGGAAATGGGGGGGGGGGGGTGCACAGATATGGACGTCCGGTAGGTTTGGGGGAGAAATCTTTTTCTTGTTTGAGTATCTAGTCGGACATGGGGGAGGCAGATCTAGAGGGAGATCTGAAAGGAGATCTAGATCGATCATCGGAGTCGGCGGGCGGAAGTAGGCCCTGAGATATCGAACACGTGGGAGCGAATCGGTGGAGAACGGGGGGTAGTAGTTGTTGGGGAGGCGAAGCGGCAAAGATGTCAAAAGGAGGAAAAGGTCGGGATGAAGAGAAAAGGGGGAGCGAATGGGGTGATTTTTGAGGGTCGACAGACTCCCAGTCTATACAGCCACCCCGGTGGATAGAATCAACCAGAGTAGCGTTCCAAACGGAATTCGTGTCCACGGAGAGGGTGGAGGGGCACGGAAGGGGGAAAGAAAATCAAAACGGTAATCAAACGCTGAGTCATAACCAGCCAGCTAGTATCAACTCCTGGAAACAAAGATGGAATAAATCATAAGAAACATGACCCCGTGTCGTGCGGAACGATCGTGAATCAAGGTCAGGGATGAAAATGGGGGAGGGAGAAGAGCAGAAGAAAACGCCCATTCATGCAGTCGTCAGTCCGGTGAAGTCGTTACATGAGGTAGATGCAGTACAGTCGCAGGGAAGGCAAAGCGCGAGAAGAGATGGTGGACAATGGGAAGGTACAAAGGTCGCAAAAGAAGCACTCGACAAGCTCGCGAATCGAAAGAATCGAGGTCGATCCCCATGAGTTCATGGACTGAGTCCTCCCGTCAGGAGATCGTCGGCCGCATCGGGTCCGAATCCGGCCATATCGACCGAATGTAGAGAGCCAGGTCCTTTGCCCAAGGAGATATCAGAGGATGCATAGTCATGCTTGAGTCGTTCATGAGGTCCAAAGAGATGTGGCCCGAAGAAAGGCCGATTCTCTTCGTTTGGAGTGTTGCCGTCGCCAGCGACCCACGGCCCGTTCTGCCAGAACCGAGTGTTGGCCTGTTGATCACCAAAGAGATCGTGGTGATCGGGTTGGGGGTCTGGTCCGTGGGTAGGGAAGTCATTGGGCGAGGGAAACCGCATATGCGACCGACCAAAGCTGGAGCAAGGCGAATCGGCATGAAGAGGTAGGTCTAGACCGGAGAGCGGGGGATCGTCCGCCGTTGTGATGTCAATGGTTGGGTTCTGCGTCTGTTGTGCCAGGGCCGATGACAATCGTAAATTCGACGCCGTTGAACTGTGTCGACTATGACTGGTTGACCGCTCAATGGCACGTTGCACAAAGCTCCCGCACGTCCTCATGATTTTCTCCTTATCGGCCTGGGGGAGCCGGGCAAAGAAGTCATTGGCGAGGGACGACTTAGGCGGATCGTCCGGAGATGGAATCAGCCCGTACGCGGTCTTTGCGTATTCGGATAGACCAGATGGCATATTATACGGGGACTGATACACGTTGGGGGCCTTGGCTCGTTGCTGATCCAAAAAGGCATATTTCCCGGGCATCCTCGCCGCGGCAACACTCCCTTGATCGACAATGTCTTGCTTGACCCCCTCCGACTCTTTCTTCTGGATAACATCTAATCGCTCGCGGTGGCTGACCAACGAGAATCGAAGCATCTGAAGAAGCCGAGCGACCTCATCCGCCCGCATATTGAGAGTTTGGGGCGGCAGCAAGGTCCCATCGGCCGCCCGGGGCTGCACCCGCTGCTGGGCCATGGCGAGCTCGAGTTTTTCGAGGCCATTGATCGGAGGAATCGATCCCATAGGGCCCAGCAGAGTTTCTACCACCAATTCCGGGCTGACGATCGTGTACCCGGCGAACACGTTGGCATGTTCGGTGATTTGGGCCAGGCGGCGACGGGCGATGAGGTCACGGACGTTGGCAAAGGTATTGGTGGAAGTGAGGTGGTGCTGCTGCTGAGCATGCGATTTGGCGACCGTGGGGTAGGGGGCATGGCGGATCGATGAATTCGGCAAAGTTCGAAAGGCCGACGGCATCGCAGGTCCAGCAGCAGCAGCACCGGTAGCAGCAGCAGGGGTAGGGGGAGGGGGAGGGGCAAGGTACTGCAAGGAAGAGGAGGCGGAGGAGGCGGCGGCGGCGAACGAGGGCGGTCGGAGCGATGACGAGGAGGGAGAGGAGGAGGAAGATTGTAGGTGAGGGGGAGCGAAGTTGGCAGCATTCAAGGTTGGCGTGAGGCGGTGTTGGTTTTGTTGTAGCAGCGATGTTCGGTGTTGGGCGTAAAGATTTTGCTGGTAAGGAGGGGCAGGAGCGGTTGCAGCATAATGGAATGGACGGTGGGGGGGGATCTTCGATGCACGAGCATTGACACCACCAGCCACGCCAAGCGACTTGACGCTGTCCAGGAAATTGGCCCGCGGATTGTGGACGGGGACGCTAGGGTTGTGCGTATACTGTGCCCTACTCTCGGTGGACTGCGTGCCCAAGTAATGCCACACCTGCTCATCTTTGTCCAGGTTCACCCGGACTGGTGGGGCGAATTGATTCCTAGCTCCATCCACCGTCTCGAATTCAGCCCACTGATAGGGAGATCGACTGTCTCCAAATGCACTGCCTGCGACCGGGACGGCAGCCTCCAATTCCTTTCTCGAGTCGGGCTTGCGCGCTAAGTGGGCCGGGAGGGGTTGGATGCCCGGTGCGAGGGGCACGAAATTGCTCTTGCGTACCACCAGCATCCAGCGGTATGGCATTTCGATGACATCTCTGTTGACAATTATCAGTATTGGGTAATTCGTTTTGGGTTGGAAGGCGAGAGGGGCAAAAGAAAGGGGGAGCGCAATTATTGGATGGGCGTGGATATTGTTCGGGAACTTCGGGGCAATTGAAACCCCTCGGTGGGGTGGATTCTCCCCCTCCCAAAAACAGAAAAATAAAAAGACTTACCCTCGCGGCAAAACCTTCAATAAGAGACTCCGCTCCTCCGGGCGGTTCTCCAACACAATGGCGCCATTAATCTCCTTGTCGGCTTGGAACTGAATCAAATCTCCCTGCACCAAACGCCCGGCAGCTTCAATGACCCGACGATCCAGATCGGATGATTCAACCAAAAGTCCCGTGGGTCGCTTTTGTCGGTGGAATTTGCACTTGAGGTCCACACTCGGTAATGCGTACTGCTGGCCATCATCGGCAATGACAGCAAATGCACCATGCTCAACCTGAACACCAGCCAGCAGGGCACATGTGGCATGATAGGCACGGGTGCATTTTCCAAAGTTGCATTGGAAGCAAGCTCCACGAACCTCACGGCAGAAGAGACATTTCAATCCCAGGCGCGCCTTGGGAATCTTGTCGATATCACATACCACCTCGTTACCGGACGCATCTCGGAGAATCGAGGTCTCCTCGATGAACAATGCACATCGGCGGTGAGCATGTCCCTTGCCATCCTCTGTGGGCAACAAATCTTCATAATCGAGATTGTTCGGGCAGAGTAAACATGGGATCTTCCGCGGGCCTTCGAGGTGGAGTTTCGGTCGTTTGGTTCGCGGCCCGTCACCCGCATTCTTCCGCTTTCGCCCACGGGTGGAAGGCTTCTCGGGCACGCTTCGTGGAGGCGTGAGCATATCCGAAGCACCGTCGAACCCCTCCAGCTCGCTGTCGTAATCCCCATAGTAGTCGGGGGTGGCTTCGCCGCGGAGTTTGCGCTCGATTTCATCCACGTCGATCCAGACGCTATCAGCTTCACAGTTGCACTTCTTGGCGATACGACCATAGTCCAGCCATCGCTCCGTGGCAAAGTTGACGGATTCGGCACAGTTGTAACCAATGTTGTAGCCAGAGTGATAGCCATATGGGAAGGTGATGACAAACTCTCCTTCGTAGTGGACCAGGCGGTTGACGGTGATGCCATACTGAGACTTCAGCAAGCTGGGAGAGACCAAGTAGGTCTTGTGGCGCAAAAATTGATCGCAATTCTTGGCATCGCTAGACCATATGCTGCGCATGGCCGCTTCAAACTTGGGGGCGTCAGCCTGCGAGATGCTGTACCACTGCTTCGGGGCACCAAAGTGGATGTAGTTGATACTGTAGAGATCAACGTCTTCCAAGTGCCATGCGAACGTGGCCTTCCACATTCCCAAATACAGATACGCCGTGTTGACGCCGGGGACTTTCTGTCCAAGAACATCAAGCAGGTTAGGCAATTTGGCCACGTTCCACGAAGTAGTCGAGTCGTCGAAGAGGGAGCCCGGCATGTCGGCACCGTACATCGGGTTGTTAAACATGAGCGACTTCCAATAGGCGGTCTCTAGCTCCTCACATCTCTCTGCCGTGTAATCCTCATTATCATGGATGCGGTAATCAAACTCCTTGAAAGCTTCCTCGTCCACGTGGTCAACGGTCTCGCCGCGGTTATTTTTGCGACGGGCCGTTACAGACTTTGGCTGTCTTCCTTTGGGCTTGGCGGGCGGAAGGGATTCACCATCGCTCAAGTCCTCGCTTTTCGTCTCGACTGGAAGAGACTCAGGTGAAACAGGGGTCGGAGGCCCTTCGGGTCTAGACTTCTCTGCATCATCATCATCGGTAGGCTCGTCCTTGACTTTGACTTGATTGCCACGCTTGGGAGGTCGGCCAGGGCGACGCTTCTGACCCTCTGGACGTGGAACTTGAGGTCGTGGTGTGGGAGCGGCTCGGTTGACCCGTTCTTGGTTTCGACGTCGCTCTCCGCGGCGAGCAGGCGGTTGGTGACTACTTTCTTCGCACAGACCCTTCCACTGGGGCAAATGATATGTGCGCTGTCGTTCAATATTGGCCTGGGTGTATGTGCCATGAGATCCATGGAACTCCTGCATGATAGGATTCTTCACACGAACCGTCTTGACTGCATCGTCTAAAGGGTGTAGTGATTCGGTCCTTCAGAAAAAGATAGATATGAGCACAACCATCCACATCACCGTGGGTCGTTCCAAGCACTCACCATTCCTTTGGGGGAATCACTTTCACGATACCCGCTTGCATTCCATACTTATCAATCTTCTTGATAAAGGATTGAAAGTCGCGGAATTGGTCCATTGTCTGGGAGAGATAAGTTGCTTGTTAGTAGGACTATCCGAAAGCGAATTTGCTGAAACAACACAACTGTCATGCAGAGACAGAAATTGCGAGTTCGGAGTACTCACTGGCTTGAAGACTGGAACCTTTCCACCACCATAGTAATGGTCAGGTTCAATATCCTCGGTAGGCTCTTCTGCTTCTTCCGATTGCTCCCGCTTGATCGTAGGTTCCCCAGGCACTGCAGTGGACTTGGGGTCTAGCTCGAGGTCTGACAACTCCGAGGGCACCCCTTCAGGCGCATCCTTCTTCCCGTTGGCGCTCTGAGGTGGTGTAATAGAGACAGACTCGAGCTCGACAATGTTACCACCCCCTGGGAGATCCAAGCGGGGCGGATCCAGAGTTGCCGCCATCATGAAAGGTAGGAAGGAACGTCAATGACGAATGGAGGTCAAAGATTGAGGTGCCGTCGTCGAATAAAGCGACCGCTGATCGACGGCGATAGGGTGTAATTCCCAGCGGTCGGGGGAAGGCGACGGAGATTGGCAAGCCGGAGTAGGTAAAAAAAAAAAAAGAAGAAAAAAAAGGGCGTGAGCACAGGCTAAAGTAGGATTCCCCAGATGCTCAGGGATGGGAGGGAGGGTCGTGAAGATTGCGATAGGAGTCGATGTAGGTGGTACGGAGGAGGATTGCGCGATAAGGTCTGTTCGGAGGCTCTTTTTTCCCTAGAGGCGGAAAGGGCAGAGCAGAAGATTTTAGTCCAGAGCCAATAAGAAGGATCAAATGACGACCAGTCTCCTGTGAGGAAGGAGGTGAGGAACAGGGGCAAGAAGAATAGAAAGCGGTTGCAGAGTCCACAGGAATGGATGAGTCGATGACCGTTCCAATAAAACCGCAATAATGAGCACAAGGTGTTAGGTTAGGTTCGCCAGGCGCCAGGAGCCATAAAAAAAGAGGAAAGTGAACAGTTGGACCACCAAGAGTGGGCCAACCATGCAGGTGCTGGGGGCGAGGGTGGAGTGGGTGCACGATGGCCTGACACTCTAAGAGCAGGCAGGAGGAAATCAGGGTGAGGGCAAGGATTGCGATTGGACTAATCACAATCCAGTGTGGCAGGGGATGGGGGCCGTCCGATCAGACAAGAAAAGTGGGCTTAAGTTGGTGAGTGTCCATAGGAGCCGCGACGGGGACTGGACTCTCTCTGCCTCAGCCGGTCTCGGTCTTCTGACGGCTAAATGTGATGTCCGGGCTTGGTGCAAGGTAAGGGGGCAGAAGTATGAGAAGGAAGAATGCAAACCCCCATAAAACAAGATGTACCAACACTTACTATGGGGCGCACAGTTGCCGAAGATGGTTGAAAGTTTTAAATGGAAGATGGAGAAGACGATATCCCAGTATGAGCGACTGCGACTGGCGATGAACGAGTCGAGAGCTTCGCCAACAGATATGATCATGTGACATCACGTGCCAAATTACATATGAGCCTCCCGTACCCTTACGTAAAGGTACGTGCTACGACTTTACAGTATATGTGAGATTTCCATAGTTTTGGGTCACAATACATGTATTTAATACAGTAGACCTGCGCTCTGGCTTCGGATACTACCGGAGCTGACGGTGATGCTATTCGAGCTTACTGATGAGCTTTATACAGATTGCGCTTGTTATCTTACTGAGCATTTTGACGGCGTACACATAACAGAGCCTCACAATCACGATGGGATATGCTTAGGATGCCTGATGAATGCGGAATGTAAGCGCGTGCCATACCATGACCCGAGGGCGCCAGGCATATTATATGGATGATAAGTTCAGACTACTTGGCAGACCTAAAATGAACTGCTCTCGATGAACCTCTAGCTCCCCCGTTGCAATTGTATATTCAAATGCCATTGCTTCGACAAGCTGCCGACAACGAATTGCCATGGTCCGGTGCATGTGAGCCATTGCATCTGAAAAAATATGTGATTTTCATTATATGGTAAGGTCTATCTCGAAAGATCGCATTCTATTGATTATTAGGCCCACTCCCCATTGAGCTTCTCATCCAGGTTGATATATCCATCAACAACTGCCAGCCCCCGTAGCCGCTCCTGCTCGATGCGTTCCCATGTCCATTCCTCGGTGCTCCATGAGTTCGAGTTGGCCTTCTGCTGCTCCTCGAGAGCCTCACGAGTAGGAATCTGATCATCATTCAACTTCAGAACTTCCCGCACGAGCGAACCATCCACACCTCCAGTAGCGGTGATCCCTTCACCACTAGCCGGGGTGCCAATCGCCGAGGCATCTGTCGACGAGTCTGCCACGCTTAAGGCTTGGTCTCCGACGGGTGGCGTGGGTAGGAATCCGCCCAAACGTAAGATGCGCTCCGGCGCAACCGTCAGTCGCCCTTTCTTCACTACATACTTGCTCAGAGCCGTAGCGAGCAACGTTTTCTCACCGCCAGCTCGGCTAGCCGGGCGCATGAAAGAAGATAGAATGTACATCCATTTCTTATCCCACGAGATCACCTTTGAGTGCACCTCGTACAACTCAAAGGGCTTGATCTCGCGCTTGAAGCTGCAGTATACAGATCCAAGTACGATTATGATCGGCTTACGCTTGGGTGCACGCTTGCCTTCCTTCTTAGCAGCTTCCGAGAACTCTTTGTCTAGTTCCTTGCTCACGAGGCCGACGCCAGGGCTGTAGAGTCGGCTCACAAGTGCTGTACGCGACACATCTAGGTCTGTGAAGTAGGTGCTGTTGGACTTGTGCATGTTATAGTCCGTCTCTAGCAGCGGAGTCCGTGACGTGATCCCACATGACACGAAGACCGGATGTGTGGGATTGCCCTGCACATCCACGATAGCTTTGCCCTTGGGGAAGAAGGGAGCGCTGGGCTTTAAGCGTAGGTTGACCAAAAAATGGTACAACAGGCGGAACTGGAGAGATCGGTCAACTCTGTTACACAGCATTCAGGAACGGAGCTGCGGTACTAGGAAGCGTGTTACAGCGGGCACTGGAACTTACATGCCAAACAAATGGGAGGCTCTTAAGGTTGATAAAGGCCAGAATCAAGGCCAAGGTTTTCCACGTCGCCAACGAACCCACGGCTGACAGTAGTTCACGCAGGCCCCCAGCCTGAAGTGTAGACAGAACGGTCGACATTCTGATGGATCGGAAAGGGAGCAGAAGAATGTGATTTCTTCGTCTGTCAGAGCAGACAGTCAATTGCTGGATGCTGGATGATGTTGCTTTCAGCTGAGGTGAGCTGATAAGCGATAAGCAAATATACTCCTGCCTGACAGTGATGTTCTTTTGTTCAGGGGGCTTTGAATCGGAAGGCTCGGACTCGGCTTCAAGTTGACAAGGAGAGGCAGAGATATTACAAAGGATAGAATTGCGATTGACGAATTGAGTTCCCCACAGAAGTGTTCAACTCATGCCGAGCGGGCCGATCATCAATCACTCGTCACGATCACAATCGTTCGTCCTTGTTGTCGGGACAGGGGGCCTCGGCCCCCTAGGGGTACACGTGATGCTGACTCGGGAATTTGTACATTCTGGGGCAGTTATGCAGATATGCATGAACTTGGGCAATTGTCCATAATCTAATCTACCACGGTATTCATCACTAGACATTTTCAATATCCGAGCAATTGTAGCTCTTGCACACGGATATCTGGTGATGTAGATTAGGGTAGCATGGATGACGGCTTAGATGGTCAGGATGCACTTTGTGAGTGCCTAATTTGTCAGGCATCAAGGGCGTTGTTCGAGTCTTTCCTTCCTCCTTCTCTGCTCAAGCCCAGGGATATTAGTGTTCTATAGAATGCCTCAAATTCTTTGATTCTTTTAAACTGAGCTGTACTAATTGGAAAACTGAAATCTCACTATTCCGGTATTGTTCTTCTGTCCAATCCTGCCGCAATCTTTAGTTTATTAAGATACCCGGGCAATTGTATATAACTGGACCCAGTTATGGCACCCAAGGGGTGATATTTTATCGAATTGCACTTGTTAACATTTTTCCCAGATCACACCATCTCATGATTCAAATCGGGGGTCTGACTCGACAACTTCACATGGATGGGACATGAAAGTCCCTTTGGATTACGAGGAGGCTTCAGGTGGAATCACAACAATTGCCTTTGTCAAATTCGTAGCTGCCAATACCATAGAAGGTACTAAAAATGAGTTGGTCAACGAAGGCATGGCGAGCACCGATGAAGATAATTGACAGCTAGCAGTGTTCACCGGGCACAGTCATGTGCATTTTTTTGAATGCTACTCCACCCAGAAGTAGAAGACTGCCAGGGATGTGGATTTGTTTGATAAGTACATCCTTGACATACTGCTGATATCAGTTAGATTCGATACTAAGTACAAAGAGAATCGCATTTCCTATTCTTTTTGTCACTCCTGAGATTGATCCTGCGACTCCCAAAGGAGCGCGTGTCGGGATTTTGACACCGGATTGTACGAACTGAACTAACTATATTACAGGGCATACAACATGACAACAGTATTTCTCGGCTCCGTAGTACTGGAAAAGGCATGGCTGGAATAAGCGCGGTTGACTCGTTGACATTCGAAAAAGAACACTGACTGACGGGTAATCATTTAGCACATTGCAATTGCCAGCCCATCTCCATGCTTGCTGGACAATGCTCAGAGGTACTTTGATGGCCAGGACCCCACCGAAAACACAACCTGCCAACCTGATGTACTCCCATATCAAGGGTATCCGCTATTAAGCCTTGTGTGAGGGATGTGGTAAACCGCAAATCACGTTTCTTCATCAAGTGGGATGACCCTTCTTTGTTTCCGCGCTCCTTTTCCTGGTCCATAGGTCTGATATTTGAGTATTGCGTATGATTGATCATCTGAAACTTCCAGAGAATGGTCCTGGATTTGTGACCAAGCGTCCGGATCATCCGATGCGGTCTCTTTCTCAAGCTGAATGATTTGCCGCGCGAAAATTGTAAGCAGACGTGAATCCCAAAGACCTTCTCGGTGCGGCCATTCTTCAAGAGCATCAAGAGCTTGGTGTTTTAGATTAGAATCTCTGCATTTCCAGCATATCAAGAACAAGGATGGGATGATGCCCATGTCCAGAAGCAAAGTGGGCTTGGTGCCTGATCCGTTTTCGTTTTTGAAGCTTTGGGATATCTCCCTTGACAAGGCCATCATTCGTTGGAAGCTGTTCAAATACCTGTCGTGATAGGAGGGCTGCTCAACGCATAGTGAGATCTCCACCAATATTGAGAAGGTGATATGATGCAAGAGAACCATGTCTAATCCCCGCCGTTCTTTTGGTCCTTCTAGACGAAGGGAGTGAGTCATGGACCAGTCAAGCTGTTGCGCAAACTCGTGTAATTGAGCCATTAGGTCGTTTTGTGTATCTGCCAAGTCAGGATGCAAATTTGCTACACGAGCTCTTGCTGGGAGTTCGTAAACAGCCATAAATAGACGAACGCTGCTGGCCAACAGCTTGTCCAGGGCTCGTCGTGCTTCCTGGAGGGTCTTGAAATAAGACCCACCCGAGTTGTTAACTGAGAAGCTCAAAGTGGCGCTGATCAGCGGATCCAACCCAAAGAAAAGAGACTGTGTTTCCAAGCGAGTCATAGTTGCTAGGAGACTCTGTTTAACAGCCGTACGACAAGTGGTGAACCCAGATCCCCCGCTGGAGATTTGACGCTCTTCCTCAATGGATGCAAGCCCATGTTTGAGATGTAAGAGAGCCGAATCATATTGCCCACGAAGTACATCGATCGTTACGAATAACAAGCAGCAAGCGAGAATCACATCACGTAGCTTTGGATCTTGCGAGTATCGCCGTTCATTCAAGGCGGTCAAAGATCGACCATATTGACCAAGGGCGAACTTCTGGCGACGGTTTGCCAGATTTTCGCGTGAAAGAGGGGCTCCTCGCGATTGAAGGTCTTCATGCAATGCAGCGAGTGCGACGACAGCGTGAACAACTGCTCGCTCGGAATGGCTCATCGGGAGAATCAAATTTTCCCACAAGCATGAGTCGAAAAATCCAGTCATATTGGGCACGGTGACTGTCATAAAAAATGCGAAACCCCTTCGCTCTTCCGGACTTTCTCCAGGGCAAATTTGACTGGGCTGGTAGAGCGTTAAAGATGTGTCTGATCCCTGGCCCTTCCCAGGAGGCACGAGCCGAACTACATCGTATCCTTCACATTTCCATCCTGCAGTTGCGCAGTTGCGACATGATCCTGGAGTTTCATCACATTTTATGCGTCTGGTTCTGATCCGTTTTAATATATTGCTGCCTGAAGCATGCCCAAAAGATATTGGATCCTGCCAAACTCACCGACATGTGCGACACCCGGTTCTTGATCGCCTCGAAAACACCTTCCTCCTCGTTTGTGAGGCCATCGCAGAATGTTACCGCGGAGAGATATTCATTGGATAGATGTGTCTCTGAAGAAGGCCACCGAAGGAGAAATAGAGAGTGGGGGCCAAACGAGGCTGATCAAGATAAGAAATAGGATGGTCTCACTCTGGGCTCTTGGCTGCCTAATGCCCATCGATAAATATTATGATTGGCAAATCAACACTTTCACAAACGTCTATTTTTGGAGTCCACGTTAAGTAACAAGGTTTTTCTATACTATCGGATTGATGAGTATTCTAGATACAGGAATTCTAGAAGTATGCTCCCCACAGCTACGCATCACTAGAGTTCCTAGAGTGACAACATCACAATCACGACTTGAGATATAATCTCAAAATAAGCTACTTCAAGTTTCTAGTTACAAAGAACCCAACATGGTGTCTGGGTGACCGCACCGATGTAAGTATGCTCCTCCTGAGGGGGTGGGCCGCAAAGCTCAGTGACATAGTCACTGCTCAAGCTCGCTCCTCGCTTTTGGAGTGAAATTTATCGCACCGTGGTTGACTCCCATCTGCATTCCATTGTTCCCGCCTCCAAACGTGACATATATCGAGTGATCTCCGTCTTTGGTAGGTTGTCTGGTAGACTCCTGAAGCTTTTTTACCAACTCTTCAATCAGTCTCTGGGAAGCTGCGAGTGTCTTTTGCTGTTCTTTCAACTGCTTCAGAGTTTCTTGATATTCTTCATCCTCGGGGGCGCTGACTATGCTCAATACTTTCAGCTGGTCTTCCAGCTGCGCAACTTCGGTCTGTCCTTCTCGCGAAGCAGTGACTAATTCACCCTGCTTGACCATAATTAACTGTCTGATTTCTTCCGTACTCTGACCTTGACGAATGGTCTTGAGGCTATACATCACCTTTTGTGTAAGCAGTTGCAGGTTGATCGAAGGAAAAGGGACCCGTACAAAGTTGCGATGCCCACCACGGAGGTGATCTTGGTTTGGCAAGTTTGAATTTCTCCGCTCATCGACGTGAGGCGAGTCTTTTTGAGGAAACCGATGTTGGATCGATCGACCCATGACAGACTGCCGTCTTTGGAGCGGCTGGTCCACCGCTGAACATCCGCGCTGAATCTCTTGCAAATATCAGCGCTGGAAGTAATTGTCGCTTTTGCATTTTGTAGTACACCGGGCCCAAGGGTGTCCCATTCATTATCCTCGATACTCTTGATAGAGGTAAGCGCCATGTCCAGGGACTCAATGTCGCCGGTCAGAGTTTTGATGTTGGTGGGCGCATCCTTGATTGCTTTCAGGTCATCGAGTAGAAGCCGAGAAATGTGCAATGCGGGCATAACAATGCCGACGATGCTTGCGGCGGCGCTGAGAGGATCCGTCATTCTGGCCAAATGTGTAGAGAAGGGTTTATTGAGCTGAAAGGAAGGGACTCGTCCCTTCTATCCAGGGCGCTAAGCGCGGGGCTTTCAGTCACCTGATATCAGCCCCAGCTTCGAGGCTAAGAATGGAGTTGTATTGTTGCAACTACCCCGTAGCCAAAGGTCGAATCGCAATGAGGGTATGCCAATCAAATAGCTGCATTTCACGGTGAATTGTATAGTCTGGAATGGAAATGGTGCAATGCAAATACGAAGTTCGGAGTGTGTACACTCGGTCCGTTCCGCGTTACTTCTTTGCTTCGACGCCCCCATGCTACCACGTTCGTAGAGACGCCAGACGAATTGACCGAGGAACCCAGATTGCTTTAAATGAAGTTCTTCAATGGACGTGTGAATACCTCCACAAAATATCGCCTTTGTCTCACCTTATCTTCTCTAAAATTGGACTGGCAGCAGGAGCCACCCGAAACTCGCCCCCGGGTCCAACGTTTTACACTGATCAAGTTGAGTTTGTCAATCAATAAAAGCTTTTCACATTTTAGTCCAAGTATCACAAATTACTACATACATAAGGAGGCATCCTTTTCACATTTCATCCAAACTAGGCTCTTGCTCTGGCAGATTCAGATCATTCTTTTTCTTCATGGCCGCCTTTGGGTCCTTGGCGTTTGGATCCTTGGGGAAGATACTCTCGTAAATATCAACTTTGTGTGCCTCGACATCGGCCTGGATAATTAGTATCCTGCAGAATAAGCTAGAATTTCCTCACAGAAAATACTTACAGCACTGAAATGCTCCGGCGTGTTTTGGCTTTTCATAGTTCGATTCTGTTCCTGCAACATGTCGGACTTGAAGGTGGATTCAAAATCATCTGGGAAGGTAGTAGTAACGAAGACTAGAGATTGAACTTATTAGTCACTTTGCCTTCATGATAAGGAGGAAGCTCACAAGTTGAGCATACATTCTTCGTTGCCCTTGGAACTTGGCTGGGTTTTGCCAGAGACCGAGGCTCGTGCGAGTCTGGTGATGTGAAATGCCGATGGCTTCACAATTTGATGCTTGATCAATGCGGGGTACATTTTGATTGTAGTAGGTTTAGAAGTAGTTATCGTGTGTAAATAATCACTTCGAAGCGGATAATCTGGGCCTCTTCTGCTATTTAATGAGCAGAGAATAGTGCAGGGTCATGATGATGATGTCAGTCATATGATCTTTTTGCTTATTATATGACCCCCAATCAAATAGCTGAAGGATGGTGCGGCTTTTCTTGGTGTTTGATTTTGCTGTTCGCGCAAGGCGAGATCGCAATTGGTCCCATCGAGCCATCGCCTTGTGGAGGTGGCGACTTTGAGCCATCAGTCCATGGTACCGGCCCTGAGATGTGACTGGCTTTCCTTAGTCTAGATTTTTGAAAGTCGCAATAGACTTTATTGATTCTTCTTGATATTTAGTTCTCTGCCTGTTAGTCTGACTAAAGGGAAGCGTCCATATGTGAGGGCGATGAACCGATGCTCCTTTTTCCAAGATCTTCAAGATCAGCACTCCCCATAGATTATCGTTCTATTCAGGATTTAGCAGGCATTATCTCTTGCCAAGAAGATCGGACCGATTAGGTTCAGACCTCAGTGATATCATGCTTCGATCCAGACTATCGAAATAGATATTAAGAAGCTGAGCATGCTCCGGATTATGTAAAAGCAGTCCGTGGACTAACTTACGACATGCAAGCGTGCTTACGCAGCTATAGTTCCCAAAAGAGATTGCAGGCGTAACGGAAATATTGTCTTATGAAAGACATTTCTCTCTGCAATAAGGAACCGATTCCAATGTCATTACTATGAAGATATCATTTCATTCCAACCCACGAAATAAAATAACTTCAACCTAGCATCTCCCATACCTCCTAAAAGATCGCCATGCAATTCGGCGTACTAGACACACCCCGGGCACAATTCAACGGACTACTCGAGATAAAAAAGCTCCAACGAGCCAACCTCTCGCAGGTAGCCGCCAACTCCTCCAAATCAAACATCTCTCCAATCGGTACTCCCCAACCGGCCAAGAGATGGTGGTGCAGGTCAAACTCCTCGTTGATCGCGGGGAAAACCTCGAAGCTCACTGCATCAGACGCAACGGCTGCAAAATGATTATCCCACATGAAGCGTAGTACTCGCTCGCTCTGCTCGATGCCTGCGTGGTGCGGCATCGGTTGCTCGCTGTACGCCTTGCGTTCCTCGGCAGACATTGCTGCCCATGTCCCAGGCAAGCCAACGCGTAGGAAGAAGATATCGCCCTTTTGGAAAGTGATATTGCAGTCGCGTGCGATTTGTTGAACCTCGTCGAGGGAGACCATCTGTCGAGAAAGCGCGTTGAGAGGGATGCCTTTCTTTTGGGCGTAGGACACGTAGTCGATGAGTACGCCACGTCCTGCAATACCCTTCTTTGCCCAGTATCCAATTCCAATACGTGGTGATTGAGTGTCTTTGATTTCCTCGGCTGTCGTTCCACCGTAGAAGACCCCATCTTTGTTGGCATGGTGTCTGAGGCCGTCCCATTGCGAGGTCTGTTGGGGGTTGAAGTGGTACTCATCGTCGAATGCAACCCCCTCGGCGACCCATTTGATGCGGTGTTCAAAGGGCTTGCGGCCGAATCCAGGAGGGTCCAAATTTTCAATGCCCCAGTTTAGACATACTCGTTCGCCGGTCTGAATCTGCGTCCGCGCTGCCTCTGCGACTATCTGTGGGGTGAGGATGCGCAACATGCCGAGGCCCTCTTCTTCTGAACCGGCTGGCGCAGGCCAATACCGGCGCTTGTCAGGGAGGTCATCGAAAGTCTCTGGAAGTTGTGCCTCTCCGGACATGCTGTTCAGGTCTGTTTATGTGATGGAGGATGCTGTCGAGTGGGGGGTATTTTAAACAGAGGGAGCGTAATCGGTCGGCTTGCCCTTCTTTTCTTGTACGAGGTCGGAGCCTACGGACTCAAATTTAACGGGGTCAATCGAGTGTCGCAGGCTATTTAGCAGAAGCACCCCTACGATATCGGAGCAAGTCCGTATCCGTGTCTTCATTGAAGTGGGAGGGAATGACCCCGCTACCACTCGATCGGCAAAGTGGGCGAATGAGGTCGGAAAGTGGGATTATCAGCCAAGTTTTATACAGTGCACTAGTCTCCTCGAGCTAAGCACTGGCCATAGCGAACAAGCTTTGTCTGGGTTGATCCCCATTTCAGATTCGTTGGCATGCAAAGTGAGTAGGCAGAATACCACGGTTACTTGACAGTTCCACTGAAGATGGTTCGCCATAGATCATCGATTTCTTGCGATAATCCACTTCCGTGGTGGGAATCTTAGCCGCTTAAACGGACATGTCGCTACTACTTAGTGCGCGTAGTATCACTTCGCATCTCATATTTGTGGTCGCTAGGGGGTAAAGCAGTCAGAGACCTAGCAGTCGCCAAGAGTGCCTCATCGCGGTATAATTAGTTGATATAGGCTGAACTAAGTATAAGTCGACTGTCTAGGACAAAATGCACTGTCTCGAGTAATGCTTTCCTACAAGCTGCTATTGATAATAAAAAATTTCGCTGGCAGAGGGGGCACTTTCGTGATGTCAGTCTTCAAGGTATCCGCTAAAATCGGAGAATATCAGTGCGCCCCTTCTACGCGGCGACACAAAGCGGGTCGCTAGACTCCTCATCCTCAATATGAAGAGGCCGGGAATAGACAGAAAGATATTGCTTCAGTCTGGGAACGTCATTGAGATAGATAATCTCGGACAGAAGGCCGCTGCCATCGGTCTCGTAGAGTCTGATACCAACCCTGCGTCATGAACGGTGGTCTCCAGCGGTGCTCAAGGCTCTTCTCCCCACGTAGCATGGAAATCGCTATAGGATATGATCCAGAGGTTTACAAAACACAGATACAGACCCCTAATCACTCTTCCAGAGAATTAAGGGCAATCAGGTACCAGTTGCGGGAGATGGGTACCTAATAATATCTAGTTGGTCCAGCAGAAGAGCCCTGGGCGGTACTGGGGTTGACAATTTCGGCGTCAATTCCACAGCTCCCTCCCTATATCTAGTTGTAATACATGCACCGCCGCTATGTAGTACCAAGAAAACCTTCACATAGTTTCCGGTATAGGATCAAGAACATCGCCAAGCATCAATTGATTTTCGTACAGCTTCTGTCGTACCGAAAAAAAAATGCGAATGAATGTTGTAACAAATCTACCCCCAAAGGAAAAAAGGTACACAGCGTTCGCCCCACGGAGCAGCAAACAGAGAAAAAAAAATTTACAAGTCATCGAAATCGTCAGTCTTCGAGCCAGAGCTGCGCTTTGGCAGATCAGACATCTCATACTCTTCCTTGCTTCCCGAAGAGCCGACTCGGTCCGAAGCAGACATGGCAATGGCCTGGCGGCCAGTATCAGACTGCTCGAGGAACTCGCGCAAGCGACGTTTACCTTCTACGAGGGCCTGCTGGGATGCAGCTTCGGTCATTTTGAGGATAGGGCCCCATAGGTTGAGCTGGTACGTGACATAGGCACCGACAGCACACACGAACAGCAGTAGGAAGTAAGCCGGGTTGCGGAGGACTATAATTGTTTGATGTTAGCGAAAACGATAAGAGACGAAAAGGAAGTAGCTGACTCACCCGCAATGATCTCATTCCAGCCCAGAGCCAGCAGGAGACCGTAGAAGTATAGTGGAACCTGCGTCATGCCGCCAATGGCACTCCGCTTGGCCTCGACGTAGACTCCATCGGCAGCCTTCTTGAAGCGCACAGTAAGCTCCTGGCGCTTGGCTTCGCCCAGAATGGTCATTTCCTCTTCGAGACTCTTGCCCTCATCCTCGTCCACACCACCGATAGGGGCCAGGTCCTCTTCATCGGCAGGGGTGGCAGTGCTAGGAGTGTGCCCGACCCAGCGATCAAGAGGAGGAGGGGCGTTAGTCTCGGCAAGGCGGAATCGAGACAGAAGAGGGATCAACGTCAAGGTAGACTCGCGAGCGCGTGTATAGATGCCCTCAATGTCGTCAGTCGGGCGCCAGATCCGAGGCACACCGGCCTCGTCGTATCTGAACTTGTCCTCGAAGTTCTCGCGCAGCTTCAACAGCAAGTTACCCTCAGTCATTTCCTCGTCAATCTTGGCGTGCAAAACACCCCAAGACTTGCGACGCAGGCGCCACAGACCAACGTCGACTTCTTCCAGGCTAGCATCGAAGCTACTGGCGCGGTCCGTGAATCTCCGCTCGGCATCGAGAACGGTCTCCACGAATACATTCCAGATCCGATCCCAGAAAGCGGTTTCAATTGGCTTATCGCCATTCTCGGGTGCACCAGCCCCAGCACGTCCAGAACCCAGGTTGTTGAACTCGAGTCCCACTGACTCGCCAAGACGAGACTGAACCCACCGTTCAACGCGGCTAGCCAACCGTCTCATCTCATCACGCCGGAGACGGCCGCTGACCTCAGACAACTCCTTCTCATACAATCCCAACTCCTGCTTATAGTTGCTCCAAGAGGCACCTTCAACCAGCGTCGATCGAGCGACCTCCTCAAACTTCTCCAACGAGGTTTTAGTTTCCCGGTTGACAATCTCGGCAAAGTCGTAGTTGCCGCCCTTCTTTTGACCGGACTTGACAGCGTTGGTCACAGCCTCGCTGAAGTCACGGATGCCAGACTTGTGAGCGGCTGAGATCTGACCGTGGAACAGAGCCTTCAGTCGAGTATCAACCTTGCCCTCCAGTTCGGCCTTCTTACGCTGGTAGACACCCTTGTGGTACCGACTAGCCTCAGTCTCAAACCCTTTGAGAGTCTTCGAGCGGGCACCGCGCATAGCAACACCCAAACCTCCAATGACCTCCGGAGCTCCCAGGCGGGCAGACTCGGCCTGCTTGTCCTCGAACGCAGTGATAGCCTGGTCGAATCCGATCATCACTTCCCGCAAAATCTCGTCACAACGGAACTGTGCAAGCAGTTCCTGCTGGGTGGGCAGATCCAGGTCCTTATTATTGACAATTTGGTCCCAAATACCTTCGGCATAATGCGAGAATCCATCCGCTGGGATTCGCCGATGATACTCGGGCAGGAAAACACCGTCCTCGGAGAACTCGCCCTTGAGCGCATCCCTCTTCGGGTCGCGGTGGCCCTCACGGAAGCGCAAGCCCAGCTTTTTTGTTTCCGACACGAACTGGTCGGGCTGATAGCCCTTATGGGGAAGTCCGTAGAACTGGAAGTCAAAGTAATCGTGAATTGTAGAGTTCTCCAGTCCAGCGGGTTTTGAGATGGTTGACCACAGGCGGGCCAGATCTTCCAGTAGCGTCTTTTGGAGGTTCTTCAGCGGGGTGGTGCCAATGAAATCACGAATGACAAAGAAGAGAAGAGACCGGTGTGTAGTACTAGATCCACCTCATTAGTACCTGGCTAGAATGAGCACGGACCGTGATTGACCCGCATACCTCTTATCCTTCAAAAATAATTGCAGGTTGACCTCGAACACGGTCTTAAGAAGACCCATGTTGGCACCCTGGTAAAGGCCGACTTGATGCTCCCAGATGTTCACGATGAGCACCTCACTGGTCGCGAGCGCAAAAAGAGCACTCTTGCGCTCAAAGTCTTGGTCCTCGCCTCGTTCGCGACCATCAGTACCCTCCACGTCCATCACCAAGATGTTATCCGCCATGCGAGTCCCCTCGGTGGACGCATCGCCTTGCTTCTTGTTCTTCGACAGCCAAATACCTTTAGTTGTTTGCCGGCGCTCTTGCTCGGACATGACCGAAAATTGAGTACCGAAGAGGTGATTCAGCAATGTTGACTTGCCGGTCGACTGCGAGCCGAATACGGAGATGAGGTGGTAGTTGAAGCCGGCGGTCGTGACATCCTCGAGGGAGAGATACTTGGACAAGTTCGGACTGCAAGTCAGCTGTCAGCATCTGAAGTGAAGGTTGAAGGTGCGATTGTGTGCAGGCCTGCAGCTGCAGGTGGGCGCAAGAGCGAGGTGTATTCGGCGGCTCGTACTTGAACTCCTTATCCCCGTCAATGACCTGCACTCCGTGCTCGTAGGAAGTGACATCGCTGCTATCACCGATCGTAGCAAAGTGGCCGTTCGCCATGATGGGAGGTGCCGTTGGGGTCCGGCCCAGTCCTGACGGGCGTTCGGACATTTGTGTTGCTATCGCACTCTGAAGATGGTGTTGTGGGGACAGATCGCCGAGAGGTTGAGATGGTGGCGAAAGCAGGTGGGAGGCGCGGGTACGAGGAGGTTGGGGGAGTGGTGTATCATGCAAAGGAAGCGAAACAGCACCGGATTAAACAAATGGAAATCAGGACAAGTCAGGACGATCACAAGGTCGTTGCACGAGTGTCGCGATCGAATGGTCCCGAGGTCGTTGCTGGGGGAAGGTCGTCTTACATAACCCCCCTTTTAATTAGGTCATTGAAAGGCTCCGGGGAAACTACGTAACTCGGGAGATCTATACGGGATCTGGCCCCTTGTAGCTACCAGCCAGCTATGAACGTTTAGTGGCGATGTTATCACCCAAATTATAATCTAGTATCATCCCCAAGCGTGGAATTCAACATAGTTGAGGGCATGGATCAAAAATAACATGAACCTTGTACAGTCGTGAGCGCGTCTCCAAGAAATCGGTCTTGGGTTCTAGCCCAAATAAGTATGATAATCCCTACTCGGACCAATTCAAATTCCAACCATAGTCCAGCCCAAGATCAACAGCAGGATTGGGCCATGTGAATTGCTCAAAGTCATCAAATAGGCCCGTGAAGGTATTGGACTCTATACCGGCAAAGGTGGTGGCGGAAACATCCTCGCCTTGCGACAACGGTTGGATGGGATACCCGGAAGCACCCTCAGATCCAAATACGGGGCTTTGAGTATGTGAAGTTCCCGTAGTGTGCGATGTAGAAGCTCCATCAGGATCAGACGTTGGGGGAGTGTATAGTCGACCCGGATTCGGGTTGTTTGAGGAGATTGCTGATGGCACTACTTTTGGAGCAGTCTCGTCCTGTCCTTGGTTGTTCTGAGGCCTCAACAGCTTGGGGCTAGCCCCGACGGTGATGGTTCCAAAGTAAGGCACCGTGACCTTGCACGTAGCCGACGATGTCCAGTTGCGAATTTGTGATCTGGTATGAAAAATAGCACCGAGGATGTTTGCGGACTCGGCAGCTACAGATCCACCCCTCTCGGTCGCCGCCTGCCCGAGGATCTCTACCACTTCGCCCACGAGCTTCCAGTCCTGGTCGTCCTTTTGCTTGTAATGTACCAATGATTCATCAGAGTGGCCATGAAGATGAACGATGATGAGCATGCTCATAGTAAAGGCAAAGAAATCAATCATCTTGCACAGATAAGACCTTGTCATTGATCGTAAGACTTTATACAGCACCAAGGCATCCCGGGCAGACTGAATAGCTTCCCGATGGCAGAAGCTAAAGCGTTGATCATGTGGAAATTTGAGCAAGAAAGGCATATGCAGGAGCGCTCGGAGTACTTTCGGCATGAAATGCAAAGGGATCCGAGCATGGAACTGCTCCCGCTTCTCATTAGGGCCCGGGGCGGTTCCATAGAAGCTATTTGGCAAGGCTCTCCACGCATCCATAAGCTCTCGATCGAGCCTCAAAGTCGTCTCTAGACACATATCGGCTGGGTTCTGGTTGCGGTCGACCATATGTCCGGTGATGACCCCTATGCGCAACATATACTGTTCTGCGGCAGTCACGCCCATGTCCAGACGCCGTTCAATCTGTGGTTGAAAGAAGGATTCGGCGACTCCGTATGGAAGACCAAGAATTAGACTCAGCGATCTATCTGCCGTGGTCAAAGAGCACCATATTCGCAGCCGTCGGTCAAAAAGAGTATCGGAAGGCCTGGGGGTGCGGGTAGACAGGTGCATGCCTGCGAGGTGCGCAAATTCGATAGCTCGTCGATTGACTAGCCACGCCTTACGCAGCCGACCCTCGTTCAGGTGATACTTTGAAAGTAACATCTGAACCTCAATGCCAGGAAGCGTGGCCGCAAATTCATCATCACTAACGACAAGGCGGTCCACAGTCCCCGTGCAGCGAGCGGCAAATTCTTGCGGATCCAAAGGATGTTGCAGAGCATCGAAACTGAACTCGGGAAGTAGATGAATGACACTGATAGCGAGACAGACAACAGCCTTAGCGATCTCGGCGGGTGCAACCGTGCTCTCGCCAAGTTCTGATGGAAAGTCAAACCGAGTCAGGAGTTCGGGGAAATGCTCGTCCCAGAGACACCATAAATGTGAAGTTTCTGCAATGACCATGCGGATATCGGATGTTGGTGGAAGTAGCGACAGGAGCTCTGCTCGTACTGCTCGTGCCTTTGGAGACGTATCTTTCGCTCCTGCGAATCGGTCATTGCTGTCCGGATCCTCGCGGCGGCTCAAAAGATAGTTATCAAACAGCTGCATTACCGGGGCGTTCTGGATCTGGTCACTGGATGGTCCGAGTTGATCGGACTCGGTTGCTGGCGGGGTCACCTCTGCTTGGGGGAGATTCCGGGCTAACATGGTTAGTATTAAGTGGACTTGGCCGAATGCATGACAAAAATACACTCACAAGGAGTCTCATGGGAGCTTTGCTGGTCCAGCCGTTTAGACAGCCCCTGTACTACCGCCTCCAGGTGAGCGACTCGCTCCCGTAGACTATATCGTTGGTCACCTTGGGTAGAACCCGGCGCGGACCCCGGGTCATCGGAGCTATGCTCTTGGTCAATACAGGTAGAGCCTCGTAACCGGCATTCATTGCAGGTCTCAGGTCGGTCGGGGTGGTAGGTGCAACGAATTTTGCGCCGACGACCTGTTGGAAGACTTTAGCATTGAGCACATCGGCCTGTCAAGGCCCAATATCTGCCGCGACATACATTCGACACAACTCTTAGTCCCCTTCCGCATCTTCTTGCGAGGGGGCCCGTTGGACTCGCTCCAAATATCCATTTTCCCTCTAGCTACACAGAGCTCTTAGGAGTATTAATAAGCTAGATTCCTCGTAGTCGGCGCGATCAGGCGGGTGGCGGGCACCAGCCGGAGCGCAGCGATGTATCAAGCGTGCTACCCGACGCGAGGCGACGGTACAGGGACGAAGGGAGACCGTTTCAATTTTGTCGAGAATGCAGCTCAGGGAATCTGGAACATTCCAAGATCAAGCTTACAAGAAAATCCAGAGTCATCATCCCCAGGCCGACCGTTTAGACTACGGAGAAATAACCACACATCACCGGACTATCCACCCGGAGTATCCGGTTCGAGTGATAGCCACCTATGGATCACGTGGTGTTGCACTCTTATGGCGATCTTATACCATTTGATATTTATTCTTTCCTTTGTCTCCCCTTCCGTCTAACCCTTAATATTGAGTTCACATAAAACAAAAGGTCTCGACTCTACTTTCGTGCCGTGGATTGTGTAGAGGTTATATGGAGGTAGAGAAAAATACCTTTGCTTTCAAGTCCACTAAAATTAGAGGTCTACACATCTACAAACTTATCCAAATCCTTTTATGTACCGTCACATTTGGAGTCTGCCCGTTGGTTTGCATACAATTGAGAATCGTCGAGCCTAATAAACAAGAAATAAACATATGTGATGGATTCCGTCCATAAAGCATGTTGGTGCCTGGCAGCTGTAAAGCATGGATAGCGCCAAAATAAATCCGATTTAGTAGCAGAGACCGTGGGGATATAACGTCAGGCCGCGATCTATATAGAGCAGCTATTTTCACTTGGGCCGAATAACCTGGACGCTTATTGCCTTGAGCATACGAGACCAAGGCGCGGGGTCACTGCCCGGCGAACCCTAGACTTTCTATCGTATGAGCTGGTTTGACTCGATGTATTAAAGTAATGTGTTGGATTTGATTTTTGTTTTTAATACAAAATTCCACGGGAGGAGGGGAGAGAAGAACAACCAACGACATCTCCAATACAGTAGAGATACATGAACAAGATTCAAGCGAAAACTCCAGCTTGCTCCCAGATCCCTTGAGCTGATCGACGGTTCCCGCGCTGTGAATAAAGGATGACAGACAAACAAGACAAGAAAGAAGATAAAAGGGGGTGTCATAATACAAGGGCTAGATCGGTCTGTTCAAGACTCATCCGGCCGAGGTCGAGCAAGACCAATTTACTGGTCCATCACACGGGTGATCAGACCAGTGGCGACGGTGCGGCCACCCTCACGGATGTTGAAGCGCTGACCGGCCTCGGCGGCGACGGGGCGGTGAGTAGCGAGGACCATCTCGACGTTGTCACCGGGCTGGACGCGGCGGGACTCGTCACCATCGGGGAAGGTGAGGTCACCAGGCTCATCTATAATCAAAGAATTAGATCCGATTCAGATATTAATAAGACTGTGTGGGGGGATGAAACTTACCAGCAGTGCGGAGGTAGACCTGGGGGCGGTAGTTGGCACCGAAACCGGTACGGCGACCACCCTCAGCCTCGGTCAGAACGTACATGGAGACCAGGAACTTCTGGGCAACCTTGGTGCTGCCGGGCTGGGCAATGACCATACCACGGCGAATGTCCTCACGGCGGACACCACGGAGCAGCAGACCAGAGTTGTCACCGGCGCGGGACTCGTCGCAAGTCTTCTTGAAGGTCTCGATATCGGTGACCTTGGTCTTGATGGGGACATCGGAGCCACCAACAATCTCAACCTCGGTATCCTTCTTCAGCAGACCACGCTCAACACGGCCGGAGGCAACGGTACCACGGCCGGGGATGGAGAAGACTTCCTCAATGGACATGAGGAAGGGCTTGTCAAGGTCACGCTCGGGGGTAGGGATCCAAGTGTCAACGGCGGTCATAAGAGCATCGATACGCTCGGCACCAATGTCGGGGCGGCGGCCCTCAAGAGCGCAGAGGGCGGAACCGAAGATGATAGGGGTCTCCTCACCCTCGAAGCCGTAGGTGGACAGAAGCTCACGCATCTCGAGCTCGACGAGCTCAAGCATCTCTGGGTCATCAACGGCATCGACCTTGTTGACAAAGACGACGATCTTCTGGACACCGACCTGACGGGCGAGCAGCAAGTGCTCACGAGTCTGGGGCCTGCGGAAACAAGACATGTCAGAGCGACTGCCTAGAGAGATTAGATGGGGGGTTAGACATACATCTGACCATCAGAAGCAGCGACGACAACGATGGCACCATCCATGTTGGCGGCACCAGTAATCATGTTCTTGATGTAATCGGCGTGACCAGGGCAATCGACGTGAGCATAGTGGCGGGTCTCAGTCTGGAACTCAACGTGGGCAGTGGAAATGGTGATACCACGCTTGCGCTCCTCAGGGGCCTTGTCAATGGAAGCATAGTCGAGGAAGTTGGCCAGACCCTTGTCGGCCTGGTGCTTGGTGATAGCGGCAGTCAGGGTGGTCTAGATGAGATAACCAGATTAGACAGGCCGGGTTACAAGATAATCATACCATTGAAGGCTCACCTTGCCGTGATCGACGTGACCGATGGTACCAATATTAACGTGGGGCTTGGTGCGCTCGAAGGCAGTGGCCAGGCCACGGGCAGCCATCTTGTCGCTGGCAAAAACATGGTGGACGGGGTTGATGGCGCGCGGGCGCAAGAGGGACGACCGGCCGGTGCGGGCCAGGAGGTTGAGGGAACGGGTAATGCTCGACATCTTGCAAAGAGAGGCCCCAAAGAAACGATGGACAACAAGGAAGCAAAAAGAAAAGTCGATGGGAAAGAAGAGGAGAATCGCGGAATCAACAGCCAAATTTTCGGGGCGGCCAGGGAGCGCTTAGTCATGCTGCGGCCAATCAGGGCCCGCGAATTGCGGAGGTCCGGCTGTCATCAAAGACGAGATGTAGGAGTTTCGAACTAATATGCTAGAATTCAGGCAGTGAATAGTTTACAGAGGAAGAGCTTTACTTTGAGAGTTAGCTCCCCAAGTTTAGTTTCCCGCCGAATGGTAAAGGCAACGCCCGGACTGTCCAAGTTCCATCTATAGCGCGGAGACGCATTGTCAATGCAATTGATACACCTTATAATGCTAGCTGTCAGGTAAATAATGCTATATTTGACAAGACACGACAGCCTGAACGCGCCATACAGAAGCCTGCTCCTTTTCTCACAGTAATTTAGGTCTCCTTTTTGACCGTAATTATCACCTGCTTGCCTGGCTCTCCCTCCATTGCCTTAACTTGGGTACCGCCAGCTTCCCTTGTAGTATCCAGTACACTCTGAATGGCCTGCTTGACTTCATCCACAGTGGGTGGGCGCTTGCCCCTCTTCCGCTTCAAGATCACCTCCACTTTCCGACCTTTCTCCAGGAAGTTGGTCAGCTGCTTCAAACGATGCGACAGATCATGTGCGTCGATGGCCCAGTTCAGCTCAATCTGCTTCGTTTGAACCTTCCCGACTTTCGCAGACTTCGCCTTGGCCTTTTCGTGTTGCTTGGCCTCCATCTTGTTCAGGATTTTGCAGACAGGCGGTCGTTCGCCCTCGGCAGGGGAGACTTGTAGCAGGAAAAACTTGCTGCGGTCAAAGGAATCGAGAACCTCAGCTAGTCTGCGAGGAGGCGTGAGATTTTGCTCCTCGTCAACTAGTTGTACCAACCGAGTGCCAATAGCTTCGTCCTTGGTCAGTGTCGGAGCATTTGGCGTTCGTACGACAGGCAGCGCGAGGCGGGGGCACTGGTGGAAATCACGTGGCAGGAATCCATTGCAGAACGACGATGGCTGCACAAACGATGTTTTGGGAGTGCGAAGAGGAGCGATAAAGGTCTGACGCAAGGCCTGTGCCGTTGAGACGAGGCCGCGCATGTGGTTCATATTGATTATGAAGTCGGGGAGAAAATGACTATAAGACAGAAAATTTGTCAGAATGAGCTTAACTGCGAAGTCGGAATAAGCGGGAATCGAACATTTGGTGGGTTGTAGTGAGGCAGGTAGGTGAGTCTGGTCGAGCTGATCGAGCTGGTCGAGCTTTGATGGCCGACGGAGGAGTGGCAGTTGACCTCTGGGGAAGACCGCATCGAGTAAGAGCCACGCCACATCTGCGCCACAGACCCCCAAGAACCCTGAAATTGCCATCTCCTTTCTTTTCTATCTTTCTTTTTCCTCGCCCATCCCATCGTCAATTTTTACCCATTTCCTTGCTGGGATTGTTTGAGGTTCCCGGAGGTTCGATGGTTTCTTGTCTTCTGTCTTGTCCCTTTTAACCCTTCCAATCGTTACGCCCTTTATCGCTTTCGGTGGCAACTTCCGCCATCTGTCTTCTGCTTATCTTGCCCTCCGCGGTTTGCTCGCATGTCGACTGGAGTCGACAATCAAAAGCAACCCAAAAAGTTCATAGACTTGGATAACGTCGCCCGTAACCGTTCGGCGTCCCGCAGTAACGGTTCCGCTGTCCCGCTGCCCGTTGAGTCCGATCGAGTGTTCGACAAACTACCCAATAAGATGGTCTCTCAAAGTCAAAAGTCCCGTTGGCTGAAGACCGGCGCCATTGTCGGCTTCATTTTTATGGTTCTCCTGTGGCTCTCTCCCTCGAAGCCCGCTGTTTCCGGTTTCGCCCACGGTATGCGTCCAGCCAACATGAATGGTACAGCCTATTCTATATCGACAAAACTAACAACTCCTCTTCTTTATAGAGAAAGCTCCTTCCGCCGGTGGTGTCTCCACCAAGTGCACCAAGTCATTCGATTCGTCCAAGCCTCTGATTCAATATGCTCTCATGATTGACGCCGGCAGTACCGGCTCCCGTATCCACGTTTATCGATTTAACAACTGTGGCTCTACCCCGGAACTAGAGAATGAGGTCTTCGAGCAGACCAAGAAGAAGGAGGGTGGCTCCGGCCTCAGCTCCTACAAAGAGGATGCCGAAGGTGCGGCTCGCAGTCTGGACCCCCTTTTGGAGGTTGCTCTGCAGAATGTCCCCGAAGAGTACCGGTCTTGCACACCGATCGCTGTCAAGGCTACCGCTGGATTGCGTCTTTTGGGCCCTGAACTCAGCAAGAATATCTTGGAGGCCGTGCGTACTCGTTTGGAGACCGTCTATCCCTTCCCCGTTGTCGCTCGCGAGAAGGGTGGCGTCGAGATCATGGACGGCTCCGACGAGGGTGTCTACGCCTGGATTACCACCAACTACCTCCTTGGCAAGATCGGTGGCCCAGATGAGACTCCCACTGCTGCCATTTTTGATCTGGGCGGTGGATCTACTCAGATCGTCTTCCAGCCCACTTTTGAGAAGAGCAAGGCTGGTGGCATGCCGGAGCACCTGGCCGAGGGCGACCACAAGTACGAGCTGAAGTTTGGCGGCCGCGAGTTTGAGCTGTACCAACACTCTCATCTCGGCTTCGGTCTGATGTCTGCTCGTGAGTCCATGAACCGTGTGGTTCTGGAGGCCATGCTTGCCAACAATGAGAAGGACTTGTCCTGGCTGAAGCGCCCCATTTCCAACCCTTGCATTCAACCTGACATGGAGAAGGAGGTCACTGTGACTTTCCCTGATGACCACCCTCTCGGCCCCAAGGTTACCGTCACCATGGCCGGTCCTCGGGACGCTTCCGCCGCCCCCCAGTGCCGCGCCATTGCTGAGAAAATTCTGAAGAAGGACTCCGAGTGTAAGCTGGCTCCTTGCTCTTTCAATGGTATTCACCAACCATCTCTCGAGAAGACTTTCTCTCACGAGGATGTTTATATCTTCTCTTATTTCTTCGATCGTACTGCGCCTCTTGGCATGCCCTCCTCGTTCACTCTTGATGAGCTGCACAAGCTTACAGCGACCGTCTGTGGTGGCGAGGATAGCTGGAATGTTTTCGAGGGCGTGGAAGATGCGCTCAAGGAACTCCGTGACCGTCCCGATTGGTGCATGGACCTCAACTTCATGATGGGTCTCCTGCACACCGGTTACGAGATGCCCTTGTCCCGCGAGGTCAAGATCGCCAAGAAAATCAAGAACAACGAGCTGGGCTGGTGCCTTGGTGCGAGGTAAGCTTTACAATTCCCGTCCGTTTTATGCTTATTACAAATTTGGCTAACTTGAACCTTCAGTTTGCCTCTTCTTAGCCAGGAGTCTGGCTGGACCTGCCGTATCAAGGAAGTTTCATAAGCTTCCCGTACGACGTGATGTCCAAATTATCAATATTTAATCATATGGTTCGGCCATAATACGTGATGGGTCCATGCATATAAATAGATACTCGACATGCTTTGTTTTGCCTTCTTCTCTTTCTTCTTCTTCCCATCTTGTCTTCATATAGACCTTCTTGTCAACCTTTTATTTTTCACTTTCTATTTTGTTTCAAAAGCCTTGTGGCGAAAATGACAAATCCCTTGAATGTTAGAATCGTGAACTCTCTATTCTGAAAAGGCTACACATGGCTGGTGGGTTGTGTTTCCCTCATCCACACCCATCACATACAGGAGAAACAAGTGTAGGTATAGCTTTTGAAATCTTTACCAGGGCGCTTATCTGATATGGTGACTAATGAAATGGTTCTGAATCACTTTCAAGAGTTTCCTGCACCATATCTGCCTAAACGTGCTTTCCTGGCATTGTAATTGTTCGGTAATGGAACCTCAATTGATCAGTTATGCGTCAACCCAGACTTGCCCAGACTTTCTTTAGCAAGTGTGATGGTGAACTACTTCAATCAATCCTCTGAAACGTATTGAATAGGACTACTCATGGAGAGATATTTAAGCAATATAAAGGTTTGATGTGAACGCGGGATTGAACCCAACCATGTAGATGAAGTCGAAGCCGGGTTACATCATGGCTGATTACCCTCTGACCACGCAAAAGCTCCGAACTTGACTTGTAGACTACCACTCAATATTAGAAGAGAACCAAAGATCAGACACTTCGATGTACCGCTTCTGCACTCGGTTGAATCCGCTTGCCCCGCGACCCTGTCGATCGTCTTCAATTTGCATCCAATCTAGGCCCGACTTGGCAATTGCCAGAATGGAAATCGAATGTGAGTACTTTCAGCAGCGAGCAAATAGCAATTGAAAATTATCATTGAACTGAGCTACAAAGATGACCAGGTTATGTCTGGTGTTGGGTCCCTTCGATTCCATATTCACTCCATCTCTCTATCTCGTACAGTACAATTTCAATTTCGTTATACTTTCGAAAATATTCAATATCTTCTCGCATGTCCTTTCACTGCTTGAAGACTATGAGAATTTCTGTCTTGTGGAATGCTGCGGCTGGCATGCTGGTCAAGGCCTCGTCCGTAGTTGTTCGCTCGCAATCCAATAAGTTCATAATCCGGTTCTTAAAAGCCTTACCATCACTTTCGCCAATTCACGTGCTCCGTAGATCTATTGGCAAGAGAGGCACCTGAACAGGACCTATTGCCTCTTCTTCAACATGCTACTGGCTTTTAGATCAGGATCACACTGGCAACACACGTGGATACGCCCCCAAAGTCTCAAATGTGTATACTAATTAAATGCTATATACTCCGTACAGTCTTCAGTAATTTGATTATGGCCTCCACATTCGTCAGTTAATATATGGTTGAAGCGAGCAACGGAGTGCAACGGACATCATCCCTCCCCTGGGAGGACCATCATTGGATCGCGATCAAATGGGCTGCAGAGCCTATGTTGCTTCATGAAAATGCGGTGCGCTAGAAAGAGTATATAGATGCAAGAATTCGAGACTTCCTAAGCCTTGACTTTAGTCTGCCATCTCCTCAATGGACGGTTTATCCGCAGACGAGGTTATTCCACCCATTAGCTGCCCAAGAAGGTCCGAATCCCCCTTGTCTTCGGCCGAGTCTCCGTCGGGGCCCTCGTCGTCGCCCTCATCGCCACTGGAGGAATCCTCACTGTCGCCGCGTTTCTCTTCCAGAACTCCCAGTCCGAGGTTCTACAGATAAGAGTCAGTCAGCACTAGAACTTTGACTAATAAAAGAGAGAAAGCGCGCGAGAGACAAGATCCACGTACCATCTCAATGTAATCCTTGCCATCGTCATCCACAGAGTCCAAGACCATCTCTTGACCCCTTCCGGCCGCAATTTCTCTTTCCAAATCCTCATTCGCATTCTTCATCTGCGGCAAAAAGCTCGACAATCGCGACAAAAGGTCCGAGCCGCCGTCCATGCGATGTATATTGGGTTTAGGGCGACCACCGATATGGGGTATTGAGGGCGCGGAAGCAGAAGTCGTAGTCTGGTGGAAATCATGCATGTCCTCATCCTCGTCCTCACTGTTTTCTTCTTCGCTCTCGCTTTCTGATGACGAGGAGCCGGAGGATGACGTTGGGTCGTCGTCTGAAGGAAGCGGTCCCAGTTCGTGGCGGTTCTCTGTTGAACTAGCAGCTGTCGCTCTCATATTGGCGGTTGTATATGATCTCCTTAAAAGAAGTTTGCCTGTATTTCTCCTTCAAATCCCCTCTTCGTACGTGATGACCGACGGTGCAAGATGTCGCGACGTTCGGTAGGAAGCACTAGGAATGCGTTCGCGGGTTCGGAGATGTAACGGGTGAAGGATGCGTTGCAAAGACTCCAAGGATAAATGCAGGAGTAGAATGGTCTGATTAGACGGCCCTCAAGTATTAGGGGCCCGGTGATCAAGTTGATGCGAGGCAATGATTGTGAAAAGTCGAGTCGCATGGGCTGGCGATTTCAACTTTTTTGGGTGGAGCTGGGCCCGATAACGATAACGCTAAGTCTAAATCGAGGCCATGCCGCTAGTATGGAAACGCGGCTTCAATAGATTATCAATACAGGAGGCTCTGTTCACTGTCACAGGGTATTGATTGTAATTTCATACATCTATTCGTACAATATTAATATTACAGAATTGAAGACATCTTCATAAGTGTAGCCTCACTCCCGCTAAATCTTAGCTTTTGTAAGATCTACCGACTTCGGCTCCTTCTGCGGCTGCGACTCCTACGCCGACTAGGGCTTCTTCGTCGGCTTCGACTTCGGCTTCTTCGACGACTGCGACTGCGGCGACGAATCCGGCGGTCATCTGTATCTTTAGGAGCCTCAACCGGAGCCAAGGGTTCAGCCTCGCCTTCCTTGCCCGTCTCTCGTAATTCCTTTGCCCGTTCGGAACCGGGGATGTATCGGTCGATCTCACCCCCCGTTCGGTCTCGGTCTCGGTCTCGGTCTCGTTCCTGTGATCGAACTCGACGCCTAGGTGACCGACTGCGAGTACTTGTCACGGGGACATAGCGGTCGATGTCTAGAGAGCCAGGAGAAGCCCGTCTTGGAGGTGATCTGCGACGTGAACGTGACCTTCGTCGTGTGTTCGACTTGGAACGGGAGCGTCGTCTAGGAGCAGCAGATCGTGAACGTGAACGATGGCGCTCCCGACTGCGATTTCTGTGGCGAGATCGCGAGCGTGAGCGTCGGCGGGAAGGAGACCGAGAGTGTCGAGCTCGGCGAGGACGATAATCGTCACCACCAGCACGATCCCGATCTCGACTTCTATCGCGGCTTCGATCAGGGCGCCGCCGGTCATGATCTCGGTCGCGCGATCTGGATCGCTTTCGATCATGGTCACGGTCACGGTCACGGTCCCGGTCTCGATCGCGAAGTCTGTCTCTATTCCTGTCAGCGCTGCGGTCTCTTTCACGCTCGCGCTCGCGATCACGGTCTCGTCCTCCTCTGACAGCTGACCGGCTACGGCTGCGCCGGGCGGGTCGATAGCTGCGTTCTTCGCGGAAATCACGGAAATCACGGTAGCCCCGGCGTTCCTCCATATCACGGTCTCGAGATCTGACAGAGGCATCCCGGGAACGATCGCGACGACGATCGGGGTCATACCGAGACGCGTGTCGTCGATGAGAGACGCTGCGGCTGCGGCTTCGATCTCTGGTGGGATGTCGAGTGCGATCGGAACGGTCAAAGGTGGAATCAGCCCTCCTCGAGGTTCGAGACGGACTGGGAGCTCTAGTTGAAGTTGTGGAATTCTTGGCTGGTGCAGAAGTAGAAGGCGGCTTGAGGCCATTTTCGATAGCTTCGGCTTCCTCGAAATCGAACTCGCGCTTCTGCCGAGCCTTGGCTGCAAGCTCCTCGCCTTCTTTCAATAACATTTGTAGCGCAGCCTCTTCCAGTGACTTTTCATCAACGGCAGGGAGTAGTGGCGCAGGTGTTGGGTCTTTGGACGCCGTAGACTTCTCTTGTTTGGGATCCCGACTGCGAGGGGACAGTCCACGATCAGACCGATATGCGGGGGAGCGATCGCGGTAACGGTCACGATACCGATCTCGATCCTCTCGCCTCCTTCGTTCGTATCGCTCTTCTCGCTCTCGATCTCGCCGCTCGTCGAATGCTCTTTGTTCCTCACGTATGCGCTCACGCTCAGCCCTTCGTTTGTCATCGATCTCTTTCCTTCTGGCCCTTTCCTCTTCTTCCTTTTGTCGCTCCAACTCACGCTTCTTTCGTTTTTCCTCTTCCTTAATACGCTTTTGTTCGTCCTCAAGTTCTTTCTGTTTGCGCATTTCTTCTCGCCAAATCTTCTCTCGTTCGTCGCGTTTGGCCCTGACAAAAGCTTCGTAGTCCTGATCTGTTTTGCTGCCGGCGAAATCCTCTTTCGAAGCGGCCTTTTCACCGATCTCTTCGCGGCGAATTGCGCGAACGGAGTTCAGAATATTCTGAAGATGCTTTGACGCTAATTGATCAATGGAATCCTCGACGTTCTTGTAGACATCGCTTCGGTCGACTGCACCCTCGATAAGTGTCGCAGCTTTGCCTCTCTCGCGGGAAAGATGCGCAGGTTCGCGTTCGATTTCCGATTCGGCCAGTGTGATTAATTGATTCGTGAAGTTGGTTTTTGAGTCCTATGCACACGGGTGAGCAACTGGTGGAAAGTAGATACAAAGCACGTTGCGTTTCCAATGTTAGCCGTACCCCATCGTTGAATTCAGCCCATATCTGTTTCCGAATGCTGTCAAATCCGCCTTTCTTTTTGAACGAGTGAAGCAGTTTGTCGATTGCCGCATGCTGTGCAGCAGAAATCGGAAGATCATCTGCCTTGAACTTCTTGCACTTTAAAGATTCCATGTCGATGGAAGGCCTTTTGGTGCCCATCTGAACGTCCTCCATAGCCTTGTTGGTGGCCATCATGGACTGGCAGGGAGGAGGACAGTGACGAGAAGAAAGTCGCGTGAAGCACGATAAGCGATAACACGGGGACACCCGGAGGAAGGTTGTTCCGTGCTTAGAACTGCGGGTTGCTGATTTGCTTCAACCTCCTGCCGCCCCAGTGCAACTTCACGACCCGTCCGATCCCATCAATTCCGACCCCGGACGACACTTTAGCGCGACGGTGCAGACCTACCACCTCTACTGTCTTTACTAGACTTCTCGAATACACCCATCCCTTCTATCCGTCCACGTCCGCCCCGCGATCATGGTTCACAAAGTCCTCTTCTGGAGCGGCTTCGGTGCGTGACATATCTCCCCCTCAATCACCTTGCGACCACATCTTTGGCGGCAATGTCACCCAGAAAATGAAATTGGTGGACCAAAATACTTTGCTAGACTAAAATGCTAACTCTCCCGCGTGTCATTAGGCATTGCCATCCGCCTTTGGCAACTCGGAATCGAGATGCGTCCCATTCTCGCCAAGGAATCTCTCTGGGTTTACCCTCTTTTCGCCGGTGTCGGTGGCAGCTTCGGCTACTGGATGCAGGGTGTTGAGAACCGTCAGCTTAAGATGCTCGCTCAGCGACGAGAGGCCATCCTCGAGAAGCGCCAACGTCGGGACCAGCGGGAAGGAACCAGCAAGCTTGAGGAGGGTGCTGTCCTGGCCACCGCCTTATAAGCGGCTGGTCTGCGTTTGATGTGGTGAATAGCGAGGAGGCGAGCATTGCGTGTGTATTTCTTCTTTTTTTTGACATGTACCAAAATTCCACGGTTTGATATCGGCATCCAACCTCGGGAAGTCTTCGCGGATGATAATCCGGCAGCGTTATAGGCGCTGTAGAAAATGAAATAGACTTTCATTAACCACTCTCCACCATGCTCCGCGCGTTTGCTCGAATGCTACATGAGCACTCTGCGACTTTACCTACTATATTACGAGCTTTACGGAGCGCATATCGCATACTGTAGTCGGAAGGCAGACTTCGGAAGGACTTAGATGATATGATATACAGGGGTATATTTCTAGATATGATTGCACATATCGCACGTATGTTGTCCACTATATGGTTCACTAGGGCTTTTCAATGGTGAATTGAAGGGAAACCTCCCATTTCTGTCCTCCAGTTCCATAACCCCCGCCAAGTCGGTTTCGAATCAAGCTGGAAATCTTCTCTCTTAGTCGAGACAGTGTATCTTCTGTTCCACCAACACGAACTTTAAGATTCGCCATGCAAAGCCCATAATGGACCTGCCAGAATCGGGCGTCGTCAACGCCAAACACGGCCGGGTCGGCTTCGATGTCCTTAATCACCTCTATCACGCCTTGGCCCGAGTATGACATCAGCAGCATAGAGCCTAGAGTCTTCACCAGGCGCACACCAAGAACGCACATGGAGATTGCAATTGTGCCGGAAAGGACCTTATCAAGCCAGTCATATATCCGAATCGAGACCAATGGCAGCAAAAGCAGGAGAGCAGAGCAGGAGAGGGTCAGGAAATGAGACGGGTTACTCAAAACCGATGGGAGAGACTCGATGTAGGCAAAACGCATGGCTTTTCCGATGCGTGCATGATTCTTGAGCCCTATTGCAGACACTAGCGTCGAGGAAATGGCGAGAACGGCTGTGATATCCACGTTTCCCACGGAGACCCGTTCATGATCGTGGACATGGTGGGGTTCATGGCCAGACTTCTCAAGGAAATGTTGTAGATTGTGGGATATCAAGTCCAAGCCCATGAATAGAAGCAGGACGCACATCGCAAAGCCAGCAAGGACCTCGGCTCGCTCCAGTCCAAATGGGTGGCGGATACTGGATCGCTTCCAAACTTCAAAGTTCCCAAGGACATCTACGGCCACACAGAGGAGAGCTCCGAGCGAGTCGAATAGTATCAAATGGGACAATGCCGTCATGGCTAGCGACCCATGCGCGGTCCAAAGTGTATACGCCGCCACGAACATATGGCAAACACTCCACCAAAAGCGTGTCTTCTGGTCCCTTGACATACTAGCACGGCATTCTTTCAATGTTGGAATTGGCAACGAGTTCGGTAAAGCTAACGGTGCTCGCGGGGGAGGTTCGAGGAATATCTGATGAGAGATACTACTGTGTTTGTATTTATGGCCACGACGTTGTCCAATGTTCTGGAAAAAGAAAAAGATAGATAAGAATTGCATCCGTAAAGATCGCAGATATACTTGAACATACCGATTTGACCACTGGTCCCTTAGCCATAACAGTTGTATTGAAATTGAAAGGTCCCGCGGCAGACGAATCACTTTGGCCATTTTGTGCGGCCGTCGCAGTATCTGCAGCTCCAGGGTTCAAACTGAAAGAAGATTTGGTCGGGCTTAGACGATCTGGGTTTCCTGGGTCTAGCGATACGCTCCTTGGAAACGTATCTCGCAGTGGCGACAAGGCGTCGCGATCAACCGCGACTCCTGAGTTGATCTGCGGAGCATAATGATCTCCTGCCTCATCTGATGGTGGCGTCGGGGTTCGTGGCGGAATAGGGAGAGGGAGATTCGAAGCCATCGCGATGGCCTTGCGAACACACACTTCCGCCGAGAGGATGACCGGGCGGGGAAACGCCTGGACATGAAGCTCCGGGGGAAAAGGAGATAGCGGAGGCGATTGTGGCCTGAGAGATTAGGCGTCACTTGGCAAAGCGGAAGGGGGCGGGGAGGCGAGGGTCTCGACCGCATGTCGAGTACATCATCCACTCGGAGAGATCCCCGACACATTACCACCCTCGTCATTGATCGTTACCAAGCGCTCGACGGCATCGCGGTATTTGAAAGCGGTGATTGTGCTCGGAGCATCCTCGTTGATCGCCCCGCGATGCTCAACGGCCCGTTTTGAGGAAGTGAGTCCAATGCCGACATCCCGTGGCGTCGATGGATAACCGCGGCTCTTTCTTCTTCTTTCTGCTGGTTTTCTACCTGCTTCTCAGTTCTCAGTCGCGTCCTCCGTTGATCGATGAGGATCGTGAGCGTCAGCGTGAGCTTGACCGAGAACGACATGCGCTGCAGCTGTTGAACGAGTCGAAGTATGGGGATTTCGATCCACCAGCGGATCGATGGCTTCCTTTCGCCGGAGTACGGAAGAACGACAGCTATGCATGGGAATTGTTTCCACAAATTCAAGGCCGCGTTCGCCATCAGTTCCAATCTGCGCTCTCCAACGCGGGGCTCCAGCCTCCGAGTGGTTTAGATGATCCCGACGTATCGTCACCTTTGAATCTCACCCAGCTGCTCCTCCCGGTATATCGCAATGTCACAGGGAAGTTACGAGGAGACTGGATACGAAGGCCGGATGTCCAGCGCCAAACCCCACTCAACAAAACCGCGATTGCATTGGAGCACGAATACTATGACACCGAGTTCAGCTCTAATATTACAGGCAACGGAGGCACTCTATATTTCGATATTGAAGAAGGCGGAGGCGAGGAGCTTCGTATTGGAGAGGGTCTTGTCCGTGAGATACGGGCCAGTTTGACGGTCGAAAGCGATGACTTCTGGGGAAGCAACTGGTACTTTTCGTTGTTTGGTGTGCACTTCCCCGAAACCGGAGGCATACTGTTGAGTACCTCCAGCGAGAAGTTTGGCGGCATCTTTTCTTTGCCACATTTCGCTCTGTCTCCAGATACGTATGAGCTGTCCCACAGTCTTCTCGTCAAGTCACTGTCAGACTCTATATCGGAAACGCAGAGTAGGGTTCCAACTTTTCTTCCATGGTCCACCTTGGCAGGAACTGAACAGATTGAGTTTCCGGCACCGAAATGCGAGCACATCATCTTCCTCCAGCAACATCCTGTGATGATTGATGAAAAGGTCGCGGATCGATTGTTACTAGAACGAATGGAGCAAGAACTCAGGTATCCCATGGGAGCCCCGATTCCTGATCCCCCTTTGATGGTCATGTCGACAGTCGTCTTTTCTCCAGATTGCGGGTACATCCTTGAGTCTAAAGGCACCCCGGAATTTTCACCCTCCGATTCACTCTACCTAACAGGACCAAAGTACGAGGAGTATGGTAAATATGCCGCGCGTCTTATTTTCGTTGTTTCTGGTATATTTGTTGGGCAGATTTCCCTTCTTCTCCGTCAGATCAAAGAGGCTTCGACTCCGTCCACAAGGAGTCGGGTTAGTTTCTATACCATTGCATTGATGGCGCTGGGAGATGGGTTGGTACTTACATTCATTGTGCTGGAGCTTTATGCCGCGGTATCTTTCTTGGTACTGTCAACTGCCCTGTTTTTGGCATTCCTTTCTGTCAGTTACATTGGCATGAAATTCATGATGGAGATATGGGCCGTACAAGAGCCGGAGAGACGTGAAGAACGGCCAGCCAACCCGCCGACTCCTATTACCCGTCCGGGAACTCTGCCGTTGCCTGCTACTGCTGCCATTCGGGACACTGGTGCTACTCCGATTATTCTGACGCCGGATCAAGACCCTCCTGACGATGACCTGGAACCACCGCCTGCCAACAATCGAACCACTGCGCCCACGTCAGCACAGCTCCGCACCGATGTGGGCTCCATGTATGCGCGCTTTTATCTCGCATTCTTCGGAATGTTCATCATGTCTATCTGGGCTTTCCTCCTACCCAGGAGGCTAGGCGCAATCTATGCGCGCGTCCTAGCCGCGGTCTATCTTTCATTTTGGGTCCCGCAGATCTATCGCAATGTCATGCGAAACTGTCGCAAGGCGCTGAGATGGGATTTTGTGGTTGGTCAGAGCATCTTACGGCTATTTCCTTTCATATACTTTCTCACGGCTCGTGGGAATGTTTTGTTCATTCGTCCTGACTGGACTACCGCCTTCATCATGATCGGATGGGTGTGGATTCAAGCTTGGATCTTAGCCAGCCAAGATGTTCTTGGTCCACGATTCTTCGTTCCTCGCGGTTGGGCACCACCAGCTTACGATTATCACCCAACCTTGCAGGATACTCCCGGGCCTGACGAGGATCTTGAAGCTGGAGGCGTCCTATCAATTGCGTCTCTCCGAGCCGATGAACGTGATCTGGTGAGCGACACGAAGGATGATGACAAGCACAAGTCCAAGGATCGCAAGAAGGTTGTATTCGACTGTGCCATTTGCATGCAAGACATTGAAATTCCCGTGTTCTCGGCTTCAACTTCTGCAGGCGGAAGCAGCGTTGCCGAGGGCGCCTCCAATATTTTGAGTCGCCGGACATACATGGTTACCCCTTGTCGGCACATATTCCATACTGCGTGTCTGGAGAGCTGGATGAGACTACGTCTTCAGTGCCCGATTTGCCGTGAATCCATTCCTCCTGTATAGACTTCGGCCTGATCGACTATCTGGATATGTATATGGATCTGTATTTATACTTCGTCATGCCTGCCGATGTCAATTCCAAACCACTCTTTACGTATACTGAATTTGTAGTGCGGCAGACTGAGTTACCGGTATACAAGTTGTATGTGTTCCATCTTTCACGACATGGATGTGTATACCTGTGAGCTTTGGGCTCAGTAGTGCTATGTGCCACGCCGGGTGGGTTGGAAATGCACTTAAGTACGCAAGTAGAGTATGGGTTGAATTTAATATCGGGGGCAACATTCATGTCTTGAGACATTGAAGCGAATAATTTTGCTTCATGACCAGCCAAAGCCGTGGAGGGCCTAGCACGTTGATGGTATTGTTGAAAGAAATTTGTCTCTGTTGGACATAGTATATAATATGACATCACAAAAGCACGTAAAAAGATCACTCCTCGATCATTAGCCTCCATTCTAAAACCCAAGCCAACCTTATCTCTAGACATTCAGCATTTAGTGGTCAAGAGTCTCGTTGTAGGCAGCCTCGTCCAGCAGGGCGTCGAGCGCAGCGGCGTCCGCGACCTCGATCTCAGCGATCCAGCCCTCCTCCTCGGGGCTGGCGTTGATGGTCTTGGCGTTGTCCTCGAGAATGGCGTTACCACGGATGACCTTCCCAGCAACGGGGGAGAGCACATCGGAAGCAGACTTTACGGACTCGACGGCGCCGACAGGCTCACCGGCACCAACCTCGATGTCGGCCTCAGGAAGCTCAACGAAGACAACGTCACCCAGAGAGTGAGCGGCGTACTTGGTGATACCGATCTTGGCTGCAGAGGTATGTTAATCACGGAGTCTTCCATGGCCGTCCACTCGATAATCCAAATGTGAGATGATCAATTGACTAACCAGTGTTGCTGCCGTCGACGAGCTCGATCCATTCGTGCGACTCGGTGTACTTCTTCACCTGAGCTATAGAAGCCAATTGATGACGTCGTTAGCATTCTGTAATAGTATAGAGCTCAACACGGCATAGAGAACACCTCTACATAGCCAAATACCCCTCAAAGGGCTTCCGGCGACTCATTTTGTCAACTCGGGGGACAAAATAACTCACCAAGCGGGCTCTGGGAGAAGCTCCGGGTTCCCCGCGGGAAGCGGAAAGCAGGCGCAGCGCGGGAGGCGGAAGCAAGAGGCTTCTGGGCCAGGGCCTGGGAGGCGAAGGGGCGGATGGAGCGAGCAATGGAGGCCATTTTGGAAGTGAAGAGGAGTAATTGAAAGGAAGAGAAGAAGTGGGAGACGGAGAGAGTTTAAGAAGGAAGGGAAAGAGGAGTGCTTCCCCGGCGGAGTTGTGTCGCCGTCGATAAGCAAGCGCCAAGACCGCTGATAAGGCCTGACACCTCCGACTTCGTCGGAATTTGCGCGATACTAGTCCCTCGTCCCCTTCTGTCATTGTTCTCGGGTCTGCGCGCCACCACTCGATGCCATGTTGTACGAGCTAATTGCTATCGTATGTCATCTTGCCAATTGAGTTCTGATGCTATTCGGATGTGAAAACTAACCATCACGCTCCCGTCGCAGGTCCGCCCGGGCAGCCTCAACGAGGTTCGCGAGTACGTCCCACCACCAATGATAGAATCAACTTACTATCTCAACTGGAGTGATAACTAATACCATTTACAGGATTGCTCGTAACGCCGGTGTCCAAGTCATCCGCTCCGGCGGCGTCGTTCGCGGCATCACCAACTGGGGTGCCTTCCGTCTGCCCAAGGTCACCACTAAGCACCAGGCCCGATACACCGAGGGTCACCACTTCATCATGCGCTTCGATTGCTCCGGTCCCGTTCAAACATCTATCCGACGCACCCTCGGTCTCGACCCGCGTATGATCAACTTCTCCGTCGTCAAGTTAGGCGACAAACTGGAGGAGATCAAGGATGTCGAGGGCAAGGTCGAATGGAACAAGACCCGCAGCATCGCCGATTCCATCTAAACGACACGCAATATTCCAGCAAAAGTGGTGTCCTTCATATTGGGTACTAGGGATACGACCATCACTACTGGAGATCGGCCCACAGCGTCCTCTTTTTTTTTTTTCTTTTACTTGTATCATTATGGCATGGGATTCAGGCATAATCACTCAGCACTGTCAGCACGATCGGCGCATCATGTATAAATTCAGAATTTGATCTCTTTTTTCACCCAATTCGCTTGCCCTGTCATAGTCAGCTATGGCTTTGGTCGGACAATCCACTTAGTCACATCACGTTTGGCGTGATAGGAGAAACTCATACCACGTGACTACCCCGTGGATGCCGAGGCTTCCCCGACTGAACCCCAGCTTTGTAGTTGTTCTTGCGATCTTTCCCCCTTTCCCCAGGACATATTCGAGTTTTCTGGCCACATCGGGTGTGGGTTCAGGGTTTAGTACGGGCAATACCGCGACTGTGGCTAGCTTTCCCTATCTTGGAATTTACTGCATCCCATCTTGACTGTCATTCAGCTTGAAGGCAATTGGGTGTATCATTTTGGAAGGATCATTCGCACATCCACGTATATATTCGAATTTTGGGAGACTTACGTGGTCCGTCAACATGTCCTCTACCACTCGAAGGACAGAGAATGACTGGGAGGAATTGACTACCCCACTTTGTTTTGTGGGGTTGATGGCACTAGAACGCCTCGATGATACAGAACGATCACATCCAAGCTCCAATGAACCGGAGAAGATTCAGCGATTCCGCTCGCTCGCTGCACCATTTCCTCCCGGGGAAGGGACCAGGTCATTCGGTGGGCATGTATATGCTCAGTCCGCATATGCGGCATCCAAAACCGTCGGAAAGGGCTTTGTTGTTCATGTGAGTTTCCGCTTTGGAGGCCCGAGTCATCATCCGTAATCCTGAAGGTCGTAAATCTAATCAGTTTATAGGATATGACCGGCACATTCATTGTCGGCGGAAGGCTGGACGTCCCCTATGTATATTCTGTGCGCCATGTTCGCGACGGGTATATGTATTGTACTCGAGCAGTGGATGCTCGACAGGATGGAAAGATCTGCTTTTCTTGTCTATGTTCATTCAAGCGAGATGAAAATCAAAAGAATTTCCATCACCAACCTCCAGCCGTGCAGGGGCGATTTCGCGAAATTCTTGAACAGCGACCCGAAGATCAACCCGTTAGTCCTAGTGTTGACGCGGACTGGTGGATCGAGGCCGTGGCGCAGGGGAACTTCGAGGAGCGAGAGTTCCCGGGGCTCGACGTACGCAAAGTCGATATGAAGGAATATAACCAGTCGAAATTGATCCAAAATCGACCGGAGAAGTATCGCCAATTGACGCAATATTGCCTGAAGGGATCACCAGATGAAGACCCGAAAGCCACTCTCGCCCAAATAAAGGCACGAGAGGCCGACGGTGAATACGACAATCTATATGCATGTGCACATATGTACTCCAGCGACAGAAACTCCCTTCTTTTGATTCCTCGGGCCCTTGGCATCAAACACTGGGCTGAAATGGCAAGTCTTACTTTGACTGTGATTATTCATCAACATGGCGAGGCATTGAGGATGATTGATTGGGATGCTACAGGAGTTGAAAATTCCTCCGATGTGACCATGAAGTGGTTTGTCCAGGAAGGCTGGACACCCCAGTCAGCAGAGAACAGAGCGGTACATGAAAGTCATTTGTGGAGCCCGGATGGCACTTTGGTTGCGACATCGTTGCAGGACAGCATGCTTCGATTGCGAAAGCTTGGGCGTGCGGGGAACCTATAGCTTTGCATTTGTTTCGATTATACTACCATAGATACAGATTAGAGATTAGAGATCAGAGACAGATGGCGAGATGTGCGACTTCGTCTGATCGTCTAGTGTTGCAGCACAGCGACATTCAAATGGACTTATTAACATTACCTAGAGTCCCATAGGTTTCACTCAAGAGCCCCCTACTTACTGATGATTGATATCGATGAAGCTACGTTCTCTGGCGTTGTATAGATCAAATGCCACGTGACGATATGACGTAAGGAATCAGCTTCGGCTCCCACCGCGGCCATGGTGTTTTGCTTCTGATCGCACCTCTTCAAGTTAGTTGTGCCTAGCACCTCTCATCATGCTATATGCACAGCTCTGATTCAAACATGCGCAAAACACTTCTCCTGGTCTTTATTCACGGCTTCAAGGTATGTCTGAGAGTCTATGCAGCAGCTCTTCCCCAACAAAGCCATTATAACACGCCACGTAGGTGGACCTTTTCATGAGCTGCACTGACTGTATATTACTTCATTCAGGGAGGCGAGGATACGTTTGCGAGCTTCCCTGAGACACTACGCACTGTAGTGAGCAAGGCGCTCCCGGCAGTCCACGTTACAACGGCCGTGTATCCCAAGTATGATACCAAAGGGGACCTGAAGGAATGCGTTGGAAGGTTCCGTGAATGGTAAGACAGCTCAACAAATTTCTAATATGAAGTGACCTTGTGCTAATTTCCAATCCGATGCAGGCTACAAAACACGATCATTGACCTCGAGGTTGCTAATCAGACTGCCTCACCCACTGTCGACCCCTCTGTCCATGTCTTCTTGGTGGGGCACTCCATGGGAGGCATTGTTGCTGCAGAGACCCTTCTGTTACTCGCAAGCGAACAACCGATTCCCGCTAATCCGACATCAACTCCCCAATCGGGACCTCAGGCTGAGGATGTCCCAAGTGTCGTGGAACCGGGCACGTTCATGTTTCCTCACGTTCAAGGTATACTCGCCTTTGACACTCCATTCCTGGGTATCGCACCAGGGGTAGTCTCGTATGGGGCCGAGGGACACTATCGTAATGCTACCACGGCCTACAACACCTTCACGGAGGTCGCGGGAATCTTCGGCTATGGAAAAAGCTCACCAGATCAGGCTGCTGCTGCCACTGCGAAAGAGCCTCCAAAGGCTCTACCTCCCACTGCCGATGCAGCAGCAACGCCGTCCTGGCAACGCTGGGGTCGATACGCCATGTTCGCGGGAGCTGCCGGAGCAGTCGCTGCCGGGGGTGCCGCAGCCCTATATTCCCAGCGACAGAATCTTACCGCGGGCTTCACCTGGGTCTCATCTCATCTTGAATTTGTGGGGTGCCTCGCACGAACGTCCGAGTTGAAGCAGCGTCTGGAAGGATTGGCCAAGGTTCAGGAAGATCGAGGGATTGAATGCGTTAACTTCTACACCTGCCTCGGACAGGGCGCAGGCAATCTCGTAGCGGAAACTGCAACTGGCAAAACATCCTTCAGTCAGAAAATCATTCGGTCAAAGAATAGGACATTCTGCATGCTTCCGTCCGAAGTGGAAGATGCGGAGAAGGTGCCTTCCTCATCCCGACCCGGGCTTCAGTGGAGAAAGGCTGTCAACAACCAGGCACCGGACGAGGTGCAGGCACACGTCAGCATGTTCCTGCCCAAAGATAACCCGGCATTCCTCGACCTTGTGGGCGAAACTTGCAAGGCCCTAGTGATCTCGATCGATAAGGGCTGGTACAACAGTTCAACCGGACCAATGGAAGCGAATGCACCGCTTCAACCACCGACAACTGAGGACGACTTCATGGACGCGGACGATGTCGTGGTCGTGGAATGAAACAAAACCTCAAACCCAACCCATCAGTAGAGTTTACTCCTCCACAATCCCGGGCACCACTGAAATCTCGCCGGGCATGGAAAGTTCGACTCCAAGCAATATTCCCCCCTGATCGGCGGGCCCACGTTTAAAGTTTTGCTTGCGCCCGTCACATCAGAAACCCGGCCTATGATGTTCAATCGAATATCCAGAGTGTGTATGTATTATCCGAGAGAGTCGTCTTCTCCGATACATACTTTTTGCCAAGATATGCTTGCGAATACATGGCTAATACGGAATCAGGATTATTCCCATAATATGTCCGGCAAATTCCGCCAATGTCCCGAAGCCGGGCACTCTTCCCAGACTCTACGCCTCCCAGAATTCACTCAAATCTTGCGGTTCGGGGGGCAGTGCCGATCCTGCCAAATGTTTCAGCCTCTCGATGATCCTGTCCGCCTTGCAGCTCTGGTCACCGGTACATGGTGCCGGGAGAGGCCGGCTTTGAAACTGCGTGGGATAGATACCTGACATAATTAAAGTTGGTTATCGGTCAGAGTTGGCTCTCGGCAACAGTGACGCATTCTAGCCACATCTCGTATCTTCAAGGTACATCTGAGACGAGGAAGCCGCATTTTACGGAGTTGTTGAAGAATCAGCTAAAGGATCGACAGCATGTCTACATACAACTCGGATTTGAATTCAGTGGCACGACCACCTCCCCACCCTCAGCCGCCCCTGTACATACAGTACGTGTGTATACCTAACAGGCCACAGGCTTGTTCAAAGTATCGCAGCACTTGGCGCATTGATCAGAGAAATAGCGCATCCTTTGTAACCGCTAGTGCCCAAGGCTGTTACCCGACTGAGCATAGATGAAGGCTAGGGCATAAGGGTATCCATGAAAATCAAGAAATCCTATCAAACCAAAGCGGTATTGATACCGTTCCAACGGGGCAGTTTTGTGGATGAGATCATCATGCATATATATCCTATGAAATGTATTAAATATCAAAAACCCTTCGGGTACAGCTTCCAGGGCCAATTAGCTAAAGACTAAATGCAATAAGTGCCGTCATATCCATGGACACATTTACAGATCAGGTTGGCGAAGGGTCTAGTAGTTGTTGTGACCGTATGCCGACTGGCGGTGGTGGTACATGCTGCCCGCATATTCGGAGTTGGTGTCTTGGTAGACGGTTTGGCGTCGGTCCTCCTCGGGGAGCAGTTCCTTGACTTCCCAAGTGTTTGGCTTGACGCCCACCGAGAATTCCAAGTCTTCCTTGGTAATCGAGTCCCAGAACTAAATATTTGTCAGCCAAAGGACACTGAATGTCTTCCATTCCAGTGGGCCTTACCTTGTAAACCATCATCACGGCAAGCAGGTTGCAGAAAGTCGCAAAGAACAGGCCATCCAAATAGTGTTGCACGTTGTTGCAGATCGTGTCACTGAACACGTAGAGCAAGACCTGTCCGATAATAAAGACCAGCAAACCAAACAAGATGTGTCCCAAAGGCCAGCGGTCATCCAAGGTGTTGGTGACAAGCAATAATTGCATCACAACATAGATGGCTACTGCAATGGCGTTGAGGAGGTATAGCACCACGAACAAGCCAACGGTATTCGAGGGCCCCAGGCCGCCCCATGACTTGAAGGTCAGCAGGGCAATCACGAAGGTCATAGCAAACATGGCGACGGAGCTGATTCGAACCAGCCATACGGATAGTGCTGTGCCATCTTCGTACAATTGGAAACCCACGAAACCGTTGACAAGCAAGCAAGCGCACAGGGCTGATGTCAGCCCACTTTGCGCTGCTACGAAATATGGGAATGGACCACTCCTAGGGGGCACCACGCCCGCATCGATAATAAGGGAGCAAATTGTCAGTGCCAGGTAGATGTAGAAAAAGGTAATGATTTCCTTGCGGCCTAGAAAGGAGCGATAGGTTAGCGCCGACTTGTATCAAACTCGTCGCTTAAGCGGAGTAGTAAGACGAACCGACGGCAGTGAACTTGGATCGAATATGTAGGATCATAATCACTGTCATGCAAAGAGCAATAATGTGCATGAAGGAGGCAGCGCCCTCGAAGATAATGGTATTGGCGACTTCAATGTTTCGCGCATAACAGTTCGAGATGATACCCGTGGCACCGGAGATCGACGAGGCTGGGCCTACCAGGAGGCACAGCGGCAACGGCGTCTTTTCGCATATCGAGTCGTAATCACCGAACCCCATGATGGCTGACGATGAGGGTGTCGACTGGTGCGACAACAGATGGTAAGTAGATTTCCCGTTGTGGTGGGCGGTCACAGAGTGAAGGACAGGACGGCTGTCTCCACAACGACGGGGGGTTGGTGGAACAGTGGGGGAAAGGGGATGTTGATGAGAGCGAAGCGAGTGACGATAGAGGGCCTCCAAAAGACCCTTGTTCTCTTCGTCGTCCCCACAGGTCAGTAGATCGGGCACTCAGGTTGCAAGCGAGCGGTGCAACCGGTGTAGAGGCTCGTCCGATGCTGAAGGAGGTGATGATCTTTGCTTTGCAGGGGGGACAAGTCACGGGATTCAACTTTGAGCGGCTCCTGTTTTGCCCTTTCTATTTTTGGCTTGGCGCTGTCTTTCGGCGGGAGATGACTCAGCGGGGCATCATCCCTGGTTCTGCCACGTGACTTTGGCCGAATTCGGCACTGGCCCGAACTAAACGACGGTCAATCACAGACTCCAATATCCATGGGGGCGGCAAGGAAAGGAACGTACGAAGTACTTACTTCTACGACAATGTAGTCTCGGAACCCTACGGTACTCGGTGCCAGCTCAGCCCCAGCCACGGTTCTTTCCCAATTCCGATGCAAAGCGTTTGACACTGCGGAGGGCTCTCCGAGCGGATCCACTGGCAAGCTTGTACTCCGGACTATCTCCTGAGCATGCTCCACAATTCGATAAACTTGGGGCTTGAAACCAGCAGCGCGATGCCCGCGTATCACACCGGCGGGCACCATTGGGGCCTAACCTAACTCCCGGCTGCACCATCCACTGGAGACAAGCCTGGTCTAAATATGGGACCACCCACGATGGCGATGGACTCCGAGACTTTTGCTCACTAATTGTTCCTGTACTCCGTACTTCACGCTGAAGAGAAAAAAAAAAAAGAGTTCGGCGTGTGGAGTCGACCCATCGGCTTTTGAAACGTCACCATGTGAAAGTCGCACCATCTCATGTTTCGCTCACAAGCATTTCCAGCGTAGCTTTGCCGAGTCAATAAGCCCTATTTCTCGGAGGAACATTCAATATTCGTCATCATCACCTGCTCCACACCATTCTGGCCCGGCAGGACTGGCATCACAAACCGTCGTGGTCACAACCCTGCACAATCGCGATTGAGGGCAATAGTAACCTAAACCACCGGAGCCAAGTTTCATGCCGGTCACCGGTGACTTCGAGTGTGCGACTCTCCCTTGCCTAATGAGCGATGAACGGTACCAAGCCAAGCCCCTAACCAGCCCGATGAACACGGGAGAACCAACCAGAAATCCAGGGCAGAGTGTACCTGTATAGTGGAGCCGTTGCAGGACCTTTCTGGGGCCATACGATCTGGAGAAGGTCGAGCCAGAGTACCCGCGCTCCTATGATTCGTGGAACGCTAATAGAAGTTGCAAACGCGTCACAGGCAAGAAATCGACCTGATGTCGGATGCCACTCAGAGATCGGGAACGGGCTCTCCGAGGTCTCCGAGGCTAGTCGGCTTCCTATCGACGGTTCCTACGCTGAACGACCCTGATTTGTCAAGCGCGCTGGTCCAGAACAGTCGCTATGCTCCTCGGTCCGCTAAGCCACTATGAACAAGAACGAATTGTTCTCTTCTTTTGTTTATTTTACTTTGTTTTTTTTTCATTATTCTGAAGTTTTGTTTCTTTGTGAATTGATAGTTAATTTATTTTCAATTATTAGGGTTTTTCTCTCCGGTCTGACCATGGGTCATCCTGTAATTAATCATCTACTTGGGTCCTCCAACCAGTCATTGGAAGGGTGAAGAGCAGGGATTTGAAGGTGTGATGGTACACAGAAGCTAAGTGAAAATAATCATTCTCGGTGGAAGAGATTATGATTCGGTTTCTTCCTTGACATTCTCAGTTGCGCAGTCGTGACCCCTGGCTCATCCTGACTACCTAACACCCTTGACCCAGTCCCCAATCAAGATGTATAGCTAGGGCCATTTAGCCAAGAGAAGCTATAAAGGGAATTGGGAGTTGGGAATTGTTATCTACCTGTCCGACAATTGTCCGACAATTGTTTTATTTTGCTGTCGTTTTGTATAACGAAAGCAGCGAGTATAAAGCTCGACAAAGTCTAATAGCACTAGTTACTCAAGGGTGCAATCCGACTACGTAACGTTCTTGCTTGGGATGACCGGTTACAGCGACGGCATCTCTTTTTTATGCATGACGATCCTGACTAGCGCCACGTGTGAGTGGAAGAAGCATCAACGGCTACAAGGAACCGTGTCGATCTCCCACCTACCCGATAGATAATATGCCGCGATGACGGTAACCGAAGGAAGGTCTTGTCATCCAAAAAAGAGGGTCGTTGATCCCTCATCATCCTGGGCAAATTTCCGGTCGGCGGTCCTCGGGCGTCTCCTTTCAACGGTCGTTCACAAATCAAGGCCACACTTTTTCATGCAGACTAGGACCCGCTTTAGGGACAGGGGATGATAATATGATAATAAAAAGTTTTTAAGGGGGTTAGATTAGGTATACACTCCGTGAATCCGTAGGAGTTACTTAATGGGGGGGGGGGGGAAAGCAACATTGCCTACCTTGCTAGGGCTAGCTTAGTTCGTACCGTGCAGAATTTAGGGAAGCTAGCAGAAGTAGTAGTCGGTAGGGACCGTAAAGAGTACGGAGTACTATGTATGTACTTTATGGCAAGAGATACAGAACAAAGGGCCTTGGTACGAATATCCCCTAAATCAAGCTGTGGAAATAGAGGTTTTGTTCCCTTCGGTGTAGATTGACGACACTTGACTGGGATCGGGGACAAGTGTCTATCCCCGGTCCCATTTTTGCTCAATAATTTAAAAGGCAAAAATTGATTAAATAAAACAATAAAAATTTCCTCAACTTGGTGGTGCTGGCCCTCTGACACCATCATTCAGAAAGCCCATCCCAATCAACTCATAAAGTCAAGGGTTTCTTTTTTTTTTCTTTTCTAGTGCTGTCGCATCTATTATTACTTCACACACAACACCACCAGATTCCGACCTACCCATAATTTGCGCAGTTCGATCGTGGTCGCACTCTGATTCACTGCCTTTCGACAACACGACATACCTTCTTCTACTATATATGCTCGGGTCAACGCTGTCGCATTCCTCCCAACTGCAATTTCTCCTTATCGAACGATCCTCATGAGACCGAAATGTGCAACTATTTCAAGAACTATTATATCTATAGCACCTGCCAGAATCCTGCTGCCCACTTCCTGCGAACCACTCTAGACGGCAGCAAAGACTCTCGCTGTTCCGATAGCCCGCACGATCGATTCATCGTGGTCGTCGGGAAATGCCTACTCTGCGGACGATAAGCTCCAAGGAGGTCGAAATCGAAAGAAAAAAGCCTTCCATTCAGACTTTCTTCAGGCTTCGACTTCCATCCAACCGCCAACCGTTGATCTCTGACGCCCGAATCCACCCTCTTTCCGAATATGAAGAGTGTTCCGGCCCACCGTTCTTTGCATTTTGGGTCAACCAGGCCCGCCACGAACTATGACTCGGTTAGAGCCGACTCTCCCCTTTGCTCTCCACTCATAAGCAGGCCACTTCTCCCGAGCCGATGATTGAGACGATGGAGGTTTACTCCAATTTGAGATCGACTATTCATCAGTACGGCTTGGATCGACATGATTCTTTTCGAGATTGACTGGGATATTTTTTTTTTCCCTTAATGGGGTTCCACCCATTTAAACTTTGTGCCCTGGAGGCCCTTCGACGACATTCGCCAATACTCCTGGAGAGTATCGGTCTTTACCGAGTTTCTCGTGTCCGTTTTTGTTCACCCGAGCGTTTATTTTGATCTTGAGCGTCCACGGAATTTCGGCAAGTTGATATGATGCTTTTGACTTTTTCTTTTTCTTCTCTGGTTTTCATGGGGTTAATTGGTATCAATTGGGGTGTTTATTTGTGGGGGGTGCTTTGGGTGCAAAGGCTAGACCAGAACCCTGATCTGCCTGAAATAGGGGGACATGGTACAAAATAACCCATGAAGTGTACGATTTTGTGTTTTTTTTTTTCCTGGGTAATGTCTCGTTGAAATTTCCTGTTTCTGTTTTGGTTAAAGAAGGGGGGGGGGACGGGAAACAATCTATTGGCATTTCTTACCTGCACATTGTACGATAGACTCGACTCGGACATTTTTTTTGTGTATCTGATTTCCCCCGCCCCCGTTCTCGCTCACACAGAGGACAACCCTGCATATCGAACTAAATCACATGCTATCATTCGTGGAAATCACAAAATTTCAGATTAAGGATCTTAGCTTCATGTTGTTCCCGGCTTCCACCGTCGCGTCCGACATGCCAAGAGCAAGCACAAGAAACTAGAATAAAAAAAAAACAAATAGATTGAGAAGGTCTTCTTTTTGGTCTGGCTCCCAAAGGGGGCCCCGCGCAGGCAACGTGGTTCTAATCCTCCTCATTGAAATCCGCGCTGCAGAGGCCAGGGGGTGTGAAGGGGCCCCGGCTCAGCAGCATGACGACGACTAAAATTCTACCGGCAATCACCTAGCTCGTCGAGTACAACGTTGTCTGCAGACATCTGCATATACAGACGCTCGTATGCTATCCTGGCAATTGCCAAGAGGACCTTTTTTTCGTCTTAAGTTAGGTCCGTGCTTGTGGTGCGATGACGCGCACATTGCAGAAGTGCAGTGGGTGTGAGGGGTACGATTTTCATGTAGAATCGAAGTAGAATGCCTCCAAGTAAGTCTACCCTCTTTATCTATCGTTGAGAAATCTACAGAGCCTAGGTGAAGGAAGAGAGAAGATAATATTTCGGGGCATATTGGGAGAAAGAGGGGGGGGGGAAGGCCAAGGCTATGTTTATTACTACAAATCCATGCAATGATCAAGTTTTAATTGGACGAAGGGTTCCTAACGAAGCTTCAACAATACGTTGCCCTTGGCAGGGATCACGGACACCCTCCGGGCTTGTTTGTTGAAGTACCCAATCCGAATTACCCATATTGCACTCCCATTGAGTTTGTATGTGCGGCGTTCCATGGCCCACTAACGTCTGGATATATGTATCCGGGGGTCAGAAAATTATCAGCGAAATAGGTAAAACATGCCCATATGAGACCTCGGTCTCCGGCATGGCCGGTGTGACTCTAGTTGCCGCTCTAGGGGAGGGCTCTGACCCCCTCAATCTATAGCAACAGTACCCGAAAAGTCATGATGCAATAGTCCCGGGGGGCCGCAATAGGCAATCTTGTCGGATCTCTCGCAATTGCGAACGGGACAGCGATGTTCATTTTGGGCAGTGGGTCTTGAAAGATGACAAGGTTAAGGAAAGATATCTGTAATCAATCAGAGGGTTCAAAGTTCAAACCCCAAAAAAAGCCAGAGGGGATATAACGTGCATAGGTAACTTGAGGGGTGTGGTTGTTACCAAGGCCAAGGCTCAAGGCTGCGCTCGGTATGAGCGCCGAAGCCTAGAGGACTAAGTGCCGGATATGGCGAAGCGATGTTTGGAACGCTAAATCCCTCGAGATGGCGCTAGTTGACAAGGCACCAGAGAATTAGCCTTTTAACGGGTGCCATGTCCACATGCACAGCGCCCTTCTGCTACTAGGAGTTCGAAGATTTTCCGGAAGAAGGGACAGTCTAGGTTCCAACGTGCGCTAGGGCTATGCAGATGCTCCATTCACCGGCATGACACTGCATTTGAGTCCAGGTCAAGGCGCGGACTCGGGGCTCCTTTAGTTGCAGTGACACGGGCAGTCGGCGGATTTAAATTGGCTTAGAGGTTCTATGAGTGGCTGGGTATTGTTGAGAATAAAATCTATGCCGTGTCGGGCGCTCATTGGGGGCTCATAAAGATATAGGAGTTAATGGTATTAATATCGCGCCCTAGGGTCGAGCTCGCCCGCTTCACAACCGGCATATGAACAATTTCCGCGACTCCCTGAAAGTGCTGAAGACTATTAGGGAGGGGGATTCTGCTAGATTCCTTATCGGGTTATCCGAATGCATGTTGAGCCGTCCTTGACAAGACCATTGCACAAACTCAGCCATTAGTCTTCCCGATCTAGCTACAATACTCATTGATCGAGACCTGCAGACTCAATGCAATCCCACCCTCATTAGCTACAAGAAATAAGAAATAGAGTTCCTGCGTGGTACGACTTGCTAGCTTGGCATTGAATGCATTATGTATGAGTGTATGTGGTACTTTTCGCTCGGAGGCCCAATCTAGACCCTTCTTTAGATTCTTATCAAAGTATGTGCTTCACATGCTATCACTCACTGATACTTGAATTTTTCGTGCTACCTTCATATCTCGATTTTTTCACAAGCCTCCTGGTCGAGGGGCTGGTTTTGGGGGCTTTGACGTATATGTAGGAGCCTTGGCTGACATCCCCGGTCATGAATCATTAACTAAACAACATGAAATAGGGGCCCAATATTTTCTAAGCAATATCCCAGCTTAGCGCCCGGTAGTCAATATCAGTGATTCAATCAAAGCCGTCCGTCCATTAAATGTGGATTTAATAAACGGGAAACGTGTTCTTTTCAACCGCTATCCTAGCTTCGCTGCCTATTTGCTAGCCGAGAGTATGCAATTAATTTACACTCGAGCCTAAATCTTGAAACCTGTTCACTTCAGAATGAAGCACTTTTCATTTTTACCGACATTAGCTCGCTTAGTCTCCATTTCATAAGCGATAAGCTAGGCACTGTACCTTTCAATTGCGGTTAAATGGGCAGGCAGTGTACTTTTGTCCGTCTGCATTTAGTGAAGATGGTGCAGTTCCCGTAATAACGAATTTGACAAAAGTCCTGGAATTCTAAGGTCCATGTTCCATTCAATATTTCGCTCTATGTGAAATCTATCGTATGATCGCCATGGATAAAAGGACTGAATAAGGATTCACCCGGGGACCTCCACCCACCATCCTACCCGATACCCCATCAGCTTCCGACCAGACCAACAACCCTCACCAGGCACACTACCTGCCCCCATTACTCCACCATCAATGGGTCCACCGACTCTATCACACGGTCTGTGCTGAAACAGAGCTCTCGGGTGGAGAACCGAAGCCACAGCCGTAATCTACCTTCCGGAGGGGAGGGGGGACACATAGGTGATCTCATGTCCCCAAGGAAGGAAGAGGAGATGAAGGATGATCGTCGCATCCTGAAACTTTCCGGTCTGTAGATGGATGAGACAATTTCCTTCTGACTAGATCGGCTTTCCAAGCAGAGTATAGATGCGCCATGTGGGACTTAGTTAGCTGGTTTGGCCCCGCTTCAAAGCCGGACGGTCCTATGCAAGTCTGTATCAACGGATCCGATCCGAGCCACTTTCGGACATGTGTAGTCCAGCTCCTTGACTAGCACGGACATGATCCTCGTTCTTTTCGGTAAGCTTGTTACTAAAGGGCATCGTCATCGGCGGATTCCTTTTGCTTTTCGGGACTTTCTATCGGTAATTCAAAATGAATAGAAATTGGTAATGATAATCAAGATGAAGCCGTGCCTTTCTCCCACAATCTGACCTTGGGTAGCTCGAGTATTGTCCGTGACTACCTTGTAGAGTATAATCAGATCACAAGAGCACGCTTACCCTAATGCAGTGACCATAAGTCTACCGACAATTCCAGCTTCAGCTCTGGAAACGATCCTATTCGGCAAAGAGAAAAGCCTTTGAGGATCATTTCAAGTAGGTGACTTGTCTTGGAAGCGCATCCACGTCATGCCTTACAGGGACTCGATCCCGCCCTAGACGCACCCGGCGATCTCTTTCCGTTTGGCGTTTCCCCTCCGGATGGTGGGGGATGGTTCATGCATGGTTCTCCCAGATAACTTGTGCGAATAGTATCTGTTGGTTTGGCGGTCTGGCTGTGCATATATGCGAAAGACAAGGGGGAGAAAAGGCATCATGTATGGGTAGGTGGGACGACATAAGTTCGGCTTTAAGAAAAGAAAAAAGGCGTGTTGTGTTATTGGGAACTGTATATACAATATTGCCGTGACAAGGGGGAAACAACTAAAGGATACACGAAGCCTTTCTCAGAACCGAACCTCGGGGCGCATTGCGATTGGCTTGGGGGTGTATACCGGCGGCAGAGGGGTATAACGAGGACGGGGCTTCCTGGGCACCTTGGGAAAGGAGAGACTGGGGAGATCGCCCAGGCGCAAACTGAGCCTCGATGATGCTCTTCTTCGACCAGGTGACTGCTCTTCGGCTCTGTCAATAGTTGTTCTGATTGGAGTCTGTCCGGACGAGGATTGTTGCGGTAAACACGAGATGGTGATCAGACTGTGCAGGTAATGGAAGGATTTCACGTCTTCGACTAGACATTCCTGGCTGTTGCCACCATCTGGTCTTGTGCTCTGTGCATTTGTGGACAATGGAGAGGATGATCTTTTGGAGCAGATGGTAGCGCGCGGGGATGATCGTGTAACGCTGGCTGGTAGGAGTGCCAGCTGATTGACAATCCCGTTCGTGTCACTGCATCGTGTATCCCTTCTAGCGGGTGGTGTGACGTGAATATCGGGAGATATTGTTGTCGGTGTGTCGTGGGCGTCGTGATGGGCTGTTGCTTGTGCATTTCTCTCGAATTGATCCACAGGGCGGGTGTTGTCCTTGAGCCGTAAGCGTCGGGTGATCGATGCCCGAAGTATAGTCCAAGCCCCGCGGCCCTTGCGTAGCATTATGAGTAGCATAAGTAGTATGTACAATGCTACCACTGGATCGAGTGTGAGTCAGTGACTGAAGGAGCTAGCTTCACTTCGGAACGATTGTAGCAACTCACAGGTTTGAAGACAAAACAAATGCCTTTCCGGGGCCCTCAATTCGCCAGAGTGAAACCAAACAGACTTAATCTGGAAGCTGGACAGGTTGACTCGAGATATCTTTCGGAGACGGCGAGGCTGGCTTCTTAACGTCGACTTGATCTCCGAGTTAATAGGTTAGGCGTCCCTTAAGAACACCCCATCTTTGTTATTATCGCCATATAATCTAGAACACTTCATTCGTTGTATCCCGGCAGACCCTCAAAACCCGGTAAGCAAGTAAGAGCCAATATTCAAATCGGACCAACTCTGAAACCGCGGGGAGGAACGAAGGTATGAACGCAGGTCCGAGGGTCCTTCCTCATAAATGATGATATGCGCATGCAGTTGAAACTTAACGGTAGCCTGCTTTGTCCTAGCCATTGATTGCAGTTGACCGAGAGTTTACCCCGCAAGTCGAACACGGTCAAGGTTGACGACACGTCAGATACTTTGATATCTCTGCAAACGCGACGCCTGCCGCTAGCGTGCCCGCGCTTGTTACGATAGAGTTTATGCGGGACCCGCCCGTTTGTGGAGATGGTTCACAAGGAAACGGAATAGAAGATGGGTCAGAGCGTTGAGCTTGATTATCAATCAGGCTAGGGGTTAGATTGGAGATTAAAGAGATGTCGCGATCCGATACGGAGCCCTTGAGGACACTAAGAAGCCGGGACTGTGAATGGAAAGAGATTGAAGTATAGTAGTAATCGATCGGCCTCTGATAAAGACTGCCGTAGAGAAGAAATGTTTGCGGAGAAGGAGCTACTGAATTATGACGTCTTCAAATAAAGCAACAGATAGACTATCAGTCAAAGTACTAAAAATAGCCTATATGCCGATATTCGAGATTGTGATTTGTCCTGAAAAAGTCGATTGTCCGTGAAACGATGCCGAACAGGAAACTCAAACAATAGACATCGAGGTCACGATGAAGTCCAACAACTGTTATCACTTTCTACTAATGCAAGTATACCGCCCAAGAAAATGAAAACACATCAAGCGCGAGTGCATATTATCAGGCCTATTCACTCAGTCTTAGGCTCACGAACCATGCAATAAAGCTGAATAAAAGCAGTCAAAGTTAGCCAATGTGCCGATCAATGTGAGAACCATCCAAGTCTATCATTAAAAGCAAAGGGAAGACATAACAAAAAGAGTGGAGAAAAAAGCAAGGAACGACAAGGGAAAAAACGTAAAACTTACCATACAAGCATCCTCCCCATCCCTACACTCCATCTCCATCTTCATCTCAAACCCCATCTTCTCATAAATCATAACATTGGGCACCTTCTTCGAACTCTCAAGATAACATTTTACCTTCTCCCTATCCGCCCTCTTCGTGACAGCCTCAAAAAGCATCCTTCCCACCCCCTTTCCCTGCGCCTCAGGACTCACAGCAACGATATTACAAAAGTAATAACCACGGGGATCATCCCAAATAGACGCCTGCGCTTCTTGCTGTCTGGTTTTCCAGATCCAATACCGATTCGTGCGGAGACCGCCATGGCCGCGATACCGGATGTTGGTGATTAGTTGGCGGGCAGAGAGGATCCAGGATTGGGTCCAGGAGTACCAGGTTTCGGGTTGGTTGGGTGGGTGTGGTGCTAGCCAGCAAGAGACGCCAAGGATAGGCGAGGTTGAGGAGTTGTCAGAAGTAGTGGTGGTATCGGTGTCTTTGGCGACTTGGAAAATAGCGTTATTGATGCCCCAGCGGCATCGGGCGGCCAGTGAGTCGTGGTTTCTTTGTGCGTTGAACTGTATAGGCCAGGGTTCTCTCATTTTATGTAACGGCGAGTCGAGATGACCGCGTTACGGGAGAGATGGGATGTTAGTTTGCGTGAATAAATCACATGAGACAATTATTCTGGGGGGTGAATGTAGGTCGAAGGAAGAAAGGTGCTTGTCATGCATACCGATGGTTCATCAAACACCCATTTGAAGTATGGGTCATCGGCAAAGGCTTGCTGGATCACTTGGATAACACCGGGGATATCTGCCTCGGTCAAGTCGACGACTTCAATCGCCATGTTGGAGATGTTTCAAGGAGTGATAAGGTCAGTCCTGTGATAGAATCGGATTAGAATTGGCAAAACTGCAGAATCCAGACAATTTTAATACCAAAAAAGAGTGGTAGTGGTGCGTAGAGATTAGATCTAGAAAACAAGTTAGTACAAGCACCACGGAAGCAAATTATATTCCGCGAACTCAACCAGATTCACTATCCGTGCAGCCGAGATCCGTCGAGAAGAGAAGCACCGATATCCAGCACCCGTAAGAGCGGTGAAAGTATCTCTAGGTTATATTAGAGTGGTATAAGCGCGAAACTAGCAGTCTAGTTCTCTTAGTAGTCTGGGAGAGGAGGGAAAGAAGAGCTCCAATGCCAATCCGGATGGGCGAAGGTATGAGGGGAAGAGTCTAACCCAAAGTAGGCAGGTGCATGCGTTCCTTCTTATCTCTTATCGCGTGTGTTCTGATAAAGATGATTTATGACTTGAACGCGATTATCTGCTCCTTTAAAGTGCGTGCAGTTCTTATACTATCAGTCAATGATAATGACAGAAAGTGGGTGGAATGTAAAGTCATATCATGCTATTAATCAAAGACGGAACTGTGTGTAAATAGACAAGGAACCAAGGTCAACGCCACCACAGTTCGACAAGCTATGCCCCCATTCAATTTTCAATCCAAGCCTGCTACTCCTTGTAGATGAGAGTTGAAGACTCAAGAATGAGAAAGTGGCGTATCTCCAAACACCATCACGCCTTTGGCGTGCATGAACATTGACACTGGACCAGAAAATCATGACTGATGAACAACCAAATACGAAAAACGAGATTGAGAATGAGGAGAATGCAAATCACAATATCCCAGTTTGTACCCATGAGTGGAAACATAAACATCAAATACTAATCCTCCAACCCCCCAACCCCGGCCTGACATCCTCATTCCCCAGAGGACAAATCCCGCAGATGAATAAAATAACAAAAGCCGCAAAAAATGAATGGAAGAGAAGATCAAATCTATAGAAATTCGCTAAAAACGAATTCGCCTATCCCATCCCAGTTCCTGATATAAACAAAGTCGTGATTTCATGACTCGGATATCGTCAGATGCGCAAATGACCATACTGCACCGCTACCCTGTATGAGAGAAAAAATAAACACTCATCATCGGAATGGTAACACTAGGAAGCAGTAAAGTCTTCGATGCGCACCCACTCCCGTGGCACATCCATGCTGCGATTTACCCGTCCTCCGGGTGTAAGAGGTACATCAACACGGCCGAGACCACGCTCGTCGTCCTGCTCTTCGTAAAAGGATAATCGGGAGAAGTAGTCCTCCAGCACGGCCTCGCGGTCATTGTTGCCCACGATACTCGTGTACTCTGGTGGTGGAGTGACGAGTGGTGGGGGCGGGGGCACATCCTCGAACGCAGGTGGTGCGAACGATGGCGCACGAACAAGATGCATCGGGCGAGGGACCTCGCGATCGATGCTGGGCTCGTGAGCGATATGGGCCTGTGGCGGGCGGGCAAGTCCGCCCGAGCCGTTTGTGAAACTGCGTGAGACCGGGGTGATGGAGTTGGGCCGGTGGAGGTTCGAGGTGGAGTCTTCGCGGTCGGAGCTGGACTGACCCAGTGTATATTCTCGTGCTGCTGGTGGCGCGCCAGGGCACCCGCACTCAAATTCTTGGGCTGGTGGGTCTGGCTCCGTGGCGGGCCGACTATAGGCTGGGAGGTAGATGTTTGCTTGGGTGGCTTTGCAGGAGAGAATGTGGAAGGGTGAGTCGATGGAGATTTCAAAGTGTCTGCGTTTGGTTGGGTCGCGCTCGTCGATTTTGGAGAGACGGAGAACAATCTGTTGTGCGTTAGCATGGAAAACTCAAGAAGCATGATGGAAAAGAGAGCGATATATACCTTGATCCAATGATTGATCTGGATGTTCTCGTAGGTCGTATCAAAATGCAAACGTTGTGCTTCGTCCCGTCCCCTCATCTCATGGCAACTCGGCAGTTGAACGTTAAACTCCATTTCCGTTGGACCAACGCCAGAGTCGGTATTCAAATTGCCCAATAAATTCGTCCGAGCACGATCCACAATCTCCTCTCCTCGCGCCGCAGCCGCACGATGATCCCAGTCAACGCCACCGCCCGCAGTAATGCGCATGGAACTACCAGGGTAAGTGCTCGTACTAGCAGACTCGGCGCGCTTCTCAAATAAGAGCACCTTCTTGGCCGGCTGGAGTCGATGCACACTTTTGTCGGCAGTCCAATGTTGGATATTCTCCGTCACGTATACCTTGATGCGATGGCATTCCACCTTTGCGAGTGGCGTCAATTTGAACGCGATGGGTATTTGGGAGCCCAGTGGGAAGGATTTGCCGGAAATCACAATGTCGTAGTGGAGTTGGTCTTCCCAGTTGCGTGAGATGGCGATAGGTTCAACCTGCTCGAGCGAGCCCTCTGCTGGTGTACGGATCACGGGGATTTCGAGGGTACCCAGGAGGTTTGGTCGGAATGCGCCCGAGCGCTCCACAATTGCCTCCAGATCATATCGAACAAAGCCCAGGTCCGTCTTGATAGTCTCCGGGAGCGAGCCGTCAATGGGAAATTCGAAGCTGTAGAGGTAGTCGCCGACGGGGAACATGCGATAGTTGCGCTGAGGCTGATGTTGAGTACTCACCGGAGGCTCATTCCTGCTGAAACTTCGCGAGTGGCCTCGGGTGGTCTGTACTGAGAGGCGTTTGGCATCTTTGGCGGTCATCAACCCGAGAGATGTATTCGAGCCGCTCTTTGAAAATAGTTCACGAGTGGTCAAGGTAACTGCCTCCTTTCCTGCGACGGGTGATGCGGGCTTTGCGTGCTGGTAGTAGTGTGCGCCGTAGTCATTTTGCATGAGCGCCGTGTCGCCATGGTTGAAGTAGATGACCCCGTGTGTGAACAAATCTTTCTTATCGTGAAAATGGATCTTCTTGGGAGGAATGCCTGCAAAAGATCATGTCAGTATAACAGACCCTCGATTCGTGGTCAGGATTAAGGGGATTGCGAACCATCTGGCCAGTCCGTCTGTGCATGGCCACGGAAACAAATGGAAATCTTCTTGATCTTGACACACTTGGTCACTTTGAGATGTATTTGGCCTCGTAGAATGGCCGACTTCTTCGTACTGGGATCATGTTGATCGTAGCCTTGCAGAAACAGCACCGGCTCTGTCAAGGCAATGCCCACCGTGAGGCCACTGCCCGTCGCGACAATCTTCTCGTTTCGAAGCGGGGGAAACGGGGTGGACAACTCGGGAACAACGGTGGTATGCTCGGGCAGCGCCCGGGCCAGAATGTCGGTCGCCATCGAAGACGAATCCGATCGCATATCGCCTTCTTCCGAGGACCGTTGGAACTCTCTCGTGTGTCCTGAGGAAAAGATGATTTCGGAAACGGGGCGGGCGCCGCTACAGCGGGGATTGAGGCGCTGTTGCGGGGGCGGCGTCGGGGGCTGGACTCCTGCGGAGCGCAGGCGAAGGAATCTCTTCGCGTTCTCTCGTGGACCCGCCAGTTTTCTAAGGATAGAGCCGCGACGGCCGAGAGAGAAATTTTGCTTGGGGAATTGCTCTTCAACGGTCGCGCTGAGACAGCCCGTTCGGCGGCGAGCTGATCGAGTGTGGATAAGGCTGGATAGCGATAGCGGAGCGGCGAGATCGAGCGATTGTTCTTGGCTCACGGAGCTGGATCGCGAGGAAGCCTGCGCGGGGGAAATGTGAGCGGCCATCATCATCATGGTGAGGGCTCGAGGCGCATAATGGGGAGGGGATGGAGATTGAGATGGAGATCGAAACGGTGGTCCAGCGAGAGCAGCCAGGAAGTCGAGAGAGAGGAAAAGTGGTAGAATTGAAAGGTATGTATCGGGCACCCTTAGGCAGTGTCACCGGTCATCAAATTCTCCACGTCTCGTTCCTCTATCTTTCTCTGTCTCTGACCGTCTCGTCGTCCAGTTCTTCCCTCTCGTCGGTGAATGTGGCCAAGAATGCGGGGATGGTACACCAGGCAAACGAACGAGTCGAGTAAACCAGTAGAAGGAGGGAATGAGGGCGACACAAGGATACAACTTACCTAGTAGCTCTTTTCGTGAATCTTTGTATGACCCGTGTGGTATCTTTTTTTGTCTAGTTTCTTTTTTTTTGATAGTTTCCCCTTTGTCACCCCCTTCGATGCGGATCGACCACGCAAGGAGCACACCGATCTTTGCAGGAGAGATGGAGAGGCAGACCCCGGGGCGCTGACTTCATAGCACGGGTCCTCCGGCCGTGATCATCGGCCGTGCAGATCCCTCTCAGCGAGACGTCGGATTGGCTGTGGGGAGGGGTTTGGGCGGCCTGCTCGGTGGCCTGCTGCGGGCTTGCTTTTTTGGGGGGGCTTTGGGCTTGGAGATGAGATGTGTGAATTGCAAAAGGTAATTACTTGGTCTAGGCTCCGTAATGTGGCGTTGTTCGGAGATTGTCCACGGAATTAGGTCCCCGTCAAGTAGACCCGTAGATCGTAGGGAAAATAGACAAGTGAAATGTAGATCCGAGTAAAAGGTGACGGCCAGGCAGGCGATTATATGATTATATGACTATATGATTAGATGAGGCGCCGGGCTAGATCCAGAATGGATTGGATGAATAAATAATTCGAGTCACTAACTCTGCACGTAAAAGGGCGTTAGTTCAAATAACGGGAACCTATAAGGGCCATAGCCATAAGGCTCAAAAGGCCCCATACGTGGATCGACCGGATCGATGATGACATGATATCGACCTTGGGATCCTCTTTTTTTTTTTTTTCCTCACGTATCCGGCGATCCGGGTCAGACGGGAGGGCTACGAACGTACTACTCTATTAAGTGACTGGGACCGAGTAAGACGGTAGTAGTAATCATATTCGTACTCGGCTCGGTGCTGTAGTGTCGGTGTTCACTCGGCGCCTGCAAACTTTGTGAATCCCTTTTCGTGGGAAGTGGAGAAAATCCTTGATGCCTCAACTACTGAAGGGACCGTCCATAGTCACGACGCCTCGTTACTCCCTATCAAGTAGTGATACTCCATCCGGCAAGAAAAGGCCCCGTTGAACTCCACCCCGACGGTTCAAGAATAAGGCTGAACGGCTGTAAATTTCTGAGGAGAGTACTGTATTTTGAATGTTTAAAATACCTTTTGAGGGATTCTACTTGGACATAGTGTCACCTTCTCGGCCGTGTACGTTTCTCCACACAGCCACATTACCAACCCAGGGAGTAGGGAGTCGAAGTACCATGCATCCAACGTGCGATGCGATGCAAATAAGAACATTCGCCCGAAATTGGAAAATGGGGGTCTGTTGAAACGGATGTCTCGGCTTACTTCTCTATCCTTTCCTCCACACGGCGGATATTACGGCACGGGAAGGTATTCAACTTTGTCTAGTATCCAGCTTACAAAGTTGTGGGATTCGGCATTACGAAGGGGTTCGGGTGCGGGGAGATCGCTTCCATCGGCACGACGCATGTGAACTCAAACCACTAAGAATAAACCAAAAAATGCACGAGCGGATTTACATCATCTTTTTGTTGGGCACCCGATATGCATGTATGTACTCGGCACGGTATGTACGCTTTAATTCTTGTATGTCCTTGGTGTGGCTCTATGAAGGAGGAGGGCAGACGACCATCCTCCCTCATACGGCCAGGATCTCTCCCTCGAAGTAAAAAAAAGAAAAGGCTTATCTTCCAGGGCGCGGGCCAGCGGTGTGGCCCTGATTTTCAGAGTTGGATGCACGGGCTAGCGTGGACATTGGAAGGGGAAACGGGCGATGTGAATGGCTGGGCGAGAGACTCCGCGGAGAAGAAATGCGTCGGGATTGAAGGCCATGTCAACTCCGTGAGTTGCACTACCGGTGGGGATGTACATCAACTGTCAGTCATCGGATGAGGCGAAAGAGCTGTTGATTCCAACGTTGTTACTAATTCATGAGCGATAGGGTAAGATTTCCACGTCATGGTAGGGAAAACGCAAGTCCGGCCGTACCCCATAATGCATAATCGCGGTAAGAACCATTCGGAATTTAACACTCCGTACTTTTCCATCGTTTCCCACCAAATACGGATACATTTACACGGTCATACATTGGCATGTTTACATCAGCACTGACAAGATCTACGCACCGATTCCCACGATCCGGTTCTCACTTCCCTGCTCTTGACTCTCAATCTCCCGTGTAACAAGCAAAATTCTTAGGGCCAGGCCAAAGCCTCATATTGACAGCTGGCAATGACCTCATCGACAAATGCCCGACACGCGTCCATCAAAACTTAAGAAGAAGTCAGATGGTCAACCCTCCACACCAACCCTAAACCTTCTTCCTTCTGACTACAACCATTCTATATGCCGTTTTTCATTGGTACACGACCGTCCAATTCCACGTGCGTTTAATATATTATCTCCCACCGTACGCCGCTCGGCCCTGAAGAAATTAAGGCACAATCCCCCTCCCCTGCCCTGATTTTCCCACACCACGTCAGTGGAGTCCGGAAATTAAAATGGGAAGTTCGTGGTGTCTATTATGTTCAAATTTAGCATAAGCAGGGATAACTGTATCGCGAAGCCTCAGATCCTGCGACGTCATCGGCTTGAGAGATGGGGGGCTCGGCTCTTTTCATTTGATCACGGGGTGACTTGGCCGAGGGCTGCCGGTAGACGGGGCGAGTCCTTTTGTGGCGTTGAATCTATTACTAACTATTACAGTTGCACCACCAATACACTCTGTAATGAAGTGATGGAGGCTTTTGTGTGTTTTGTAGGCTTAGTTGGGGTTCATGATTGACTGGATAATCTGTAGAGGGTCTTAGGCCGTGGGGACAAACAAATGTTAGGTGTCCGTTGCAACGCAACGCGGGATGAAATCGTCACACGTCAGGGTCGCAGGATCCATCTGGAACAAGCTAGCTAGACTAGCCCAGCTAACGAGCTATCTAATACCGCAAGAGGGGAAGTGCAATGCCACATATCGTAGTTCGACTGGTCGCAAGTGCTAGCAGACACTATTCAGATCATTGCTTTTATAGTGGGTCATATTGGATGCATCGCTTTTCTCCAGTATCTGCAGCCCTAAGCTCGCCGAACTGGTCGAATTGCGGTGAATAAGTCCTCGGCCACTCGGACTGGTGATCCAGTTGTACGCGAACTCTGTGGCAGAAACACACCACGAACCGGGGAATAAGCAATATCGCGGGAGATCGAAGGGGCTGTCCTCAGTGAGAGCCCGAGAGTTAGTTGTTCGATGGGTAGGGAGGGTACTCACCCCGCTCCCCTGGTTACTTTGCTTTGTTGAAGTGCTTGGATAACTAGTCCAGGACACCATGCCCGATAGATCTCCCCACGACCACTAGTGCAGATTGGTAATGATCGCAGATCTTGCTAAACTTTGTCCCCCATTGTCCCCCACCACCGATCACATAGAATGTCGAGAAGATCATACGGTAGTACATCTCTCTATTTTGGAGTCGGAGTCGTTGTGTTGCTAACATTCCCAAATCCCGTTCAATTAAACCAACTATCATCCAGCTCATTGATCTCCATCAGACTATCACCCTCCAACTGATGCAGATCCCCCGCTGCCTCGCCGAAGTTCTCGTTTTCCATAAATAAATCATCAAAGCTGGACTCGCCTGGACCCATCATATCCTCCATCCCGGTGCCCGGGTCGGGGAATGGATTGGCATCCTCCGTCTTTCCCAGCTCCATGTCAAATGCACCCCCGCCCGTGGGGACCGCGGTCGCATTGTCAGTCGGTGGCAGGGAAGAACCGGGCTTATCGGTACCGGTTGTGGTGCTGCCAAAGGCGGTTCCGGATAGGAAGGCCTGGTTGCCCATATCGTCGTTACCAAAGTCGTAATTCAGATCGAACGAGTTGTTGGCTCCGCCCTCGTCGAGAACCGTGTCGAATTGAATACCTTCGGTAGTCGCGGGGTATGTTTGATCCGTAGGTCCCAGTCCTGCCGTCTCTTTCTCCTCTTCTTTCTTGAGTAGGGGTTCGCTGGGCTGTGGTGCGGGGATGGCTTCCGTAGGTAGCGATAGACCCGCCATCGCGCTTTCATCGGAGGTATCTTCAACCTTGAGAGGTCGAGAAGCTAAGTCTGTCTGCTCGAGCTTTGACTGTTGTAGATCCGTCTCCATTTTCTGCTTGATTTCACTCATGGATACATCCTCGGCGGATTGCGGCACTACCTCGCGTGCCTTGATTGCTTCGTAGTCCTTTTCCAGGAAAGCCTTTGCGATGAACTATGAACGGTTAACGAGGGGTGGTCTAGGAGGAAAACCTGTAATCTCCACAGAGGCACCTTCGTCACGGCCTCGTCAATCTCCCGGAGGATCCAATCTGCACACTCACAATTTGTTCGGAGAGGCTGTCTAGCGCGTTCTGGAAGCCATCGTAATATACGGGGATGGAGCGTTGGATGTGGGTGCTGGCGGCAATGGAGTTCGATTTGCGAAACAACCGGCCCGTATCTATGAGCTGAGACTCATCGTCAGTAGCACGTTCGGCAGTGGCAGTGTCGGATGTATCCAGTTTGGGGCGCGGAGAAGGAAGCTGTACCGTTCGCTCCACGAGAGCAGAAAGCTCAGCGAGTGAGTCAGGGTTGGCGAAATTGGGGGTCATGGCGATAGGGTCGTAGATGATTGTCAAGAAATTGGGGTATCGTAAGGAGGGGGGTATAATTGGAGAGTCACGAGCAGGGGCAGGGTGGTCGGATGGGGAGGTTGTACACAGCTCGATCACTTTTGGGTTCAACAGCGAAGGTCAGGCGGCTAAACCCATTGGGGCATGGCGGGTTCCCCCCTCTACTCCTCCTGAGTCGTGACTGGCTTAGGACGGGCTTTGACTGACCCTCACCTCATTGGCATCTTCGACCTTCGACTTATTTCCTCCTTTTACAACTACCCCCATCTCTTATTCTTTTTTTCTTTTTGCTCCATCGTCTCGTTTTTTTTTTCTTCTGGGTTCTGTCGCTCGCGACCTGTCAGACCCGTTTCCTTGTGTGTTTGGCCAGCTTGCTTAGCTTTTCTTACTTGTTGTTTGTTGGTTTCTCTGGGGTTTCTCCCATCCGTCTACATTCGACTCTGTGCAGCTTAAGCGCTTGGCTCTGTCACTGCTGTCCCCTGCGATCTACGATTACCTTCCTATCGACATCTCAGCATATTCTCTCGCCAATCATACATCTCGAAACCGATTTATGTTTGGAAAACCTGTCGGATCATCTACGATTTGCTTCTGAAATTATTGCTCTTTGTTTGGACCCATACAAAGACCATTGGATCTCCAAAAAAAAGCCCCGCGATCAACGTCTGTCCCCCTCTGCACCAGCCGTATAGTTATCGGACTAGCTTCTCAGAGCGACGTTGGCCCTCTGCTTTGTATTTGCTCCTCGCCATTGAATCTGTGTCGACCTGCCCTGACGCTCCTGACAGCCCGGTCCTTTTCGGTTTTCCGCTGCTTTTCAGCACTCTTTGGAACATTCGCGATCGCCTTTTCCTATCCCAACCTTTTCAGACGCCTATACACGATGGCCGAGAACGCCCCCGCTTCCACCCCTTCTTCGCTTCCGTCGGCACCCCAGCCTGCTGCTGCTCAAAACCAGCAGTACGACGGCGCCCAAGGCAATGGCCAGACCAACCCTTCCCATATGCCCCCGCCTCCACGGCCCCCCGTGGTGATCCCCCAGAATACAAACCCGATTCCCACTGCCATCTCCTCGCCCCTGTCTGGCAACATGATGTCCCCCACTAGCGCCGGTGGTTACGTTCGCCGGGCTGCCCCCGAACCCAACAAGAGAGCTCTCTACGTCGGTGGTCTGGACCCCCGCGTCACGGAGGATATCTTGAAGCAGATTTTCGAGACCACGGGCCACGTGGTTAGCGTCAAGATTATCCCCGACAAGAATGTGAGTTGGCACTGGACCCTGGACTCCCCCCCCC